CTGATGGTACCCTTCGATAATCAAACATGGCTGGCTCGCAAATCCCCTCAAATGGGCATTTCAATGAGTACATATAATTATGGACAATCACAATTTTTAATGGGAAAACCAGCTATAAATGGCCATGTTCAATAGCTATGTCAAATTACCAAAGGGTAATCTATGAATGAGGAAATGATCCATTACCATCTTTGATCGAGGGTATATACCCTGAGGTAAACGCACAAAATGACATGGAAGATCCATGGGTACTCTTGGAAATGATCTAGAAATGATGGATGATCCATATCTGTACGTGAGTTTGCGGTGCATAATTACACAATGGGATGTATATGTGGTTGGGAAACTCTTGGTAGCTCCAAATCGCTCCCCATTTAATAGGGAATATGAATACCCATAGCTCCTTAGCTCCCTCCTAACCACTGGATAGCAATGGTTTTACTCATTCCCTATGTATCCAGCCGTACCTTCTTAGGGGGTGTCTGGATCCATGACCAGCCACCAGCTCATCCATTTGGATTGAGACTGTGAACAGCCCTTTGTTTGGAGAAATCTTCGATGATAGCAAAACATTATGGCAAATGATAATTTCGGTCATTTTGACAGAGGAATGGAATATGTTCCACTTTGACATGAACTTGTTAGGGTGTATCATTTTGATTGAGATTTGATGTGCAGCTGCTTGCTTTGAATGGGTGTGACTCACACTTGCGTGGCATGCGGAAACTTGTATGGTTCTGGTCCAAACCAGAACAGATTAAAAGCCATACCTGTTTGATGCAATTGACTTGCATCATCACAGGACATGATGAGAGCCACCCTTCTTAAGAAGGGTATATTCAGATCCATGTTTATACCCAAAATTCTACAGTAGATCTCAGGTAAGAACTTGAACATAAGACATAAGATGTAGATCCCATTTTTTCGGAGTCTTCTCCGTGCTTTCCATATGTGGGTTTGTTTGAAGATATAGAGTTCGCTGTATCCCAAAGTCCAATGGTTTATAATCATGTTTCCCCTATTTTTTTTTTCGCTCGCCTGTGGGGTAGATCACCCATTGGACAGAGTCGAGGATCATAAGTTGACGATCTCTCCCAATTCCACTGGATTGCAGGGAAAATCTAGGCTTGAAGCCCATTTGTTGTTCCCCATGTTCAATTAATTAACGGGGGGGTTCAACCTTGCCAAATTTCCCGAAGAAACACCACTCCAAATGACCTGACCTTAACGGGCGATCGGGTCTTACCTAAGGCCTTACCAGACTATCAGAAACACTACGGCCATGAGACCCGAAAACCTGTCCTTCAGGTGGGGCCATGTAGTGACACTCGTCACTGGTTGGTAACTGGTTAGTAACAGGATAATGTTTATAAAACCACTCATGACTGGGAATGGTTGAAAAAATATACCACCTATCAAAATTGTGATATTTGGGGGATTGTTTATTATTGTTTTACCCAAATTATAAATATATATATATGTAATTATATATATATATATCATTTAGACATGGGGATAACCCACTTTAGAGGACTTCACTTCACCGTTTTTTTTGAAGCACAAAAATGTGGATGATGATCCTCCAAGCAGGTGAAAATAGCTGGCATAGCTGGTCCATGAATTGGATACCCTCTGGTAATTTAACATAGCTATGGAAAATTGCCCATTTATAATTGATTTACCTATTAAAGATGGTGGTTTTCAATAGCTATGTTAGTTTACCAGAGGGTAACTATCACAAAAATGTGATCTTTAAAGAGGTTGATGAATGGTCATAGTGTATCATAGTGTATCCAGATTCACAATTTGAATCCAGGGCTCCTGGCGTATCCAAGTAAAAGGTGTGATGGAAGTGTAGTAAACCACAAATAGAGAGAAAAGTGCGAAACCTATCACTTGTAGAAATCCAGCCAATATATGGGGAAATATAATTTGTAACATTTTGCAACACCATCCAGAAGTATAGTAATCCAACACATGGTAATCAAACATAGCTTGCCGCAGCCTCGAAGTAAATGGGAAGATTGTCCAGCAAGCCGTGTTTGATTCTCCGGGAATGGGAGAAACATCGTCTGCGTCCTGGAAAACTGTTTGGAATCCTTTCAGGGACCACTCTAATCCAACATTTATGTACCTGTGACCCACATGGACGTCTGAATAAACTTCCTGGTGCTTAGTAGGGAATGGATGGGAATGGGGGTTGCTGGGATGATTATTGATAGTTATTGTGGATCATTCCCTCATTCCCTGCTAAGTAGCAGTAAGTAAAAGGGCTACTAATCCAATTATGCAAGAATTGGAGACACCCCATTGTACGGCAAGTAAAATGACATTTGATGATGATAAACCATGATGTGGTAAGCCCAACGTCATACTTGGGAATGGTAAACAAAAAGCCCACCCATTTGTGATGGGTCATTGGGAATAGTTGATTATTGGATTTACCACACCATCGCAATGACAAATGCAGATCTTGACCCAACAAAAGTGGGAATAGTCGATATATGACTGGGTAAACCTTGGGGAATGATGCCGAGTTGTTTCCTTTTGTTATACGGCCAAGGGCATATAGTGAAGTGGGATCACTTCATCGAGTTCTAACCACGGAGCCGGCTGTGAAATCTTCAGTTTATTTCGAATGAATTCGAATCAGCGTTTTTTCTGCAAGAAAAGCATTTTGTTTACCGTGTTAACCATGTTTCGTGTCCAAAAGGCAGTGCCCTTAGTTATGCTCGTTGATCTATTTTCACCCACAAACTATAGATATTTCATCACCACGAACCCAATGGGTAGCCTACGTATGTTCACCAATATAGCTATCATAATTTCATGTAATTTCATGATACAAACATCAAGCTCTTCTTGCTAAAATCCTAATGTTCCTATTCATGTTTTATAGATAATTCCCTATTATCCATTGGATTTTCTCTATGTTCTTATATGTTCTTATGGTTTTCCCCATTTTCCCATGGATTTTCACCACTTTCCCATGGATTTCCCCCGTTTTCCGTCGAATTTTCGCCAACTTGGAGCAGAAGGTGCACTATCCCAAAGATATCATCCGGAAAGCGGCAGCAGGTGCTACAAAGTCAGGGAATGTCAGGGATATCATCTACTACGTATGGGATGATCTACTAAGAAACCAAGTGCGATGATCTACTAGTACTTAGTAAGTGGGATATGGCTTTGTCTGAAAATGGTGCTGTTCCCTCCAAATGGCCATTTTGGCATGGCAATTTTCGTAGGGAAAACGATCCATCCAGAGGATTTAGGTGTACACTATTTTCAGACAAACCCATACAACCTACTTGGGCTTTGGGGGATGATATACGAGCCACAAAACATGCTGGTATCTAATGGAATTCAATATTTTATTTTGATGGAATTCCATGGAATGGTTCATGGTGTTTTAAATGGAATTTCATGGACATGAATTGTTTATCATGGGGATATCATGGGGTGCAGTTAGGTCATTTTGACGGCTATAACAGTCTAACCATGATCCTTTCACTAGCATGATGTTGGGATGATATAACTTAAGTATGGCGGCACTCTGGTGAACCTGACTGGTGAGGCTGGGTAATCAGTTTAGTCCCATGTGTTTTTCGCCCCATGTTAACAGACATTGGTGCTGAACTGAGATGCGAATTGGGATGTCACAAATATAGAGATAGAAAGAAATGAATCACTGGTGAACCATCGATGAGGGTATGAGCAGAAAAAAAAAACATGTGGTTTTTACATTTTGAATCATGTTGATACTATTCCATCATACCTCAGGAAGTTCAATACATGGCTGGTTGGTGGTTTGGAACATTTTTTATTTTTCCATATACTGGGAATAGTAACCCCAACTGACGAACTGATATTTTTCAGAGGGGTAGGTCAACCACCAACCAGTGGCTAGAGATCCCACTTTCAAATGCTGGATATCACCAACTGATCTCTGTGGAAGAAACATGGGGATCGACCCGCGGATACAGCTACAAATTGTTCACCGCAAGCTCTAGAGGCTCTAGGCTCTTGAATTTGCCCAAAAAGTAAAAGTTAATGGTGACTTTATAGTGATTCAATGGGATTTATCATGATTTAATGGGACTCTATATGGGATATGAATGGGATATGAATGGGATATGAATGGGATACCCTCTGGTAAACATACAAAAAACTATTGAAAATTGCCATTTAGAAATAGTTGATTGTCCCATGAAAAAAATGCTGATTTTCCAATAGCTATTTTGACATAACCAGAGGGTAAATAATCCCACTAATAAAAGGTCACCTCCCATTTGAAACATTGGTTTAGTATTGGATCTATTCATGGGGGTCCATAGGGGGGTTTTGAGTATTAGGGGGAGGGGGATTATCCACCTGTTTTTTTTTGCGGCGCTTCCAAGCTCAGTTCGTATCTTTAGCACAGTGGCTACCAATTGTGTCAACGGCTGACGCGAACTATTCTGGTTGGTGGTTTCAAACATGTTTTTTTTCCATAATATATGGGATAATCAATCCCATTGACTGATATTTTTCAAGATGGTTAAAACCACCAACCAGTATGTTACTTTGCGTTTTTCTTAGCAAATCTGTTTTCGAAATGGTTGCACTTCACACTTGTCCCTACTAGTCTATGACTATGATTCTATGTCACTTGGTTGCAGATGTCAAAATGGGTTGCACCATCAAATAAGGGGTCCCCAATGTTCAGACAAACTATGAAAATCTGCCAGAAATCACCGAAGATCCATGCTATCCTCAGGATACCCCTGGTGTTGATCCCCACTATCAAAGGTGACAATGGAAACTCTCAACGTCCCTTGTATCCAAGGTGGGATTGTGTTTATAAACCCTTGGAACTGTAGTTATATCATATTATATCCCATAAAAAAACTAGTTAACCCAGTTCCGTTCACCAACTAGCTATAGATCAGTTGTAAATCCCATTAAAAGACGCCAGTTTTCTTCGTGAATTCCCCATTTCCTATGGTTTTCCTCAGCGAGGCATGCGTGGCGACTTTGCCATCTTTGTCTTCGTGGAGTTCATCGATCAATTGCTGGTGGGGCAGCGGAGTTAGTTGGATGGTGAACAGTTCACGAGGTGAACTTTTTGTTTTGTTTGTTATACATATATATATAATATAAATAAATATATATATATATATATTATATTGGTATAGTGACTTATAAAGCATTATAAAAATTATATGGTATAGTGAGTTTTAAAGCATAATACAGTTTTTGTGGTATTATAGTGACTTATAACGTATTATTATTACGTCTAAACCCCATCAGTTAACCATAAATTAACGGTCCCTTGAGGTGAACGTTGACAGCTGGCCCTTTTGGGATGGTGATGAAAGGTCAAGGCCAGCATTTTTTATAGTTCTTCATGGGATAATCATAGGATGTGACGGGACCATATATATGGATATATATGGTATTAAATTTCACGAGCTCCTGGGATTTTGTGATTTTTAGGGAATATTGGATATTTAATAATATATGGATATATATGGATATATATGGATATATATGGATATATATCTGCTTGGTGGTGACTGGAACAACATGATTTTTGAATGACTTTCCATGAACAGTTGGGAATGGAATTTCAGAATGACGAACTGAAATATTTTTCAGAGGGGTTGAAACCACCAGCCAGGTAAAAGCAAAATCCTGCTAAACTGGTGATAACTCACTGAACGTTTTTTTTGGGGGGATCAGCATAGATGTATCGAACTAGCGAATAGGCTTTATGAACCAACTAACATAACTGGGGGTTACCACTTTGATTCGTGGTGGATGGTGACGAATCCGCTGAAACTTCGCTGTCGTATAAATCAGTTCTAAATCCCATACAATTCCCAGCAACTTTTTCCGATATTTCTCCCAAGAACATCCAAGAACCCTAGTTATTCTATGTTATACTACTTCAAAACATTTGTAAACCACGATCTCATGGAGATTATCAACTATTTCTCATGTCCCAAAAATGTTTTAGACATGTTTCTGATGTCTGAATTTCTAGTTATCCTATGTTAAATTTCCATTCTTCCATTCATGCAGCCCTTGGGATCCAGGCCCGCACGGCCCTGAAACTCACGGGGCTGCGCATCGCGCAACGGTCCGTGCGCGTGTGCTCCACCATGGGCATCGGGTCGGAAGGACATGGGAAGGTCCATGGGAAAAGTCCGTGGGAAATCATACAATTCTATAGCTATCGAAATATATGTATATGTATATATATATAATATATATATTTATGATGATATCATCAATGATATATGATGATATCATCAATGATATATGATGATATCATCAATGATATATGATGATATCATCAATGATATTTGATGATATCATCAATGATATATGCTGATAGGGCTATACCATGATGATAATAGTGGTATACGGTATATCTATATAATTCTGTTGGGATACATGATAATTCTATGATGATATGTGGCTATCGAAAACAGGGGTATAACAAAAACTATAGGGAATCCTATGGGATATGAAAATACAGGATATGATAGGATATGTGTAACCATCTCTGGGAATCCTATGAGAAATAAAGCAAGAATCATCGCCAATCCTTTTGGCTGCTGGTGAATGGCGGATCTATTGGCCATAAATCGGAAGGTTTACCAACAATTCATGGGAATACAGAAGGGGAATATGCACTTTTTGGCCTCCCAGAGCAAGTGTGTCATGGAACTAGATGACAAGTTGACAAGTGGAAGTCTGAATCTTCACATTTGCTCAAAAACGTGAGCCACAGGGCCCCTTCGTTCACGTCCAGCCTGGGGATGCTTTGATAAAGCGGTGAGTTTGCTAGTTGAATAGGTTTAATGGATTGATCAATTTAGCTGCTAAAATGGAGAAATGTTCCGTAATCAGCCCCTCAAATCTTTGATGGAGTTGAAATGATAGCTTTAAAATGCTTTAAAGCCAACCATCTTGCACAGACATGTAATAATCGCCAATAATCAGCCAATAATGGTTTATCACCAATGTCATAATCACCAATAATTCACCAATAATTCACCAATCATTCACCAATCATTCACCAATAATTCACCAATAATCACCAACAATCACCAACAATCACCAACAATCACCAATAATCACCAATCACAAAATGTGTGCAAGATTGGCTTGATCCAAGCCATGCTGTGAGGAGAGACATTGGACGTCGAGCCTCTGAGGCCCAAAATTTTGTCGGTCTGGAGATATTGGGAGCGGCCTCCAATGACTTGGTGTTTCACGTGACCCATGGAGAATTCCCCCCTTTTTGATGAGGTTCCCATGGTGAAAAATCGCCATTTATTTGTTGTTAAAAGGGATGTGAATTAGCATTTATATAGTTGACATAGCCATTTAATGCCATTTATATATGAAACCATGACTAATAAAAGTTAATAAACGGCCATTTTATCAATTGATGATGTCCCCGTTGTGAAAAATAACCATGTATTTGTTGTTAAAGGGGATGTCTGATGGCCATGATTAGCTGAAGGTATGATGGATAGATTTTTCATCATTTTCCTCATGGTAAACCAAATCTGGTTGGTGGTTTGGAACATGAATGAATTATTTGTCCATTCAGTTACTCCAATAACTATGGTCCATGGTAGAGATAAGTCTATACTTACTATGTTTTTTCCATTCATTTGGGAAATATCATCCCAACTGACTTTAACTCATATTTTTTCAGAGGGGTAGGCTTGAAACCACCAACCAGAAATCGTTGAGTTTTTCCATGGGCTACGTCACAACTCGAAGTGACCACAGTGACCGCTTGGCTTTTTTGGAGATTTGTTCAGTGCTTCAATCCCTGCCATGTAGCAGAAGTGCCCTGATGGCATAGGCTGGTAAGGGTAACTCCACCCGGAAATATTCCCTGGTAAACTAACATAGCGAACTGGAAAATCACAATTTTTAATGGGTAAATCCTCTATAAATGGCGATTTTCAAGAGCTATGTTAAATTACCAGAGGGTATTCCCTACTAAATCATGCTTTCTGGGAGGGGGTCAATATCAAGGATTAAGGATAAGGTTGCAATTGTCACCAGATATTTGCAGACAACTTGGGTTTGTAGCGATGTGGATCATGCTGGCAAAAGTTGGGGTCAGAATTGTAGGTATGTTGATCAACCCTTTTTATAGGGATTGAATGGGATTAACCAATGGAACGATAGGATTTTGATTTACTGATATTCAATGGGATTTACTAATATTGAAGGATGAATCTGATCATGACCTCACCTCGTGACTTCCCTGGAATGAGGGTAGTTTTTATATATCATCATCTCCAAATGGCCGTATGATAACAGCTATTTCAGGTTGGTGAATTATTATAAATCATTGAATTATTCTGGCAATAACTACTACTATAATTATAGTATAGTTATAATACTAGTATGGTAATAGCTATGTAGTATGGTCGGTAGTAAGTACAATTATAATCATATATCATGTTATATGTTAATAAAACTACAAACCAGATCCATCAACATTTGTCTTTTCGGTCGCGTATTCACTGGATAAAGGTTGCACGGAGGTTCTAATAGGGTTATCCTGGCGTTCCGATCCCACTGTTGCTACATTCCCAGTTTCACTTTTACCAAGTACACTGTTACAGTGCACATATATTGAATTTTGGTGTGTGTATATATATACACACTATCATATAATTGTATATATATATATACACATGTTTTCTTTAAACATAGTAATAATCTTCTGCATAAACTGGTGAGTCAAAGATAGTCAACGGTCAGCACCAAGCAGCAACCAGGCAATTGGAGAAGCTTCCGCTCAGACCTCTGGATGGCACAACCATGTTGCTGAATGTTTGGCCACTCGACAAAAAACACGTTACAGTTGCTCACAATTTTGAAGCATTAGATAGCATTAGTAGGATTTGACAAAAACACGTTACTATTGCTCAGAATCTGAAATCATTAGCAGATATCAGTAGGATTTTCATTGGATTTATCCAACAATGGTGATTTAACAATGGTGTTTGATCTAATCGAACCAGGATATCATAGGATGCAATTGTGCCAAACGTAGGGAATGGGGGAATGTGATGATTCATAGTTATGGATTGGATCATTCCCCCATTCTCTACGTAAAAATGCACCAGCAGCGCGAATACAGTCAATATGGGGATGGATCAAAACATCTCCAAAACCTATTGTTACCATATTTGGGGGTACCTTAACATCAATTAAGTAGCTATTTTACCGTACCGGGTGCCGTTTGGGACTCTTGTTCAAGAATGGATTCCTGTTCCCATCCCTGGCCGTGATTGAACGAATCTCAACGGGGTTCACCATGGGTTTTGACCTTCAAATGCAGCGAAGTTTCCAGATTAGACCATTCTGTTGGGAAATGATTCCCCTGACAGTCATCATGCACGAGCCATGAAGAAAATACCCAATCATGGGGGTGTTAAATTGTTGAGAAATCATGGTTGATAGGATATTGTAAGGAGTTATACTACCTGGTTATTGGGAATTATGAACTAACCCCATATGAATGGGAAACCTATCAGTCGACTAGTATTTAGTTCTGTTGGAATGTTTGATGGGTAGAACTGCTATGGCCCCATCATTCATATTATCATTCTGGGTGTTCTGAAAGGTAATCTCCCATTGAAAAGTTATTGTGCAAGAAAGCCGGAGCGCGCCGCGCAGTTGCGGATATAGGTGTTTATGGTTTATAGGTAGCGTGGTAGGGGTCTAAGCAACACATACTGGGAATACATTTGGATATATAAGCAACCATATTGTTACTGGTATTTGTTCTTTTTGAACACATGGTAGAAGACCAGATTGCACGGTTGGGCTGGGGCTGTCCCAAATGTTTAGACAAAGCCACTGACATGTTCATTGTAGTGTTTGCTCAGATTCATGCAGTTATGGCCCGAAATACCTGTTATAAGTACTAACAAGACCCCATTTATAAAATATATAATTATATAATCCCATTGAAATCACCAGTTATAACTAATAGCCATTACCATAACTGTGGGGGTATATGGGGGCTGAAGGTTCACCAACTTCCACTTCACTGGGAAGGAAAACCTGCATGTAAATGGCCAAGGCTGGGAGGCCTTCCCATGCGCCTTTGTCGCGAAGAACTGCGCCTCGGCTGCATCTACGGGATGATTTTTAGGAACTGGCTAAAATTGTGTAACTGGCTCAAGCTATACGAACCATGAATATGAATATAAGATAATATAATAAGTGGGGTATAATGGTATGGTATAACCAACAATGTTCATGGGGATATACATAGATATGCTGTGGATATGCAGATACTATGGGGATTGAACTGATTGAACCAACCATTTTCATCCTGAATTCGTCCACCCCGAACTCGATATGGAGGTCTACAGCTGGGAAGAAACATACAAATGGCGGCAAAAACAATAGTTGGTTGGGGATAAGAGACCACAAAAACTAGGGAGTGTCATGCACCAGTTTTTTGTGGGTCTATGGCCTTGAAAACTGAAATGGGCTCGCGTAAGAGATGGTTCAACATGTTTGGTCCTTGAAAGATGTTCCTTTTAGGGATCTTCAGCAAGAAATCACGGGATTTCAAGGGACATCCTTCTTGAATAGGACAAAGAAGCACTTGCACTCACAACAAATTGTCTAATCTGATTTTTGAGTTCCAAGTGTTCCACAAGTGTTCCAACTCCCAAGAAAACTCACACCTTTTGCGCCGTCTTTGGCTCTCAGCAGTGGCGCAACCACAAGCGCCGCGGCCGCATCGCTTGCCCATGTGGAGCAGCATCAGTGCGCTCGGTCGAGCAGGGCAGAAGGGCCTCAGGGGGCCCGGCAATTTTCGGGCCCGGCAGTTTAGTGAAGGGCCTCAAGTGGAATCCGAACCTCGGCTGGTTTATGTGGGACACCCAATCGATAGGGCAGGTTCTGTTAACTACAATGACTATGAAACATTATGAAACTATGGATCTACCCTCCGGTAATGAGATGTGACAATGGAAAATCTGCCAATAGATTATTGTTCAATTAGAACCTGCATTTGTATAGGGGATCTTCCAGCCAGTCATATTTGAATTCACCGGAGAGTATCTACACTTGAACGGGTGACGATCAACTTGGCTGAATATTTAAGATACGCAAGTTGGTTTATAGCTAGCGTAGTTCGTGATGGATAAATAAATATATATATATATACATACATACATGTGAGTTTCGTAACTTGCTGCTGCCGCATACACCTTCGATTGTTTCCTGTCAGGGGAAAGCACATTCATTATGTGCCTTTTGACTCGTGGCTCAAGGCCAATTTCAGCGAGATAGGGGAAAAATCTCGAGTGCCGCCATAGGATTGGTTGGAAGGTGAAGAGTGGACTCTTTTGGGATTTGGTTGGATAGATATACATTTTTGGTGTTGTGGACAACACTGTTGGAACGACTTTACTTTGGTTGAACATCAACTACTTTCTGGTGATCAAGGAGGACCTTGAACCATTCAGGTGGGAACCGTTATCAGTGGCGTTGCGATCTACGATCCAACGACACTGGTAGCGGAGCCTAGAGGCTCGTGCTACTTGCACGCAAAGCCGGCCCGCTAGTTTTGTGGCTTCTGGATAGTGAGCAATGCCTCCTAAAGAGTCTGCCTCAACTGATGGGAACGGTGACTCCCAGCAGGGTTCCAATTTTTGGAATTTGCTGCCCAGTTTTGACCCGAGTGAAGATGACATACGAGAGTTTTCACAGAAAGCCAGGTTCATCCACGGTGTCATGCCCGAGAAGGACAAGCCCAACTTAGCTCCCAGGTTAGCTATGTTGTGTAAAGGGACAGCTTGGTCCCAGGTGCGTCAGTTAGATCCGAAGAAGCTCACCAAGGCCGACTCAGGTGTTGAATACTTGTTGGCCGCTTTGTCAGCTTGGGAAGAAACATCAGAGATGAAAACGTATGAACTGTTTGAACGAGCACTCTACAAGGTAGTACAGAAGTCTGATGAGGCCTCCCATAGTTTCTCACTTCGCCTTCAAGCTGCATTCAATGAGATAGGTGATGATGTCACTGTCAAACAAATGCAAGCCTTCGTGATGTTGAGACAGTCAGGTTTGTCGTCTGAAGACAAAAAGAAAATCCTGACGATGACAGGTGGTAAGCTGGATCTGACCGCAGTTGACCAAGCCATGAGGTCGTTGTCCACACGTGTGTTGATGGGCCCTGGTGAAACCAAGAAAAAGATTTACCCAATCAATTTCACAGAGGTGGAAGAGCCACCTGCCCAATCTGATGAAAGCCTTCCGGTTCAGAGCACTTACGTTGCATACCATGAGGAAGAGGATGTTTTGACAACCGAGCATCTGGAATACCTAGTGTCTCAGGGAGATGAGGATGCCAACGTAGTGCAACAGTTTGAGCGTGATTTCGAAGAGATGCTGCAAGAGATTCCTGATATGCAACAAGCAATGGTCTCATACAATGAGGCTAGGCAGAGGATCAATGATCGCCGTCGTAGCCGAGGGTTTTGGCCCACTGGAAAAGGAAAAGGGAAAGGTGGGTTCAAAGATGGATCCCGGCCATACCGCAAAGGTGGTGGAAAGTCTGGAAAAGAAGAGTTGCTGGCTCGCATTGCGAAAACGCATTGCAAGCTTTGCGGTGCCCTTGGGCATTGGCGTGCAGAATGCCCTCAGAGGAAAGAAACCCGTGAGTCAGCCAACGTTGCCTTCTCCATGCCATCCGAAGCATCCGATGCCGAAGAGGAGACCAACCAAGTGGTCTTTGAAGCGTTGAGTGAACAGGAGTGCATCCGTTGTGAAACCTGTTTCGTTGCCTCATGCCACCGAAATTCAGTTTTGTGCAAACAAAATGTTGAAGACGTGAAAGCCTTTTGGGGTAAGAAACTGGATAAGCCGGGGTATAAGCGGGGTAATAAAGGGGTTATTGGGTATAATGGGGTAACAAAGAATTGTGGTCCGGAGAATGTTCTGAAACCAGAAGTGGTGACCACAGCACTCCACACCCATGCCGCCAGGAAGATGCATCCGAGACCAACCAATAGAGCCGATGGTTTTGTCAGCCAGAATCACTCAGATGCCATGCAAAGTCAAGGAATGGCCATACTGGACACAGGTGCCAGTCGCAGTGTGATCGGACAAGACCATGTCCCCGCGATGCTCCAAAAACTGCTAGCCAGTGTCCGTGACCAAGTCGTGGAAAAGCCCAGTAGAGTAGGATTCCGTTTTGGAAATAACCAAGTTGCATATAGCTACAAACAGCTGCGCATACCATTGGTCCACAAGAGAATCCGAATCTGGTTGCTAATTGAAGTAGTGCCGAGGGCCACACCTTTCCTGCTGTCTATTAAGACCATGAAGAGTTTAGGAGCCATGATAGACCTAGGACAAAATACATGTTTCCTCAAGACACTGCAAAGGTCACTGTATTTGAAAGAAAACAAGAATGGGTTGTTCATGATTGACATGTCCGATCTTTGTCAACCTGATGTCAAGTCCAATGCAGCAGCTTTTGTCGCATCAAGTGTCTGTGCCCCGCCTCCAGGTCTGGAAAGTGAGATTCCTGTCAGTCATGCCGACACGCCAGGAAGTGCTCGATGCTCTTCGCACAGTGGCAGAGGAAGTGTTAGCCAGTCTGAAGCTCCTGATGACCATTGTGTTCACCATGACCAGTGCGATCGACCCGAACCAGGAAGCCACGGAGCTCCAGATGAATCCGGTGAATCAGCTGATTCACGAAGTGGCCCAACAACGTCGGACAATCGATCAGTTGGGGAATCTGATTCAAGCTCAGTTCCAACAGAAGCCACCCACATGTCCAGGACCTACCGTGAGCCCGGTGAACCATGTTCCAGGATCAGAAGATTTCGAATGGGAAGCCGAGATGGTGCCATCACAAGGCCAAGCTGCATCAACGGTGCCAAATTCTTCCCAATCGATGTCTGCTGTGATGATGAATGTCAGAGTTCCCAACAACCTCCAATGCCAGTGAGACAGCCCATGCCGCATGTGTCAATGACACCAAGTGCCCGACCACCAGCTGCAATGATGGGAAGCCCAGGATCGTCCTACGCAGCTTCCGAGATTGGAAGCCAATTGATGGTGACTCAAGCATCCCTCGAAAGCTGGGGAAACAAGATCGTGGGCTTTGGCAAAAAGCATCTGAGGTCTCGTTACGCCCATGTGTACGAGTCCGACCCAGGTTACATCAAGTGGATTCTGGCCAGAGCCGACAACCTTTCCGAGGATGTGGCAGATTTCGCAAGCTATGCTCGAGCTCGCAATCAACTGGAGCAATTGGCCAACAACCCGGTTCCATGAGAGGCAATTGGGAGGAATTTCAAGATTCTAGGATGTCACATAAATCTAGCTTCAAAGAAAGACAACTGTGGAATGAAATGCGACAGCCTGACTCAGAAAGTAGTTCTCACAAGTCAGAACAGTTGGACATCTTAGAAGTGTATGCGTTCCCGAACAGCATGTTGACCACCGTGGCGCAAGAACATGGTTTGCGAGCAAGGAGGTTTACATATGAGGATGGGGATTTATCAACACCTACTGGAAGAAGAGCTTTATTTCACATCATCAAGACACAGAGACCAAAACATATTTGGCTTGCACCGGAATGTGGTCCTTGGTGTGCCTGGAACCGTTTTAACTCCATGCGAAGCCTATCAAGTTTTGAACAAGTCATGCACCAACAACGTCTTGCCAAAGAACACCTGGTGTTGTGTAATGTGGTAGCTCAGATTCAGCATGATGAAGGTAGACACACCCATCTCGAAAGTCCCAAAACCTCCGGCGTTTGGAAGCAGCAGGAGATACAGCCGTTTTTGAAGCGTTCCATTCCGGCCCAGCTGGACCAATGTGCTTTTGGCCTGAGACATCCGAGTGAAAATCAGTTGATGAGAAAATCCACTCGCATACAAACCACCTCAGTTGAGATGTTTTCCGTTTTGGACTGCCGTGTTTGCAATCGTGAACATAGTCATAGTACCATAGCAGGAAGATGTCAGTGGAAGGGTCATAGCATTTCCGTGTCCAGGTTGCTTTCTATCCACGCAAGCTTGCGCTGACCATTGTCCGTGGAATCATGCAAACATCCCAAGGCCCCTATGAGGCGCCAATTTGCCATGTAGATGAAATAGAGCCACCTGCCAAAAGGGCACGTACCAACTCTGGTGAAGCCTCTGCACCACACGACACCGCGAACGTGTGGAAACCAATGTTTGAATTTCTACAGAGAAAACTTCCCAAATCAGGTGTTGTCACTTGGGAAGACCCGCAAGATGAAGTCTTCCAGGAAATTCAGAAACTGTTTCCACATGAGAACATTGGTGCAGTCAAAGCAGGAAAAGGCCTAGATTGTCTTTTGTTGGGCGAAGAGGCTTGGAGAGATCAGCTGCCGAAAAGACATAGCATAGTACAGAAAAGACTCACTCATGAAATAATTGACCTAGGACTTGAAGTTTGGAGTGAATTAACTCGGAAAAGGGCTTGTCGAAAAGAGGTGCCAAGCCATATCATGTTGTGTTTGTTTTCCAGAGATGACAGCCGACCTGATACACCTATAATGCCAGCAGCCAATCCCGCCAATGGATCAATTGAGACAACAGCCGCTGAATCAACAGCCAGTCCACCAGTGCAGGTAGATGTGCCCAGCTGGACTCCTTTAAGTGCCACTGTTTCAGGCCCAAATTTCTTGAAACTTACTCGAGAGCAACAGTCCATGTTGCGCAAGATTCATAATAATCTAGGACACCCCACAGCCGAAAGACTGGCCCGACATCTAAAGGAATCCAAAGCACATGAACACCTGGTGGAAGGTGCTGCCGACTTTGTGTGTCCGTCATGCGCTGAGAGACACCCACCACAAAAGACTACTCCCGGCCAACTCAAAGACCCGAAGGATTTTAATGAAAGAATTCTTTTGGATGGTTTTGACTGGTGTAGTAAAAGGGGTATTCAAATCTATGTGTTCCATATCCTAGATGATGCTACCCGTTTCCATTTAGGTCAAAGGATAACCCGGGATACCCAAGCCTCCATCCGTACAACGAAACAGATGTGGATTCAATGGGCAGGATCCCCACAGGAAATACTACATGATCAAGGTGGAGAGTTTGTATCCCAGCCATGGAAAGATTTTTTGCAAGCCCACAGCATTCAGCCAGTGCTCACTGCCGCTCCGTGGCAACGTGGTCGTATCGAGAGACATGGAGGTGTGATCAAGGAAATGCTTGAAAGAATGGACCATGCACAGAACTTCACCAGTCTAGCTGAAATAGATGAGGCTCTTAACCAGTGTTTCCGAGCGAAAAATTCTATGATAGTGAATAACGGATATAGTCCAGAACAAGCTGTACTAGGTAAGGCCTCTAAACTTCCTGGGTCACTACTCTCAGACGAAGAATCAACTGCTCATCACATGTGCCTTTCACCCGCCCCAGCATCCGAGCAGTTTAAGCGAAGTCTTGAATTGCGGACAGCCGCAAGAGCAGCTTTCTGGCATGCTGACAATCATGCTGCAATTCGCAGAGCAGCCCTTCATAGGTCACGAGGTGTGATACATGAATGGCTGTGTGGACAGTTGTGCATGTTTTGGGATAAACGAAAAGCCCCGAACATATTGGAGAAAGGACGATGGTGTGGTCCAGCACAGGTAGTTTGCCAGGAATCAAGAACAATCATATGGATCACTCACATGAATCGGTTGTTAAGATGTGCCCATGAAAATCTCAGACCAGTTTCCATGCGTGAATTTCAAAGACACTCCACTTTTACAACTTCAAATACCCAAGAAGAATTGAAACAAATGGCACAACGTTTACAGACACAGTTGAAAGAAAAGAGTGGCATGTTTCAATACTATTCAATACTCCGATTTATCTGAGGTGAATCCTCCAACAGAAGAAGAGGCAAACGATGGCAATAGCGAACTTTCGACCTCTCGACAACCAGAGGAAGAACCAATCAGACGCCAACGAGGTGAGATCGAAATTCCTGACGAAACCATGCACGACCCTGCGGTCGAAACGCCTGTTCCAGACTCCCCGTTTTCTTCCAATAGTGAAGAAAGCCCTGAATCAATGGTTCCAAGCCCGAGCCTGGCACAATCTGCTCCTGACACTGCATCATTGGACACAGATCAGTCGGAAAATGAAACTCCGAGTAACATGGAACCTGTGTATAATGCTGTTATCATCGAGAAGAATACCGAGACGACAGACTGTGTTCATGACGATGGCGCTCTTTGGTCAATGCCCGACCCTTGCGAAGCAGCGTGTGTGTCTTTTGAGTTTGAAATGCCAAAACAACAATTCCATAAGTTCCTCAAATCTCCCAAATAGCACCTGCCAGAGGTCAATGCCGCAGCCCGCAAGTTTGGGAAAGAACTTGTTTACAGTGACTTGACACCCCAAGAGAGAGAGAGGTTCAAGCAAGCCAAGTTGAAGGAATTGAATTGTTGGTTGGATACTCAAACGGTAAGAACCATAGTTCGGGATAAAATTCACCCCTCCAGAGTTTTAGCCTCTAGATGGATACTGACTTGGAAGGAAGATGAAAATAGCGAAGATGGAAAGAAACCAAAAGCACGACTTGTGGTAAAAGGTTTTCAGGACCCCAACATTGGGGAATTAGCATCCGATAGTCCCACTCTCACCCGAGATGGCAGGATGTTATTACTCCAGACAGCTGCCAGCCACAAATGGTGTATTGAAAGCTTTGACATCACTACTGCCTTTCTACGAGGGAAATCCGATGATCGTCAACTAGCAATGGAACCCCCAAAGGAGTTGAGAGAACTGCTTGGAATGGAAAAACATCAGATCTGCCTACTAGAAGGAAATGCTTATGGACGGGTAGATGCCCCTTTGTTATTCTATCGCGAATTTCGGAAATGCTTAGAAGAAGTAGGTTTCACCGCACATCCCTTGGACAATTGTTTGTACTTGTTAAGAGACCCCAAAGATCCAAAGATCCTCAATGGGATAGTGGGTACTCATGTGGATGACGGTTTGGGGGCAGGTAACCACAAATTTAGCTATGCCCTACAACAACTTCAGAAAAAGCTTCCTTTTGGCTCACATGAAAAACGCAAATTCCGTTTCACAGGACTTGAAATAGAACAGTTGCCGGATTTTTCTATCAAAGTTAGCCAAGAAAAATATGTCCAAAGAATAACTCCCATAGACATCCCTAAACTCCGTAGAGCAGAAGTTGATAGCCCTATCACTCCACAGGAGTTAAATAAACTAAGGGGGATTTGCGGGAGCCTACAATACGCCGCAGTGCATTCCCGGCCCGATGTGGCCGCAAAAGTTGCGCACCTGCAGAAGGGTATTACCAAGGCGACCGTGCAAACTCTGCTAGATGCAAATCGAGTACTCAAAGAAACCCAAGAGTTTGCCAACACCTCTGTGATCGTACGTCCGATCCCCATGACGGAGCTCTGTTTCGCAAGCTTTGGTGATGCAAGCTTCGCTTCGGCCAAACAGATGTCAGCCCAGCAAGGGATTTTTATCATGGCATGCACACGGAAACTAGCAAACAATGAGACGACAGACTTCTCTCCAGTTGCATGGCATACCAAACAGATTGGTAGGGTGGTTCGTTCTACTTTGAGTGCCGAAGCATACGCTATGTCCAGTTCACTAGATAAGTTAACGTGGATTAGATGCATGTGGGGTTACATAAAGGATCCCTCTTTTGCTTGGCATAAACCTGAAAAGTCTCTTTGTGTAGAACCACCAGGGTTAATGATCACTGATTGTAAATCCTTATATGACTTAGTCACGAAGACTGCAGTGCCAAATTGCCAGGAGTGGCGTACCACCATAGAAGTCATGTTGCTGAAGGAACAATCAGCTAACCATACCCAATGCCGCTGGATCAGCACTGCTATCATGTTGGCAGACTGCCTAACGAAGTCCATGGACTCAACTTTCTTACGCACCGTTTTGCAGTTGGGAAGATTCAGAATCTACGATGAAGAAATGACCCTCAAACAGAACTCGAATCGAAAATATGGTGTCACATGGGTGAAACAATCGAACATAGAAAAGAGACCAGTGTGAGTTTCGTAACTTGCTGCTGCCGCATACACCTTCGATTGTTTCCTGTCAGGGGAAAGCACATTCATTATGTGCCTTTTGACTCGTGGTTCAAGGCCAATTTCAGCGAGATAGGGGAAAAATCTCGAGTGCCGGATTGGTTGGAAGGTGAAGAGTGGACTCTTTTGGGATTTGGTTGGATAGATATACATTTTTGGTGTTGTGGACAACACTGTTGGAACGACTTTACTTTGGTTGAACATCAACTACTTTCTGGTGATCAAGGAGGACCTTGAACCATTCAGGTGGGAACCGTTATCAGTGGCGTTGCGATCTACGATCCAACGACACATACATATGTATATATACGGGTGAATGGGCGAACGACTTGGGATTTTCGCATATTGTCAATTGATTTCAAATCAGCCCACTTAGTGGATGGCTCGGTTTTTGTTAGGTGAAGATGGGTAATTTTTATCCAAACATGGTAACATGATGTACCCTCTGGTAAACTAACATAGCTAGTGAACATGGCCATTTATAGTGAGTTGTCCCATCAAAAACGGTGATTTCCCATAGTTATGTTAGTTTACCAGAGGCTAGCATGTATCAGCTAAAATGGCATGTGTTATTTAACGCTAATGTGCTAATTCATCACTTGATGTTGGATTTTCACCAGCACAGGAACAATCACGGGATTTACTATAATTAATCATATAACTGGTTGGTGCTTTCAAACATTTGGTTTAATTTTCCATAATATATGGGATGTCATTCTTCCCATTGACGAACTAATATTTTCAAGATGGTTATTGCACCACCAACCAGATATATAATCATATTCAATAATTACAAAACGTGCTAAAACCAACTAGTGATGCGTCGGATATGGTCGTAATATCTAGGGTCTAAGGTGGCCCATTGGCTCTTTCATGGTCTCCATCAGCGTGGAGCCCAGTTATATATACATATTATCTGGTTTATAAGCCCCATGAATACTGCAGTTATATATGTTATATCGTATTATATATATCATATCATATCAATCATATTATGTATATATATATATCCCATAATTAATCCCAAGCGTTCAACAAGTTATGTTCGCCAACATTGCCAGCTCTCGCAAATGGGAACCCCAACGAACGCCACGCCAGGACAACCGTGGTATCTCCACCAACGTCGCCGTGCTGGTGCCCTTGGCGCTGACGGCCTTCATCGTGCTGAAAGACGCGCTGCCCGAGACGCCCAAGAAAGTGGAAAAGGTGCCTGGCAGGTGATTTAGCGAAGGAAACCATAGGAAAATGGTGACTTCACCAAGAATATTTGGGAATTTCATGGGATGTATATAATATAGCTGATTGGTAATTTAGCCAACGAAGATATGCTGATTAGATAGATATATATATTATATACTGGAATTGGGATATTTGTATGGAGTATGAATGGAAATATCGTTCATAAAACCCATTGGTTTGATTTTAATATCGGGCTTCTACTAGCTTATTGCAAAATGATAGTTAATAACAAAACCAGTTCTCAACGAGGGTTTTTGACGATGACAAAATCTGTGTGTAGTTTTTGATTTGATGTTGTAGTTCAACTTGATTTGCCGACCATGCTTTCGGGTAAAACCAGCAGTATGAACATAGCAATAGCATTATAGGAACATGATATCGTGGGAAACATTGGTGAAGAAACCATCTCCGCTTTCACATACGGGTCTCTCTGAAAATGAGGTATGAGATACCCACAAATTGCCATTTGATAGAGAAAATGGTGAGTATATGCCAGTGGATTTGGGGGGATACTAGTTTCAGTCCTCCCCAGATGATTTATGATTACCCTCTGTTTATTTGACATAGCCATGGAAAATGGCCCATTTATAGATGGTTTACCTATTAAAAATGGTGATTTTCCATGGCGAACTGTTAAATAACCAGATGGTATTTGTTGTTTTACCAACACAAGTGTGAATTACCTATCAAAAAAGTTGAGATTTCACTGGCAGATTGAGGCCCTGTTATAATCCCAAATATGGCAATGTTAATGGGAACATGAGTCTATTGGATATATTTGGATATTATATTATAGAACATGGTTAGATTGATTGGATGTTATTCCCTGTTATAACATTGTTTTTTTCCCTGTTATAATCCTGTTATATCCCAATTGAACATGATAAGAGTCTATTGGAATCTGTCCCGAGCGCCTCCGGCGGATGAGTTCCTCGGTGAAATCCTGGTTGCTTGAAATTGAAACTAATATGAAAACAGGGTTACTACTACCCATTGCGCATATTATATACTGTAATACTTTATGTATATATTGTATTCACATACATATTGGTGATTATCATGAACTGTACTCCCATTCCTCAAAACACATTTTGAAAGATTGGTGTAGCCTCATCAATCGGGTACTTACCATGATGTACCAACAATATTTGCCACGATGTACCATGATTTCCCATGAATTGTTGGGTTTACCTCAACAAGAAATCAACAAATTCAATAGGATGGTACAACCGATCCACCCAAGCACAGCCAAGGATGAGGTGGAAGAGAGATTGAAGCAAGAACTTCAGAACACCTCCTTCAAAGAATGGAAAGCTGCTGGTTTTGAGCCAGAGAAACGCCAATAGCTATGTGCTTAGCTATGGCTAGCTATGTCCGAAAAGGGATGTGGTCAAAATATGTCAAGATCATCATTGGAATATCTACCCATGCATTAGTGATTGATTAGTATAGGTGATTTTCCCAGTTTAAATTCCCATCTGTAGAGGATTTCAAAGCTAGCCATGGTTGATTACCAGATGGTACCCAGATGCGAACCATGGTGCTGGAATATTTACCAACATGTGCCAAACAAAATCACCCAGTTTTGTAGGTAAATATTCCAGCACCATGGTTCGCATATGGGGTATGTGTTTTTTGTTGCTATTTTTGGAGGTTTGACGCCACAAAACGAGGGCCCGCGTGGCCCAGAGGATCGACTCGAGTCGTTGCGGTATCGCGACCGGTACTTGGGCGCCACCAGCGAACCCCAAAGATCTCTCAGCGATTCGTAGAGTTTCCATGTCAGTTCCAGGAATCGTAAGCGGGTAATCACCATGGAAAAGACCGGTTATATCATACAGTTATGGCCCGAAATACCAGTTATAAGGTAGGTACCAACCACCAAGCAGATATAGGCTATAAATCACGGATCCTATCTGGGATGTTCGACATAATTCGACATGGATTTCTTTGAACATGTTGAGAAAACCTATACCTCAAATGACCATTTTATAGTAAGGAAAACAATGATCAGTCATCAACATTTGGGATATGCCATGATATGCCATATGTTCAGACATACCCACAATGGAACACACAAATTGACCATTTGAGCATGTTCCCATCCGCTTCATCGGGACGATTCCCAGTGACCAAAGGACACACCTTTGATAAAAAAAATGGTAAAGACTGGCTCAAATTGGTATAGCAAGTCAAAATTAGTCAAAATTGTAAGTGTTGATAACGTGTTGATCACAATCAAATTTATCCCAACGTGTTTTTCTTTAGTTTACCCCCTGTTTTGTGCCATGTGTATACTACCTGTTGTTACCATTCGTTACCTGGATTGTTTTGGGCTGGTTCGTTGGGGTGGCCATTACAACAACTGACCCGGTCACGAAAAAGAAGTGAAGCGCTGTGCCGCGTCGACCAGTGTAGGCTGCCACAGCCCGGGATGGTCATAGATGTGCTATACACTCAATGTTTTGGGTCAATCTTTGGTTGGATAATTATTTAATTATATATATATATTATAAATGAATATAATTATATTTAATATGTATATAATATGTATATAAAATGTATATATATATATGTAATATGTATATACATATATATATATATCTACAATTATGTTTAGACAGAATTGGTGTATTTTTTTGTTGTGCCTGAGATGCAATCATGCAATCATGAAGCAAACCAAAATGCAGGGTGTCTTCAGGATGGTCCCCGCAGTTATGTTTGAAGATGTTTAAAACCCCAATGAATACTATACTATAGTTATACATAGTTATACCATGTTCTACCTACCATCAACCCTAGTTTTCACCTAGTTCTATAGCTAAACGTCTTCGTTCGAACGATCGCTATCGTTCTAAGAAGTCCCACCCTGTAAGATTTGCGATGCTCCATGGTGCTGGAATATTTACCTACCTTTACCCCCAAAATAGCGAGAAAATGTCGGTAAATATTCCAACACCATGGAGCATATGGGTATATAATGGTATATGTACAATATATAGATGGCATATCCATAATATCTCAGTTAAGTTATGTTTGAAGTTTGAATGTGATATGATTATAACTTAACTAATCCCGTCCCCCTAGTGAACACCCATGAATCATGGTCCCAGTCATATGTGACTTCATCCCCTAAACCTTTGTTTACGGGGGGTTGTGTAAAGGCCGAACGGGGGAAGAGATTAGTTATACTTAGTTTCAAATTACAAGCCGTTACATCATAGAATCATATCCCCTTAACTGGGTCAACAAACTGCATGGTTATATAGTTCAATCCTGAATCATTTGTTGCTACAGGAATATCTACACGAACCAGCAAACAATTTACTTCTACCGGGTATCTAAGGTTGGCAAAGTTGAATATTTCCCGTAAAGTCATTAAATACAAGTTGTAAGTCACAAGTTATGAGATATTTATCCCTTAGCTGTATATATCCCACTCACCATTGTCAATGGATTGGTTTAGTTGGGAAAATATTCACCGGAAACCATCGAATTTCCCATGAAATATGGGATTTTCCTGTAAGGTGGTTCCCCCCAGTTATAAGTTTGTTTGCAAACCATAGTAAGTATAGTTATAAGTACCATAAACCATAGTGAAATTGGAGTTATTTGCACCAACTTAGCTAACGAACTGGGGCACCACCTTGTGTTAAAAATTCCCTTCCTTTTGGTGAAGCCGAAGTTACTTCCCCAGGCATCGCAAGCGGTCGGGCTCCTGGGCGAAGCATGAGACTTTGGAAAGTCGGATCTGTCACTTGACGATGGGATGACATAGGGCCAGGGGGGTTCAAAACGTAGACGTGGAAAGGCCATGGCTATGAAAGTATCAGTTATAACTTTATTGAAATGGGATTAGACATGTCATAGATTTAATAAATGGGCTGACTTGTTAGTACGTAATAAGTGGCATTTATTTCGGGCCAAATTTCTGTTTGACAAGACCGGCCTTACCGGCCGGAATCCTGGAATCAACATCCATAAATCCCAGCTATGACGACCGTTATGTACCGCTTGGGTACCAGATTTTGGACTGCCAGGGAAATATTGGGGAGACTTTACCCTCTGGTAAACATACAAAAAGCTATTGAAAATGGTGATTTATAGTGGATTTACCAATTGAAAATGGTGATTTCCCATAGTTATGTTAGTTTACCAGAGGGTAACCATATGAGTACTATAGTTGTACCTACCACAAACCATGGTTCAATGGACGTGGTTGAAGGTGTTTTGTCAATCATGTGGTTTAATGGACATATGACAGATATGGACATATAATGGCGATACTACCGAGTGGTTGTGGCACACTGATCATGGGATTCTGGGAAAACAGTATTAGATATATGGGCATATAATCATAAGGGGAAAATCATATTAATCAACGGGCTAATCATATGAATGAATGGGAATACAATAGAAATATACGGAAATATCATGGTGATACTACCTGGTGGCTAGGAAGGAGCGATCCGTAGCAGCATTTATATTGCTCAAATGGGGAGCCACGGAGTCACTGAGGGTTACTAGGTATATATGGTTCATAAAAAGAGATTTCAGCAAGGAGAACGGGATTACTAATGACATTTTAGTAGCTGAGGTATTTCTATGACTAAGAGCTAACATGACAAAGGTCTATGACAGATATGCCTATGATTAGTTCACTTTGTACTTGATTTGGGTAAAGGGACGGGTGAAACATTGCGTTCAAACAAACCCCCGGAACAATGATGGTTTGTCTAAGATGGTTAGTAGTGATTGATGGTGATTCATTTTGATTCATATGGACAAGCAATTCAGAATTGTTCATCAAATCATGTATCATACTTGATACTTGGGGATTTTGCAAGGCATTTGCCATGAGAGACATATTGTGGTTAAGATTATGGGGGTATAGTGGGAAAGTCGGAATGATTAAAGGGAATATAATGGAAATAGATTACAATATAATGGTGATAGAATATGGAATATGGGAATCATAGGTATGTAGTATTAACCTCTACCAATGTTTGACCTTGTTTAGAATTATCCCCGCATCACGTATTACGTATCTCCATTATTTCTGATTCACACAACCAGCTTCCACGGTTATCATTATACTAGATATAGTGGTCCCTGCATGGTTAGATACCGCCCTTGCGGTGAAAACACAATGTTAATCTATGTTGATCTTATTGATGGTCAGTCATACAATGTTCCCGTCATTTTACCATCATTATATCCCATCATGGATAGTTGCAGTTATGGCCCTTTACCAGTTATAAGTACTTATAACCCCATTTGTCACATGTATAATCCCATTTGTAACCAGTTATAACTTATAACTAATAACTAGCCATAACTGTGATGAGCGAGGTATCTTAACCAGTATTAGTTGACTAATGATTGGTCGCCGAACCGACTATTGACCAATAAGTGTGATTACCCACCGACCAATGATGGCTAGTAGTTAGTAATGATTAATTGGCCAGTGATCATTACGAAACCGACTAACTTAATGAACGTTACCGTACTGGATCCATGGAAATTGAACCAACATTACCAATAATCCATAGACAAATAAGAACCATTTAACTAGCCATTGCCAAGAATACTTACCAAAAACCAACTAATTAGTCATATGGGTATGGATCAATACCTATTAATACCATTTTTAGGGGGTTATTCACATCCATTTACTAGCTATTTTGATGTGAACTACAGGGGTACTATAGGTTTTGACACACTGCCATATAAATAACCATAGGTCGCGCTATCAACCCTTATCAACCTTTATCAGCCATTCTTAAACATAGATATCAATAGATAGATCGACAGCATTTGCCAAGTGGGACGATCCTCCGGAAATTTTGCTCAGAAGTCGTTGGACTATGGACTATACTGGATAAGCAATGGTCAAAGTGATGATTTAATGGTATTTGAATGGAATTTATAGTGATTTTATAGGATTTTTTTAGTGATTCAATGGGATATTAGTCGGATATACCCTCTGGTAAACAAACATAGCTATTGACAATGGCCATTTGTAGTGGGTTTTCCCATTACACATTGTGATTTTCCATAGTTTTTTGTATGTTTACCAGAGGGTAATGATATGGTACTCACCATTACCGACCATAGGAAAAACCATGGGGAACTCCTATATTTTTATCCAATCCAAAACCTGGTCAATGAACCATATTAACAATAGTCATACTATTGATATCATTGACCATACTTGATAACTAATGTACGACTTTTATTCTAGTATCCAGATACCATTCTTGAACATTATTAACCTCTACTAACCATAGATAACTTTTGTTTTGTTAACTAGTTGCTACGGTTCATGTACTAACTAATACTTAAACCGTTGACCATTTGTTAACCTATTGCTAACCTCTTATCCCTACATACATATTTTTTGCAAGCATTTACCATTATTGAACATTTATCACCATTCCTAACCATAGATGACTGTTATAGACATTTGGTAATAACCATAGATATTATTATATACCATCATTCAATGACAAACCATAGATAATAATATAATTGATGGTTACTCAAGTGTAATTGATATTTGGATAATGATAACTGATATTGATTATTTTTGTTTTGGCAAACCATAGATAATTATAATCATATAATCATTTTTATAACAATCAGTATAATGATAACCATTGATAATGATAGAATATTAACCAGTATCATTGCCATTTCAACTATAGACAATCATATAATTACCATCATAAACCATAGATAACTATTATGCATGGATATTATTCACCATTATTAGATATACTAACCATGATATCAATAATAATGATAATTAACCGTATATATAAATATACATATTTTATTGATTATAACAATTATTAACCACTGATAACTATTCTTCATGGATATGAGTATATAACCATTATAACCATTACTAACCATTATTATCTATTGTTAATTGGATATGGTTAACTAACCATTATTAACCAGTATTAACCATTGCTAACCATTATTAATTATAGACATTATTAACATTTTTTATTTACAAACCATTATTAACCTTTAACCATTATTTACCATTAACCATTATCAACCATTAACCATTGCTAACCATTAACCATTTCAAACCATCATTAGCCATTAACCATGTCTAACCATTATTAACCATTAACCATTATTAACCATTAACCATTACTAACCATCATTAACCATTAACCATTATTAACCATTAACCATTATTAACCATTAACCATTACTAACCATTACTAACCATTATTAGCCATTAACCATTATTAACCATTAACCTTTATTAACAATCAACCATTATTAGCCATTAACCATTACTAACCATTAACCATTACTAACCATTATTAGCCATTAACCATTATTAACCATTAACCTTTATTAACAATCAACCATTATTAACCATTAACCATTACTAACCATTAACCATTACTAACCATTATTAGCCATTCCTAACCATTATTAGCCATTACTAACCATTATTCACTATAGACATTATAAACCATTATATTAATCATTACTAGCCATTATTAACCATTAACCATTATTAACCATTAACCATTACTAACCATTAACCATTACTAACCATTATTAGCCATTACTAACCATTATTCACTATAGACATAATTAACCATTATATTAATCATTACTAACCATTATTAACCACTAACCATTACTAACCATTAACCATTACTAACCATTATTAGCCATTCCTAACCATTATTAGCCATTACTACCCATTATTCACTATAGACATTATAAACCATTATATTAATCATTAGTAGCCATTATTAACCATTAAACATTACTAACCATTAACCATTACTAACCATTAACCATTACTAACCATTATTAGCCATTACTAACCATTATTCACTATAGGCATAATTAACCATTATATTAATCATTACTAACCATTATTAACCACTAACCATTACTAACCATTAACCATTACTAACCATTATTAGCCGTTCCTAACCATTATTAGCCATTACTAACCATTATTCACTATAGACTTTTGTTTATCCATTATATTAATCATTACTAACCATTATTAACCATTAACCATTATTAACCATTAACCATTACTAACCATTAACCATTACTAACCATTAACCATTACTAACCATTATTAGCTATTACTAACCATTATTCACTATAGACTTTTGTTTATCCATTGTATTAATCATTACTAACCATTATTAACCATTAACCATTACTAACCATTAGCCATTACTAACCATTACTAACCATTACTAACCATTATTAGCCATTCCTAACCATTATTAGCCATTACTAACCATTATTAAACCAATACTAACCATTATTAACCATTACTAACCATTATTTACCATTACTAACCATTTTTGACAGCACCAACCATTATTAACCATTGACCATTATTTACCATTACTACCCATTTTTAACAGCACCAACCATTTTTAACAGCACCAACCATTATTAACCATTGACCATTATTTACCATTACTAACTATTTTTAACAGCACCAACCATTATTAACCATTACTAACCATTATTAACCATTATTAACTATAGATATGTTGTCAATTCACCAGCCTTTTTTTTTCTGAGGCACTGCCGTGCTGGCTCTGCCTGGCATCAAGTTGCGCTATCCGCAGATGGAGCGCCCCATCGTGTCGTTGAGGCCACGGACGATACGTCGCGAACGGTGGGATGTTTAGACAATGGGTACCTAATGGGTACTTTGGTTGGTACTTAATGAATCATGGACCTTAGACCATGGGGATGACCTGGTTGGTACTAGACTGGAACATGAATAACTTATGACTTTCCATTCAGTTGGGAATTTCATCATCCCAACTGACGTTCACTCCATGATTTTTCAGAGGGGCTGGTTCAACCACCAACCAGATATTAATATGATTTAATCATGGTTTATCCACTAGTCGTGCTGAACGATGGGATGACTAAGGATTAGCCTAATGAATCATGGCGATGCGAAAAATCCTTGAGAAATGCCGGGGTTTACTTGGACAATGATGTTTTTTTCATGGTGGAATTTCCGGAAGGTCAGTGAAGCCCTACAGTGAAGGTTCTTTACTAATTGTAAATGTTTATAAATGGGGTTACCATTCCATAAATAGACTTAGAACTGGCTTAAAACTGGTAAAGTACCATACTTGTAGTCATTCATGGGAGGATCATGGGAATTCGGGATATGATTGGAACATCATGGATTGACCACCAACAATAGTTTATGAGAATATTATTGGGGATAATTACTGATGGAAGAACAATGAGATATTAATATCTGGTTGGTGGTTTGGAACATGTTTTTTGTTTTTCCATATATTGGGAATTTCATAATCCCAACTGACTTTCGTATTTTTCAGAGGGGTTGAAACCACCAACCAGTAATGGGGACTAATTAGCTTTAGTACTGGTTAAGAACATGTTTTGGACATTTTCTTCAAAGTTGCTCGTATTACCAGCAGTATTGGTGGTGTTAACCTCAATATAAATGGTAAAATGCTTGAAAACTAAGACATACTTATAGTGGGACTCTCAGAAACAAACACATGGGCTTGGCCATAAACCTCCAAAAACGATGGTATATCGTTGAAAAAAGGGTTCAACCGTTTGACCGCCAAAAATGGAAACATCATTCAACCAGTCTGTGGTTTTATAGTATGAAGTATGAATGGCTCAACCGAATGGATGGGTATAATATACTTTGATGCAACTTTTTTTGCCATTTGATGGGTAGGATATCTGTGATTGGCCATGTTTCATCGCTTCTCAAGAAGGACGACTTTAAATTGCGCCAAATCAACGCATCGTGCAAACTCTTTGTGGAAACCATCCAACATGGTCTTGATTGCATCTGGTCTTGGCTCCATAATTATCTGGCTATGGATCAATACCTATGAACATACCATTTTTAGGGGGATGAACATCCATTTACCAGCTATTTTGATGTGAACTACAGGGGTACTATTGGTTTTGACACACTGCCATCTATTGATCTATATTGTAAATCATCATTGACGGTCGATGTGGCTAATTATCTCGAGTTTGTTTGGCTGAAGGTTGGTTCTATGACCATCAAAAACTGGCGTAACTTCCAAAATGTCCCAGTGATGATGTGCCTTTTCCAAGTGGTTTTCCTAGATTGTTTGATTGCCAGAATGTAATTCCAGCTACTGTATATCCCCAGTGTTGATGTGGTTCATTTTAAAGTCATGTAAAATAATTCAAAATCTAAATCTACAAGGTGGGTCCCCCCCCAGGTATACGTTGCTTTATCACCCCAATGAATACAGTACTGCACTTATTGTTAGGCTCCTTAAACTCTAGAGTGAACCTCCTGCTTGCATCCCGACAATCAGTTTCTGTGTGCAGTTGAGGTCAACTAAACGGAATTTCAAGCCCGATAAGTTGGTACAGGACCCCTTTTTTTAACCATGGTGAAGTATATAATTATATATATATTGTATATTGTATATATATATATATCCTCTGGTGAAATGACTAACAGTTCGCCATGGAAAGATCCACCATGCTATGAATAGAACGGTAAACCATCTATTTCTATGGACCATCTATACCATGGCTATGTTAAATAACCTCCTGCATGGCCAGGGTCAGCGAATGCCAGCGCTACATCTTCGTGGAGGCCGCGACGGAACTCATCGCCAGTTCCATGGTGGCCGCCAAAGGGTGCCTCGCCGAAGCGTTCGCGAAGCAGTTTGGGATAGGCCCAAAAATAGGGGAATGTGATGGTTAAGAAATAGCTGTTTAATGGTGATTTGTGGTTAATGCAGTACATGTTTACAGTAACCAATGACAAGCAATGATTTTTTTTTCATTTTACCAACCGAGATGGGGCGTTAAGGGCTCACTTCGCCAGAAACGGGATGATTTGGTGAAATAATCTAGGAACAACTGGAGTAAAAAAACTAAAACAAACGGGAATTCACCACTAAAATTCACTGAAATTGGATTTTTACATCTGGGAAAATTATAACGACCTCATTGCGACCTCCCTGGAATTCATGGTTAGTAAATGGAATCATCCCCACATGGCCTTAATTCAGGTTAGTGAACTATTATAATTTACCCAGAAACATCTGGGGAAAGAACTTACAGTAAAACACTGAAGAAATCCTTGGGACTTCACTCAAAAATCCCTCAATGGGGGAAACCGGTCCAACACAGATGGCTGTAAATTTTCTTGTGCCCATCCGGTGGAGATCAAACATCCCATCCGTGGCTGGCATCTTCCAGACAAACTTGCCCGGAGGCTACATCCCACAACATTCCCAAACAGTATATTCCCATATGATATTCTTGGCGTGATATACCTCAGGAATTTACCTCTTTTGGATCCATATGGGTGTACTCATGGGATATAGTAATAGTATATAATACATCCCACGATATGCTGATATCCTTCAGTAATTTACCATATGTATTTCATTAGGATTGGTCCAATCCATGGTAAATCATAGCCAATTTTATAGACGGGAAATTCGTCGTTTTTACCTCTTTTTTCTATTTGGGTGGTGCCCTTGCTCATGGATTCTCTATACATAAACGATGAAAAACGGCGGTTCCTAGCTAGGAAAATGATCCATGAATGATTCAATAAATGGAGGATGTTCCAGCCACGTTTGATCACTGGAGGCTATTTAACCACAACTCGTGGGGCTCCCAAACGTGATGGTATAAGATGGTTTAGATTCACCCCATGAATACTATAGTTATAGGTACCATAAACCATAGTTACTATAGTTATTGGAGTTATAAACGCATCAACTGAACGCAAATTCGTCGGAAAAAACGGGGGCCCCACGAGTTCCATGAATTTTCACGGCCATTCAGGTTGAGTTTGCCCGGTGGGCTGGAAGCCACCACTGGCTGGCCAGTGGGGAGCCTCGGGTGCCAGGATGGGAGGGAATCTTTGGGAATTTCTCATGCTTTGTCATGGTCTGAAGAAGAAAATACCTCCAGCCATCCATTGACTCCATTGAATTTTCTCATCTGGTTGGTGGTTTGGATATTTTTTTTCATATCTTGGGAATGGAATAGTAACCCCAACTGACGAACTCGCCAACCATCATTTTTCAGAGGGATAGGTCAAACACCAACCAGTCATGGGGACTAATTAGCTTTAGTACTGGTTACCCTCTGGTAAATTAACATAGACCCTGGCAGATAGGCAGATAGGGGTTGGAAGATGAGTTTCCATTAAAACTAGGCTATTTTCAGGGTCTATGTTAATTTACCAAAGGGTAATAATATTTTTTGGACATTTTCTTCAAAGTTACTCGAATTGGATCCATTGACTCCATGGTCATCCCACGGATTCTCCCAGCCGGCCTCATCTGATCACCTGGGGGGACGGAAAGCACCTCAAATTTCTGGGATGATCCATGGATTTGTGTAGTTTAATCCATGTTTAATCCATGTTTAATCCATGTTTAATCCATGTTAATCCTAAATCTATAGATTAATTGGGATGATCTTAGACATAAGATCATCCTTAGTAAATATCCTAAATCATCGTTTGCGGTTTCAATAGGATATCTACTAAGCAGCTAACTGTTTGATGCTTTTTGTTTCCAGGGTATCTAAGGTTGGCAATGTTCTTAAGCCATGTATGACCGGGGATATTCCATATACAACTAGAAGAAAACAACGAAACATGTATTGATCACAACTGCGAACTGGGATACACTCCCAAGTAGATAGGTAAGTTGGTGTGTAAGTCCAATAACTGTAGGATTCATGGTTATCTCTAGTTTGATGGGGTGAAACAGTTAAGCAACTTATGACAGGAAGGGGCCCTTCCTTCAGTATCCACAGATTAATATAGAAACGATATAGACAGCTAAATTGCTAAGCATTTCAGTTGGTTTATGATTGGATTTTGCTGTGGACGCAGGTGGCTGTCATCGATGCGGAGGAGCGAGCCCCGCCGCCCCTTGCGGAAGATGGCCGGGCTGAGAGCGGGCGCTGGAGGATGCTGGGGCAAAAATCGAAAATCAATACAGGATGACATTGGATGGGGCCCCATAGTTAGCTAAGTTGGTTTATAACTATATTAACCATAGTGTATGATACTTATAAGATCTTATAAGTATATCTGGATGGGGTTATAAACCAACTTATAACTGGAGGGCCCCATCCTGTAGACATATATAGGAATACAAATTGCTGGGTTATAGTGATATTTATGGCCGTTGAATCTATCTTTTTGGGAGTGACTAGAATGATGTTTTGATATTGGGATGGGTCAAAACCTATTATTGCCATATTTTGGGTGATGAACATCCATTTACCAACTATGTTTGTTGGTAAAATTCACCAGGTGCCGAGGTTTCGACCCATGGCCATTTAAGAATACATATTTATGGGTTATATTTATTATGGCTTAGCCTCTGGAAAGTTAACTTGTTGACCCTGAAAATGACCAGTTTTGAGTGGAAATGGATCTTCCAACCCTTATCTGGCAGGGTCTATGTTAATTTACTGGAAGGTATATGAAAAATTGGAAACCCACTAAAAGAAATGTTTTCTAAATCCGTGGTATGTATTAAAAACCCAATATAAGTATTTGGATATGGTGATTTTGTGGGATTGAATGGGGATATAATTAATTTCATGTTTTTTTTTTTATGGGACACACATATATATATATATACAAGCAACACTATTGTATTTTGGTTACCCTCTAGTGTCATCAAACATGGCAATGCTGTCATTGTTTGTGTCATTGGGTTTCTTTTTCAAATGTGTCATAGGTGAATATAGGTGGTATTGTCCTAAAGTGGAAACTGATTGATTAATGGAATATGATGGGACCTTCTGCTGGTTTCTTAACATGGGAACCTCTCAAAATCATCAAACAGTGTTGCCATGTTTGGAAAGGAAGTCCATGGTTTCGAGGGTCCCCAATGTGTTTTTGAAACAGCGATAAAGTTGTCACTGAAGTTGAGGGTTTGTACCCTCTGGTAATTTCACAAAACTATGCTGCAAAGGCCCTGTTTTAAAGACAGTAGCGCATCAAAATAAACGGGATATGATATCCATAGCAAACTGAAACAAATTACCAGAGGGATCCAGAGGGTATATACTAGGGTACACTCAAATTTAGATGAAGAAGTCTACTTGATGGAGTGACAATCACAGATTAGATCGATTCATCGTTCGTAAATGGATACAGTTATGGCCAGTTATTAGTTATAACTGGTTATAAATGGGATTATACATATTACAAATGGGATTATATTAGTACTTCTAACTGGTATAACTCGGGCCAAAGTCCTGGTTTGTATCACATACCTCAATATCCGCGGTCGTTCCAAGCTGCAGTCGTTTTGCGATTCAGCCAGAAAAGTCCCGGAGGTTTCTGTGAAGTCCTGGAGGGTTTCGCGTCATCCTCCATTTTTTATGACATCTGGGGAAATTATAACGACCTCACTGTTCTCCCTCACTGGAATCATGGTTAATAAGGGAAATCATCCCCATTCATGGCCTTAATTCAGTTCAGTGAATTCTTATAATTTACCCAGATGTTATGTTCCGTGTTTGTTGATCTACAGATGTTGGCTTTGTTGTTTTTGGATTGTTTCGAGATGGAGATACCCTGATGCTATCCCTATCTTAGTTCAACATGTTCCGTTAGAATCCCATCTCCCTAACCCAGATGCTCCATGGTGCTGGAATATTTACCAACATTTGCCCTAAAAATCACCCAGTTTTGTAGGTAAATATTCCAGCACCATGGAGCATATGGGTAATAATATTAAACACCCCCTAAACGAAACCACGTTTTTTTTTTTCGGGAATTTCCATGAATGGAAGGTGTGAAAAAAAAATTGGAGGATGGGATCAACTGAACCATCCAGCTGGGGGTAGTCCCATGAAACCCGTCGTGGAGGCAGCCTTTGCGACCCTTCTCAGGTGCAAAAAAAATCCTGGTGGATGACTGGTGGCTGTCACTTTCCATCTGAATATGTGGAAAATCAACACTACAATGTGGCCCCCCCCAGTGATGTTAGATGGTTTATAAACCCCATGAACTATAGTTATAGGTACCATAAACCAGTTCGTGACATTGGAGTTATAAACGCACCAACTGAACGCACATTCGTCAACGGGGGCAGTTTCCATAGCTTGAATGCTTCTTGGGATCGGTCAAGTGGGCACAGAGAAAAACGATCGGGCATTCATCAACGAAAATCGTGGGTAACTGTCTGAATATCTTGTGTATCCCTGATTCCAGGAAGGGTGATCATCATATTATAATCATATTCTCCCCATTAAAATTGCCTAACCTTTGGGGCTAAATCTCCCAATTTCAGACATTTTGATAACTGACAGTCGACTGTTGTCGCTGGTGGCTGAGTTTTGGTGAATCAATCAACTGGAAAGTTGTATCAATGACAGTTCGTACGCTTGGCACATCCTTGGTTCCAGATGCTCCATGTATGTAATATTTACCTACATTTACCCCCAAAATGGCCCAAATGCAGGTAAATATTCCATACATGGAGCATCTGGGTTGGTTCCAGAGAAACTAGGACGGAAAACGGACAACCATTCAGAATCAGATCAGATCCTGGTACTGATCTGGAACATGATGGAACATGTCCAGTGGAAAAAATCCCACAAAAACACCAACGGGTACATTTCTGCAACAGATCGCAACAGAGAGCAACGGGTAGCCGCAGCTTGCTGCTTCTGAATCAATCCATTGCCATATTACCCGGCCTGGTAAACTAACACAAAAAACGAACTGGAAAATCACCATTTTTCATGGGACAATTCACTATACATGGCCATTTTCAATAGCTTTTTGTATGTTTACCAGAGGGTAGACTACAAGAGTGTTATCCATGACTAGTGAAAAGATCCATCTGCACTATGGCTAAGCCGGGTTTTAATCATCAAAACATGGGCAGAGTCACAGAATGGATCTAATTAAGCACCACCAAAATTGATTATAGATCAACCACCAATTGTGTACCGTTTTGGGGCCCACATTAAGTACCACGACATTCTTGATTACCAGAGGCTAATTTCCAATGTTTACGGGTAAAATTCGAGTGTTAGCTGGTGCAATCAATTGCAATCTATTTTTTTCTTTGGTTACAATTCAGTGTGTCCTTGCTCAAATCACCAAAACTTTGACGCTTAAATTCCAAGTCTTTGCGATTGGTTTTGATATTGTATTTTCATAATCCTACAATGTGAGGCCCCCAAGATAGCTAAGTTGGTTTATAACTCCAATAACTATGGTTTATGGATGTTTATGGTACTTATAACGAACTAGTTGCTGAGGCTTTTGTTAACCAACGTTCCATCACTGGGGAGACCTCACTTTCTGTACGGTTTGTTTCGGTCAGATCCTTTGGATTCCTTTGGGAGGTCGGAGCATTGGTGCAAAAAGCCATCGTCTGCGAAGAAGACTTCGCGGAAAGGCGCGGAAGCTTTGCAGACCGGCGACAAGCGGCGAGGTTTGGCGATGCCTGGATGAGACAAAAGCCAAGGTTCAGAATGACTATTGGTTGATTATTAACCATAGTAAATCACCACTATGAAATTAGTATGGTTAATTGAGAATCACACTAAATGGTACTTGAACCATTGGTGACAATCATCGATTCAGCATCTCAAACCATTGGTTAATTGCTTGTTTTACAAGTTGAGATATGGTTAATCTTTAAATATCTTTAAGATGTGAAGGCGGTTAACTCATGTGAATCAACTTTACAAGGTGGGGGCCCGTGGTTTTTCATTTTTCGTAATGGTTACGACCAATATCTATGATGATCAACAGTATGCTTAGTAACATTTAGTAACTATAGTCAATGGTTAACTAACCATTACTAACCATTATTAACCAATTAATAGTAATGGTTAGATTCCCATTTGGCAGTGTGTCAAAACCAATAGTACCCCTTCTGTTCACATCAAAATAGCTGGGTTAAAATGGATGTTCATTCCCCTAAAAATGGTATTTTCATAGGTATTGACCCATAGCCATATTGAAAAATCCCAACCGTTATTAACCATTATTAACCATTAATAGTAATGTTTTAAGGGGATCAGAATGGGCATCTCACATCCGCTTATCCCCTCCAGGCTGGACTGCGAGATTTTCATGGGTGGAACCAACGGCCTTGAGGTGCCCACGAAGCCAGTGAAACTGGGGTGTTTCACCTGGAGCAACCAACCAACCAACGTGGGGCCCCACGTGGGGCCCCTAGCTGGTTGGGATTTTTCAATATGGCTATGGATCAATACCTATGAAAATACCATTTTTAGGGGAATGAACATCCATTTTAACCCAGCTATTTTGATGTGAACAGAAGGGGTACTATTGGTTTTGACACACTGCTATATGACTTAAGAATGAAAATTGCTGATTTAACATGATTTAACACCAGATATATAACCAACAACATGTTTGTTCTATGGTGATTAATTAAACCGATTCAATCGTAACCCGCAAAGAGATGCGTGTTCCAGTTTTTCCAGGATATTTGTTCGATGATGTTTCCAGCATCAGGTGTAATATCCAGGTTTCCATTTTTTTCTATTTGGGGTTGCTATACTCTGTACGAAGAACACTGGTGCCCATCATTGTTCCATGTAATGGCTATAGATACAGTCACTAAACACGTAGCCACTATTCTCAGTTTACATTACTTGCCATCAGCTCATATCAGAGTTCTATACGATGTGGGCCCCCCCAGTTATAAGATGGTTTATAAACCCAGTAACTATAGTTATAGGTACCATAAACCATAGTTACTGGAGTTATAAACCAACCTAGCTATCTAGGGGGCCCCACTTTGTGGATGTTTGAGACCAGATATTTTTCCATTTTGGTTGAGCAAAAACCTTGCACCCTTGGAGTGTAGCGATTCCATCGACACGTAAAAAAAGATCGAAGAACCACCGATAAAAACCCAAGATTGAAGCTGACCTGACTCAGCTTACAGGTAGAAGACCTCTGGAAAGCATTGACGGAGTTGCTGATGGCTGCCCGCAAGCACATATCTGGGGGATGGTTGCCTGATGAGTCAATGTGGATGTGTATGAAAATGAGGTAAACCACCATTGAGACAAGTCTAATAGTTGTTTTTTCACCGAAACCATCCTTTTGCCAGTTTTCATGAGGAATATATTTTTGTGACTGATGAGATATAGTTTCAGACACACAGCAGTTTAAACACAATTCTTGTGGCTAGGTGGGATTGGAGACAAGTCATGGAAATTTCTATCCAAGCCTTGAATATTTGTCACCAAATAGCCCTGGCGAGAAAGCAGCTGCGCAGCTACTTTTCTTCGAGCATTGGTCAACGTTGGTGCGCCTAGCACATCTTTTCGAAACCCATTCATTCAGAACTCAATTTCACGGAGCTTTCCTGAAAGTGATCAGTGTCAGTTTCCAGTTCATACCGGTGGCTTGCCATCCCAGCCGATGATTGCGATTGGAAAGAGGATCGCTGCAGAAAGGTTGACTTGCTACAAGACTGCCGCTGCCGTTCATATGGCAATGGTGCAATTCGACTTGCAGCACACAGTCGCCATGTGGAGTTTGACAACTCTGACATCAATTCCACTCAGGTACTGCGTTGGTGCATTGGACCCAATTGCCCCTGTGGTGGAGATAGGAAGAAAGCTTTGGTTGAGATGTGCAAGCTGTATAGCACTGTATAGCCAGTTGTTCTCGACTGGTTACCCAGTCCCCTTGACCTACCAATGGATACATGCTCACAGAGCGTTGCAGTTCTGCAAAGACACTTGGAACATTTGTCAGGCATGACTTGGTGTGCTGTTTCTTTGGAAAATGGGCTTGAAGCCTTCAGTTGCCATTCAGATAATAGGGTGATGTCCAGGGATGCCACTGACGTCATGGTCAAGAATTATGCTTACTGACTGGCTAGCTATATACGAAAAAGCTGGACCTTAACCATGGACCATTTGCTGATGTTGCTCCTCTACAGACATTAGCAGTGTAAATTCAACTATTCACTTTAGCATTACTACTCTCCGGATTCCGTAGGACTGATGAAAGAGCAGACCGAAAACCTTACTAATATTGAATACCGTCTGAATACTGATTGAGTGCTTCTCCAAATCTACTATATTTTTCTTGGGAAGACACAAGACAAAGTAGCTGCCTGAATCAAGAAGGCTGCCACATCATATACCATAGAATTGTATTATCCGATGGCTGCCAGCATTGCAAAACCAAGTGGGATTGATGTGTTTGAAGCGTTACATTGCTTTCAAAACTTCTATTGTCATTTAACGTACGTATGTTTGACTATGGCTATGTTTATGACTTAAACATGGCAAAATTATTAGGTTAAGGGCAGGTCACATCAACCTAAGAACCCTTAAGATGTACAGAGTAGAGTAGATCCGTGATTCTTCCAAATCTGATAACATGAGGCCATCATTTCGTTGTTTGGTTGGTTCGCACATGTCTTTTTGGGGACAAATGAGGGCCTGTTGGTGATATCATTGACGGCCCTAACATGGACCCAACCGGATATGTGGTCATAGTATTTATGTGATGATGATATGATATATAGTGATATACAATATTATATATATATATAAATCAATTTCTATTACAACTAGCAATGCAATATTATAGTGTTCTCCTCTGTTTATATTGCAGATTGTATGTACCTTTACTGCCTTTACTACCTTTACTGTATACTGCCACTGCACAATGACTATGAATGACTCTATGAGGTAATTTAAATGATACAAAACTATATATAACATATGACCATTGTGTGTATCCAACCGCAGCCCAAGTTTGGTCCATACCGTTACTCGGTTGTAGGGCCCTTTCAGCTTCCAAACCTGAAGGAAGTGCTATGTTTCATTACTGGAGGGACATGAACATGTTGCATTAGTTTTGCCCTGAGCGGATAGATTCGGTGCCAGAGGTGGTAATTAGCAGCGCCCAGTACTGATCCAATTTCAAAACCCCAAAGTGGATAGGTTGGTTTATAGCCCCATTAACTGTAGACACTTACAATAAATCGTAGTGATTGGAATGATATACCAAATTACCCATACCCGACGAACATGGGTTTTTCAATTGGTCTACAACCAAAAACATGGGGATATGGCCCACATTTGCCTCAACCAGTTGCACCTTTGCCACTCAGGATTTGCCATCGTATAAGAAGCAATTTCCAGATCTGTGGGAACCCCTGCCATCTTTCTATACGGGATATGAGGTTTAAAACGATGCGCGATTTTGGGCATATTTCTTCCTTATGTTCGGAGATGTGAATTAAAACAAAGATGCGAGTTTGACCTACCAAACATGGTGTTTCAAGCTGTAAAACTGTAGTCTTTATGGGATGTTGATCTGTGAAGGTTGAGATTTGATCGGCTTTGTCAAGAAACGAGATGAGACTAAAAAAAAATTGGGACTGTTGGGAACAAACATGCGGATGTTAAAGATAGGTCCGGATGTCCGCTAAGTCATCGGATTTTCCCACAAAAAATCCAAGGGATTTATTTTCACCTGCCAAAGTGTTGGATAAAATCAATTCCGAGGAGTGTTTCTCAAGATGCCTCCTAGCGGATTAGTTTGCACCGCGATCTTGTTGGAGTTGACTCATTTGACCACATCCCCGATTTACCCTCTGGCAATTTGTTACATAGCTATGGCCATAGAAATAGTGGATTTACCCATTGAAAATGGTGATTTTCCATAGCTTTTTGTATGATTACCGGAGGGTATCTGATGCCCTTTTCTGAAGATGTGGTACCGCCAAAAAATCAAACTGTACATCATCGCGGTCCCCATTGACATGACAAGAACTTGGGGCTAAATCCCCTTTGTATTTTGGGATCAGCAAATCTTATATCAAATGTATATGAATAGATTATCATCATTTTTTTTTCTGCATTTTTTTTTTTGGGATCCACCATTTTTGGAAGAGACATGAAGAAACCTACAAGCTGGTGCCCCCCCCAGTTATAAGTTGGTTAATAGACCATAGTAACTATAGAATACTATAGATATATCTAGCAGCTAGCATAAACCCTAGTAATGGGAATTATAAACTAATTTAGCTAACCATGACGCACCACCTTGTATCTTCACAGAAACTACCCCATCCGCACCTGCAGCCATCTCGGCTTCCGCTCCGTTGTCGGCGACGTGTTGCGACGTCTTTCTAGTCTTGGCGCTTGGCAATGGCGGCAGATACGCGAAATGCCATGAAGATCATGAAGTCCTGTATCTTGGAGCTGGAAAGCCTTTTTCCCCCAAATATCTTAGGGATTTGAGTTACAATGATCATGAGAGATGATGGGCAAGTGGGTGATTTCCACATTCATGAAATGAATATCAAGGGATCAATGCCATCTTCACCAGCTGAAAAGCGGAGTTAAGCTACAAAGAGTGGCATACTCCAGGAGCCATTTTGGGCATTGAAACAACAACTTTCTGGTAGAAAAAACCTGCCCGAGGTTGGGTATAAGATGGTATAAGTCTAGCAATGCAACATTGGCATCTAGATATCTAAATAGAAATATGCTGGATGGGGCCCCCTAGATATCTAAATTGGTTATTTATAACTAGGTTAAGTAATTGGTTAAGTATGGTTTGTGGTAGATATAACATCATATAACTATAGTTAGGGTTTATAAACCAACAAACATCACTGGAGGGGCACCATCCCTGTACTTATACTGGATTCATGCTTGCCAGGAGGACCAGCGAAGTGACAAACTGCCTAGGCAAAATCGAGATATTAAATCCATTATGGATTATGATCTTCCCCATTATATATATAATAATATATAGGGTAGTATATAATCCCGTATATTTATCAACCAATATGGGTTTTGAACATATTACATGTGCAGTGATTCCCATAAATGATATATTATTATATATTCCCTGATGATTTTCCTATTCCCATGGATGGTATCCCCACGATTGCGATGTCTCAGGTCAGAAATCGCGGAACTGGTCTCGAGCCCTCGACCTCTTCTATCGCCACGCTGGCGCAGAGGTTGAGCCCGCGGAGCGCGAACTCATCGTGTTGGGCAACATGGCCATCGGCGCGTGTCAAGGCCATTGGGAAGCGGCACTTCAGCTCTTTGGACGAAGTTGGGATCTCACAGTTTTTGCGGCGCTTTCCAGCTCCAATTGAAAGGCTTTGTGATAGATATATCAAACTAGCTATGGTTTGTAGTTTCGATCGTTTTTTTTGTTGGTAAAGCAATGTCATAAACCCATCCACATTTTGATGGTTGGTATCCCATCCATAAAAATGGTATATAATATTGGGGATGGTGTTCTATTGCTTTACGTTGCAATTCGTTGACCAACTCATATTTATGATTGCAGTTGGTATGAATAGTCAAATAACAATCGTATGCCATCATAAATACTGACCCCAAACATGTGGATTTGTGGCTGGTTGATAGACTCCGTCTTGAGCAGAACGCGAGTGATGAGCCTGATCCTGGGTTGCATAACAATTTGTTTACATATATATTTTCTACATATCATTTGAAGTCTACAAGAAGTGCAAAGGTGAGGCCATCCCAGTTGCGTTTGTTGGTTTATAATAAAAAATCCATCAACAATAGACACATCCTCTACAAACCACAATGAAACCAAGTCATTTGCGTCAACTTAGCGATTTCGTAAACCGGGGGGCCTCACCGAACGTAGAGAATCTAGTGGAGAAATCACCGCTGGCAATGGCCAACAAAACGTGATTGATGGTGGATGGGTAAATTATGACGACCTCACTGTTCTCCCGAAGCATGGAATCATGGTTTATTTATGGGAAATCATCCCCTTTTATGGCCGAACTATTCAGGTTAGTGAATTATTGTAATTTATTTACCAAGATAAATGATCATAACACAGGCAACTGTGATCAATCATGAGTATTTCATGATGATGCTTTCATAATTGACTATCAAATTCATTAAGACTGACCCAGGCTGCTGCACACCGGATGCCAGTGAAGACTGTACTTATTGTCATGCCGTGTGATCATTTACAGCGTTTCACTACTTATCATGGTCCCTGCTTATGACAATGACCAAAAAAAATGTACTATGCACCTTCTGACTTATGACCATGAAAATACAGTTTACTTCCTTCATTTGCTACACAATTTGCTACTTATGTCCTTGTTTTGGGTACTTATGGCAGCTAAAAGTCCGACCCAGTAAATCCCATTAGATTATCATGCAATCCAATTGAATCAGCATGAAAAGTCAGTTCAGTAATCGTTAAATCCCTTGCAATTCCATGATTTCCCATTAAACCACCATTAAATCCCATTAAGACAAAACGAAAACAATGTTTAAATCCCATTAAATCCCATTAAATCATTAAATCCCTAAAAAATCCCATTAAATCCCATTAAATCATCATTAAATCATCATTAAATCATCATTAAATCCCATGAATCCTGCATTGAACAGCCCAGGTTATTCCACTCCCTGGGCCTCGATGCCGACCACTTCAGCTTTGGCGCCACCCTGCAAGCCGTGGGACGCTCGTGGCGGAGTTCATTAGCGCTGCTGGCAGAAATGCAACGGAGGACCATGGAGAGGATGCTTGGAAGATCGAAGGAACTTACCCTCTGGTAATGACTAACATAGTAACATAGCTGTTGAAAATGTGTCATTTATAGTTGATTTACCATTTTTTTTTGCATGGTGAATCTTTCCATAGTTTTTTGTAAACGTTTACCAGAGGGTAGTGAACCAAGTGAACCAAGTGGATGACTTTCACCATAAAATTGCGGATTTTTCCGGCCTTCAATTGCGGATTTAGGAAGAATCAAGTTTGGGGTGGTTCTTTATGTGTTTACTTCATTTCATGAGGGTGTTTTTTCTGCAATGTTTAATGTTTATGATATTTGTTTGTAAGCAGTGTGTTTGTTCGCCCAATTTGTTGGGGAGATTTTTGGTTGACAAATGTTTGAAGTTTGTAATGTACATACATAGTTTGTATCGTTTTTGCTTGGAAGTAAACTGTTATGTATAATGTTCGATTATATGTATATATATATTATTATATCAGTCATGATTGAGTGTATACAGTATATACCCGGTTGCTAACAGTTTGCTGGATTAGATGTGGAAGACATTTTTAGTAAATGGGCTGCTGCCTATGACATCTATGACACAGTTGGAACATGAAAGTGATGAAGTAGCTATCCCAGATATGAATTGGTACACTGTGGGTCCCCCTAGTTATAAGATGGTTTTTAAACCTCATTAACTATATTTATAAGTATCATGAATCATAAACCATAGTTATTGGAGTTATAAACCAACTTAGCTATCTAGGAGGCCCCATGTAACCCCCACCATATTCTCAACACTATGACCAGAAACATCCAGGGAAAACAATTGAGAACCACCATGTAGAGTTAACTTGATCACCACTATGGAGGTTTCCGAAGTCATGGCGGTACCCCGCAAATCATCCATTCCAATAGGATGTTCCATATGAAACCATTCATTTTAGGGTACCTCCATTTGTGGAAACCCCCATATAAGATGATCCCTATTCAGTTCATGGCTTTCAAAACCAACAAACCTCATTGCGGGGGCCTCAACTGCTACAAAGTTGACCATGAATTTCAACTTGAAGGATCACAGTCCCCAATAGTCCCGTGGTTTCACATGTTTCCCCTGGATGTGAGGAGCGTGATTTGTCACAACTCAGCCATGTCAGCTTGCGGCAAAGCACAGCAATGGCAGCTCGCGCTGCAGCTCTTTGCGGATTTGGGCGGTGAAGCAACTGCAGTGTCGCTGAACACGGCCATCAACGCATGCAAATCGAGTAGTTTCTTGGTGTGTTGCAATGTGGTGCCCCCTAGTTATAAATGGATTTATAAACCCTATTAATTATAGTTATAAGTACCATAAACCATAGTTATTGGAGTTATAAACCAACTTAACTATATATCTAGGGGGCACCACTTTGTCAGGGTATAGGAAGATTTCAAGATGGACTGCTGCTGGTGAAGTTCAGGTGAGGAGTGCATGATTGTATGTAATAGCCAGTTGCAAGCATCTTTAGATATACTGTCTGGCCCACTGTAACCATGGATTTTCTTTGCCTACACTGAGTGTATCCTCACAGCAATATTCCCATATCCATGATACCCACTGCTTCGCTGTGTACGGGTTGCCCTGGCAGTCATTCTATCCCTAGGCCCATTGCCACAATCGATCTGGATCTGATTCCATTTCTGTCCTGTCTCACAGGGGCCTAGATTCAGGGAGATCAGAATTGTGATTTGCATCGCTACTTGTGATTGGGATAGCCTTTCGAACAAATTCAAGGTGTTTGCTACCACTCATATTCGTCCTGTTTACATAACAGGCTACTCGAAGACAACAAATCACAATTTCAGTGCAATTGACGTTTTATCATCCCAAAATTACATGAAATTACCGTTTTAAGTGGAACAAATGACTGTAAGAAAGTCAAAAAAATCTTTCAGAGTCCTATCCCGTCCTTTGTTTTGGTGATTTTTTCCTCCATTGATCCCAGTAAAGATGAGAGAAGTAGCTAAGTAGTTACAAGTAGACCTCAGATTTGGGGAGGATTTTCCATGCGAATTTTCCATGCGATTCCCATGACTCATTGGAATGTCCCATCGATGTTTGCATTGGAAAGTTCCGGCTTGGCCACAAAATCTCATGTTCCCATATGGGTATGGATCAATACCTATAGATACATTTTTAGTGGGATGAACATCCATTTACCAGCTATTTTGATGTTCACCAGGGGTACAAGGTTTTGACCCATCCCCATATCATCCATTATGGATTTTCCCAATGGATATCCACTTTTTAGTTAGTTCCCATTGGAAAATCCATGGATCACAGATTATGGTGATTTAGTTTATACCTGGTTGGTGGTGACTGGAATGTTGGAACCATGGAATTTTGAATGACTTTCCATGAAAAGTTGGGAATTTCATGATCCCAAGTGACTTTAACTCCATGATTTTTCAGAGGGGTAGGTCAACCACCAACCAGCAAATGATGATGATTTAAATGGTGATTCTCACCATTTCTCTGACAAAAAACAGACGTTGATTTCAATGAGGTTTGTCTCAACCTTCAGATTTTGGGGTAGCCCAAATTTGTCCAAAGTCACATCTTGACCTGGCCTCGTATCATTGCAGTTCATATAGATGTCCATGATTTTTCTCCAGTCATTTTTCTCATGATATTCCCATTCATTCTCCATTTTCCAAATGGCTTTCCCATGATTTCCTGGAAAATCATGGATAAAATCATGGATAAAATATGCCCATCACTTTCAAATTGTTTCTCCATTCATTTCCCCATTATTTTCCTTACAAAGTGGGGCCCCCTAGATAGCTAAGTTGGTTTATAATGGTTTATAACTCCAATAACTATGGTTTATGGTACCTATAACTATAGTTAATGGGGTTTATAAACCAACTTCTAACTGGGGGGCCCCACTTTGTAGGTTTTTCCAATATTTTCCCATCACAGACTGCCGAGGGACCTCGTGGCCCTTCGCCTTGACCCTCCTTGACGACGCCAACGCCGACGTGGTCTCCTTCAACGCGGCGCTGGCCGTGGCCGGGGTCGCTGCGTGGTGGCAGGCGATGTGCCACTGGAGTCAGAAAAGTGGGGGAAAACCATGGGAAAACCCATGGGAAAACCATGGAAAGATGAGGATCTTAGTGCCTTGTTGCTGTACGTTCCATGCGTTTTGGCAGTATGTTCCATGACGTGCGCTTTGGGACCTCATTGAGGATAAACCATGTGACTTCACGGATTTGTTGGTGATATACTTGGTACTTCATATATTTGTTTGTGATATCCATGTTATTTTGCAGCAATCGTATACCGTATACATATTCATAGATTGTGTAAAACTCAAGAACATCAAATGATGTTTTACAAGAGTCCATTCATTTTATATTGTAATTTCCTATACACTGCACATTCCATTCATCTTTCTGCGAAGACTCGGCCAACAGGTGCTTGGGCTGTTGGAGATGATGAATGTCAGAGGCGGGGGATGGTTTTGATCAGCCCCAGAAGGTCCTAGACTAGAACCTTGAAAAAGATGCAGAAAAAGCTTCATTGATGTTCAATGTACCACCTTTTTAATCGGATTGACTATCTGTTCTATGTTAAAGTACTACTATTATGGTAATAATTATGGTATAACTATGTTAAAGTACTACTATTGTTTTAATAAGCAAGCTTTGACTTTTCTCTTTTTTGGTGGTTACTATATTTCAGAAAGATAGTTAAAAAAAAACATATCTATGGTTAGGAGCGATTCTGAGCTCTGGTCGCATCCATGTATTCTCTATCAAGAAAGGGGAGCCAAGGAGCTACTAAGGCTTTTCCAACCAAATGAAAGGACAAAACTGTTCATTGGGAGAGGTTTTTTGTTTACACAAAATATGGGTCATGGGGATACGGGAAGATTTGGATATCTTGGATATCTTGGATTGGAGGGTTTATGGATCAATTTTTGAGAATCGGTCTAACTTAAAGGCCATACCCGCTGTTAAACATACAAAAAACATCAAACAACTTTTGGTAAATCACCATTTTCAATGGCTAAATCAACGATTTCGAAGTCACCATTTTCAATAGCAAAACGGCAAGTTACTTTACCAGCTCGGCTCATCCTGAATTTTTCGGTGACCCCAATGACTTGATGATGAAAAATCGAAAAAGTTCCGCCCAATTTAGGCACCCCATTTGTAACATGTTTTTTATCCCATACAGTTATGGCCATTTATTAGTTATAACTGGTTATAAGTGGGATTATATATGTTATAAATGGGGTTTTCTTAGTACTTATAACTGGTAGAACTCGGGCCATAACTGTAGGCAATCACCAGTTATAACTAATAAATAGCCATGGCCATTTCACTGTAGTTGATCCGGGAGAGGCTTAGCTTTTCCAGTTCTGAGATGATCGCAGGAGGCCCACGTGGTATACCAGTTGATCCCATGGCGCAGCCCTGCCAGGAATCAAGGCAGATGTCATTACCTACGCGACCGCCATCAGCGCATTGCGCGGACTGGATCTATGGGAACAGGTGCTTTGATGAGTTGATATGTTGTTTTTTTCGTTTTAGTGTGGAGGAGTTGGGAGATACTGGCAAATTGTTGCTGGTTACGTGCATGTGTTGTTGCATGATTTTGCATGAGCAAAACTGTGATTGTGATCCTACTTGGCAACTTACCCAACTCTTTCTGGTTGACACCAGCAACCAGAAATCGCGAATCGCACCAGGCGCTCGCGTTGTTACAAGCAGCAGGTGATGAAGTGGATGCGACTCGGGGTGAAGCAATGAAGTCATGGGCCCCTCTATGAGTTGGTTCCTGGATTTTCCACATGGGATTCACCAAATGACCATCTATAGTGATAGTTATAGTTGGTATGGTTACCTATCATATTATAGATGACCATAGTAGATGGTCATTTATATTTATAGTTTTTTTTTAAAATACAATCCAGATGGCCATATATATAATATATGATATGAACTTGCCATGAATTTGCAAATCATTTGAACTCATGGCCATGAATTTACAATACTAATAACTATATAGTTGTTTTTCTATACATAAGCAAACCATTCTTCCTCTTTTCGGAGCCTCACTTGCAACAATCCTCAATTTGGCTTGGGCCATGAGTTTGGACGAAGATATACTTTCTGTGAGACTGACACGCCAAGGCAAAGAACTGAAAAGCCTCATTTTTTTGGACCATCCTTTGCAAAAGCCAGATTTGGCATGCCAATGTCGGATCACCAGAGGGTAGTTGAGAGGGTAGTCCCCTTATTTGATCTGAATGTTGTAAATGTGCAAAGCTTGGTTTGGTAGAGGTGAATTGCTGGATAATTTCAGCCATCAATAAAGGACAATTTCGTCAATGTCCTGTCATTCGAATGGACTGGATTTCGTAGATCATAGGGTATCTACAGTTATGGCCCGAAATACCAGTTATAAGTACTAAGAAACCCCCATTTATAACATGTATAATCCCACTTATAACCAGTTACTGTATAACTAATAAATGGCCATAACTGTAGTCTAAGGTTGTGGCCATATCGTTGTTAGTGAACCTAAAGTTACGAGCTGCCCCAAATTGGGGCCATTGTCCCTATCGCCCATCAGTTGCAAGGCTTAGGGATGCTATGATTCACTAAAAAAATCACTTGGGATGGGTCAAAACCTGCTACCATATGACTGGGGGAATAACCATCCAGTAACCAGATATGACTTAGGGTACCTACCGGACCTGGGTACCAGGCTTTTGACACACCAAATCATCCATTTTAATAGGATGTTCCATTTAAAGCAGCTATTTTGATCCATTTTGGGGATCCGCCATTTAAGGAAACCCCCAAATCTTCAGTGATATTCCCAAACTAATATGGGCTGTGAACAGATTATAGATCAATATGGAATTGATCATTCCAAATATTTCCAAATATTTCCAAATCATTATATATCAATTTGGATGAATATTCCAAATATCATTCACAATCTGATTATTAGTTGCCCATGGATTGATATTGGACACGGCCCATCCATGTCAAGGCCTTCACCTACAGCGCCGCCATCAGCGCCAGCGCTTCGCATTGGCCCCTGGCGCTGCAGCTGCTGCGCACGGCGCAAGACCAGCGTCATGGCACGGTGGCGGTGCACAACGCGGTGCCTTGGAATTTTGGGGCTGATTTGGAGACATCTTCAGTTTTTGTTTAAGTGTTTTTTGGGTTAAACGACTTAAAGGTTCAAGAGAGTAGATATATATATATATATATTATAATAATATATATATATATTTATTATATATATATATATATGTATATAATATATATATATATATACATATATATATATATACATACAGTATGTATTTATGGCTTATCTATAGTACATATGAACACTGTGGATGGCTCCAGGTGATTTGTGAATCATTTCTCGTTGGCAAACGGGGGCATTATTGGACCCACAGGGCAGATTTGATCTTCATCAGCAGGAACAAAGGATATATGTGATTTTTCCCATACTCTTAATATGTTCACACGAGTTCACATGTTTCCCCGTTCCCCCAACTGTTTCCATGGTTGTTCCATATGTTTTCCATAGTTTTCCCATATGTGTTTCAAATTTCATCATTTAAGTCCATATATTTCCATACATGTTCCCTGATGTTTTTCCATGGCTTTTCCCTATATTTCCGTAGTTTTCCCCAGCCCTCCTAGGCCATGAACATTTTGCGGCAAGCGCATCAGTGGGCCTTGGCTCTGGCCCTCTTCGCCTTCGGCCCGGGCCAGGGCGGCCAGAGCGGCCAGGGCGGTGTGCAGCGCAAGCCGCATCCCAACGAGGTGCCAATGGAGTACCCTCTGGTAATTTAACATAGCTATTGAAAATGGCATTTTTTAATGGGAAAATCCACTATTTCCATGGCCATTTTCAATAGCTATGTTAAATTACCAGAGAGTAATATGGGTAAAACCATGTCATAAACATTCATAAACCAGCCCATCAATTCCCATCAATGGGACTATGCATTCTATAAATGGGGTGACTTGTTAGTACTTATAGCTGGTATAACTCGGGCCAGAACTGTATAGTTAATGTTGGTAAAACAATGTCATAAACCACCCATTTGAGAATGGTTTATAGCACCTATAAAAATGGTTACGACTGGGGGATGGTTTATTATTGTGTTACCCACATTAGTTTTTTTTTTTGTAACTTCGTGGATGATATAGTGGGGATAATCAACATCTATATGGAAGATTATGGACGTATACTGAGGACATTTAATGGATCTATGATAAAATTATTTCTGGCTGAAAATAAGCCCCCAAAATTTGATATCAACATTTTCCCCAAGCATTTGGGTGGTATAACCCATGTTCAGACATAGATGTTCTTCCACGAGCATGATGATCGCAATTGACTTAGAAACAAAAAAAAATATGGGAGGTTCAAACACCAACCAGAGATTCAATGGCTAGTTTATGATGATTAACGTGAAACCAATACAAGAAGTGGGACCACTTATATTCAAGTTGGTTTAGTTATACTGTAGGTAAATCACAAATCCGGAAGTTTTTGGAGTTAAAAGACCAACCTAAGTTGCTGGCGATCCCGCATTCTAGAGCACCAGCACACACTGGAATTTGACGTGTGGTGAATGGTGATTTACCAGCCAAATGTGGCAGATTTTGGTTTTTAAGCCTCAAAAACTACCATTTGAATCTGCAAACATGATCAAACATGGGTAAAAGTGCGATGAAGCATCCAATCAGCGAGCCTTGATGTGTGCCCCAACCCCCGGGTACTTGAGTACCTCAACAGGAAGAGATTTTGCAACCAACAGAATTGAGAACATAACCATGAAAACTGAGGATCTGATCAGTATTGACGATGGATCAATACCAACCAACGAACATGAATGTCAACAAAGAGTTTTCACTTTACCTCCCAACATCTTACACAATCCCGTCACCCCTTTTTTTCTTTTGTATCTACTTAATGACTACAAAGTGGAGCCCCCAAACGATAGCTAAGTTGGTGCAAATAACTCCAATAACTATGGTTTATGGTATTTATAACTATAGTTTTCATGGGGTTTATAAACCAATTTATAACGTTTGGGGGCACCACATTGTACCAATTCATATCTGGGATAGCTACTTCCATAATATATGGGATGTCATCCTTCCCATTGACTTTCATATTTTTAAAGATGGTTAAAACATGTTAAAACCACCAACCAGTAATTATCATTAACCACTATTAACAGTATATTAACCCTATATTAACCATATATTAACCATTATTAACAGTATATTAACCATATATTCAACTTCAGTAGCTCGCCAGGTCTCCTTCGGCACGGCCATCGCCTGCGCCGGCGAGATGAAGCACTGGCCGCTGAGTTTGACCCTGCTGGAGGAGTCCATCCGCTGCTCGGCGCGGCAGCGCAGCGGCAGGTCATGGTAGAGTGACGTTTCAAGGGTCAACGGCACGACAGTTTGCATAGTGATTTTATAGTGATTTTATAGTGATTTTATAGTGATTCAATGGGATTTATCAAGATTTAACGGGACTTTATACGGGATATGAATGGGATATGAATGGGATACCTTCTGGGAATTTGTTACATAGCTATTGAACATGGCACCTTTAGTTCGTTGATGTACCGAACTTCAAGATGGTGATTTGCCATAGCTATGTTAGTGGATCCATAGGGTAATATTGACTATGGGTATAACTTAATGGGATTTTAAGGGGAACCATGATGAAACATGATATCATATCATATCGGTGAAAACTCAAATAATATGATTTTGGATTTGGTGAAACCATAAACTTCATTATGGAAAGACTTTTGGTGAAGTCAATTGGGTGTTTATAGCAAGCCCGAAAAAGATAGATAAAGTATGAAGCAGTTTTTTCAAGATAGATAAAGTATACCATATTGGTTTTTATCTATAGATACTATCTATATTTTGATAGACTTCACCACTATTCTAGTGTTTTTTTTTTTTTACTTTTCGATCTTGTTTCGGGGGCACTCTATCGGCACGAATCCTCTAGATTCACAGCATGGAGCCAATGAGCTAAGTTTGGGAATAGAGTTTCACCTATATGATGTGGTGCCCCCAGTGACGTTATGTTTATTGATGTTATAAGTACCATAAACATCCATAAACCACAGTATCATAACTCCATAACTCCCCAAACGTTATTTTTATTGGTTTATGAACCCCATGAAAACTATAGTTATTTGCGTACCATAAACCACAGTGAAATTGGAGTTTTTTGCACCAACTTAACTATCGTTCGGGGGCACCACTTTGTACCAACTTAACTATATGGTGAACATTTTAGTATAGTTTAACTATTAGTCGATATTCATCATTGCACCATTGTAAATCCTCATGTTTCATGGGGCTAGTTTTGGCCATTAGTTATAAATGGCTATAACTGGTTATGTCAATGGGATTATACATTTTATAGATGGGGTGACTTAGATGTGACTTGGTACAAAGCGGTGCCCCCGAACGATAGTTAAGTTGGTTTATAACTCCAATAACTATGGTCTATAATATGATACTTATAACTATAGTTGTCATGGGGTTTATAAACCAATTTATAACTAGGGGGCACCACATTGTACCAATTCATATCTGGGATAGTTACTTCCATATTATATGGGATAATCCCTCCCATTGACTGATATTGTTAAAGATGGTTAAAACCACCAACCAGTTCAGGTTGGTGAGTTATTCTGAATTTTCCCAGATATATACACATATGCAGATGGGTGTCAAAGCCTATTATATTTATTATTACCATGTTTGGGAGAATAATCATCCATTCAGCAGCTATAACTGGTATTTTGGGCCATAACTGAAACGCCTTCCACGGTCCGCAGGTCTGTCGCTGCGCACCCCGCAGCTCCTCGGTCTCGCCGTCACCGCCCTCCTTTCAGCGACACCTCCGCAGTGGCCGAGGGCCCTGGCGTTGGCGTTGGCGCAGAAAGCTGATGTGGCCTCTTGGAGCAGTCCTGGTTCAACCTGGATGGGTATTATAGGGATATAATAATACATATATTATATACATATAATATATATATATATTATATATATATTATATATATACACTTTATTTTTTCTTGGGATGTTCTGTTTGGGTGATTATATGGATATAATATATTATATGAGTAACCCACAAAATTATTGTAATTAATACTAATTTAGTCTTGCTTCGCCTTGGCCTTGCCGAGGTTGCACAAAACCTTCAACCGGTAGGGGACGACCCTGTACCGATACCCCATTTGTGATACCTCCGGGAATACCAGAAGCCTCACAACCGATAGGGGGCGACCCTAATTGTGCATGGCATTAAATTGTACATATTGTTTCCGCTACTCATATATGTATATATATGTATATATATATATGTGTATATATATATATACATATATGTATATATATATATATATCATATATGTATATGTATATATATATGTATGTATGTATGTATGTATGTATGTATGTATGTATGTATGTATGTATGTATGTATGTATGTATGTATGTATGTATGTATGTATGTATGTATGTATGTATGTATGTATGTATGTATGTATGTATGTATGTATGTATGTATGTATGTATGTATGTATGTATGTATGTATGTATGTATGTATGTATGTATGTATGTATGTATGTATGTATGTATGTATGTATGTATGTAATGTATGTATGTAATGTATGTATGTATGTATGTATGTATGTATGTATGTATGTATGATGTGTATGTTATATTATATTATATTATATTATATCATATTTTATTATATCATATTATATTATATAATCTTATATAATATTATATTATATTACATTATAGTATATTATATTATATTTTATTGTATTATATTATATTATAACATATTATATCATATTAAATTATAATTATAGATATTGTATTATATATATTATATTATATATACATTACCATTTTTCGGGGGGATGTTCAGTTAGTCAATGGATTTTTATTAGGATTGGGATTCTCACTTGGTTTTTTATTAGACTTAAAAAGCAGGATGATAGTTTTAATAGGAAAACCATAGGAAAATGTTGATCAATCACCAAGAAACATGGGGATTTCATGCGATTCATAGCTGTTTAACGGGATTCATAGCCATTAGTTAGCCATCAACGTTCGGTGATGCCCCAGTGAGCCAGTCATCGCTAAGTTGGGCCACATAACTCCAATTTGACAATTGGGTTTATGGTAGAACTAGTTACTATGGTTTATAAGCCAACACACATTTTGCTGGGGGGGCACATAGGGCCCACATGAAGATTGTGAAAAAGGACAAATTGAGGTCCCCCAGTTTTGTTTGTTGGTTTATAAATTCCATTATAGTTATATCCCTTCACCTTGTAGTCATTCGGCACCAGGTTTTGTTACTGAGAAATGGCCAAGGCTCTGCAAGTTTTTGAATTCAAACACGAATTTCGCCCAAACTCTTGACCAGTGGACATGAAATGTATCTCATGGGTATATGTTTTGGTACATTGTGGAACTATTCTGAAAATGCGGTACAGTTATGCCATGATCTATTCCCATGATTTTTGCAAATCATCATGTTCCCCTTGAATTTCCATGTGGGATTCAAATATATATATATATAATTATATATATGTATAGATATAGAATGATATAGACCTGCTTTCCAGACGTACATTTTTTTTGTATGGTCAGAGATGGTCGGTTTATATGTCGCTTTCTGTCGGTTAAGACTTAAGTCGCCGGAGTCGCATAAAATTGGAGGTACCGATTCCATTTTTTTAAGGCCTATGTTTTAATGGCCAAAAAGTAAGGGAAGATCCCCAGAAAATATGGCCCAAAATATGATATGGTACAGTACCTCCATTTTGGGATCCTGAAATTTCCACCAGGGTGGCAATTTGCATCAATATTACTATGGGAAATCACCATGCGATGTTCATAGAGAAATCAACTATTGCTTCAATAGCGAACTGTAACAAATTACCAGAGGGTACAACTTATTACATCAATTTACGATTCATGCGAGGATCCTACAATGTGGCCCCCCCCAGTTATAAGATGGTTTTTACACCTCATTAACTATAATTATAAGTATCATGAATCATAAACCATAGTTATAGGAGTGTAAACCAACTTAACTATCGTTCGGGGGCACCACTTTGTACGATGTTTCGTTCAGCATGGTGTGCATGCCATGGTCCGCAAGTCTTGCGATGGTTCACATTCCGACTTCACTGAGATGGTCCGACTTCAGGGTTTTCTCAACAGCGAAGGGCTACAGGGTGGGGCCCCCTAGTTATAAGTTGGTTTATAAACCCCATTAACTATAGGTATAGGTACCATAAACCATAGTTATTGGAATTATAAACCAACTTAGCTATCTAGGGGGCCCCACTTTGTAGCTTTTAGACCTTGTTGATATTTTGGCAAACAGTTGGCTGAACTATGATGGATGTATGATGGTTAATTAATATGAATTATGTAATCTTATGTGGTTTTTCTGAGTATGTGACGTATATTTAGCTAAAACATATCATTGAGATGTTTCAGGTCAACAATACATACTCGTATATAATGGGTGCAGGAATCGAATGCAAACAAAAGGAACACGACAACATATTTTTTGTTAAAATATCTTTAACAGTCAAACATGAGGAGAGATTAATGACACAAGATATGATTTGAAAGATCGTGATGTTGGGAATTTAACCATCAATTGTGTTGATATTTATCAACATGAACTGTCGATATATGCGGGATGTTGCCCTTCATCCAGCCAAGAGAGACCCTACCAATTATGAAGGTTGGAACACGTTTTTTTTTCCCAAACATGGGCGATCCTCAAGGGTTTTAAGCCATCTGGGTTGGTTCTTTTGCATCATCCAGATGGCATGTTTGGAGATGATTTTTGACTCTGAGATTGCCTTCAACTCCATCATTTCAGCTTGCGCTGCTGCTAGTCGCTGGCAAGAAGCTTTGGACATCTTCGGCTTTTTGGAGACCTCAGGAGCATGTGTCCAAGCTAGCCTCCAGCATACCAAAAACTATGGCAAAACCACCATTGATATCCATATAGAGATGATTTTCAATGGAAAGCTATGGATTTCTATGGCTATCTTACTTTACTGGAGTTCCTCCCCAGTGACCTTAAAGATTGATTTTCATCCATATATTTATAGCAAGTCCCCAAAAATGGAACAGTTCGAAACCTTGAAATGATATGAAATGATTGGGAAGCGCATCATCTATACCCATTGGGGGGTACCCTCCTGTGAAGCATCGCCTTGTGGCGCCCAAAGTGATAAGTTACCTATGAAAATTATACGTATATCATGTATCCCCCATCCATAGTTAACATTAGTTAACCAAGTCAGAAGTCAATTTCGCTATCATAAATCAGCTATGAATTCCATGAAATTCCTATGTTTCTTGGTTAAGTAAGCATTAAAACCTACGGTTTTGATTCCCACCTGTCACTTACGTGAAATGTGCAGGAAGAGCTGATGAAATTTCCTACAGCTCTGCCATGAAGGCCTGTGAAGAGGGACAGTTTTGGGAGCTAGCGCTACATTTCCTGGACGTCTTGGAAGAGAGGAGATGCCATGGGTTCGCGGCGGTGTGCTGAGTGGGTGATGTGAAAACTTTTCGGGCCGAAAATCCACTATCAAATGGGTAATCGATTTTTGGGGATTCTTTTTTTGTTGATTCCAATGGTATAATTGGTTTAAACCACTATAAAGTTGGGAATCCAAGTTGTGCTAAGTTGGTTTATAACCCATTTGGTGGTGACTTCGCGCCGATACCATTGGATCCAAGGAACTACCACGAGTTTCCCAAGTGGTGTTTAACATGAAAACCAAGGTATAAAAAAAAACTCTTGGTTATGTTTTTTGCGCAAAAAAACATCATTTAAAAATCATTTAAAAATCATATAAAAATCATATAAAAATCATTTAAAGTACTGTATAAGATTTTAATTAATATTGGTCCCTCAGAGTAAGTGGGTTTACAAAATCGACCACCACTTTGGTGGTCTTTTCTCACTGCCTTCCCAGTTACCATGGGATTTTCAAGGCTAAGTTGGGATATAACACCTATAACTATCTGGAAAATATCGCTGGGATAGTTGGAATGTTGGAAAACTATGGTTGTATATCCACATAACTGGATTTTTTCACTGGATTTGCACTTCCAAGTACTCCCACCAAACAACGCATTCCCATTTTCAGACAAAGCCATCTGAATTTTATCCATCAATACCAGGAAATATGTGGGTTGCAGCCAAGAAAGCTCATTGGGGGGGTTTAGTGTCCACTATTGTTCATTTTCAGACAATGGACATACAATACATTCATGTTTCCCAAGACGGTCATATCTTCCAAGATGGTTTGAAACCACCAATCTGTCAATGTTTGTTCAGCGGAGAAAGGTCCTATACTGTTTTCGGGGAAAACCACCTGATCACGTTGTGCATTTAACGAGCTTTGGTCGTTTGGAGATCGACCTGTCTCTATGGAATTTCCACATTCATTCAGTCGCTCACTCAACCACCATGGTATCATTTGTATACTGTACCTACACCACACCAAGCTCCCCTCCTTTTCCTACATCCCAACTCCACCCAACTCAGCCACTTCAAGCCGGTTTGCAGCACCCAGCACCCTTCACACCCTTCACATGTCGTAGGACGATGGAAGTTGATGTGATCAGCTACAGCAGTTGTATCTCAGCTTGTGACAAAGGCGCCCAGTGGCAAAGCGCCTTACTGTTGCTGAAGCTGATGCCTGTGAGAGCGCTACAGGTGGCCGGCCTGTGAGAGCCCCATCGCTATATGGGATGATGATCCATGACTGCTGCGGATGGTATGTTGGACTGTTTTTTGAAAAAGCCTACCCTCTGGTAAACTAACCTGACTATGGAAAGATCCACCATTTATAGATTTTCCCATGAAAAAATGGTGGATCTTTCCATAGTTATGTAAACGTTTACCAGAGGGTAGTTTTTTTTTAAATGATTTTGCCATAGCTGAAGAAACTGACCAACATGACCGGAGTCAAAATTGCTGGAAACCACGGCCAAACTAGATTATTTTCTGTCTTTTGCGAGGTTTATTTACTTGGATGTGCATCCCAGGTCGATTGGAATCCATGAGCCCACAGATGTTTGGTCAAAAAGTATTGGTATTACACTTCCAATGTTGTTGCAATGGGTTATATCAGTTATATCATGTTATATTTGGGATGACATGGATTATATATGGGTTATATATGGTTGCAATCATGTTATATACAACACTGGTATACAACCATTTGGAGTTTCTTTCTCATTTCCAAATGTGCCTAAGATATTGAGATGAGTCAAGGCTAGTTGACCACAATAAGACTACCCTCCGGTAACCAAAGATAGTAATGGAAAACCTCCTGTTTATATTCATTTATGCTTAATGTTGCCCAGCTAGAAACCTCTTCTGATTACCAGAGGCATATTAGTTGGCAAGTGAGAATCTTTGATATATATATATTTACATGTTGGGAAATGTTCCCCCAAAAAAAAGGTATCACCTTGGGTCATATTTTAAGCCACCTTTTTTCATGTGTCCAGTTACATAGGTAAATTTCCACGCCGGTGGCGCCAACAACTTGTCGTTGCGTCATGAATCCCAGAAAAAAACGTGGTTCAGGAATCCTAGTAGGCTACTGTACTTCGTTCTTACCCTTGCTAAGTTGTTTATACAGTTATGCCATTTATTAGTTATAACTGGTTTTAAGTGGGATTATAATATGGGAAAATTATGGCTGGAAACCATTTATGATTACCATCTGGTTATTTAACAGTTTGCCATGGAAAATCACCAAAATAAATGGAGGTTTCTAGCTGGGACAATCAACCATCTATACCATGGCGATGTTAGTCATAACCAGAGGGTATATAACCCCAATGAACTTAAATAGCCTACTTATAAACCAACTTTGCCAGGCTGCCAAGTACCTATGGCGCACCACCTTCTATAGCCCCATGCTGGTTGGTAATTTCCAAGACTATGCCCATTCTGGTCAGAACAAAAACCGGTTAAACAGTTAAACACCATAATTAACCAACTATTGGTCAATATCAGCCATTACTGAGAATGACCATATTCCCCACAGATGATGTTTGAGCATCAACCACTGATTATTTACCAATATCAAAAATGGTTTTTCTTAACCAATATCAACCCATTACTCCATGGGCAGCCAATGTTTCACCATGAATCACAAGCAACAAGAAAAATCATAGTTCACATCGTTTAGCCATATGTTTTGGTCTCAGTTGATATGTGAAAAAATATCAACGGTTGATGGGTAAATCATTGGCTAAATGAGGTAACAATATGATGAATGTTCCAATATTGGGTAACAATATGATACTGGTTGGTGGTTTGGATCATTTGGATTATGTTTCCATAATATATGGGATGTCATCCTTCCCATTGACTTTCATATTTTTCAAGATGGTTCAAACCACCAACCAGGATATAGTCTTCAAATATCATTTTTACCCAATATCAACACCATCATCACCTGGAAAACGCGTAGCCCACGTGAGTTAAAACCGCGGTAGGTGGACGCCATTTCACAAAGCGCTGCGCTCAGCGCCTGTGAAAAGTCCAGCGAATGGACGCAGAGTCTGTCGCTGCTCGGTGGATCCAACGAGGTCAGCGGTGAGTTCATGACTGGTTGGTGGTTTGGAACCATAATATGGGAAAATTATGGGATAGTAATGGAAAAGTCATGACTGAATTTTATGGGAAATTATGGGAAATTACATCTATAAACCATATCACTGGTTGGTGGTTTCACACATTTTTTATTTTCCATAATATATGGGATGTCATCCTTCCCATTGACGAACTCATATTTTTCAGAGGGGTAGGTATACCACCAACCAGATAATATGGGAAAAATATGGGATAGTAATGGACAAGTTTGGAACATGAATTTTATGACTTTCCAATACTTTCCATAATCTATTGGGAATGAATAGTCATCCCAAGTGACGAACTCATATTTTTCAGAGGGGTAGGTATACCACCAAGCAGATGAAAGATAGACATTGTCCTGATTTAGTTACGAATCGGACAATTTTATTCGAACTAATTGGAAAATCGAGATTCAGGAAATCATCCGGACTTAGTTCATGAAATAGTGCTAGAATACTTCTAATCTTTAGCAACAAGGATTCGATTTAGTAGATTTAGTTCATGAAAAATATACTGCTAAGTTGGGGGCCATATAACTTGTGAACTGTTGGGTTGATGAACGGGGAATATAGCGAACTAGTAGGGTTAATAAACCAACAAACATATACAAACATCACTGGAGGCTGGCCCCACTGTTTAGGCATATTTCTAATGTGGGGTATAGTACACTTGCTTACAGCAAGATGCTGTTCGCGTCATGCAACTGGCTGGGTTTATCCGGCGCAGTGATGTACATGGGACACGCAAGTGGCAACTTGTGTGACACCATACAGTTTTATAGAGGCTGCCAACAGATGCTGCAAATAAACAAGTTGGATCTTTGACAACGCGAAAATCCATGAACGTCCAGGGTATCTATATACATATATCTGGGTAAATTATCATATTTCACTAGCCTGAATAGTTCGGCCATAAAAGGGGATCATGGGATTTCTATGGTTCACATGGCCCATTGAGTTCGTTGAATGAATCCGATTTTATAGGGACCATATGGTCATCATATGGTGATATTCATGATTACTATAGTTGATATTCATGGAATACGAATGATGATATGGCATGATATGGCCCATAGTTGATTTACCGTAATGAACAGTGGTGAGTTTCTCTAGTTATCTTAGTTTACCAGAGGGTAAATGGTGGATTAACCATCGATCGAAGTCTTAATTTCACGAGCCATCTCATCAAAAAAGGAACACCATTTACCGGGGGGATGTTTAAACTGTGTCGGGCTAGCCCCACAACTTTATGAATTAACCACTATCTGTTGGGCATGTTTTATTCTTGTAGATCCCACCAAAAAAAACAAACACGACGGCAAAAACGCCATGGTACTTTCCATTGCCGTGTTGGATTAGTAGAGGGTAATTGCCCTCCGGTAAACGTTTACATAACTATGGAAAATCACTATGTTTTTATGGGTAATTCAACTATTTCTATGACCATGTTCAATAGCTTTTTGTATGTTTACCAGAGGGTAACTAACATAGCTAATGATCAAATTGAGGAGTGAATTTAATGCTATCCTATGCTATCAGGCGACAGATGGGACCCTAAGAGTTGTAGGACATCCAGCCGGAAACCAGTGTTTCCGGGTCTACAATGAATCGCTAGTTGAATGTGTTGAGTTTCTTCTTCTAAATGCAGGGTGGGGCCCCCTAGATATAAGTTGGTTTATAAACCCCATGAATACTATAGTTATAGGTACCATAAACCATAGTTATTGGAGTTATAAACCAACTTAGCTATCGTTCGGGGGCCCCACTTTGTGGAGGTATTAATGAACCTTACAAGCTATTTTATTTTACTGCTTTGCAGGGGCCCGTCTAAGATAGCGATTTAGGGCCCGCTAGGTACAAGTTGGATTACAACCCCATATGACTATAGTTATTGTAAATGTTATAGCTACGTTAAACCCTAGTTATTCGAGTTATAAACCAACTTAGCTATCTTGGGGGCCCCACATTGAGGCTATGGTCCAATGGTTTCTGTCGCGTTTACTGAGACCTGTACATCCACCCAGTGTCCTTTGGGGAATCCCATGGTGGGATGACGATGGTGTTGATAACCCATAGACCCACTAAGTACTGGTATCCCCCAGCACATCCTGTGGTTTGGAACATGAATTTTATGACTTTCCATATATTGGGAAACATCCCAACTGACTTTCCTATTTTTCAGAGGGGTTGAAACCGCCAACCAGCTATGATATTCTGATTACATCCCAGTATTGTTGCTTATATAACTCACATGATATTCTCATTGATCGCATTATGTTATCGTTAATCATAAATCACCTCATATATAATATATGCATGCATATACTATTATATATCCTATATTATATGTGTGTCGATCCTATGATATATTGTGTTGTACATATATACATTGATACGTATATGTATAATATATATTTCGGGATAGTCTGGTTAAGAGCCCCAATGAGAGCCGGCCATTCCACAGCAGTTGAACACGAATGTTATTAGGGGGCGTGTGAAACATGCACAACTTCTGTGAAACGTGCACAACTTCTGGCCACCGTGGACAACTTCTATGAATTTGATGACAAGTTCTCAAACACTGCAAAGAGCTCTTAATCATACTATACCCATATATTTATAGTTATCCTATGATGTTTGTCTACATCTATATTATATATATATATACATATATATATATACGCACATGTATGTCCACAATTGGTGCTGAACTCCCATGGCAAATATCAGGTTGTTGTCGGAGTTTGCGGAGTGTGATCTCATACTCTTGAACTCGGTCCCTTGGCAAGTGACGATTGAGCCTGGATGGGCCATGGAAAATGGTGTGTGTGCGTGTGTTTTTACAATTTCGATATAGTGTGATTAGATTTAGTGAGGTTATAATGTATATTTATAGTGATCATAATTAATAATATAATATAATTACACAATGATATAAGCCATGTTGCCACAATTTTACTTTGTAAGTGGAAAGATGCACTGTTATGAACCATGGTATGGCAATGTTATTCACAGTCCTCATGCAAGTGTTGGTGCTCCCCATTTTTTTTTCGCTAAGTTGGTTTAGTTCACGAGGTTGACTCGGATTTAGGTTGATTAGTTGATTCTAGCTACAGGATGCTGCCCCCCAGTGATGTGAATGTTGGTTTATAAACACCATTAGGATACTATAGTTATACCTACCATAATCCATCCTGGGGCCCGTTTTTCGAACGGCACCCAGTCGATGATTTGTTGATTCCCAATGTTTAATCCACCAGACATGGGGAATCTATATACAGCTGTGACTGAATTCTATGGTTTATGGTAGATATAACGAACTAGTATTCATGGGCTTTATAAACCACGTTATAACTGGGTCAATGGGAATTTCAGGATCCTAAAATGGAGGCACGTTCGTACCATATTTTGGCCATATTTTGGGGGGATATCCCCTTACTTTTTGGCCTGAAAAATAGGCCTTAAAAAAATGGAATCGGTACCTCCATTTTAGGATCATGAAATTCCCATTGATTATACCTGGGATTATACAGTTTATAAATGGAGTTATAAGTACTGATAACTGGTATTTCGGGCCATAACTGTAAGGAATATCTTGTATTTTTCGGGGGTCCCAAACAAGTGACAAGAAAATCCAGAATTATCTCCCATTGTTGATGGTTAAATTAAATCAGTTAAATCCCTATTTTTGATGTTAAACTCCCACTATGAACCACGATTAACCAATATTTTTCACTTATGGACCCAAAATAAAGCATCACCCATAGGATCCATGTATGGTATATATGCTAACATTTGGGGTATATTGATGGTAAATGTTACCATATATAGCATACATGGATCCTATGGGTCATAGTTGATTTTCCCAGCTATATGTCGCTCCTTTTCGGGATGTTTTTTTTGTTGGGATTTTCATCAGCGCTCGGCGCTCGTTAGGTGATCAGTGCATGCAGCAAGAAGCTGCAGTGGAGGGTGACCTTGGAATTGCTGCAACAGATGGATGATTCGGAGCTTGAACGCGATGCTCGGATAGGGCAGATAGGAGAGTTGGGGCAGATAGGAACGTTGAGCGCACCATGATTTATATGGCGATTTGATGGAAAGAGATGTGACAAGAACTGGGATTTTTTTTCATGAAAGGTATGGATTTTCTATACATAAGTGGATACTCAATATACTACCGACAATGTGAATTGAAGCGGCTAAAGATAGGAATAGGTATCTGGTTTTTTCAGCCAGCAACCCTGGGGAGGCGAACAGATGTGGGAACATGATGAAATCGGATTTCCGGCACAGCCATGGACAGCCTGAAACTTGAATCTTGAGCTCTGCAAATGTTGGACATATCATCCACGCAAGGGAATTCCACTCCCAGAGCCATATCATCCTCAAGAGTAGTTTGATAGTCCCGTATATCATCCACTCAAGATTCAATGGCTCTACTTGACCTTGCAATGTAGAAACCCGCCGCAAGTCTCATCAACTCATCAACGTATAGATCTATCTGTCATAAACATCTATAAACCATATCACTGGTTGGTGGTTTGGAACATCAATTTTATGACTTTCCATATATTTGGAAGAATCATCCCAACTGACTGTGACTAATATTTTTCAGAGGGGTTGAAACCACCAACCATATCAAGCCTAGTAATAGACAACCTTAGCCATCTAGGGGTCGGCCCACCTTGTGCATGTTGTGTGCATGAATCTTTCAGGGGGAATTGGACTTTTGCATATCTGGCCTAAAAAAGCAACGTCTCCACCGGAAGAGGCGCTTCTTTTTGGGCGATTCCACCCTATAGAATTGCCTTGGATTTTTTGGATGCATTGTGTTTAAGCACACCCATTTTGCTATGTGCAGGAGAATGCGGGAAAGCGTAAACAGGCTACAATATTCTACAGTTTCATAGTTATGTGCTTCTTTTAGGGGAAACCAATCTTTGTTGAATCCTCATCCAATACAGGGTGTTACAGGGACAGTAAAAGTCATGCTTGGTGAAAAGGGTCCTTTCAAATGGGTGTTTCTCAACAGCAACATTGGGGTACCCCCGTAGCCAGTGGTTTCCCGATTCAAAGTCACGATTTTGGGATCAAATGGGTTCACCGGCACCATATGAAGAAACACCTACAAAAGTGCCATCTTGGTTGTTGATGGGTTGTTTTTATTGGATGAAGCGTTTCCTTTTCCAAGAGTTGTTCGAAACACAAGCACCTGGTGGTTGTATATAGTACCCTCTGGTAAACTAACATAGCTATGGAAAATAGCCATTTATAGTAAGTTTTCCCATTAAAAATTGTGATTTTCCATAGTTTTGTAAACGTTTACCAGAGGGTAATTGCCATGTTGACACCGGAGGGTAGTCAGGACGAAATCACGCTGGATGTGACCATTGCGGCATGCGCGGGCGTGGTGCAATGGCGTTCTGCACTGTCGTTGCAGAGTGGCACCAGGCGCACTTTCAAGTGCGCCAGGATGTCCCAGGAATGGCAAACGGCTTATAACCCTTAATTGTAATTAATTATAATATATATATATAGATGTATATGGAATATAAATGAATTATATATGGAATATTTATATATATATATGTATAATTTATAATATATGGAATATTTTGTTTTGATGGGGGATATTCTATAAATATAGCTATATATGGGTTATACGGAAGATATACGGAATATAACTATATTGGATTATAACCCAGTTATCCCAATTTATAAAACTGGGGATATTCCATAAATACCTGGGGGGTTGTCAGCCATTTACTAAGTGGGATGCACCCCCAAGTGTGCAAGTTCGAAGGTTGAAACGAAACACCTACAAGGATATCTATGGAATATCCATTCTATGATGGATATCTGATTTATCTATGAGATATACAACCGAGTAACTGTTCATACATCTATCCATCTACGTTCAGTGAGGCCCCTGTTTACGATAGCTAAGTTGACGCAAAAAAACTCCGTTAACTGTTGGGGCTTAGGCGGGATGTAATGGGGTTTGTGAACCAACAGACATACCCTTTGGTAATTTAACGTAGCTATTGTGGCGCCATGGACCCAGTCGAAATAGTTGATTTACCTTTATGAAAAATGGGTGGATCTCTCCAGTTCGCAAACTGTTAGTTTAGCAGAGGGTAACTGCAGGGCCTCACCTTGTAAGTACCCTCTGGTAATTTAACATAGCTATTGAACATTGCCATTTATAGTGAGTTTTCCCATTAAAAATGATGATTTTCCATAGTTTTGTAAACGTTTACCAGAGGGTATCTAAGTATCACCTGATCCGATCCCCCGATCCCCAGAACTGTGGGTTGCTGCATTGGCGGCTTGCGCGCTTGCGAAGCCGCCAGTGGCGAAGCTGCGGCACTGCGGTCTGCGCCACAGCTGGTGGAATGGCTGCATGTGCAAGGAGACAAAAATCACAACGGATGATAAAGGTCATTTGAGAGATGACCCATCCAAAAACCATAGAGATGTTTTCAATACACCCCAGTGATATGTTAACTATATACCATTAAACGGTTTTGTTGTGTTGGATGAAAATATGTCAAATCACCATGTTCACCCCACTGAAATCATCCATAGCCATTCCCATTCTTGGATAGCAATTTAAACTTCAATTCCCTATTTTGGTGGGTCAAATGGATTTGAATCAGTCCCATTTCTTGGTAGGAAATAGACATTCAATCTTCCACATCCATCATCCCAAGAATGAATTTCCAATTTGAAATGAAACAACATGAAACAACTAACAGCATCAGACAAAAAAACCCTCTGGTTATTTAACATAGCCACGGAAAATGGCCCATAGAAATAGATGTTTTACCTATTAGCCTATTAATAGCATGGTGATTTTCCATGATTTTCCATGGCTATGTTGGTCAGAACCAGAGGGTTTTTCTACACACTTCAGTTGCTTAGATGCCACCTTTCCAGGCGATCATGATCGAAATGATGTAAGTATATGGCTATGGATCAATACCTATACATACCATTTTTAGGGGGATGAACATCCATTTACCAGCTATTTTGATGTTCACCAGGGGGATAGGGTTTTGACCCATCCCCATATGACACTTATTACTGAAAATTAAGTAGCTATATCCCGGTAGATCTCCATCCAATCCCCGTCATATATCCACATAAACATAGATACCCTCTGGTAATGACTGACATAGCTATTGAAAATGGCTATTTATAGTGGATTTCCCCATTAAAAATGGTTATTTTCCATAGTTATGTAAACGTTTACCAGAGGGTAATCATATCCACATAAACATAGATAGATATACTTTAATCCTTTTGTACAAGTCATAATTATTCTCATAAACGTCATACACCATACACATATAATTTATGTTATACCAAGGAAATTTATGGGCTAGTCCGACCAGGATGTTGCCCCCGAGAAAAAAAAGTTGGTTTATAAACCCCATTAACATATTAACTAGTTCGCTATATCTACCATAAACCATAGAATTCAGCCACTTATATCTCAACTGAACGATATCTTGGGGGTCCCATCCTGACAGGACATATAACAATATGTGGTTCTTGCTTTTCCGCAGGACTCAAAGCCTTGATGACCGGATAAATCGCTGTTCGGAAAAACACAAACGTGGCGCTTGGGGGACTTGGATGGTGCAATTACCATGGGCATACCAGAAAACTTACAGTTATAAATTGTTATAAATGGTATATAACAGTTATACTCCATTTATAAAACTTATAGCAATGATTACCATTTATAGATGGTGATAAGTCTTTTACCAGTTGTAAATGGTTATTTACATGGGGTTATACATTCCATATGGTTATTTCACGGACTTATAGCTGGTAAAAGGCAATAACATGCAATAACTGTAATTAGGCACTAACCAGCTGTTTATCCATCATAATATATATATATATGATATGTATATTATATGTATAGATAGATCCTACCACATGGTTTATTTTTTCCATTGTCTACCATGGGCCTGTCATACCATAATCATTGCATTTCAATGATGTTTAGGGGGTTATCCACTAACTGATGGGATCAAAATCCCAACTTATGGGGGTTAGAGTATGAACTTGTGGGGCTTCGTACTTAGTACATCTTAGTACCATACATGACTTCTTTGTGTCCATCGCTATAATGTGGGCAAAACATGGTAAAACAATAAACCAACCATGGCTGGGAATGGTTAAAAACACGGTTACCCTCCGGTAAACATACAAAAAGCTATTGAAAATGGCCATTTATAGTGGATTTACCCACTAAAAATGGTGATTTTCCAGTTCGCTATGTTAAATTACCAGAGGGTATAGCATGTATCAAAAGGAGGGCTAATTATTTTAGGATTTTTTTTTTTGATCAGGTTTAGGAATTATTTTTGGATTCCTGCTTCTCTGCTTTTCCTGCTTTTCCTGCTTCTCTGCTTTTCCTGCTTTTCCTGCTTTTCCTGCTTCTCTGCTTTCCTTCTTTTCCTGCTTTTCCTGCTTCTCTGCTTTTCTGCTTTTTTGCTTTTCTGCTTCTCCTGCCTCTCTGCTTCTCTGCTTTTCTGCTTTTTTGCTTTTCTGTTTTTCCTGTTTCTTTGCTTCTCTGCTTTTCCTGCTTTTCCTGCTTCTCTGCTTTTCTGCTTTTCCTGCTTCTTTGCCTTTCTGCTGTTTTGCTTTTGTGCGTTTCCTGTTTCTTTGCTTCTCTGCTTTTTTGCTTCTCTGCTTTTTTTTGCTTTGCCTGCTTTAAATACTTGATTTTCATGTAAGATGCATTTTGCACAGTATTTACATCCCTGAGTATCACATGACCAACCTTCTCTTGAAAACTTGCAACGTAACATGTGAGAAGAGGTGCTTGCATTCTGCTCAGCGCCTCCCCCCAATCCCCCCCTCCCGCTTTTTTTTATTTAAACTTAAACCCAAGTTACATTAGTTGGTTTTTGCGAACTAACCTTCTCTGGAAAGCTGACAGGATTACATGTGATAGATAGATAGATAGATAGATAGATAGATAGACAGATAGATAGATAGATAGATAGATAGATAGCTGGATAGATAGATAGCTTGGTAGATAGATAGCTAGATAGATAGATAGCCAGCTAGATAGATAGATAGCTAGAGAGATAGATAGCTAGATACCTGGATAGATAGATGGCTAGATAGATAGCTAGATAGATAGATAGCTAGATAGATAGCTAGCTAGATAGATAAAGAGGTAGCTAGATAGATAGCTAGATAGATAGATAGATAGCTAAATAGATAGGCAGATAGTTAGCCAGATAGATAGATAGCTAGATAGATAGCTCGTTAGCTAGATAGCTGGATAGACAGCTGGATGGCTAAATAGATAGATAGCTAGATAGATAGAAAGCTAGATAACTAGATAGCTAGATAGATAGTTAGCTAGATAGCTCGATAGCTGGATAGACAGCTGGATGGCTAGATAGATAGATAGCTAGATAGATAGAAAGCTAGATAGCTAGATAGCTAGATAGATAGTTAGCTAGATAGCTAGATAGGTAGATAGATAGCTAGCAAGATAGCTAGCTAGATAGGTAGATAGATAGCTAGATAGATAGATAGCTTGCTAGATAGATAGCTAGCTTGCTAGATAGATAGCTAGCTAGATAGCTAGATAGCTAGCTAGCTGGATAGATAGCTAGCGCCCTCCCTCAATCCCCCCCACCCGCTTTTTATCTAATCCCAAGCTTCTGCATCTGTAAATATTTGGGTGAACATGCTCACATGTAGAACATCCCATGCAAAATGGAAGGTGAACATGCCAAAATGTGGCAAATACCATGTATGGAAGGTGAACATGCCCACATGTAGGAAATCCCATGCAAAATGGAAGGTGAACATGCCAAAATGTGGCAAATACCATACAAAATGGAAGGTGAACATGCCCACATGTAGTAAATCCCATGCAAAATGGAAGGTGAACATGCCCAAATGTGGCAAATACCATGCAAAATGACAAATTCAAGTTCCAAACCGTTGCAAACACTAGGCAAATGGTACCAGCCAAGAAATCCAAAAAAAAATCCCAAACCTGCTGAAAAAAAAAATCCTAAAACTATTTCACACCCGTATCAAAATGGTGACCGGGGGATGGAAGTCCCGCCTACCAACCCCCCATCCCGCCATCGCGGCACATCGAGGTCGCTGCCGCTCATCAACATTCGCATGGCCAACGGACCTTACGCCTTCGCTCGCTTGGCGAATCCCAGGTGCGCGGAATGCGATCGTGATTTCATGGTGATTTCATGGTGATTTACCAAGGTCACTGGGAAATTTTCACAGGGATCTGGGTTTGAGGAAAAAATAAATAAAGGATCCTGGTTGGAATTTCAAGTATAAAACTAGTGGACTTGGGTCCTTTGTAAAGGTAAATGGGAAATTGAGTGGGAAATTTTATGCTGATGGGGATTTGTGCCAAGACCAGTTCTTCATTTTTTCAAAACATCTTCCTGAGGAAAAAAACATAAACACAGTGGAGAACTTGAAATGTCCAACCATTACAAAGTGGAGCCCCCTAGATAGCTAAGTTGGTTTATAACTCCAATAACTATGGTTTATGGTACCTAGAACTATAGTATTCATGGGGTTTACAACCCATCTTATAACTGTGGGGCCCCACATTGTACCTTCCAATTTACAAGGTTGCTCCCACCCCGGATACTAGCGGCGGAAATGGGTCGAATATCGATGTAACATCACTCATTATTCCCCTCTCTGGTAATTTCAAACACGGCAGTCGAAAACCCATCATTTATAAATGATGTTCCCAGCTATAAACTTCCATTTAGTTCAGGAATTTCCATAGCTTAAAACACCCCGCGCCACACCAAGTTCCAGCAGGTTGGCAAGTACCGCGGTGGTCATCGGCGAGATGTTCATTCGAAGCCGAAAGGCTGGGGGTGATTCTCTGTTGAGTCTAGCGGCTCTCGGGTTCCCAAGATAGGGATCATTTGAATCAATTTGAATCATTAGTTATTAAAACATGATACCACCCCAGGGTTGTCTTTGCATGATTCATAGTATGATTTATGAATTTGAAAAAGTCATGGGGGACGACTTCGATTGTCAGGTCAGATCATCTGAGCATAAACCCTAAAAATCCATAAACTCTATAAACCTTCATGCTTGATCTGGCGGCAATGTTTGGATATGGGTGGGTTTTTACCACATCTACTCATACCGGGGGATCCCCCTGGAGGTTGTCAACCAAGCCAAAATAACATATGGTGAAAGCCGGAAGCTGGGGAGTATAGGTTGATTGTTTGCTTGTTATGATTTTATGTTGGTGTTCGATGTGTGTTCCTTGGCCTTGGTTTACTGGTAGATGGTTTGGGGTGGTTTCATAGCTTTCATTTGATGTTTGGTTTGGATGAGGGCAACTGGTGTGATGATGGTTAGAGTTTTTTTTCGGGGTTGCCATCCGTCTCTGCTCCCGCCTTGCTTTGATGACATTCTCATCATCTCTCTGTCCGGGACGCCCAGATGGAGGCTTTCAGGAAGCAGTGACAGCGGTGACAGCGTTGATTTCAACCAGACTTCAGAAGCACGTTGAAACCATGGAACAAACGATGACTACTGGTGGGCATGGGTGAAAACCTTTGGTACCAACTTGGGATAGATAGTAACAATCGATATTACAGTACGTGTTGTTGCTAAATTGAATGGAAAAATGGGGCTTCACCAGTGGTTTTGGGGGTTTTGATACCCTTTCTCATGATTTTGAAGCCGGGTGCAGTGGATGCATCATTCTTCGGTCAGACCTCTGCCGACCGCACGTCATTTTTCTGATCAAGTTCGGACTTGAACTTTCGATTTGAAGTTGTAACAAACGGTCGTGCGCTTGTTTCAGTCCGTTCCTGCATCATGGCTGGTAAGCACACTAAGTGTTCGCTTAGCCTTCCATGTTGCAGCTACACGAGCATCTTTATCTCCGTGCGCAAAGCGGATGATGACACTTGTGGCATCATTTCAGTGGGACTCACTTTGACACTCACTTTGCTTGTGGCCATCTCTGCCCAAATTGGTGGCCTGCTGGCTTTATTCCTTGGTCTTTGGGAGGCATCTTACACCTTCGACTCTTTGCGGGTGATGCTGGCGGCAGCCTTCTGTTTCAAGGTGCTTTGTGATATCTTCGAGACCATTGATATCATCTCCTGGATGGTTGTCGCAAGAAAGCTGGAAGATTCGGAAGGTGAAGATCTGGAAGGAGGCGAAAAGACAGTTGTGCTTGGCTGGGCAGGTAAGCTTACTGGCATCCTGGATTTGAAGTTGAGGTTCTTTGTTTTCTATTAGTTAAAGATAGTTAAAGCATTTCGGGATACTGGGAATATGTGGTTTTCAATGTTTTTTCAGGTGCATCTGAAGCAAGTCCAAGGTATTGTCCTTTTCATGATTCCCAAACTGACCATGGAATGCGTTCTTGGTATGTTCGGCGCACATTGCATTCTCCTTGCCCCGGACCATCAGACAGCATTTGTGACATGTTTGTACACAATCCTACTGAGCGAACTGGACCAGCTCATCTACAACTCCATGGCACCCCAGGGCATCTTGAAAAAAGTGAAGCCGGTGACCATAGAGTCCAGTTGTGGCAGGACGGTGTATATATTGATTCCCCCCATTTGCAAAGTGTTGCTGTCCCTTGTACTTTACTTTATCTTCCAACATCACTTTACTACTGTGGGAATGCTGAAAGGGATTCACGGACACTAAAAAAACGAGAGTACTGATCCGTTTCCAAGAGTCGAGAGTGGCTGGCGGTCGAATGGTCGCCTGCCTCAACCTGCTGGCAATGCCGGTAGCCTGAAGGGTCATGAAGGGTCAATACTTCCGTGTTTGGAAATCGATATGTCAAAATCCGGACTGGTTATACTAAACACGTTTCACTTCCAAGTTGAAAATCTCCATTTCAAAGACGGAAATCTCCATTGAACTGGCTCATTTTTTTCTCCAGGTGTATAGAAACCGCATTTGTCGCTGGTGCTTGGAAAATGTTGCTGTTGTTTCAATGGAACATGGGACAAGATGCACGCAAGATTGGCAGTGTTTCCAGGACAACAGAATCTGCAATATATTGCTCATTTTCCACATACAGATCATCGCTCACTTCCAACTCATTTGGATGTTAAATAACCAGATGGTATATAGATTTGTCAGTTTTTCACGCTTACCATTCGACCAGGGACTCATTTCCAGGTGCCTATCTCTGCCCTCCGAGGTTCGTTCAAGTCACTGGGTCCCGACTCGAAGGTCAAGCCCGGACATCTCGCAAGCGTGGAACTTTTGGTGGCCAACTTTTGGTGGCCAACTTAACCAAAGCCTTGAAACTCCAATGTTCCAATGAAAATATGTGAGTTGGCCACCAAAAACAGTTTGGGTGAGTTGGCAAAAATAGTTTGGTTTCAAAGCGTAGTCTTCGAAACCCAGATTTTTGGAGTGATCGAGAGTCAATTCAACACTTTTTATGGAATACAACACAGACATATTCGTTCATACACATACCCCAGACATACACACAGACAATCACATAGAAATATTATACTTTACCCCTTGGATATATCCATCCAAGTTCTGTTCAGAAGGTCCATCAGGGTCTGGCACTGTTCGGAGTGGAAGGCATAGATAGTTATTAGCTATTAGTGTAGTCATTTGAATGAGTTTTAGGAACAATATATATGACAATATGCGTCAAAGAAAATATGCTTTTCTGTGGGCGGGAGGTTAGGAACGAACAAGGATTGAATATTTTGCACATTGCCCTTTCCTTTGCTTAAACTGTTTGGGGTTGGCCACCAGCATTGTTTGGAGACGAGTAGGTTGCTTGGCAAGATGCTACGTGTGCAACGTTTATTTGTTGATAAGGCAGTTGCCTTGCTTGGCAGCCGTAACAAAGCACCACCACCTGTTTGGGTCTAGCGTTTCCCATATTTTTTTCTATGAGACCCCCACCACAAATGCTAACACAAGATCCAACACGACTTCAAAAAATGCCACATTACACGTTGAATTATTCTTTAATTACACACCGGTGCCCTACTGGTAATTGATGGACATAAACAAGAAATGGATGAGGACATCTTTGACCAGATGGTTGATCCACTGCACAACAGGTTCACATCACCTATGAACCCCGAATCCCAACATCCACAAGATGGAAACCCGATGGAACTTATGACCCTTATGCCCAGACTGTGGACGCACCATGAATATGACCATTTCCTCCAGATCCAATTGATCCAAACACCGTCAGACCAACATGTCTATGAAGAAAGGATGCACAAGTTGTTTTTTCATGTTAATAAGACTGATTGAGAACGACATGATTTAATTTTATCATTTTTTCTAATGTCTATGATTCAATTTTTCTAATTTTATCATTAAGAACGATTTGAATGATAAATGATAATGTTTTCATGTTGACTTTCAACTTTACTCCCAGAAATTACAACAGGCAACCCACATCAACCCACCATTTCATGGACATGTTTTTTCAATGTACCCAACTTGGTTCCCTTTGGTAATTTAACCTACAAAGAGGGGCCCCCAAACGATAGCTAAGTTGGTTTACAACTCCAATAACTATGGTTTATGGTACCTATAACTATAGTTAATGGGGTTTATAAAGCAACTTATAACATCTTATAACTAGGGGGCCCCACCCTGTAGCTATGAATATCTGGGTACATTCCATCACGACCTCACTGTTCTTGAAACGCCTGGAATGATGGAAATAAGAGGGATTATCGCTAGAAGGTCTTTTAAAACACTGGTTGGTGGTTTCAAACATGTGGATTATGTTCCATAATATGGAAATATATGGGATGATCCTTCCCATTGAATAATATTTTTTCAAGATGGTTAAAACCACCAACCAGTTCAGGTTGGTGAGTTATTCTGATTTTTCCCAGATACACATATGCGGATGGGTGTCAAAGCCTATTATTATATATTATTACTATGTTTGGGAGAATAATCCTCCATTCAGCAGCTATTTAGGGTACCATATTTAGGGTACCAGGCTTTTGACCCATAACCATATGATACAAACATATACAAACTAAATCCCATTACTATCCTTATTAAACCATACTTAACTGGTTATTTTCAGTTATTAACCCATGATATATCATTTTTTCTCAGAAGGGGGCCAAAAAAAATGTCGTCCCATGGAAGTGGCCTCAAAAATAACTGTGGATCATGAGTTCATCCGCAACCTTGAATCGGTAGTTTAATCCATCGGCAACCTTGGTGATTTCAATGGTGATTTCGTGGTGATTTTGCTGGTCTTTTGATGGTGATTTAATAGGATTTACACAATGGGATTCAATAGGAATTCATGATGTTATACCCTCTTGTAAACGAACACAACTATGGAAAACCACCATTTTTAATAGATAGATCAACTATATGGTGATGTATATTATGTACATCTACCGCTGCAGGTGCAGCTCAAGCGACCGACGCATTGCGAGCTCTCCCAGAAATCTGCTCCACCCTTGGATGTGTGTCTTGTCGCAGTCCTGGGAACGCACAAAAGAGCTGAGTAAACACCGTGATGGGTATGGTGTATATGGTGGTGTCCCTCAGTTCAAGTTGGTTTACAATTCCCATTTTCATATGGATCCACTTTCTGGGGTTTCAATTGGTTTCAATTCACATAGATGTGGTGTGTTCCCATGGTTTCGGTGAATACAAATCCTTTCCATGGGATGATCTGGAGGTGAGTGAATGGGACCCTAGGGCCCTACTTTGGACCTGCCTGGGACTTAGGGACTTATAAGTTATCATGTAAGTGTAGTTATAAGTGGATAAGTTATGTCTAAGTTGCTTCATAAGTGGTTAAGTGGCTGCTAAGTGGTTAGAGGTTAGGTGGCACTTACTAATAACTTAGGGGTACATATAAGTTTGCTAATTTAAGTGAGTTGGACTTAGCTGGCACTTAGCTGGCACTTAGCTTCGAATCGCGAACCTATGTTTTTTGAGGTTTGTTGGTTGGTAGGACGGAAACGGGTACGTTTTGCAGGCATTTTGGTTTTCAGGCATGTCCGTAGATCTTCCGCCCCATCCCAAAATCAGTGGCCTTTGTCTGCTTCCCGCTTCCTACAAGGAAGCGACAAGCGCATGGTATGACCATGTGCAGTGGAAGCAAGTCCATTTGGCGCCGGAGTTATATCGCTGCAGCAAATGGTTGAACATCTTGGCCTGGCATTTCTCTCGGAAGCCGGATCGCAGCCGAGAGTTTCAGTGGTGCCGACGCAGTGCCTGGCTTCTATGGGAAGCCAGACGCAGTCTACGGATTGCGTAAAGAAGCAGAATAATAGCGTTGCATATCGTGCGAACCTCTAAACATCCTCTGTCTGCATGTGTCTGCGGATGTCTGCGGATGTCTGCGGACGTTTGAGCCTCTCTGGGCAGATGTCTGCGGATGTCTGCGAACCAGGCCAAAGTGCTTGGGAATGACTTGCCGCTGTGTCTGCGAGTGTCTGCGACCAAGGAAAACGGCTGCTTTGCATGCGGTCACATGTCTGCGGATGTCTGCGGAAGGAGAAACAATTTCTACTTTTGACAGATGTCTGCGGCCTTGGAGACCAAAACCACCCCGAAGCAAGGAGTAAGACCGTGGGATTTCGATTTCTGTGCGTTTCTATGCCGTGGTGCAAATATTGCAACCTTTCCTGACGGAGAAATTCATTCTAAAATGGAAATGCCTACGGGGCCCCAAACAAATCCTGCCTGCATCAAAACTGATGCACATAGAACCAATGCGTTTGCTACGTGAAGATCAAGATGGTCTTTGGCTTTTGCGCTGACCATACAACATCATCATGAAGAAAAAAAGCTGCCCCCTCACCTGACTATATAACCCAAAAAAAACATCCAAATCTTCAAAAAAAGAAACCACCTAAAGTGAAAAAAAACAATGCAAATCACTTAGCTCACTTAGCGGCCACTTAGCTCACACTTAGCAAGCCCGCAAACCTAAGTAACCTAAGTGCCAGCTAAGTGCCAGCTAAGTTCCTAAGTTCCCAGGCGGCTCCAAAGTAGGGGTTCCCCGACCAAAAAAATAACAGTTTTGGTGAATTGAATTTTGGTGAATATGGTACTGATTGATAATATGAAATTTAGGGATACCTGGATTATGGCAATGATTTTTCCAGTTTTTCGGTAGAATCAAATTGGTACCAGTAGTAGGAAAGCTCAACTTACCAAACGTAAAATGTTCAACCACCTTTTTTCCCGAATGCGTAGCAAGGGTTCCCGTTTCACTCTGGGGGTCTGGGGGTTGAGGGTGTGTTCGCTCGACGTTGCGTTCGCGAGCGCAACCGTCCGCAACCGTTCGCAACCGTCCGTGCGAGGACCATATGGCCGTGCCTATGGTAAGTTCTGCAGAGGTGGTCATTTTTGGAGGTTTCAGACGTGTCGTTGCTTCGTTTCGCGTGGCAGGCGTGGCACTTCGTGACATTCAGACGTGTTTTGCAACGTGTTGAAAATCGTTTTGCGTGGCAGGCGCAATATTTTTGTGACGTTTTCAGAAGATGTGTTGCAGTTTTCGTGGCAGGCGCAGCACTTTGGACGTGTCCATCGTCATTTTTCGTGGCAGGCGCAGCACTTTAGACGTGTCCTGTTGCGTGTTTTTTGTAAATCGCATTGGCAGGGCTGCGTCAAGTGGTGACAAGGTGCAAATTCCGTGGCAGGCGTGGCATTTTCTGACATGTGCTGAAAATTGACGGAAGCCTCGCACGAAACATCGATTTTGAGGTTGCAAATTTTCAGGTTCTAAGGAAAACTTGCAGGAAAACGTCGATTTTGAAGCTGCAAAGAGTGAAAATTGGAGGAGGTCTCGCAGGAAATGCTCGTTTTGGTGCTCCCACCTGTCTCGTCTCGCGTCTCTGGTTTTCCCGTGGCCTCGCCGTGTCTATGGGGGAAGCTGCAAAACTTGTCTTTTTGTTATGTTGCCAACTGTGAAAATTGGAGGAAGTCTCGTACGAAATGATCGTTTTGGTGCTCCCACGTGTCTCGTCTCGAGTCTCTGGTTTTCCTGTGGGTCGCCGTGTCTATGGGGGAAGCCGCAAAACCTCTCCTTTTCGAAGGTTTCCAAGGAAGTTGTCATGTCGTTTTGCGTGGCAGGCGTGGCACTTTGTGACATTCCAACCTGTTTGATAACGTGTCGAAAAGATCAAAATTGGAGGAAGTCTCGTACGAAATCCTAGTTTTTCTGCTCTGCATCCACGTATCTTGTCTCGAGTCGCTGGTTTGCCTGCGGCGTCGCCGTGTCTATGGGGGAAGCTGGAAAACATCTCCTATTCGAATGTGTCCAAGCAGGTTGTCCTGTCGTTTTGCGTGGCAGGCGTGGCACTTTCTGACATTCCAACCTGTTTGATAACGTGTCGAAAATATCAAAATTGGAGGAAGTCTCGCACGAAATGTTCGTTTTGGTGCTCCCACGTGTCTCGTCTCGAGTCTCTGGTTTTCCTGTGGCGTCGCCGTGTCGTTGGGGGAAGCTCCGCACTCCACACTCTACACTTTACACTCCACACTCCACAATTTACACTTTAGACTCCACACTCTACACTTTGCACTCCACACTTTGAACTTTGCACTTTACACTCCTCACTCCTCACCTGAGACTTTACACTCCACACTCCACACTTTACACTGCACTCTACACTTTCCACTCCTCGCTCCTCACTCTACACTTTACACTCCACACTCTACACTTTACACTCCACACTCCACACTTTACACTACACACTCCTTACTTTACACTCCACACTTCACACTCCACACTTTCCACTCCACACTCCACACTTTACACACCACACTCCACACTTTACACTCCTCACTCCACACTTTACACTCGTCGCTTTACACTCTACACTCCACACTCTACACTTTACACTCTACACTTTACACTCTACACTCCACACTCCACTCTACACTTTACACTACACTCCACGCTTTACATTTCACACTCCACACTCCACACTCTACACACCACACTTTACACTTTCCACTCCACATTTCACACTCCACACTCTACACTTTACACTCCACACTACACACTTTACACTTTACACTCCTCACTCCACACTCCACACTCCCCACTTTACACTCCACACTCCACACTCTACACTTTCCACTCCACACTCCGCACTCCACACTCCACACTTTACTGTACACTCCACACTCCACACTTTATACTTTACACTCCTCACTCCACACTCCACACTTTACATTCCTCACTTTACACTCCACACTCCACACTCTACACACCACACTCTACACTTTCCACTTCAGACCCCACACACTACACTTTACGCTCCACACTCCGCACTTTACACTCCATACTTTACACTCTACACTCCACACTCCACACTTTACACTCCTCACTCCACACTCCACACTTTGCACTTCACACTCCACACTTTACACTCCTCACTCCACACTCCACACTTTACACTCCTCACTCCACACTCCACACTTTACACTCCACACTTTCCACTCCACACTTCACACTCCACACTTTACACTCCACACTTTACACTCCTCACTCCACACTTTACACTCCACACTTTACACTCCACACTCCTCACTCTAGACTTTACACTCCACACTTTACACTCCACACTCTACACTTTACACTCTACACTAAACACTCTACACTCCACACTTTACACTTTACACTCCAGGCTTTCCACTTTGCACTCCTCACTCCACACTCTACACTCCACACTTTACACTCCACACTCTACACTTTACACTCCACACTCCACACTCTACACACCACACTCTACACTTTCCACACCACACTCCACACGCTACACTCTACACTCCACACTCTACAATTTACAAACTCCACACTCCTCACTCCACACTTTACACTCCTCACTTTACACTCCACACTCCTCACTCCACACTCTACAATTTACAAACTCCACACTCCTCACTCCACACTTTACACTCCTCACTTTACACTCCTCACTTTACACTCCACACTTTGCGCTCCTCACTTTACACTCCACACTCCACACTTTGCACTTTACACTCCTCACTCCACACTCCACACTCCACACTCTACTCTCCACACTCTACACTTTACACTCCATACTCCACACTTTACACTCCGCATTCTACACTTTACACACTCTACACTCCCCACTCTACACTTTACATTCCACACTGCAGACTGGTAACAAGGGAACATGTACAAGACTGTTCAAATAAACTATTGCAGAAAGGTATTGTGCGTGACTGCATAACCATGTGTATTGACATCTGTACCATTAACATACGTGTGAGCATTCGGGTTCGTGGGCTTCATCTTGTTTAATGGTCGGTTGATGACTTAAAGTAGTGACAAAGCCCCATTAATATGATGATTAGTCAGTACCCTCTGGTAATTTAACATAGCTATTGAAAATGGTGTTTTATAGTGAATTTTCATGGATTTTCCCACTAAAATCTATATGCCATCTGGTTATTTAACATAGCCATGGAAAATGGCCATTTATAGTGAGTTTTCCCATTAAACATGGTCATTTTGTTTACCAGAGGGTAAGGACAACGGTTCCAAAATAGGCGCATGTCAGGTTCGAGAACCAACATGATTTGAGACAATTTGAGACAAGGGGAAAATGAACACACCGAGATGAGATAACGTTTGGTTTGAATATGTTCTTACAACTGAAAGACATAAGGCAACAAACATGGACCAAACTCCAAACATCTTATCAAATTCGTTTCATTTCAGGTCAGGTGTCGCTCGTTTGCCCTTGATTGCTGTGTATATCCACTAATTATCGTTCCTTTCTATTGCTTGAGTATCCCATATCCCACTTGCTGGACAGCCGATATTTGATCCTTTGTCATAGACTCACAAGAAGATGGTTGCATCACCATATTCCGAGAGGTACAAACATGCCACCGTTCCATGATTGATATCACCAATTTCGATGGATGATTGTTGATGGGTCCCATCCACCATGATAGGTCCCGATTGTGATTCACGGTGGATAATTATTCATGATAGGTGCATCACCATCATCACCATGTTCCCATGATTGTTAATGAATATCCACCTATCATGCCACCGTGCCACCTTTTGATATCACCTATCTTTTTTTCCATCAACACATGTGTACAACAAGATTGGGCTGTACGGAACCTATGGACCGGTATGAAGACCATGATGATGTGTTCTTTATTTCTCACGATTCGAGGTATGCAGCTTGGACTCTTACCAAATTCAAGAACCCTTGTTGGTTACCCTAGGGTAAACTAACATAGATGTGGAAAACCCACCATTTGTAGATGATTTGCCTAGGGGAACAATCGTTTTTTTTTCGCATCTATGTTAGTTTACCCTAGGATATTGTTCTTTGTTTTCTCCCCCTGCTTTATTCCCCTAACACATCAGGGATTTTGAACATCATGAACTGGGAACCGCCATTGGCCAACCATGATTTCAGGGATTTACGATAGGTTTCATTAAACCGGTAAACCCATGTATCCCAATTTTGTTGAGGCCATATATAATATGTAATAGTATGTAATAATATGTCCATTATATCCCATAGTATCCCCATTGTTTACATTCCATTGTTCAAATGTCACACGTTGTGGATTTCAAACATCACCTTTGCCGGAGATCATTGGGGAATGCCCAGCAATCTATGTCTCGTTTCTCGTCACGAAGAGACATGATTTTTGCGGAGTTTGTAATGTTGAGACAACCCCAACCGGTATGTTGCCATAATTTTTCCGGGCCTGCAAGCCAGCTTTTGTTGGTAAGAGTGAAGCCACCTTTGGCCGGCAACCCACGCCGTTTGATAGGTGGTAATTCAAATAACCGTGCGCAATCATTTTGTATCTATATTATCAAGGTCAAACCGTACCATATTATCATCTCATCTCATATCCCATAGTTATACCATGGGTTGACCATGGTGATATCATACTTTGGCCTAGTCAAACCATAGAATCAACAATTTTTACCATATCATGTCATATTATGTCATACTCAATTACGAAAAGTCAACCATACAGTTACCAGTTATAGGATGTTATACTAACAAGTCACCCCATGTATAAAATGTATATAATCTCATTGAAACGACCAGTCATAACTAATAGCCATGGCCACAACCATACCCAGATGCTCCATGTATGGAATATTTACCTACATTTGGGCCATTTTGGGGGTAGATGTAGGTAAATATTACATACATGGAGCAACTGGGATAGAATTCTGCTGAATTGCCAAGCTCAGGATCCGCCCTCCCCTGCTTCCTCCGCCGCCGCCGCGGACGCCGCCGCGGACACCGGAAACGCGGGTCCGACGTGGAAAGGGACCCGAGTTTCCGGCGCTGCCGAAGGCGAGGAACGGCACGGCTGAAGTTATGGCCATGGCTATTATAGTGATAACTAGTTATTTCTTTGGGATTATACATTTTATATATGGGGCGATAGATATATATATATATAATATATATATACATTTGCTTATTTACATATAATTAGTATATAAGTACTTACAGCTGGTAGTTAAAGGGCCAAAACTCTGGTAATAAATGGGGTTTTCTTAGTGCTTAGAACTGGTAAACGGCTGTGACTGTAGGATCTGGTTAAAAATACCTTGGTTAGCCATTAATAGTGAAATTAAATATATGATATGTATCTTCATATGTAACATTATGTAACTATTACAATATATTGATACTATTTAATAACTCATGGGATATTGAATTTTATGAGATATAGAACCGAGAGTTGGCACAGACCTTGGCACCTCGACGGATGTCAGTGAGGGATCTGACCCACCTTCGACAGAAGAGACTCGTCGAAGTGTTCTGGAAGACCTTTTGGATGGTTTGGATGTTTCAGTGAAGAAAGTTCAGCCGGAGCACAATCCAGCTGACCAGTTTTCCAAAGCGACAGACAGTGACGCTGGAGACCAAGACCAGGCACCTCAGAGAGCCTGGTTCTGGTGAACCGCAACTGGCCATGAGGGCCTATGATTACTATTGAGACCTTAGTACCATTAAAGATACCCTGGTTGATGGGTTAATATAGAGACTTAACCATGAATCATGAATAATAGGGTTTATGAGCTTTTAACTATCAAAAATATAGGTGAACAATTGAAGAATACCTTGGTTGATTGGTCAACTTGTTGGGACTTATACTAGCTACTTTGTTGTGGATTATGAACTCACCCATAGTAGGGAAACCGTTTGCGACAAACTAGTACAATGGATATGGGGTATGTTTAATGGCCCATATGACCTGGATATAGAAGTGGATATACAAAAATATAATAGAATATGGATAGAACTGGTTTTTCGGAACTGCACGCACGGTCAATTTCATTCGGATATACAATAAAATGTACAACATAATATGGAACGGGAATAAAGAGCCAGATATAGAATATGAGTGGAAGTGGAAATACAATGGACTATGAATAGAATTGGATACACAAATTATAACTATCTCGCTGCAATGTCATTAGAATGGTGGTAATTGGATTGGGGTAATTGTATGCAATTGTCCCAAAATGGCGGAACAATTCCAGTTGATGAATTACTGTAGTTCATCCAGAATATGATGATTGGGAATTCACCAATGGTTATGTTGGTCCACCATTTTGATGAGGGATTCTATGACCTACCAAGATCTATTCAATGTGAATATGGGAATGCATGGCTGGTAAATGTGCTATACTGTATCTTGCACAAGACAGGGTTGCTACCAACACCCCAGATACGTCTGCAGGGAACTTGGTACATAAAGAGGTAACATGACATAACATGACCAGCTCAAGGTTGGAACTTTTCGGAAAATGTAGATCAAGGTTATCTGTTTTGTTCCTTTTGCCAATATATAATATATGCGGGATTAACTAGTTGAATTAGTTGATCAAACATGCTGCTCTTGCTGTTTTCGACCAAAAGATGTTTGTGGTTTTACTTGACAACACATGAACTTTCTACCCCAGTAGCGCCAGACAAAAAAAAAAGAAACAGTCATAAAAAAAAACGTGTTTTTCAACGAAAGAAAGGATTGGACCAACAGAGGTTCCATGAGGATGGATCATGATTTCACGAAGGTTTAGCCCATAGTTCGACCAAAGTTGGAGTGTTAACCTTTTGATGATCCACCTCCATATAATCATATAGTAGTACGCTATTTTCGACCTGCTATTTGTTGTGCATACAGTAAGTGTATCAGCACTTACCCTCTGGTTATTTAACAATTCGCCATGGTATAGATAGCCCATAGAAATAGATGGTTTACCTATTAATAGCATGGTGATTTTCCATGGCAAACTGTTAAATAACCAGAGGGTAATGCAGTTTGATTCCATATGTGAACGTCCAGCAGCCATCTTTCGGTGAACCCCATAAAACACTGTCTCAGAGCTGTGGACTTTTTCTTTGACGGAGTATCTATATATAATGGTATTCCGATTCCACTATATAGTATTCCATTCATATTCCAATCATATTCCATTTAAATCCCATTCATATTCCATTCATATTCCATTTAAATCCCATTAAACCAGACTTACATCCCTGTTCTTAATCTGGTTGGTGGTTTGAACATGAATTTTATTTTTCCATATATTGGGAATTTTATATTCCCAACTGACTTTCATATTTTTCAGAGGGGTTGAAACCACCAACCAGCCATATTCTTACTGGTGGCCCATTATTAATATCAATATATTCCAACTATATTATATTCTATTTCCCATTATCCATTATCCATTATTATATGCCATTCATATTCCATTTATATCCCAAACCAAGAATCCATAAACCATTAGGTATATAAGCCATGATCTTATCCCATTAATATTAGCCGTTAACTATATATATACCATTATTCCACTTACCATCATTATTAACCATCATTAACCATATAATAAGCATATATTAACCATTATTAACAGATAACCGTATATTAACAGCATACAGTATATTAGCATTAATATCCCATTCATGTTGCATTGATATCCCATTTAACTCCCATTATTCCAATTTATATCCCTGTTAACCATATAACCAACCATTGTTAACCATTATATGTATATATATATTATGATTAACCATTATTAACCATATATTAACCACATTAACCAACCAACTAATAATATATGTAATATGGTTAATATGGTGATAATTAATATCATTATAACATTATTAACCATATATTAACATTAGCTGGATCACTGATATATATATATATATATTATGACTGACCATTATTAACCATATATTAGCAATAACCAATATTTACTGGAAATTATGATATGGAACATATGATTGGAAATTATCATATCATAAGTTAACGAATATATTAACATATTAACATTAACCATATATTAACATTAACATGATTCAATATTTTATAAATTAGCATTAACCAATATTGTTCAATGCTTCGAAACCCAGAGATCAGACTGAATCTCTCTGACGAGGCCCCGGCGCCTCCGCGTGATCCGTGCGAGGCGCCGCCCACGCCGCCCAAGGTGCCGCTGCATCTCGGTCGCTTTCCGTCGGTGGGGAAAACCATACAGGGTGGGGCCCCGGTTCGTTGTTGCGTTCAGTTGGTTTATACAGTTATGGCCCTTTACCAGTTATAAGTATTTATAAACCATTTATAACATGTATAATCCCACTTATAACCAGTTATAACTAATAAATGGCCATAACTGTAAGTGGCTGAATTAACAATGGTTAATGGTAGATATAACGAACTAGTATTCATGGGGATTATTTCATGGTTTATAAACCAACAAACATCACTGGGGGGCCCCATCCTGTAGAGTTATGGCCATTTATTAGTTATAGCTGGTTGGTGGTTGGGAACATTTTGTATTTTCCCCAATAGTTGGGATGATGATCCAATCTGACTTTCATATTTTTCAGAGGGGTTGAAACCACCAACCAGTATAACTGCTTATAAATTATAAATGGGATTATACATGTTATAAATCGGATTATAAGTACTCAGAACTGTAGGAAAACCCTCGGAAAATGCTGATTGAAACGGGACACATGGTAGGATTTCATGGGAAAACTGGAACAAGTCTGTGAGTTTATGGGATACGTAGCCAACAATCAAGCTGATGCAAGGTGGTGCCAAATTTTGAGATACATCGAACTGCTGAATAGAGGTTTATAGCCAACAAACACATATATCATATATATATATATATATAATATATATATATATATACCCTCTGGTTTTTTAACATAGCCATGGTATAGATGGCCCATAGAATAAATGGTTTACCTATTAATAGCATGGTGGATCTTTCCATGGTTTACCTATATAATATAATTGGGGGGCATCACCCTGTGGGTAAACCATGTTTTTTTGTTGCTGGGACATTTGTTATAACAGTTGTGTTGTTTTTTGATGATATTAATTGATTAATTCATACTTTGATCTATGGGAAAAAATGGATCTATTTGGTATATATTTGTATATTTGGTGGATGTGTTGGATTATATGGGAGAGCTCATGATTTTGAATGAATTTGTAATGTTTGTGTTGATGGGAAATTAGTGAAATGTGATGGGACATGCATACATGCATGTGGTCACCACTGGTCACCCCAGGGCCCCAGGGAACTAGATCTGAAACAGTCTAAACAGATCACCCCTCATCTGGGGTTTACCCTCTGGTAAACATACAAAAAGCTATTGAAAATTGCAATTTATAGTTGATTTTCCCATTAAAAATGGTGATTTTCCATAGTTATGTTAGTTTACCAGAGGGTAATATTCCATCATCTTCTGAAAAAAAATGGAAAATTATGAAATATGATGATGGCGTCACTGGAAGTCACTGGTTTCATATTCCATTTATATTAATTGATCTTCCGAAAATCATCATCCACCCCTGGAAGTCGCTGGATGGCTCAGGAACCTTCGGCCGCGGGGAACGATTCAACGCATCTGGATCGGAAACCTTCCAGGCGGCGGTGTTGAAAACGCGGTGGAGTTTCGAGGGATGGGGTACCCGGTTACCCCACAAGTCGTGGTTTAAAACCTGTCCTCAATGGGAATTACCCCCAAAATATGACCAAAAATAATCCAACATTTGGTACGAACGTACCTCCATTTTAGGATCCTGGAATTCCCATTGATTTCTGTACACATCCCAATGATTCTTGAAAAACATGTCCTTGACATTTTTTTGTGTTTTTGCTCGGCAAAACCACATGTTGATGTGGTCAGGGCATGCTGATTCGTTGACACAACCTGCTAGTGGGGATTTTCCAATATTTTCCAGCTCAGGGTAGATTCCCGAAGACTGGCTGTATAGCAAATGTTCATTTTTGATCATTTTTGTAACCTTTGGACTTGTTTATATAGCGTAACATAGCTATGGACATTTACTGTACCCATTTATAGACGACTGATGATGATCATTTTAAAACATTGTGATTTTCCATAGCTTCCTGAAATAGCCAGAGGATACCTGATTCCTGTGGACTTATGACATTCATAATTCATCAGTTATTTGACATCCAAAGATTGTTGTTCTGCGCTTGTTCCTTATAACCATGGATATTCCAGTACTCCTACACCCTCAATATCAATTACCTCCCTTATAGACCCCAAAATGAAGAGATGCAATACTAAACCAGGGTGTGGTTTGGGGGCTATTTCATATTCAGGGGAAGGGATACAATTTGGTGGCTGGTTTCAATTAGGATCTCCTATGGGATTTGTACAGATTTGTTTTGTATCCCCCATCTCCCGATCGTGCTGCGCGCCATGTCCAGGTCTCGAGAAGATGTTGGAAATGATTGATGAGGAGGAGGAAGAGAAGCAGGAGAACAAGGCGAGATGGAGGGTGAAGTGGTACCCCTGTATCACAAACCATAGAGGATTTTGAAATCTCTTCTTTATTGGGGTTGTGTGTGGATTTGAGAAGGTTGGTTGAGGAATTATGGGGGTCCAAAGTCCAACACATCATAGACAGTCATAGACCATAAGCCATAAGCCTATGGGTATGGCTCCATGTCATTGACCCCCCAAAAGTGCTGCTTGAGCAAGCCCTAGCCCTAGGGGCACTAGCCCTCCCTAGATCCTTGTCATTCCCTGAAGTTCCCTAAAAAACTGGAGCACATCGAATCAGCAAAGCGGCATTGATTCGGTCAGCTTTCGCCGTGACAAAAGCTGTTGTGCTTGCAATCTTCGGTTACGGTTTGATGTTGGAGAATCATCCCTTGAATCCCAAATAAAAATCACAAGCATGCCGATTTTGACTTCGATTTCATGGTCAAAAAGTCTGAATGACATTCAGAATGACCAATTTTTCTTGAGTCTTTTGATATCCCAATTTGGTGCCATGCAGATATGGAGAATTGGGTATGGATTCCTGGTACCCGCGTAGCCTCAGTGTCGACACTGAGCCAACATCAGAGCCGAACGCTGTTTGGGTTTATCCATTGTTAGGTCAACCACATGAGTTTACCCATAATGGCTGATTGGTGCTTTGGAACATGAATTTTATTGTTCTCATCATATTGGGAATAATACTCCCATTTGACTTTCATATTGTTCAGAGGGGTTGAAACCACCAACCAGATGGGGTTTTATCCCAAGATCTTGGTACTTTTTCTCGAAATCTTGAATGGCTACTTGGAAGGTCTAGCTACTCTGAGGATCATCCCAGTCAGTGCTTTTATGAAAAATGATTGCTTGATTCAGTGAAGGGGCCCGGGTTGTACCAGTTATAAGTACTAAGAAGTCACCCCATTAATGTATAATCCCATAGAAATAATCGGTTATAACAAATAAATGGCCATAACTGTTTTGCTCGGGCCCCCCCCAAAAAAAAATGTTGGCTTTCCGCTTAGGGCGTTTTTGCAATGGTCAACATATGACCATTTCAGCGGCGCATGATTCCATGATTCTGGATTGGTCACATAGTGGACCAGTTGGGGAAGGTGTTTGCCAAATTTTGGACATATACCCTCTGGTTATTTAACAGTTCGCCATGGAAAGATCCACCATGCCATTAATAGGTAAACCATCTATTTCTATGGGCCAGCTATTCCATGGCTATGTTGAATAACCAGAGGGTAACCCCAAAAACTTACTTGTGCTAAACGTAGATAATGAGGGAATGATCCACAATAACTACCAATAATCATCCCAGCAACCACCATTCCCATCCATTCCCTACGTTTAGCACCAGTAAGAAAACATCTGGCCTACAGCCCATCCTGTGGTATCCACAACAAACTTTAGATCTAACAGAGTTGGGTTTCCCAACTATGGCAGTGGCAGCCAAGACCCCAGCCATCCCCCGCTCATCATATCCCATTGATCCCATTCTTCTTGCTGAATATCACCATTGAACTCTTGATATTGTATTATCATGTATTATCCATCAATTGACTTTAAAAATCTCAATGAAATCTCTATAGTTGTTCAACCAGCAGCATTTTTCCAGCTCCGAACCACCATTTTCATGGCCTATAGGTCTTGAAGATCCGCTTAACGCGCTCCGCTAGGGCGATGCCATGGAGATGATGAAGCGCCTGGTGGATCGCAAGGTGAACGAGTTGGCCATGGAGATGCCCAACTACGACTTGGAAGATGGCGCGGTTTTGGGTTGTTTGGGTGGTTTGGGTGTTGGGGAATGGAAAAGTTGAAATGTTGATTGGTGAAATGGAAAAATACAGCAATAATTAATATAGTGGTTAACAATAATATATGTTTGGGTGCTGGGGAATCTTGATTGGTTAAATGGAAAAATAAAAAGCATTATATAATGATTAACTAATATAGTGGTTAAGATTAAGAATATTTTTGTAATTTAGTAATATATATATATACATATATATATATATACAGTTATATATGTTCAAAATATGTAAATACACTGCTAATTTAGCAGTCCGCTTGGCCTGTTTATCCTAGATTCTGGACCCTTTAGTCCCTGGAACATCCTGTAGCTATTTGTAATAGGCCGGAACTATATGTTTCATGTTGTCGGGTCGGTGACATTCGCCAACACAATATTTGCTTTATTATTTATAGGTTTCCAACAAACAACAAACTTTAGGCATCAAAAGAGGTGTTTTTTTATGGAATCTCATTGACTCCCCATGATTTTCACGCCATTTTCCAGTCCGCAAAAAAATGGCACCACGAAAAACGGGCCCCAGGAACCCGAGGTGGGCCCGAACTGAAGCTAGATGAAACACCTGCACATGTCCCATATATGTTCACATATTTGACCATAACATGTACAGTATCCCTTGTTTTTTTGTACAACGATAGGTTTCGGAAGAATATACGTATATATATATATATCAATACTTGTAAAAAATCTGTTCATATAGAACCAACTCTATATGTTCATCTATTTCAATATACACCAATATAGTCTATATAGTAACATCATAACGCATCAAAACAAACGAAACCATGGCCCTCCAGGCCCTTTGACAAAGCGCGTCACGGTGCATCCCACCGGAAGATACGCCTTCATCCGAGTCGTGGGGGACCAGGAGCAGATGACATATTTAAACTTTCATATATATATAAGTCGATATAACTGATAAATGATGGTTGATGATTAGTTCGGGGATCAAAAACTACCCAATATTTTGGGAAGCTGTTGGTTGATGCTTGGTTGATCATAAACTACCCCTTAATGTTTTGGGGATTCAGATAATACATATGGTGGAAATCCTCAACAAAAAACAGTCCGAGTCTGCGGAACGACAGAAGGATTCTGAACATTGCTGAAGTGAGGGTTTTGTTTGTTGCTGTTGTTACAGGGTGGGGCCCCCGTTCGTTGTTGCGTTCAGTTGGTAAACATAAGTGGCTGATTTAATGGTTGGTAGATATAACGAACTAGTATTCATGGGGATTATAATGGTTTATAAACCAACTTATAACTGGGGGGCCCCATCCTGCAACCTGGGAATTTGTTACATAGCTATTGAACATGGTGATTTATACTGGATTTACCCATTGATAGCATGGTGATTTTCCATAGTTTTGTAAACGTTTACCAGAGGGTAACCAAGGTTATTCCCATTGGCTACAATGTGGATTTTCTCAGTCAGTGATTGTTTTTTTTTCTCTGGGTACATCAACCAGAAATGGTGTATCTATAGGGAACATTGTTGTTCTTATGTTTGGACAATTTGAAGCACATATCAAAGGGACTAATCATGGGGTTAGAGAAACCACTGTTTGTCTTTTTCTAAAATAATGAACTGCTTGTCTATTTTGTTTGGTGGTTAGCAAATGTATCATATATATATATGTAAGTTCTTTGCAATATCACATTCCCAGTTGTTGCTTCAGATCACCATGCCTGTTGGCCATGCCAGGTCTGTAGTTTTGTGTGTACCCATGTTTAGTTTTGCCTTTTACCAGCTTAAAACCTGAATTGTGGTTTTGGCTTATATCACACCCATTTAATCCGCCGATTAAGCAGTATGTTTTGCTTGCCAGTTCAATGTTGCATCATTTCTGATCATAATATATATATATATAACTTATTTGGGTACAATTTTGAAATCCTTTATCTTCAGGCAAAATTGATCAGGTTGGATCATTTTACTGATTTAAGTCTAGATTTCATGTCTTGATATTGATATTAATTGGCATGTCTAAGAATGAGGAATAAACTACATACCTTTACAGTGGCCCTCAAACATGGAAAATTATGGAAAACCGAAGGATTTGGGTTCCCATATGTTTTCCCCCGAAAAGCCCATTTGTTTGTCCAATCATTGTCCCATGATTTTCCATAAATGTCTCATAAATTTCCCACTAAATTTTCCCATATGATGAACATCATGTCCAATATTATGTTCCCATCATTTTCCCAATATTTTCCCATATTGTTTCCAATCGTATGCCTATATTATTCATAGAAAATTCCCATCATTATGTCCCAACGATTTGTCACTATGATCCTAATCATTGTCCTGTAATTTTGTGATTTTCCTATATAAGAGGCATAATTCCCAATGATTTCTCCATAGTATCCATACTGTAAATTTCCCGTAATTTTCCCCAATGATTTTCCCATATTATGCATAATAATGTTCAATCCTTGGGAAACATGTGGAAATTGTCAATATCATATCCCTTATTACAATATAATTGCTCATCCCTCATTATAATAACAATAATATTTCCGAGTGATTCCCTTTTTCCGCCACTTCGCATTGTCTGGAGGAGTTTGTGGAGGAATTGCTGGATGTCTTGGACGGCAAGGTTCGCGCTTCGCCATAATTCAGGGTTGATAGCTGGGAAATTCATCTTTCAATAGTGATTAATTAAATAGTGATTCATAATGGTTTAACACTGGTTTAACAATGGTCTAATAGTGGTTTAATAATAGTTTAATAGTCACGAAAAAAGATTAATAGTGACTAAATAGTCATTTATTTGTGTTCAATAGTGATGCAATGGGATTAATACTGGGTCAACCTTGGTTAGATACGAACTAGTGCTTTAATATTTTGCTATCACTGCTAAAATGTACTAACCAGCTTAAACATCAAAACATGTTTTTTTGGTAGGTATCTAAGATTCACCATGCAACTATATTATATAACAACACTGATTGTTCACTCGTAAACACGTTTAATGATTAGTAATTCTAATAGAATCATTATGAATCCCATTGCCAGCCTTGGAAGGAGGCCTCCACTGACACTGTCATCCGGGCGCGTACTACCAAGCAGTACTTAGAGCAGACCTTAGAGCCACTTCTTGGTACTTCAGGAAGCAGTCCTCAGGCCTCCTACCTACTACCTGCACTCAACGCTTCAAGGTCAGGATGGCATTGCTGCAAACTACATCACTGTCGTGCTTCCAGAAGCTCTCCCCACGGTGACTTTGTGTTGGTCAAGTCCAACAGTCGCGGTGGTGACAGTGGATCGCCCATCTTCAGCGCCAACTCCAAGAAACTTCTTTCGATCTCCTATTTGGGGTGTACTCCAGACAACTGGACAGAAGCTCTGGGCTAGAGTTGAACCGAGCCTACTCGGAGCTGACCTCAAGGAGTAAACTCTTCTAATGAATGTCCAGCTTACTGCTGGCTGCAGTTCCGTCCCTCTGGGACATGAACTGCACTCTTGTACCTCTGGTACCCCTAGTTCTGTCCATCAGAACTGGTCTGGTGCAACGTGTTGCCAACGTGTTTTTAGATCCCATAGCCATTAACAATGGATTTTCAAAAAGTGTTTACGGTCCGAGCACCGGTCGGCTACAGGAACCATTGGTAGTTTTATGAGATTTTTCACCCAGCGAAATTCCATGGAGGATTCAATGGGATGATAAAACTGATGTTGACGCAATGGTGGGATATTAATGATCTTATATAATAGTAATAATCCCCATGGTTTATCCAAGGTTGATCATACTGTTAGGTTTATAATTTCTATAACATAGAAATTTCTCAAGCTTTTGGGTTTCTGGGGGATCATGGGGGATCATACTAGCTGGGGGGTCAACTTGGTTGGCTATTTTATAACTTTACAATAACTTGATATAAACCAAATTATGATAACCATGCTCAACCCTGTGGTTTACCTATCCATCAGATATTGTGGGGATTTCTGATTTGGGGATCAACACCAGCAAGGAGATTAATAGTCATCAATAGTGATTAATAGTGAATATCTGGATTTGATTCAGATGATGTTTGTTTTTTCCAATCGGAACCCCACTGGAAATGGGGAATCGATTCTTTAAGGATGGTTTTATGTCTCGGGGGTTCTTGAGCAAATACAAGTAGTATGTGCTAACATAAGAACCTAGTGATACATAATAATACCATTGATATCATATAATGTGGATTAATGTGGCATATAATGGACGAAATGTGTGAATGTAGTAATGACATGGTTACTAGTAGTTACCAGTGCACCATTGGTAGTATACACTATTAAATCAAGAGTAATTGGTATATATTTATCTATTAGTACGATACACATATATACAATATTGTCAGTTAATACCTATGGGTAAATAATGGCAAATGATGTAAGAATTTGCTAATCATACGCTACTTGATGCTACTTTATGCTGGGAATATAGTGCGCTAATAACTCAAATTAACCAACATTAGTGGCATATAATGAATGAAAGCATCGCTGCGTTATGCTGAGCTTTTAGATCACCATCTGTCACCGCTTTAGGAAAATCCGTTATAGTTATGGCCATCTATTAGTTACAACTGGTTATTTCAATGGGATTATACATTTTATAAACAGGAAACCATACAGTTATGCCCATGGCTATTAGTTAGAACTGGTTATTTCAATGGGTACATTTTATAAACAGGAAACCATACAGTTATGCCCATGGCTATTAGTTAGAACTGGTTATTTCAATGGGTACATTTTATAAACAGGAAACTATACAGTTATGCCCATGGCTATTAGTTTGAACTGGTTATTTCAATGGGTACATTTTATGAACAGGAAACCATACAGTTATGCCAATGGCTATTAGTTAGAACTGGTTATTTCAATGGGTACATGTTATAAACAGGAAACCATACAGTGATGCCCATGGCTATTAGTTAGAACTGGTTATTTCAATGGGTACATTTTATAAACAGGAAACCATACAGTTATGCCCATGGCTATTAGTTAGAACTGGTTATTTCAATGGGTACATTTTATAAACAGGAAACCATACAGTTATGCCCATGGCTATTAGAACTGGTTATTTCAATGGGTACATTTTATAAACAGGAAACCATACAGTTATGCCCATGGCTATTAGTTAGAACTGGTTATTTCAATGGGTACATTTTATAAACAGGAAACCATACAGTTATGCCCATGGCTATTAGAACTGGTTATTTCAATGGGTACATTTTATGAACAGGAAACCATACAGTTATGCCCATGGCTATTAGAACTGGTTATTTCAATGGGTACATTTTATAAACAGGAAACCATACAGTTATGCCCATGGCTATTAGAACTGGTTATTTCAATGGGTACATTTTATAAACAGGAAACCATACAGTTATGCCCATGGCTATTAGAACTGGTTATTTCAATGGGTACATTTTATAAACAGGAAACCATACAGTTATGCCCATGGCTATTAGTTAGAACTGGTTATTTCAATGGGTACATTTTATAAACAGGAAACCATACAGTTATGCCCATGGCTATTAGAACTGGTTATTTCAATGGGTACATTTTATAAACAGGAAACCATACAGTTATGCCCATGGCTATTAGAACTGGTTATTTCAATGGGTACATTTTATAAACAGGAAACCATACAGTTATGCCCATGGCTATTAGAACTGGTTATTTCAATGGGATTATACATTTTATAAACAGGAAACCATACAGTTATGCCCATGGCTATTAGAATTGGTTATTTCAATGGGATTATACATTTTATAAACAGGAAACCATACAGTTATGCCCATGGCTATTAGAACTGGTTATTTCAATGGGATTATACATTTTATAAACAGGAAACCATACAGTTATGCCCATGGCTATTAGAACTGGTTATCTCAATGGGATTGTACATTTTATAAACAGGAAACCATACAGTTATGCCCATGGCTATTAGAACTGGTTATTTCAATGGGATTATACATTTTATAAACAGGAAACCATACAGTTATGCCCATGGCTATTAGAACTGGTTATTTCAATGGGTTTATACATTTTACAAATGGGCTTTTCTTAGTACTTTGAAGTGGTATAACTCGGGCCCCTTCACGACGTAACGGGGATCACATCGACGCCGGCACCACGAGTCGAGTCTGGAATGACTTGATGACCCTTGCATCAACATGTCTAAGGAACAGATATAATGGGTATATAAATGGAACATATATATATATAGTGATTAATGGAACATGGTTTATAGTGAACAGTGGTTAATGGTATTGATGGGAATCTTATAATATATATATTTATATATAGATATCATGTATATGTCTGAACATTGGGCATTTAGTGCACCAAGACGGCAATTTTCATCTGGTTGGTGCTTTGGAACATGAATTTGATTTTTGCCATATCTTGGGAATAATAATCCCAACTGACTTTCATATTTTCCAGAGGGGTTGAAACCACCAACCAGTATATATATACATATATATATATATATTGTAAATCAATATATTATACATATTATTGGATATGTATATATATATTATTATGTATTCCTTTTGGGGTATGAATGGCTAATACTTCTCAACATTTAGACATGTTTTTCTTTGCATTCCAAGGATTCCCAGGTGGGATCAACATGTTTAGGTCTTTGATGAATCGTTTTGTAAACTGGGACTTGATGGTTTAATGGTAAATTCATTGGATTGGTTTACGGGAAAGTTGGACCCGGAAGCCCCCCATATTTCATGGTAAAAACCATGGTTTCCGGTTAAGATTGTCCCTTAATCGAATGATACATACGAGAGTGTGTATGAAAATGGTGCAACAGGTCCCAGGGAAAACAGGGACCATCATTTTCATACGGAGAAATATGATAAACCAGGGGATTTGGAAACTGTTTTCAGAGTTTCAGACAAACTGGGAACCAGGTTATATCTTTGGTAGTCACTTGGTGCTTCACTGGGAACCAATCTAAGTTTGAGTTCCAGGTTTTGGGTTGAAACCAGCAAACATGGTTGGGTTTTTTCCACCATCTATAAATGGGTCATGGGAATACTATGGAATACTGCTTGGTGGTTTCACACATTCGGATTATTTCCCGGGAATACTATGGAATACTGCTTGGTGGTTTCACACATTCGGATTATTTCCCGGGAATACTATGGAATACTGCTTGGTGGTTTCACACATTCGGATTATTTCCCGGGAATACTATGGAATACTGCTTGGTGGTTTCACACATTCGGATTATTTCCCCATGATATATTGGGAATAATCCTTCCCATTGACTCATATGTTTCAAGATGGTTATATAAAACCACCAAGCAGTTTTTTTTAATCCATGAGTATCCCATCAACTGGCAAGGGCTATAGAAAGATCCACCATTTTAAAGAACGGTAAACTATAGCTAAACTATAGAAAACCATGAAAATACATTTTTTCCATAGAAAATCACCATTTTTAATAGGTAAACCATGAACATACCCATAGGTAAACCATCTATTTCTATGGGCCATGGCTTCCAGTTCGCAAACGGTGGCAGGATTTCCTGGGAAAGCCCCTTCGAGTCAATTGGGCCCGTGAAAAGGCGGGGCACGTGGGAGATGCACATGGGAGCCATGGTTTTGATGCCAGCCATACCAGCCATGGCATGGTGTTTTAGGAGGTGGTTTTATGCTTTTAACCAACAATAAATATCATAATGGCTGTTTATTAACCAACATACATAAGAACCTAATATCACGGTTTAACCAAGACACAGGATGATTAAGCAACCTTTACCATGTCTATTTGATCATGAAACTCTGGATTTGACAAATGAAGAATCCCTTGTGTGTTTGACCGCGGCACATGTATAACAGGCAGAGATGTGGATTTGAGTGGCCAAAAATCGTTTTGCTTATCCACCTTGATTATATTTGATTGGTTACTTGAGGTCATATCATGTCCTTTTGTTTGTCTTGTCTCAAGCAATAGCAATGCCCGAGGTTTTTGTTCCTTCTGGTTGGTTCTATGTCCTTTTTGGTTGCGAAAACATCATCAGCTGTGTTGATCAAGAATCTTTAGCATTAGATTGCCGAAGTCCAGAATCATGATGGTCAAATCTTCATCTGGTTGGTGGTTTGGACCATGATTTTTATGTTTCCATATGTTGGGAATAATCATCCCAACTGACTAATATTTTTCAGCGGGGTTGAAACCACCAGCCAGTCATTGTTGTAGGTAATTATTTCTCTTTTCCCTCGTGAAAAATCCCCATTGAGGCTGTCAGAATTGCCCGTTGTTCCGGCATGGTTTCCTTGTTCTTACCACAGTCTTCAGTGTGTGTGATTCACGTACTCATCTCTGTGGGTAAAACCCAAGTTTCCCTGCTTGAATTTCCATATTTTGCTGATAAAATCTGATAGCTTTCATGGTTTTCCAATAGATTCTGAAAGATCTTCAAGTTTTTCCCCACCTGCCAGGTGAGGGTTGTTAGATTTTATGTCAGTTGCCTCCTCCTCCTGCTCCTCCTCCTGCTCCTCCTCCTCCTCTCCTCCTCCTCCTCGTCCTCCTTGTCATCCTTGTCGTCCTTGTCGTCCTCGTCGTCCGCTTCGTCCTTGCTCAACTGCGACCCGCGATCCATAGTGTTCTCTGCCGGACCTCAACCACGACCATCTCCGCCCAGTGTTCCCTGTCGGACCTCAACCACGACCATCCACGCCCAGTGTTCCCTGCCGGACCTCAACCACGACCATCCACGCCCAGTGTTCCCTGCCGGACCTCAACCGCCAGTATCCACGCCAAGTGTTCCCTGCCGGACCTCATGTAGGAAGATATGGGACAAAGAATGTGTAGAAGAAAGTTAGAACGAATGTCAGAAAGAATGTCAGAAGATATGCCAGAAGATATGCCAGATAGAATGCCAAATAGAATGCCAGATAGAATGCCAGATAGAATGCCAGAAGATATGTCAGAATATATGCCAGAAGATATGCCAGATAGAATGCCAGATAATTTGCCAGAAGATATGCCAGATAGAATGCCAGATAGAATGCCAGAAGATTTGCCAGATAGAATGCCATGCCAAAATATGCCAGAAGATATGCCAGATGCCAGATATGCCAGAAGATATGCCAGAAGATATGCCAGAAGATATGCCAGAAGATATGTCAGAATATATTCCAGAAGATATGTCAGATAGAATGCCAGAAGATATGTCAGAATATATGCCAGAAGATATGCCAGATAGAATGCCAGATTGAATGCCAGAAGATATGTCAGATAGAGTGCCAGAAGATATGCCAGATAGAATGCCAGAAGATTTGCCAGATAGAATGCCAGAAGATATGCCAGATCATATGCCAGAAGATATGCCAGATAGAATGCCAAATAGAATGTCAGAAGATATGTCAGATAGAATGCCAGAAGATTTGCCAGTAAGAAAATGTATAAATGTCATGGTGGGGATCACACGAAGTAAAGTAATTTTGAAAATCAACTCGCCATTTTGTTGTGTTTCCAAGTTTTCTTTCTCGGCCGGTCATTGCAATCAAAGACTCGGTGCTACCCTCGGTTGATTTAAATATCCTACGCAAAAAAAACAAAACTACGGTTGTTGATTTTACTATCCAACGGAGAAAACAAAAAACACATCTACGATTGATTGATTCCCCACCTGCCAGGTGAGGGTTGTTAGATTTTATGTCAGTTGCCTCCTCCTCCTGCCGCCTCCTGCCTCCTGCCTCCTCCTCGTCCTCCTTGTCGTCCTTGTCGTCCTCGTCGTCCTCGTCGTCCTCGTCCAACTGCGACCCGCGATCCACAGTGTTCGCTGCCGGACCTCAACCACGACCATCCACGCCCAGTGTTCCCTGCCGGACCTCAACCACGACCATCCACGCCCAGTGTTCCCTGCCGGACCTCAACCGCGAGTATCCATGCCAAGTGTTCCCTGCCGGACCTCAACCACGACCATCCACGCCCAGTGTTCCCTGCCGGACCTCAACCGCGAGTATCCACGCCAAGTGTTCCCTGCCGGACCTCATGTAGGAAGATAAAATGTCAGATAGATTGCCAGAAGATTTGCCAGGTAGAATGCCAGAAAATATGCCAGAAGATATGCCAGATAGATATGCCAGAAGATATTCCAGAAGATATGCCAGATAGAATGCCAGATAGAATGCCAGAAGATATGTCAGAATTTATGCCAGAAGATATGCCAGATAGAATGCCAGAAGATATGCCAGATAGAATGCCAGAAGATTTGCCAGATAGAATGCCAGAAGATATGCCAGAAGATATGCCAGATAGAATGCCAAATAGAATGTCAGAAGATATGTCAGATAGAATGCCAGAAGATGTGCCAGTAAGAACATGTATAAATGTCATGGTGGGGATCACACGAAGTAAAGTATTTTTTTTTGGCAAAAAAGTCGTGTGTTTATCAACGGCTCTGTGTGGAAAAACTTGGCCCCAGGAGGACTTCTGGTGGCAGAAGAAATCGCGGCGTTCCACTCCTGGGATCCCTCGCTATGTTCTGCAGCTGCCCAAAGGCGAAGCCGGCGAAGCCTCGGGAGGGACCAAAGGCAGTGATGGCTATTGCTATGACGTTATTTTGCTGGTGAATTCAATGGGAGTAGACATTTTATACATGGGGTGATATATATATAATTATATTATATATATATGTATCATATGTAATATATATTTTATATGTATATATTTATATTATATATTTATATTATATATATATATCATATATATATATATACATAATTAGTATATAAGTACTTACAACTGGTAGTTAAAGGCGCAAAACTATGGGGGTTTGGTGGAAGATCATGGGAATCTCTGGCATCCCCCCAAAAAAATGGTGAGATGTCACTAGGACTTAGGATTTTTCTGTTCTATCTTGTTTGCGGATGACTATAACCCAGAGTTGTGAATGATATATCTGAGATATCTTCGGTTTTCATGATGACATGTTCATAGAAATTCATAGAAACATATAGAAGCAATAGATTTGAATTAGCATGGACTTATATAGCCTTTGGCCTTTTGATAGGTTGCTACGTACAGTTAGCATTTTTAAAAAGGTGAAGCATCAAGCTGATCCATATTACCATCGATCCATCGGGAAAGTGGTAGCTGGGGTATATCCGGAACTTGTCCCAGTGCTTGATGTTGTAATCATGTTGTAACCCCTTGATGACTGAGCAATTTCAAGCATCTTGAAGGGTCGGGTTAGGGTTAGGGCAAAATCTACTAGCTAGGCATCTCCGGAAAATCACCATTTTCGATAGGTAAATCATCATGTTTATCATCGAACTAAATGGGCCATGGCTTCCATAGCTATGTGAAATAACAAAGGTATAACAGGAAAAAGTTCACAGTCTCCTTTTTCCCCTTGACAACATTGATATTCAGATAAATTATTGTCCTTTACTACAGAGAGCAAATCCATTATCATCTCACTATTATCCCATTAAGTGTATGGGGAAGAGGGGCAGGGGGAAAGGGGGAAGTCTAGACCTCTTAAGTATAATTAAATCACTCTGCCCTGCTTCATTACTGTCCAGTATTTGCCGGTTTTCTGGGGAAGAAAACCTAGATTTTGGCGCACTTTCAATCAGCAATGTTTGCTGTCAAAAAAAACATCATTTTCTGTTTAAAGTTTGAATCCCACGGTTTCTCCATTTCTTAAACTTGGCTAAACAAATCAATCTCAGCTTTTCTTAATTCACCAACTGTAGAGTCAGTTCAATATCATCCTAAAGATCCATCAATTTTCCTATACAGGCACCACTAGTAGATCACTCGTTGTTGTCGTTGTTTACATTTCTTCTAGTCCATTGATCTCATATCCCAATGAAACACCAAAAAATGTCTTCACCCAATTGCAAGTTGGATTATCGCCCCAAATGTGTATATATCTGGGTAAATTACTTTATGGTTAGTAAGGGGAATCATTCCCAACTAGCCTTAATTCAGGTTAGTGAAATATTATAATATACCCAGATATATATATATATATATACATAGAGTGAAAAACACCACAAAGCCGAGTGACATGTTAGTTATAGCAAACCAACTTTGCTTTCAGAAATTCAGCATAACGCTCACTTTTGTTCCTTAAATTCCAACATTGTCCTGATCTTCGATGGATAAATTCCATGTTGCTTCCCATGTGTTTCATGGTGAAATCCATGTGTTTCTTCATTTTTCATGGTAAATCTCAAGTTTTTCATTTGTTTCTTGGTGACAATCTGTTTTTTCCCCCTTAAAAAACGCAAAAAGTGATTCCCTCCATGTTCCCAAGCGCAGCACCGCAGGTTTGCAGCAGCTCATTGCACCAGAGGAGGCGATGGAGAAATTGAGGCGGGAACAGCGGCGTTTTTTTGGGGGGTTGAGGGGGTACAAGGTGGGGCCCCCGAACGATAGTTAAGTTGGTTTATAACTCCAGTAACTATGGTTTATGGTACCTATAACTATAGTATTCGTGGGGTTTATAAACAATCTAACATCACTGGGGCCCCACATTGTAAGATAGAAGATATTGCCTATATTATTAGTGATTAGGAAGGTGATTACTGGTGATGAAAAAATGATTAAAGGTAATTAATGGTGATTAATAGTGATTAATGGTGATTTATAATAGTGAATATTCAGGATACGCCCTCTGGTAATATGTTACATGGCTAGTGTTTTTTTTCCATAGGTATGCTAGTTTACCAGAGGGTATTCCAGGACACTAAGATAGAAGATATTGCCTTAAATTATGTTTCTATTCATTTTGCGCTTGATCAATAGAAGATCCGCAGCATTAGTGGATCCCTATATACATGATAAGCGTCAATAGATGTTAATACTTACATTATTCAATGGATATTTATTCTTACACTTATTACTATTACACACACTATTTACTATTCAGAAATATTGACCATTATTGATCCATTGTTACTGTATATACTCGGCACATGCCCATTATATATCTACTATAATCCATATGAGCTTGCAGACTACAACGAGATGGTGCCCTGACTTTGTCGTCCACCCGTGGTGATTTGGGGCGTCGAGCTGAGCTCTGAATGCTCGATGAAACGTATGGTTACCACCTGGGATTAGCTTTTATGTTTTAATGTGGTGCGTCTGCTGATTGCAGTTGTGTCGGCACTTGCCAATTTACAGACTCACTTGCCAATACAACGAGATGGTGCCCTGACTTTGTCGTCCACCCGTGGTGATTTGGGGCGTCAAGCTGAGCTCTGAATGCTCGATGAAACGTATGGTTACCACCTGGGATGAAACGCCAACTGGCGATGACTTAGCTTTTATGTTTTGATGTGGTGCGTCTGCTGATTGCAGTTGTGTCGGCACTTGCCAATTTACAGACTCACTTGCCAATATACAGAAAAAATAATATTTGTACCAGTAGTACCCGCACGAGACGGGGCGGAAGTTGCCTTAAAGATATATATATATATAAGACCTTTCTCATCTATAGAATTTGCATGCGCCGTGCGCCAGCGAAGCCCGTGCGTGCGTGCACTCTGCGAAACTGTTGTCTTGTTTCACATGTCACATTTGAAGCTCCACGTCACACTTAACACTTGACAATCTTCACACTTCACACTGCGCTCTTCACACTGCACCCTTCGCAGTCAACACTTCACTTCACACTGTACTCTGAAGACTCCACACTTCACACTTCACACTGCACTCTTCGCACTCCAAACTTCACACTTCACAGTCCACACTTCACGCTTCACATTCCACACTTCGCACTGCACTCTTCACGCCCTTTCTCACTGCACTCTTCACACTCCAAACTTCACACTTCACACTCCACACTGCACTCTTCACGCCCCACACTTCACACTGCACTCTTCACACCCCACACTTCATCTCATCTGAGCTCTTCTCACCTTATCCCAATATGTCATCTAAGCTTTCATGAATCTCTTCCCAGTACTACTACAAAGGAACTTGCATGCGCAGTGCGCCAGCTAGGCCCGTGCGTGCGTGCTTTGTGCGAAGCTGTTGCAGTGTTGCTGTCCAAGAACATGACCTGCGCGCGTCCCCGGTGCAATGCAACGTCAAGCAAGCACTTTCCTCACACATCACATTGCACCCTTCACACTTCACAGTCCACACTTCAAAAGACAATAGTATTACGCGTGCAGCCGCGGCAAGAAGCAACCTTGACGCAGCCATTACAATGCGATCCGCAAAGACCGAGTTGCAAAACACAATAGATCCACGCGCAACGGCGCCGGAAACAGGAGCTCCAAAACCGAATCTCGACGCCACAGCAGAAAAAAGACGATTTTGAAGCACTTTGGAAAAGGATTTTTAGAAGGAAAATTGCTAGCACCAAAATTGCGAAAATCTGCTGACAAATCACTCTCGCAGCCTGGCAGCAGCCACTCCAATACGATTTACGAGATCCAGCTGCAAAAGACAATAGTATTACGCATGCAGCCGCGGCACCAAGCAACCTTGACGCAGCCACTACAATGCGATCTGGAGAGACTGAGTTGCAAAACACAATAGATCTACACGCAACGGCGTCGGAAATTGCAGCTCCAAAACCGAATCTCTCACTTCCTCACCACTTCCCTTCCTCACCACCTCCCATCGTCCCCACCTGCCTTCCTCACCACTCGCCTTCATCATCACTTCCCTCCGTCACCACTTCCCTTCCTCACCACTTGCCATCGTCACCACTTCCCTTCCTCACCACTTCCCGTCATCACCACTTCCCTTCCTCACCACTTCCCATCGTCACCACTTCCCTTCCTCACCACTTCCCGTCATCACCACTTCCCTTCCTCACCACTTCCCATCGTCACCACTTCCCTTCCTCACCACTTCCCTTCGTCACCACTTCCCATCGTCACCACGTCCCTTCGTCCCCACCTCCCTTCCTCACCACTTCACTTCGTCACCACTTCCCTTCGTCACCACTTCCCTTCGTCCCCACCTCCCTTCCTCACCACTTCCCTTCGTCACCACTTCCCTTCGTCACCACTTTTCTTCGTCACCACCCGTCATTGTCAGCACCCTTCATCAAGGTCAATTCCACCGCTTCTTATTCCTTTTTTATGTATTGTTATGTTTTGTATTGTTATGTGATCTACCACCCTTCATCATTTCAAGTCTCAGAATTCTATTTGTCCGAAACACGGAAGTATTGCTTCCCAACTTCCTTTGACCAATTGGTCAATAGCTGTTCTCAGCCATTAATGAACTCTTACATTAAGAGTTAGGTAGCCACTTCTGGTTCCTTCGTTCTTTAACAGATAAGAATGGCACATGATGGTCACTCGTGGTTTTTATGAAGATTAAGGATTCTTAATTATAGATTGGTTAATTATACTGGTTAGTGGATGTTGGTGGAAGTGGATGAAGGGAAAGCTATGGAAAACACTCAGTTTTGGGTAAACACTAGGTTTCCTATAATGTTTGCACCAAACATCGCCCATTATTTCTTCTTGTAGATTCATGTATGGGATTTATATAGCCAAGCAAAATGGGAATTTATTGAATTTAGCAAATTACTACAAATTGGGTCTTTACCTTTTTTTGCTTTGGGTTGACCTTTTAGCGGCAGCAGTTCCTATGTATTCCTTCCCTTTCATAAGGATTTTAAGCTGATCTATTGTGGAATATAGGGGCAAGGGATTAAAGTGGACTAAAGTGCAATTTTCTATTTTTTGGGATGCCCTTACGTTCACCCTGACTTATGTTGGGTGCAACCATGGGGTAATGGGGTATCGTTCTACCGGTCCATGTAGAAAACTTTGGGTTTTTAACACTCTGGTTTTATATGGTCTAATATGGACAACAATGGGATATGGTGGTTTCCTAAAATAGGGGTACCCCCAAATCATCCATTTATAGATGGATGTTCCATGAAATCAACCATCCAGCTATTGGGGTATCCCCATTTCAGGAAACCCCCATATGGTGGGATAACCATGAGATATTATCATATATCAATGTGATAATACAGGATGGCCCCCCCCCAGTTATAAGTTGGTTTTTAAACATTTATAAACCATTATAATCCCCATTAACTATAGTTATATCTACCATAAACCGTTGAATTCAGCCACTTATAAACCAACTGAACGCAACAACGAACGGGGGCCCCACCATGTAATGGATTTAGCCTCTGGGAATCAAATGTGGCTAGCTGGAAATTCCCTGAACTAAATGAAGGTTTCAAGCTGGCAATATTTGACTAATTATTGGATTTTCCAACAAGCCACGTTTAGTTTCCGGAGGGAATTGATTTTGGTTGTTGATCCATTTTTCCTATAGAATGAAACATGTTTTGAATATGTTCTGATTCATATCTCCACGCAGAATGATTCAGCCATATTCAGCTCTTGGACGCCCAAAATCCTTGGCTTCACGTGGCAAAACAAGTGGAAATCCATAGGCAAAATAGGCAAAACCACCGGCGCACTGGTGATCCCACTCCAGAAGCGGATTTTTTCTCAGCGCTGCTGATGTTTATCTCATGTGCTCACCATGATCCATGTCCTGTTATCTTTTGTTCTTGGAATCATGAAAAACCAATGTGTGCCTTTATATACACAAAGTACATACGCATTTTTCATGTTCTATGAGGGTTTCATTAAAATCCATTCAAATCCCTGACATGTTCCATTAAATGCCATGAAAATCAACTACCATCCACCAAGATCCTTTCAAATCCATCAACATCATCATTAAATTCACCACTAAAATTCATTTCCTCACACATGTCACCACTTTGGAATCTTTTCCCAAGATCGAAGTGTGCCACAGAATGCACCGTAACGTGTCCGCGTAGGACAGAGGAAGTCGTCACGAACGTTGAGAAAGTCCAGGAGATTGATGAACTCTGAGGCTCCGATCGAAAAAAAACAGGTGCCATGGGATCGGTGCTTCAAGGACCCCCAGAATAGCCATGGCCAGAAATTATGGCCATGGCATGCCATGGCTAATTAGTTATAGCTGGTTATTTCTATGGGATTATACATGAACCATAAATATATAACTGAGGTTTTCTTAGTACTTAGAACTGGTAAAGGACCATAACTGTAGAAATCTGTAGGTCTGTTCAAAGAGGTTTTAATCAGGATGTTCACCATTATTTGTAGAGGTGTTAACAATGTGTTAACCATGAATAATGGTTGGATGATAGATATGATGGAATGATATAATTATACCTGGTCTAGATATGGTACTGATGGTATTAATCTAATGATACGATGATAAGAATGGATGTAATATGATGATATGTAAATGGTATGGTTATATCAACGGTATTAATGATATTAATACAAGTACATGTAAATAATGAATAATATTAACAGTTGAAACTACCATCCATGAGTAGAGTGACTGATCGTGTTTAAAGTAGCATGTTACTTGTGCTTTCCAAGAGTGCTGATAGTGACATTTCACGCAAGACTTTTTTCAAGCTGCAAAGAACGTGTTCTTTTCCCATGGTGCCCTACACATTTCGGGGCTTGGGTTGTGGGGGCCTGGCCGTCACTCGAAGATGGCAACGGTGATTTCACCTCCGTTAGCGATGCGGATTCCAGCAATTCCATGTGTAACGTTAACGTTAATAATGCTTGTTAAGAATGCTGGTAATGGGCGAATTCTGTCCATGTTAAGAATGCTTGTTTTCTATATATTAAGTTAGGAATGGGCGAATTCACCAAATCCAAGATGTCCATGGCTCTCCAGCGTGTCGAATTTTCATTCCAGTGATCATTTTGGTAATCAAAAGTGGGCTGGAAAATCCTTCATTTCCACTTGGGTTTCACGTTAAGACCCTCATTTAAAGGGGATTTTCCAGCCACGTTTGAGTACAGGAGGCTACTGGATTGATTGATGGGTTGAACATCTCAAAGGGCACCTAGAGACTGAAATCGCCGGCACTGCGCCACGCGTCGCCGCACGCAGTTTTGGGTTCCACGTGAAAATTCGCGCATCGAAGGCGAATTTCATGCGCGATGCGATCAACTTAGATGGCTTAGGAAAGTTAATTCGGTGCAGATCTTGGCAACTCTGAGCATATGTTGCCACTGAATCTAGATGTTTTAGACTTGGGCTGGGAAGCGACAGGTGGTTGGCTATTTTTCGTTTTGTTTTTGTTGGACAAGATAACAAGATTTAAAATGATTGTTGGCTTGCCAACGACCTGGCTGCAATATGACCCATTCCATTTGCAAATTGCAGGGATTTTTATGCATATAATCGACTTGAGGTATCGGCTGAAATGACGGGTAAACAATTGTAAAATCATGTAAAATCATGCTAGGGATTACAGACAATCCTGAGATAGGTTCAATACATGGCTGTGGCATGATGTGGCTCAAAATTTGAGATGGTTAGTTGAATATATAATCTGGTTTGTGGTTTCAAACATTTTTTTGTCCATGATATATGAGATAATCCTTCCCATTGACTTTCATATTGTTCAGAGGGGTAGGTATACCACCAACCAGTAATGCTGAAGACCATCTTAAGTGCCAACATTCACCATTGATGGGTCCACGAATAAAAAACCCACATATCCCGTACATAAGGATTCCTGCATGGGGTCTCCGTCGTGGTTTCGTGGCTGATTCGACGGAATCATCGGATGCGGACGATCGACGCTGCTCGAGGGAAGCGCTGTGGCAAGCCGGGAAGCGGCCGTGGCATGGAGGAAATGAGGACGAGGAAAAGGTGGAGTTCCCTGTGGGCCGGTGGGAAATGTGTAATACCCTATACATTCAACACATATAGCAATGAAGAGTTTATTGCAAGCAAGAAAAACATATCTACAATTCTATAACCCTCTTTATAAAACCAGAAAAACATACCCAGATGCTCCATGGTGCTGTAATATTTACCTACCTTTACCCCAAAAATAGCTAGAACAACTCAAAAATGTAGATGAAAAGTTTCCAGCACCATGGTTCGCATGTGGCATATATATATATAATACATCTATGAATCTATTATATCTCCTGGTGATTCCCCCTGCCTCAAACTTGTGATTCTGATTGGATTCCAATTGGATACCCAGTGGATGGTGGTTCATCACACTTACTAACTAGGTTATAACATGTTATAACCTCACTTATAATTATAAGTGGATTAATTCTAGAAATTCTACTTAAGTGGATGAAAAATCTACTTATCCCACCGGATGAACCAGGATGAACCAGGGATATATGATGTAACCTACAAGAACATGGGATGAGCCACCAAGTATAAATGGGTATTTGTTCATGCGAAAAGCATCTATGAATGGGGGATTGAAATGGCTTTATGAGTTTCCATTGCCATATTTGATTACCGAAGGGTACATCATGTAAAGCCTCGTATCGTGGGTACTGTATGAACTTGGTATGTTTGCCAGTGATTGGATGACAAACATGTCCCTAGGTCCCTAAAACTCTTCAGAATTGACCAATCATACAATGTGGGGCCCCCAGACGTGATGGAACGATGGTTTATAACCCCCATGAAAACTATAGTTATAGGTACCATAAACCATAGTGAAATTGGAGTTAGGTGCACCAACTGAACGCTATCCAACGGGGGCCTCGCATTGTAGGTATGTCATATGATACCAATCATATGGTGTCACATCCGTCACCCCGTCAAACATCGTCGAACTCAAAAACCGTGACACATCTGGTTATTTAATGGGCAATCATAAAATGAATGGTCATTTAATGGTTATTTAATTTGGTGATTAATGGGATCATTGATAATAATGAATGTTACCATCTGGCTATGACATTCACAGTGAGCGAAATGGAAAGATCCACCATTTATAGTGAATATTCCCATGAAAAATGGTGATTTTCCATAGTTTAATAGGTAAACCATCGAACTTTCTATGGGCTATCGAAAAAAAACATGGCGAACTGTTAGTCATAACCAGGTTGGGTAATTGTGAAGCCCATCCCCGGATTGCCATTTTGGTCAACTGCCATCATTTCCAGTTATATCCCTATCTGGGTAAATCATAACAACCTCACTGCGACCGAACCCTGGAATCATGGGTAATACGGGACATCATCCCCAAGATAGCCTTAATTCAGATACGTGAAATTTCATAATATAATATAAGATAATATAACATAACAAAATATAATATAATATAATATAACATGATATAATTTAATATTATATAATAAATTTTAATATGTTACAATATACTATAATATAATAGAATATAGTGTAATTTAATATACAATATAATATATAATATAATATGCAATATTTAATTTTTAATATAATATAATATATTCTAATATAATTTAATATAATATAATATTATATTATATTATTTTATATTATATTCAATAATATATTATGATATGATATGATATAATATGATATGATATAACCTGATTATAATTTAATAATATGTAATAAAATTTAATATAATATAATATCATATAATATAATATAACATAATAGGATATGATATAATATATTATAATACAGTAATATATATATAATTCGATTTGTGTACGAACCAGCATTAGTCAGCAGAATCTTTAATCCATCACCTACCCGGAGTGACATTATGATTTCCGCCTCAAAATTGTAGACACGTTTGCTAATAAGATGTTAGAATCACCACAATCAACAACTCACATTCACATGTTCTAGAAAGATAGTTCACCCCCTTAAAAAATCTAAACCAATCAAACATGATTGTTCATCGCCCTGTGATTCACGCAGCTTTTGGCTTGTAGCCCTGAAACGTTCTCGGAAAAGCGTGCGAAAGCGTGCGAAAAGCGTGGCACGGAGCCACCAGCACGAGCCAACCAGGCGATTGGTGGATTTGGGTATGGGTCAACATATTGTGGTTGTGAAGTCCTTCACCAGTTTTGCAGAGAATGCTGATATTTCAGGTGGTGATGTTGCCAACGTTTTTCACCGCGTCCACTGAAATTTGGTGGATACAATAGAATTTTGACTAAGATAACTAACATAGCTATGGAACAATGACTGAATTCAAAAAGGATCTACCACATGAATGACCTATTTTAATGATGACTTTAACCATAATTATATTATCCCATGAATTTAAATGACTATCAACTTTATGGCCACTATGGTAGATCAACTCTGTTATTTTAACCACGATTGACCGGGTAACCCACGAGCGCCACAGGATGAGATGGTCGCCATAAGGATGTTGAGGTGGCTGACCCTATGCTGCTTGGACAGTCACTGAGTAGAGAAGTCCATAAGTGACTGTGTAATTTGGAGATTTGACAGAAATCTTAGTAACTTAGTAGCAAACATCGTAGTATGTTTTATATGTTTATATATATATATTGATACATTATATATACATATATACACTCATTAAAAAATAATTGACTAACATTTTAGTGACATGTCATGATCTATCCCATGACTGGGCCCCAACTCGTGGCGGAGTTCCGGCCCCAACTCAAGCGGGGAAAAGTTGACGAAATTGCGTTCAGTTGGTGAACACTCACTATGGTTTATCTATGGTTCATAGATGTTTATAGGTGATGATATATCTATAATTTATATCCATAAATATCCATATATCTCCAATAACTATAGTTTATGATACGCAAATAACTACAGTAAATTCATGGGTTTTTTCTAAACGGGGGGCCACATTGTAGTCCTTTGAGAAAAATGCCAAGGATTCATCGTAAATCGTGGGATAGAAATGGATATCATGTCTATTACTAATGGTTATTACAGGTTATTACAGTTATAAACATTTATTACCCCATTTATGGAATGTATTATTTATATATATATATAATCCTATTGAAATAATCAGTTACAACTAATAGCCATGCCATAAAATGTAGTCTCTGATAAACTTCAGGTTTCATCCCAGCACCAGAAACCCAAATTTTTCTATTCCACCATCCAGAAGAGTTGGTTCCTTGCTTATTTATATTCATTACCCTCTGGTAAATTAACATAGACCCTGAAAATCACCAATTTTTAGAGGAAACTAATCTTCCAACCCCTATCTACCAGGGTCTATGTTAATTTGCTGGAGGGTATCTTTCATTTTTTTTTTGGATCTGTGAATATGCAAGTCTTTTTGCATGCAAGTTGCCATCGGTTAGGGAGGTTGAGAACTCTTACAACAGTTATGGCCATTTATTAGTTATAAAGTTATAGCTGGTTATTTCAATTATACATTTTATAAATGGGGTGACTTGTTAGTACTTATAAATGGTATAACTCGGGCCCCTTCACTGAAGATGTTTTAGTGGATCCCCTCGTTATTTCATGGATACTTCACTTGGCCTTGTGTGATCTCCCCGGGGATTGTGGACATTGCTGTATGGGAACCCTGCAGAATCGAGTTTAAAAAAACGCGCAAAAAAACACATCTGGATAGCAAACCCAATCGATTTTTATGCAGTTAATGAGGATATGCATATAGGATAATATAGATACACATTTCTGGATGCATTGTGTGCATATATGTACTGTATAGATATATATATATATATACACATAAGAGTCACGGTCAATATGGTTGCAGACCACTTTAGTATTGCAGTTTTTTTGTCAGAGATGTGCACAAAACACTGTAAAACGATATGCGCTCCCCCAAAAGCGATAACACACAAAACACTGGAGAGCGACATGGCCCAAAAGCAAAGCGATAACTGCTAATAGCAACTACTGAGATGTAAAGGATTTTGACGGGAACTCATATACTGTAGATACTTTTTAACTAGCCCCAAAGTGACTGTTTTTTTCCCCACCTGCCAGGTGAGGGTTGTTAGATTTTATGTCAGTTGCCTCCTCCTCCTGCTCCTCCTCCTGCTCCTCCTCCTCCTCTCCTCCTCCTCCTCGTCCTCCTTGTCATCCTTGTCGTCGTCGTCCTCGTCGTCCTCGTCGTCCTTGCTCAACTGCGACCCGCGATCCATAGTGTTCTCTGCCGGACCTCAACCACGACCATCTCCGCCCAGTGTTCCCTGTCGGACCTCAACCACGACCATCCACGCCCAGTGTTCCCTGCCGGACCTCAACCACGACCATCCACGCCCAGTGTTCCCTGCCGGACCTCAACCGCGAGTATCCACGCCCAGTGTTCCCTGCCGGACCTCATGTAGGAAGATATGGGCAAAGAATGTGCAGAAGAAAGTTAGAAAGAATGTCAGAAAGAATGTCAGAAGATATGCCAGAAGATATCCAGATAAATGCAAAATAGAATGCCAGATACATGCCAGATAGAATGCCAGAAGATATGTCAGAATATATGCCACAAGATATGCCAGATAGAATGCCAGATAATATGCCAGAAGATATGCCAGATAGAATGTCAGATAGAATGCCAGAAGATTTGCCAGATAGAATGCCAGAAAATATGCCAGAAGATATGCCAGATAGATATGCCAGAAGATATGCCAGAAGATATGCCAGAAGATATGCCAGAAGATATGTCAGAATATATCCAGAAGATATGTCAGATAGAATGCCAGAAGATATGTCAGAATATATGCCAGAAGATATGCCAGATAGAATGCCAGATTGAATGCCAGAAGATATGTCAGATAGAATGCCAGAAGATATGCCAGATAGAATGATATGCCAGATAGAATGCCAGAAGATTTGCCAGATAGAATGCCAGAAGATATGCCAGATCATATGCCAGAAGATATGCCAGATAGAATGCCAAATAGAATGTCAGAAGATATGTCAGATAGAATGCCAGAAGATTTGCCAGTAAGAAAATGTATAAATGTCATGGTGGGGATCACACGAAGTAAAGTAATTTACCTTTAAAGTATTATTTGTTTTGCTTCCTATGCACATTGTTGTGCACATGGTTGTGAGTATCCTTTGCACGATCAATATTGGTTGCTTGGTGGTGAAGAAGCCTTCGCAAGTTGTGAGTCCCCGATTCCTAGGGTTATCCCATTAGGTGTTGCTCGTATAGTTTTTATTCTACTCTGAACATCTTTCTTTATACTACTATATACACTTATACATTGAAAACATGTTCATAGTGTATTTGATAGTATCTTAAGATACTAGAGTACATGAGTCATAGATGTCCTTTCCCATTGGTTGGTTGGTTTAGCCCTTTAACAACAAGTAAATGATGATAGATGGTATACCAAACCGGCACCTCTATTTTTACCAAAAGGACATTATTGACACGAGTCACGAGTACATTACTTACATATGTATATATATATATGCACTAACAGTAACATAAGTAGTCACTCATACACGTACATATTTAGACACTATATTTAGACACTATATTAACACTATTTATGATATATAGGATATATAAACACTATATAAACAATATATAAACACTATATAGACACTATCAATACATATATATATATATATTATATATATTATATTATATATATGTATATATTGTATTTATGATATTTAGACACTATATAAAATTATATAAAGTCCAACTTCAGAGGCCTACCCCTCGAGGCCTCAGCTTTTTGGACGCCCTCGTGAGGATCTCAGCGACGTTTCAAAAACAACGCCACGAAGCTTCTCCATGGGAATCCCCCAGCGATGTAATGAGGGGATGCCATGGAGACCTTACCAAGAAACATGTGGAAATTTATAACAAACCTACAATGTGAGGCCCCCAAGATAGCTAAGTTGGTTTATAACTCCAATAACTATGGTTTATGGTACCTATAACTATAGTTAATGGGGTTTATAAACCATCTTATAACTGGGGGGCACCACATTGTAGGGATTTATACATATTTATACTGAGATTTTTGGAAACTCCGATTTTTTTTCCATGAAAGATAATGGGAAATGGAGACATGGGGGAAACTTGGCATTTATCCATAAAACATGAGGATAATGAGGGATTTAACCACAAGTGGTTTGAAGAAATGTTACTTAAAATGGGGGAACATGGGAATTTGACCAACAAACAAAACGATACATCAAACTGGTTGATGGGGCTTAAAGGAAGAACAAACATGGATATTTAATGGATTTTTACGGATTTATAGTTGATTTATCATTAAAACATGGTGTATAACATTGTATAAGTAAAGTAGATAGGGTTTGTAGTGTATATATCTCAAAACTGGGGACACCACGGTGTGGTTAACCGGATATAAACTGACGACTCCAAAATCCTTTATTATGGTTGTAAAGGAACACGGAATATCGTTGTTATTGAGGGATAATTACAAAAATATGTTCCATTATTATCTTGCTGGTGCTTAGTAATAAGGGAATGAGCCAATCCATAACTATTGATATTCATCCCATTCCCATCCATTCCCTACGTTTTTTGCACCAGTAAGTTTGCATCAAGTCATGTTTCTCTGTTGGAACTGAATCCATGTTTTCGTTGTGGCTCAGACATGGAGGGTCCTCGGGTGATTTTTTTCAGGCTCCATGTGAGCAACGTTGTCGATGTTGACCGTTTCTATGGCGCGCATTGGAGCCATAGGGAATTGATATACCCTCTGGTAAATAAACATAGACCCTGAAAATCATTCATTTTAATGGAAACTAGTCTTCCAACCCCTATCTGCCAGGGTCTATGTTAATTTACCAGAGGGTATCATAGCCATCTCTATCCCGACTTACCTTTTGCCCCAGCTTCTGACTGGTGCGAAGTTGGTGAACCCCTTTACAAAATAGTTCGATATGTCTAGCATAATCCATAAACATCAGCTAGCGTTTTGTGGGCCCCTCATCTCATGAAATACTGATGGGTTTATCAGTTTCCCACATGGGTTAGTTCATAATCCCTAATCACCAGCTAGCATACAGGATGGGGCCCCAAAGACAGTTCAGTTGCCTTGTAAGTGGCTGAATTCTATGGTTTATGGTAGATACAACGAACTAGTTATATAATGGGGTTTATATACCAACTTATAACTGGGGGGCACCATCCTGTACTTCTTTATTTCATAATCAACAGTTGGGTATTGAACTTCCCATATGAAAAAATCCCTTGTTACAGTTCCATATCTTCCCAGCAGTAGACAAAGTATTGGAAATACCTTCCAGAAATAAATATCCTTCAATATTACCAAAGAATATAGCTATAACTCTTCCATATTCTTTGCTAATATTATTCCAAGGTATATTTTCACATATTCTTTGGTAATATATACATGTAAGAATATAGAACGAACAATATTACCAAAGTATATTCCATATATTTTCCATATATAGCAACTATTCCATATATTGCATACATTTTCATCATTTTCCAATTACCCTCTGGTAAACATACAAAAAACTATGGAAAATCACCATGCTATTAATAATGGGAAAAGTCACTATAAATGACAATTTTCAATAGCTAACTGTAACAGTCATTACCAGAGGGTATAATATAAATAGATCATAATCATTCATATTACCAAAGAATATAGTAACTATTCCATATATACCATATATGTTCCAATTACTTCTCCATCAGTAGACCCAAAAAATCTCCATTTTTCCAAAGCCAGTGGCTCAACTGGGATGACCAGGCATGGGGCCCGGCCGGCCACGAGCGTTTGAACGACGTGGCACAGCGCTTACTTCATGGTGCGCGCACGCAGCGTTCGAGCGTTTGGCATGGGGGGCTCCAGCGGTTTTTGGGGCGGAGCCCAGATACAAAATTTGGGTCATGGCCATGGCTATTAGTTATTTCAATGGGACCATAAATAAACCATATATAAATGGGGTTTAATGGTGATTAATAGTGGCTTAGTGGTGATTTTCATAGTGGTTTCATGGTGATTTTCATAGTGGTTGATAATGGTTAATAGTGGCTAAACATGTGATTTTCATGATGGTTATAAGTTATAACTGGTGATATTGGCCTATGGGATTATACGTGAACCATAAATGGTAATGGCCATAACTCATCGCCCAGGCTCCAGCGTTTTGAAACTGGATTTTCTCTTGGACCAGTTCAGAAAGAGATACGTTATCCGATGATAGGCCCATAATATTCGGCCATGCATTGGGTATATATCGGTCTGGGTAAATTTCATCACGACCTCACTGCGACAACCCTGGAAATCATAGTTAGATTTGGGGGAATCATCCCTATTCATGGCCGCAAGATTCAGGTTAGTGAAATAGTATCATTTACCCAGATATATGAACCATTATTATAAGTTTTTTTGAACCATATATTAGCCATTACATAGGCCAAAAAATATGCTAGGTACCTCCAATCAATCGGATCCTGAAATGGCCATTGATAATATTCCCGTGCATTGGGGATATATCGATCCTGGCAGTCCGGGAGGGTAAAAAAAAATCTGTCACCGTTAGTCCGGTGAGTTATTTCAGCACTTTAACTCAGTTATGGCATTCCCATCAATGTGTTGTTGATTGGATTGTTTACCATCTGGTGATTTAACGTACTGTAGCTATGGAGAATCAACATTGTTTAATAGGTAATTCATCAAACAACATCAATTTCTATGGGCCATCTATACCATGGCTATGTGAGTCATAACCAGAGGGTATCATTTCATGAATTACCGTTGATCTTTAAATCCCATGTAAAAATTGGCATCATTTGGGCGTGTCTAAACATGGGGCCCTGATTCCCAAAATAACAATTTGGACAGGAAACGGATGCTTTCAGCAAGTGATTTTGTAGGTTTTACCCATATTTTCACGCAAACCCATTTGTTTTCACCGAAAAAAATACATGCACCTTACAACATGCTATGCAGATCTGATTGTCTCAACTACTCATGCATTGGTCATACACATTCCCATGTTTCACAACAACTCGGGATAGAAGAACTTATGTATATATATATATATACACGCTGTATCAGAACATATGTGTACATGTATCTCAGATGTTCCAGCACTGCAAAACATAGATTTCCACGTGAGATTTTCACATCGTGGCAGGTAAACACCGTGATCAGATCCGCACCATGTGGGGGATCCAAGGCTACAGTGGCTCCATATGCGGAGTTCACGCAGTGGACTCCCCACAGTGAAATGGCCATAGCTATGAAAGTTATAAGTGGTTATATTTCAATGGGATTATACATGAACTTATCCAATCAGTTATACATAAATTCCATTGAAATATAACCATAATGGGATTATTTGAATGTTAGTTTTTTCAACTGGTAAAGGAAGGCCATAACTGCAGGTATGCCTAGGTCGGTTTACAACTCCCATGAATACCAGTGGTGTTGTTCGCATGTTGAATTTTTCTCGATCCACCTTGAAGGGATCCAAAGAAAATGAGAAGTTGCCCCTCAAGCTGCTGGAATGTCACAAGAAAAATGGAGGGAAATCCAAGGCATGGAACCATATGGAACCATGCCATTTTCAGGACGTGCCAGTTGCTATCCATCTACTTTCCAGCCATTGGATCAGATCTGATTGGTGGTTTGGAACATGAATTTTATGACTTTCCATGAAAAGTTGGGAATCATCATCCCAACTGACGAACTCACGTATATTTTTTCATCTACTTTCCATCTATTTTCCATCCTGGATCATATCCCAGCCATTGAAAATTGCCTGCGCCCAGGATGCACTCCGATGTCGTGAACATCGCCAACTGGGAGAGCGTGATGACCAAGTGACTTGTCGAATGGGAGTTACTTGGAGGATCCCAGAAATGAACTGCTTAGAAACATAGGTTTTTTGTATCCTATAAATGGTATGACTCTAGGAATCAGGGACTTATAACATTTATAGATGTAATAATCCGACCCCTGGGGACTTACTAACCCTGATTCTGCAGCACTTACTGAGGATGATCCTCTTTTACAAAGTGATTTGACATGATTTGACAATGAACAATCAGAGGAAATCTGTTTACAACCAAGAATGCACGTGTGGATATTAATGTAACCATAGTAATAGTAATAGTGTACATTATTAATATAGTCAAAGGAAGTTGGGAAGCAATTTCCGAGTTACGAATGACTTTTTACTTGGTGCAATTGACTATGATGAAGGGTGGTAGATCCTGTAACAATACATAATGTACCAATACATCACAATGTACCAATACATAACAAAAGAATAAGAAGCTATGAAATTGACCTTGAGGAAGTGATGATGAAGGGGAGTGGTGACGAAGGGAAGTGGTGAGGAAGGGAAGTGGTGAAGAAGGGAAGTGGTGACGAAGGGAAGCGGTGAAGAAGGGAAGTGATGATGAAGGGAGTGGTGACGAAGGGAAGTGGTGAGGAAGGGAAGTGGTGAAGAAGGGAAGTGGTGACGAAGGGAAGTGGTGACGAAGGGAAGTGGTGACGAAGGGAAGTGGTGACGAAGGGAAGTGGTGACGATGGGAAGTGGTGACGATGGGAAGTGGTGAGGAAGGGAAGTGGTGAGTTGGGGAGGAAGCCGGAGCACGAAACCTTGTGTTTTTCCGTGTAAAGTGGCTGCAGCCGGCGATGAAAGGTACCTCGTGTGTGCGGCGGTTGCGGCTGCGGTCGGTTTATCGTTTCTTTTTTGCCGCAGTGTAACGGTGGCTTGAAGCTGCTTTGGGTGTGCTTGTGTGTGCGTAGTTATAGTGTGTTTTGGAATCTCCGGTTGCAGATCGCATTGGAATGGCTGCATGATGTTGCATGGGCTATGTTTTGGGGAGGAAGCCGGAGCACGAAACCGTGTGTTTTTCCGTGTAAAGTGGCTGCAGGCGACGATGAAAGGTACCTCGTCTGTGCGGCGGGTGCGGCTGCGGTCGGTTTATCGTTTTTTTTGCCGCATTGTAACGGTGGCTTCAAGCTGCTTTGGGTGTGCTTGTGCGTGCGTAGTTATAGGGTGTTTTGGAATCTGTGCTTGCAGATCGCATTGGAATGGCTGCATGATGTTGCAAGGGCTCTGTTTTGGGGAGGAAGCCGGAGCACGAATCTTTGCGTTTTTCCGTGTAAAGTGGCTGCAGCCGGCGATGAAAGGTACCTCGTCTGTGCGGCGGTTGCGGCTGCGGTCGGTTTGTCGGTTTTTTTTGCCGCAGTGTAACGGTGGCTTGAAGCTGCTTTGGGTGTGGTTGTGTGTGCGTAGTTATAGGGTGTTTTGGAATCTGTGCTTACAGATCGCATTGGAGTGGCTGCGTCAAGGTTGCTTGGTGCAGCGGCTGCATGCGTAATACTATTGTCTTTTGCAGCTGAAGATCGTAAATCGTATTGGAATGGCTGCATCAAGGCTGCGAAAGTGATTTGTCAGCAGATTTTCCCAATTTTGGCGCTAATAATTTTCCTTTTAAAATTCCTTTTAAAAAGTGCACCAAAATCGTCTTTTTTTCGCTTTGGCGTCGAGATCCGGTTTTGGAGCTGCAATTTCCGACGCCATTGCATGTAGTTCTATTGTGTTTTGCAACTCAGAGACTGCAGATCGCATTGTAGTGGCTGCGTCAAGGTTGCTTGGTGCAGCGGCTGCATGCGTAATACTATTGTCTTTTGCAGCTGAAGATTGTAAATCGTATTGGAGTGGCTGCATCCAGGCTGCGATAGTCATTTGTCAGCAGATTTTCCCAATTTTGGCGCTAATAATTTTCCTTTTAAAATTCCTTTTAAAAAGTGCTTCAAAATCGTCTTTTTTTCGCTTTGGCGTCGAGATCCGGTTTTGGAGCTGCAATTTCCAACGCCATTGCACGTAGTTCTATTGTGTTTTGCAACTCAGTCTCTGCAGATCGCATTGTAGTGGCTGCGTCAAGGTTGCTTGGTGCAGCGGCTGCATGCGTAATACTATTGTCTTTTGCAGCTGAAGATCGTAAATCGTATTGGAATGGCTGCAGCAAGGCTGCGAAAGTGATTTGTCAGCAGATTTTCCCAATTTTGGCGCTAATAATTTTCCTTTTAAAATTCCTTTTAAAAAGTGCACCAAAATCGTCTTTTTTTCGCTTTGGCGTCGAGATCCGGTTTTGGAGCTGCAATTTCCGACGCCATTGCACGTAGTTCTATTGTGTTTTGCAACTCAGAGACTGCAGATCGCATTGTAGTGGCTGCGTCAAGGTTGCTTGGTGCAGCGGCTGCATGCGTAATACGATTGTCTTTTGCAGCTGAAGATCGTAAATCGTATTGGAATGGCTGCATCAAGGCTGCGAAAGTGATTTGTCAGCAGATTTTCCCAATTTTGGCGCTAATAATTTTCCTTTTAAAATTCCACAATGTACCAATACATCACAAACCAATAAGAAGCAATGAAATTGACCTTGAGGAAGGGTGGTAGATCATATTAGATCATATAACAATACATAATATAACAATACATAATGTACCAATACATAACAAAAGAATAAGAAGCTATGAAATTGACCTTGAGGAAGTGATGATGAAGGGGAGTGGTGACGAAGGGAAGTGGTGAAGAAGGGAAGTGGTGAAGAAGGGAAGTGGTGAAGAAGGGAAGTGGTGAAGAAGGGAAGTGGTGACGAAGGGAAGTGATGATGAAGGGGAGTGGTGACGAAGGGAAGTGGTGACGAAGGGAAGTGGTGACGATGGGAAGTGGTGACGAAGGGAAGTGGTGAGGAAGGGAAGTGGTGAGTTGGGGAGGAAGCCGGAGCACGAAACCTTGTGTTTTTCCGTGTAAAGTGGCTGCAGCCGGCGATGAAAGGTACCTCGTGTGTGCGACGGGTGCGGCTGGGGTCGGTTGGTCGTTTTTTTTTTGCCGCAGTGTAACGGTGGCTTGAAGCTGCTTTGGGTGTGCTTGTGTGTGCGTAGTTATAGTGTGTTTTGGAATCTCCGGTTGCAGATCGCATTGGAATGGCTGCATGATCTTGCATGGGCTATGTTTTGGGGAGGAAGCCGGAGCACGAAACCTTGTGTTTTTCCGTGTAAAATGGCTGCAGGCGACGATGAAAGGTACCTCGTGTGTGCGACGGTTGCGGCTGCGGTCGGTTTATAGTTTTTTTTGCCGCAGTGTCACGGTGGCTTCAAGCTGCTTTGGGTGTGGTTGTGTGTGCGTAGTTATAGGGTGTTTTGGAATCTGTGGTTACAGATCCCATTGGAATGGCTGCATGATGTTGCATGGGTTATGTTTTGCGGAGGAAGCCGGAGCACGAAACCTTGTGTTTTTCCGTGTAAAGTGGCTGCAGGCGACGATGAAAGGTACCTCGTGTGTGTGCGACGGTTGCGGCTGCGGTCGGTGTATCGTTTTTTTTTGGCCGCGGTGTCACGGTGGCTTCAAGCTGCTTTGGGTGTGCTTGTGTGTGCGTAGTTATAGGGTGTTTTGGAATCTGTGCTTGCAGATCGCATTGGAATGCTGCTGCGTCAATGTTGCTTGCCGCCGCGGCTGCATGCGTAATACTATGGTCTTTTGCAGCTGAAGATTGTAAATCGTATTGGAGTGGCTGCATCCAGGCTGCGATAGTCATTTGTCAGCAGATTTTCGCAATTTTGGCGCTAGTAATTTTCCTTTTAAAATTCCTTTTAAAAAATGCTTCAAAATCGTCTTTTTTCTGCTTTGGCGTCGAGATCCGGTTTTGGAGCTGCAATTTCCGACGCCGTTGCGCTTAGTTCTATTGTGATTTGCAACTCAGTCTCTGCAGATCGCGTTGGAGTGGCTGCCTCAAGGTTGCTTGCCGCCGCGGCTGCATGCGTAATACTATGGTCTTTTGCAGCTGAAGATTGTAAATCGTATTGGAGTGGCTGCATCCAGGCTGCGATAGTGATTTGTCAGCAGATTTTCGCAATTTTGGCGCTAGTAATTTTCCTTTTAAAATTCCTTTTAAAAAGTGCTTCAAAATCGTCTTTTTTCTGCTTTGGCATCGAGATCCGGTTTTGGAGCTGCTTTCCTGTGTGGAAAAGTTTGTGTGTAAACGCTTGCCATGTGTAAAAGCACTGTGTGCAAGTACTGTGTGTAAGTGTTCTGTGTCTAAACGCTTGCTGTGTGTGAAAGCTTGCTGTGTGTAAAAGATGTTGCGTGTAAAAGTTTGCTGTGTGAGCTCAGATGAGATGAAGTGTGGAGTGTGAAGAGTGCAGTGTGAAGCGTGGGGCGCGAAGAGTGCAGTGTGAAGTGTGAAGTGTGGAGTGTGAAGAAAGCAATGAGAAGTGAGAAGTGTGAAGTGTGGACTGTGAAGTGTGAAGTGTGGAGTGTGAAGTGTGGATTGGGGAGAGTGCAGTGTGAAGTGAGAAGTGTGAAGTGTTGATTGCGAAGGGTGCAGTGTGAAGTGTGAAGACTGTCAAGTGTGAAGTGTGCAGTGTGGAGTGTGAAGACTGCAGTGAGAAGTGCGAAGTGCGAAGTGGAGCTTCACATGTGACATGTGGAACAAGACACCACTTTCGCAGAGTGCACGCACGCACGGGCTTGGCTGGCGCACGGCGCATGCAAGTTCTATAGATGAGAAAGGTCTTATATATATCTTTAAGGCAACTTCCGCCCCGCCTCGTGCGGGTACTACTGGTAATTCTGTCGGATATTAATGTAACCAACTAATCTCCTTAAGTTTGTAGTTCGCCAACAGAAGTGGGATATAAAAATACCAAGAACCGAGACGGATAGCTCTTGAAACAAGCACGGCTCGTTCGGTGCGAGTTCGGTCGCAGGGATTAAGAACTTGAGATCAACATGCTTAACAACGAGTTTTCAACATGACATGTCCACCTTCAGATTTTGGTACTTGGCAGTCTTCAGTTATGGCCGTTTATTAGTTATAACTGGTTATAAATAGAATTAATTATACATATTACAAATGGGGTTATAAATACTTATAACTGGTAAAGGGCCATAACTGTAGACCACTGGCACTTTTTCTTCTAAAAACCGACCTGTACCAAAAACTTTCTCTGTGTCAGCGACAATGGCAGATAAAACCAACCTCCCCATAAGAAAATCATATGGGTAGAATTAGAACAAACACATGTCCAGCCATTGTAGATATTTGATCTTAAAACGTCTTAAACGTATTTCCCCCAACCATGGAACCAGAAACAAATCCTCTGATCAGATACCCTCCAGCGAACTAACATAGGAATCCCATCGTGTGTAGATCATTTTTCCCAGGGAAAAGCCCTTCATTTTCCACATCTACCCTCCAGTAAACTAATGTAGATATGGAAAATTGAACATTTCAGGCATTTTCCTAGGGAAATCATGGGAAATCAATGGATTTCCATAGTTATGTTACCCTCTGGTAAACAAACAGTTTGCTATTGAACATGGCCATTTATAGTGAGTTTTCCCATTAAAAATAGTGATTTTTCATAGCTATGTTAGTTTACCAGAGGGTATTTTATCAGAGGTTCTATTACTTAATACTATCGCCAGCGTTACCAACGTGGAGGAAACCGCTGTTTTTTTTTGCATATTGCATGTTTTTTACACGCTTCACAGACATGCGTCATGCTACATCTGGGGTGGGTTGGGGTGGGGCAAGAACGTCAGTGTACGCTACGTCATCAAAGCAGGAACTCTGACCTTGGATATATGCTGGGATAACTAAAGATTTTGTTCCCGATCCACAAAAACCACTCTTTTTTTCATGGAGACACCAGTGGAATTGGATCTACCGGCAGTGGCGATACAACCATCACCACTAGCCCGTGAAACCGTGGGCCACAAGCTGTGGCAAATGGTGCCTCAGGTGATCCCACGGTATCTTTGGATAGCTCTCGTCCCACCACAGATGGAAGAGCTGCGGACGCGCTATAGAGTTCAACCTTCAGGATCGATCTGAATGCGACCCATGCGCCAATCGGGCGTGCCACAGATGTTCAATGGTGTTGTGGATATCTGGTTGGAGAAAGGTTCGACCTGGTGAGTTCCGTTGGTGTGGATTTCTTCTTCCAGAAGAATATGATGAGCAGGGAAGATTGCTCTATCAGATCTTCGATCCCATGGTTACTAATGAGCCGGTTAGTGAGCGTCCTGCCAGGGACTGTAGAGTGGGCGAGTTGTAGATTATTGTGCCCTAAGTTTTTAGTTTGAGCATTGCAGGCCGTCAGGCACCCGCAAACAGCACCAATGAGCTTGGGTGAAAAATCAAAAAACATAAAGTGATCCCTTCTCCCTAGTTGCTGGTAAAAACACGGTAGCAACACCCCCAGAAACATGGTTTAGTAGCGGATAAAATCACATATTCGGGACCATAGAGTGGGTGTGTCACGGGATAATTTCCCATTTCATCCCATGATATTTCCATTGTCCATTGTCCCCATTATAATCCCTATTTGTTGATGATTAATCTCCTAATACTCCCATGGTAATTTTGGGGGAATGGGACTAGGTTTTTTTTTCATATGTGCCATGATCAAAACACAGTGTTGATTTTGTATGATTTTTTTTTTAATGTATATAGGAGGGCTTTTTATTTTTGGATGTTTTTTCGCCGAACTATGCTACACCCATATAATATATATATATATATATATACATCCTCTGGTAAACATACAAAAAACCATGGAAAATCACTATTTTTAATGGGTAAATCCACTATTTCTATGGCCATTTTCAATATGATCATCTATCCCATAATGGGAATCCTTGGAATCCAATAGCAAGCAGCGACAAAAAGATCCAACTGCTATTCCCAGAAATTGCTGGATTGATGCTTAAAAACCCCTTAAAAATGGTGAAACAGTCCAGCGGAAAATCCAACTATTGTAGTTAGTAGTTGGTGAAAAACAGAAAAACCATTCCCATTCATATCCCATTCATCACCAGTTTTCATGTTTGAATCCCTGCAGTTATTGCCCTTTACCAGTTATAAGTACTTATAATACCATGGAAAAAACAATTATAAGTAGTAACCATGGCCACAACTGTGGTAATTTAACATATGCCCTTGTTAAAAATAGCCATCGCAGCTCGAGGAAATATCCCGAGACTGGTGTGCTACATTGGCACCTCAGCTTCAACACTGACGTCGCTACTCGCGACGTCACTGGTATACCCTTTTGTCGGGATTTAAGGGGATTTAAGGGGAAAACCATAGGAAAACCGGAGAACCCTAGGAAAATGGTGCTTGAACCGGGAAACATGTGGATTTAAGGGGATGTTTGTCGCCGTTTAATGGGGCGATTGGGACATAATTCATCAACCAAATTTTATACAGGGTGGTGCCCCAGTTTGTTATATAAATAAGTTGGTGAACATAACTGCAATAATCAAAATTTATGGCAAATATATCTATACTGAATGGAGGTTTTAAACCCAGTTTCTGATCGAAGTAAATGGATGGTGGTTTCATCAAACATTCGATGCATGGCGACGGCACCTAAAACAAGGAACCGGACCTTCACACACATCTTAGGTCCTTAGGTATTCTTCAATTACATCGGAGGGTTCTTGAAATGGGGGATCCCCAAGTCGCCATGGGTTTCAACCACAAAATGGTCTAATGACTTGGATGATTTTGGGGTACCGTTTGTTTCTTTAGGAATGGTTTAGCATTGATTCCAATGCTGGTGCTAAAACAGAGGCGACCTATACACACAACAAGGGGTTTGGTTAGACCGCAATCATGTACTGTAGGTTACAGAACATTCTGTACTTGGTAAATTGTTGGTTGATGTTGGTTAGACTTCCTCATCTCCCTTGGATTGGGTAACTGATAACAACTCATGTCGTTTGTCGCTGAGAATCTACACTCTGGTGAAATTCACAGTTGATGCAGCTGGAATCCATGTTATGTCGTAAGCACTCATCACTCCGTATTTACTGTAATGTGAATGGATGAATGGTTTATACCACCTATTGGTTGTTTTACCCACATTAATAGATTTTAGTAACTGTGTTTTCAGATCCTCGTATTTGTCGTTGGGCTCACAGCTAACAGCCCCAGTTTTGCCAGTTTCCAAGGCATCATCAGAAACCCGAGTGGACCTGTGGGCAGCGAGACGCACAGAAGAGCCTGGAATGCGGTGGGAGGCGTTTTTTTTCCTCAGAAATATGGCCCATGGCATTTAGAGCAACCATAATTTGGACCATAAGATGGGGTATAAAACAGGAATATATAATGGAAATATCATGGGGATATATATATATATGTATATATATATAATGGAAATGTATTTGGAATTTTAGGCGGTTTCATAAGTCATAATTTTGGATAACCATAAGATGATGCAAGATGATAAACAATGTAATCATATATATATAGTATATATTTAGATGAATGAATTATATAAGATGAACATGGGATGTTTATTGGGACATACTTAACACATAATTCTTTATCACCATAGGATGATACATGATGTACAGATGAACACATTTCAAGTACCATAGATGCATACAGTAATCATGCGCTCAACCCCCACAATGTGGGGCCCCCAGTGATGTTAGATGGTTTATAAACCCCATGAAAACTATAGTTATAAGTTATAAGTTATAAGTATCATAAACCATAGTTATTGGAGTTATAAACCAACTTAACTATCATAAACGGGGGCCCCACATTGCAAGTAAACTGTTTGACCAACAGGGCCAACTGGGGATCTTGCGCAGGGTCAAACTGCTGTTCCGCAGGGCATTCACCAAAACCAACATGGGGTTTAAGGGATTAAACCACGCATTTCATGACATTTAAATACAAAGATAATGTGAGAATATCAGTGGAATATTATATATAATGGTGGTTATAAACACTGCGGTTATAACATGTTTTAAAGTTGTAATAGCTGTATAGATTATACAGATATTGACACTGTTACAAACCAACATCACTGGTGGGTTAACCACCTTGTAGATTGCTAATACATGATTCTGGCCTCGTTATGTGTTGAGAAAACACAAGCGGCGGGTTACTGCGGAGCGCTGCGTCGGGAGGAGAAGATGTTGTATCCGTTTGCTTGGACTGCCACACTGCCTTTTCTGGAAAAAAAACGCGTTTCTGTGCAAATATGCCCTGGCAAATGACCTATGGCTGGCAGGGCCGGACCTGCTCTTATGGAAAGCCAATTTGACTCACGAAATGTGCATGGCGCTGGCTCGGACGGTTGCTACGAAGGGTTGTGCTGCGTGCGGTGCTGAAGCCTCCGGCACTGTGGGGTAATGATGGTCTAGTCTCTAGACAAGTTAACCCCAAAATGAGGTTTTGTATCCAATAAACATGGTGGAACATCATCGGAGTACAATTGACATTGAGGATATTAAGATATCTCCTTCCCAGCTGTTGAACAATTTTAACCCAATGCCAACCATAACATGGTGATGTTACCATTGTTGTATGGTCAAACCATGCACAAAACATATTTGGTTTGCGCAAGTGCAAAATGTTTGTAAGTTGGATTTCAAAAGCGGGCACATGACATCATATGACCACAGCTTCCAGGAATACCACAGTGTAAGTAAGACCAAGGACGTAGTGACGTAGTAGCAACACGTCCACCGCTTCGACATCGTTTGGTTTGGTCACTAGCAGAACCCATGATCAGGGTATGCCTTGGTACATAGGCCTTGGTTTGTTTGGTTCATGTCTCTTTTTTTCCAAGACTTATCCTTAGATTTCTTGTGCCGTGCTACTCATCCACTCCTTCTTTTACAGGAATGTATGGTACGGATATCTGTAGATAGCCCCTAAACGGTAGTATTGTAAGTTGGATTATGTTATTCCATTTCACTCTCGTTGTTTCATCACCACAAAGCCAAGAGTTAAACTTCGCTAACTGCCGCTAACCACGTTGCAGCTCAGGATGCCCGTGGACTTATTTCAGGATCCCAAAAAAGATAATTCCCCACCTGCCAGGTGAGGGTTGTTAGATTTTATCAGAGCTGTTGTCCTTCTCCTTCTCCTCCGCCTCCGCCTCCTCCTCCAGTTTCTCCTCGACCATGTCTGCATCAACTTCCACCTCCACTTCCGCCTTGCCAACTCTTGGCCAAGCTCTTCGCCAACTTCGGAGCTCAGTGCGCACTGCTGGACCTCAACCTGGGACCTTCCCAGCTCAGTGCGCACCGCTGGACCTCAACCTGGGACCTTCCTAGCTCAGTGCGCACCGCTGGACCTCAACCTGAGACCTACCGAGCTCAGTGCGCACCGCTGGACCTCAACCTGGGGCCTTCCGAGCTCAGTGCGCACCGCTGGACCTCAAAAGCCAGATAGAATGCCAGAAGATATGCCAGATAGAATGTCAGATAGAATGCGAGAAGATATGCCAGATAGAATGCCATAAGATTTGCCAGAAGCTATGCCAGATAGAATGCCAGATAGAATGCCAGAAGATATGCCAGATAGAATGCCAGAAGGTATGCCAGATAGAATGCCAGATAAAATGTCAGATAGACTGCCAGAAGATATGCCAGATAAAGTGCCAGAATGTTTGCCAGATAGAATGCCAGAAGGTGCCAGAATATGCCAGAAGATATGCCAGATAGAATGCCAGAAGATTTGCCAGAAGATATGCCAGAACATCTGCCAGAAGCTATGCCAGGTAGAATGCCAGAAGCTATGCCAGATAGAATGCCAGATAGAATGCCAGAAGATATGTCAGATAGAATGCGAGAAGATATGCCAGATAGAACGCCAGATATCATGTCAGATAGGATGCCAGAAGATATGCAAGATAGAATATTAAATAAAATGCCGGAAGTTATGCTAGATAAAATGCCAGAAGGTATGCCAGCTAGAATGAGTTCTGATATGCCAGATAGAATGCTACAAGGTATTCCAGATAAAGTTCAGAATGTTTGCCAGATAGAATACCAGAAGATATGTCAGATAGAATGCCAGAAGATATGCCAGATAAAGTGCCAGAATGTTTGCCAGATAGAATGCCCGAAGATTTGCCAGATAATATGCCAGAAGATTTGCTAGATAGAATGCCAGAAGATATGCCACAACATATGCCAGAAGATATGCCAGGTAGAATGCCAGAAGATATGCCAGATAGAATGTCAGATAGAATGCCAGAAGATATGCCAGATAAAGTGTCAGAATGTTTGTCAGATAGAATGCCAGAAGATTTGCCAGAAGATTTGCCAGATAGAATGCCAGAAGATATGCCAGATAGAATGCCAGAAGATATGCCAGTTAGAATGCCAGATAGAATGCCAGATAGAATGCCAGAAGATATGTCAGATAGAATGCCAGAAGATTTGCCAGTAACAAAATATATAAATGTCATGGTGGGGATCACACGAAGTAAAGTAATTAGAATATATGGGTTTTCCGGGATACTATAGTGATGGGTATACACATTTAACTGTTCTATCTATTTGGGGGTTGCACTATGGGATTCTACTGAGATGTTGCCAGACTTATCCTGAAAAGGATGGGGTGTATTGGGACATATCCCAGTTGCTAAGCACTTGCAGAGTGGGCCCCCTAGTTGTAAGTTGGTTTATAAACTCCATTGAGCAATCCCTAAGCCCAACAATGAATCAATGAACCAGGTTATGGTCACCAACTTAGCAAGTAGAATTTCAGTATCCCAATTGTTGTTTATATTTTGGGTTTCCTCTATTGTAGATGGACATTCCGAGCTATAAAGCAACTTGCAAAGAACACATATAATTCACATTCTTTCTTGGCTAATTAAATCACCATGTGAGAAAAGAAAAGTTCAAAACCCCATGTTTTTTTTAAAATTGTTTTTCCTATAGAAGGAATTGCCACAATGGATTGTGACAACGCCTTTTTTTGGCACAGATCCCCAACCTTGGATATAAATGTTTCTTCAATTTTTTTCCTTTAGTTTTTTGTTTAAATGGAAAATAAGCAACCAACCAGCAATCAATCAATTTTATATTTACCTCCAGATTTTTGGTAGTTTACTACCCTCAGGGGCTATTAAAATAAATTTTCCTTTGGTCTAGCTTCGATCTACCGTGGCCGCTTGGCCCCCTGAGGACCGACCACATCCGCTGCGACGGGCATGGCGCCGAGAATGGGTCGGGGGCACCCGGGCAATGGTTTTTCGTGGCGGCCGTGGGGCGGGGGAATTCCCACCAAAAACCAGGGAAAATGGAGATTTAACTAGTAAAATGGGGGAACATTGAAATTCAACCAACAAACATGGGGTTTATGATGGAATGATACTAGCTAAGTGGGTGACCCGAACTAGCTGAAACATGTTTGTGGATGTTTTTGGTAGATGTATCTATAGTTGGATGGATGTGTCATGCAACTTTTGATTGCAGGGAGTCAAGGGGTCCCCCAACCGAAGGTCAACCCTGCAACCTTCAAAGCCTTGCGGATTTAATCAGGATAACAATGGGGTAATGGGATATTAGTGGGATAATGATAATGGGATATTAATGGGATATATGGGATGATACTGGGTCAACCTTGGTTAGATATTTTAGTACGTTAATTTTTTGCTATCAATGGTTAGATGATGTAAAATGTACTAAACAACAATTTTTTTTTTTGGCAGGTATCTAAGATTCAGCATGTTTCCACCAACATGTGTTCATCATACCTATAAAACAATTTTCATTGGATGGTACTTTATTTGGAGACGGAGGCTACTCGTTTGACACCCAGCGCCTCTCACAGCTTCACTGTTTCAAGGTTGCTCCATGGTGAGTTATTTCACCCGACTTATTAGATTCTTGGTGGATCATCCCCACTGAGTGGATGTAAGGATGTATACAACGCACGGATGAAGCTCTAGGTTGCCAAGTTGGTTCATGAAACTGAGGTCTTTGTTCTGTGGTCTTGCTGATGCCTCAGTTGGATGAAGCGGACTGACAGGTTTAGGGGTACCCTGGTTTCCAACCAAATCAGGGATTTATAGATGTTTTTTGGGATGATAATGGGATATAATTAGACAACAAGCAAGTTGGTACAAGGTAGTGCCCCAGTTTGTTCGCATATTGGGTTTATAGCTAGGTTAACTGTTGGTTTCATGGTGAAAATCACATGACTAGAGTTCATTCGGGATACCGGTAACACAATGCAGCAGGGCACCACATCAAACCAATAGAAATTTCACTTCAACCAACAAAATGTGTTGGTTTTAGTGACCCAGCGGTTCGGTGGTGATCATGCCAATCAACAATTGATCCTTTCCGGTCTGGATTGTTGCACTTGAGCTACCTCAATGATTGGTGTCCAGCCGTTGATTTTCAGGGTAGAAATGGCTGATTCAGCACCAACACACGGAAATATGATGGGAATATCATGGGATATCTGGGTCAAACCTGGTGAATGGTACGATGTATTGTGGATCATGTTTGTCCATAGATGGGAAAACCTAGAGTAGCCAGCTTCAAACAAGTCCTTGTTTGCAGGGTGTACAACATTGTCCATTGGCCACTGTCTATTTCATTTTATGAGCCCTATGCAGTTGGTTCTACTTCTTTTTACAAGCTCTAGCCTTCTGCACTAGCTTGATGTAGTGAACAAATTGAAGGAAACCGTTACTTTTACCCTTCAAGTGTATGGGAGTCGTGGATAGCCCAACATGGGACGGTTTGCTTGTTTCAACATATCACAGAGCTTTCAGTGCTTCGCAGGGAACAACGGTTAAACCATGGTGTGAATCCTATGACCTCCAGCTGCACCTGAGGCCTTCTTTTTTGAACACTTTGCCGGGATCCCGATACAGGGAGGCTCACGGAGGCTCACCATTCAAGGGCAACACATCACCAGCTCACCGTGGATCCAAAAGCACACACGTGGATCAGGCAACTTGATCAGAAGTTCTTCTTGAAATTTCCAACTTTTTCTGGCTGCACTCCTGAATACCATAAATGTGAGTAGTTCTTAGGATTTGAGATTTGTTGGGGAATTTGGCATTGCCCAAAATACTAATCGATTAGATTTTCGGGTTAATATATAGGCTCATATAGCCATAACCATGGGAACCCCCATACTAGTCAGTGTTTCGTGGGATGATACCTAGAGCTTCATGGATCCCCAAAGTGGTTCTTTTACCCGAAAAATTGTGTGTTTCCTCCGGACCTTTTACAGAGCCATATCCGAGTACGGCACGACTCCTGCCACCAGCCACTATCATCCAAGCGGAAGCAGTCCTACCATGATGGAGCACCAGCGCAGCACTGGACCTTTGTGACCCGCGCGGGGCAGCGCTGGGCCAGATCAAAGACCCAAAGCAGTCCGTTGTGGCTCAGGCCGAGGTGGCAACCTCGTACTCTGACTCTGAGGGTCGAGGTACCAACAATGAACAAATGCACCAGGCTTTAGGTCGAGAGATTTCTTATACCTTTTTCTGAGACATTCTATAGTTTACAATATCTTCCCCCTAATACTGAACTTACATACACCTGGAGTAGTTTTTATTATTAGGGGATATACATCGTATTGGGGTAAGAAGCCTCCCCCTAATAATCAAATGAACACTTTTTGTTAAACAAAACATATTCCATTTCAATATCGATCAAACCCAATCCAATTGTATAAAATATTGCCAAACATTGGATGTCCGAGCTCTCCCCAAAAAAATACAATCAGAACAAAAACATAGATAAACATATTCTCAGGGACCCTAAGAATAAAAACAATAATAAACCGCCCCCAACCAACTATAGTTTTTATCATTCAGCGGGATACCCTCAAATGGGACCCTGATCATAAAATTGTGTTCTAAAGGGGAACGATCAAGAATCAAATTGAGCAACCTAAAATTTCCCAAAATTGGGAATGGACCCCATATGCCGTACTCTTTAATAGTTGGGGGACGTTTAGTAATAGGGGGACGGGATTAATATCCTCAGATTTTGTTGGTTGATTCTCTCACAATTCCATTGATTCAGGTAGACCCATTGAGGTTCTGCAGGGTAAAAAACCTGTCGCGACCTGAGGCTGATGAGATGTTATTGAAGGACTGGCATTCCGTGATGCCACGAGTTTGGCTGGAAATATCAATAGTTGGTTTTTACATGGGCAATCATCAGCCAAATCCCAGAAGGTTTATATAGGGGAAACATTGCAGGAAACTCCCATATTTGACACAATCCGAGCCGGTGATCAACCTGATATATTGTATTATTTTGTGGGGTCTGATCTCCATCGAACCATACCAATCTTCGAAGGGAACATGATATGTTGGGCAACTCAGGGGGTGGGGCAAGGAATGAAAGATGGGGAAAAAATAGATTTAGATTGGATATGATGATTCAGCCAGGGTTGATGATGGTTTTTGAGGATTCAGCCATGGCTTGCTAGTCAGTTTTGACTAGCAAGAATGGGAATAGCAACCAGCCAAGTTGAGAAGTTCAACAGTGATCATCCATGGTTTCAGTTTCAGCAACTTACAAAATGTGGATCGTAACATCACAACTTGGGAATTGAACACATGACTTCCAACAGGCTTTTCTACGAACGTAAGCTGCAAAACAGTGAGCAAATCACCCATTTTCATGAGGTAAATTGAGGATCTATCCCTGGTCATGGGAGTTTGTGATACCCACACGCACCTTCGCCGCCTTCGCCCCCACATCTCAGCGTTCACCAGCCCCTGCAGGAGTATCCAGCGCCAAAGACGCCAATCGATACTCCAAGGACCATCAAGGTGTTTGCTAAGGCACGAAACTCTCGACTGCGGGGTCCATGGGTAATCTCCAGCTGATTGATGGAAGTTGGGGGCCACAATGATAAACTTGATATAGCCTGGTTGATGGTTTGGAACATGAATTTTATTTTTCCATATATTGGGAATCTCATAATCCCAACTGACTTTCATATTTTTCGGTGGCTCAACCACCAACCAGTAGCCTTCATGACCTGGAAATTTTATCGCGGGACCAACTCTGAAAAAGGTCGGCCGGATTTGTTGTTAGGTCAATGTTGATGATCTTGGAGATGAAACCCATCGTACCTTGGAGTACCGGGCCATGGGTATTGGGATTTGTTAATGGATCAGGAACTTCGTTTTAACCCATCATAAGTAATGTTGGTTCCTGATTAGTGTGTGCCCCCCCCCTCCCCTAAACTATATCTGGACTCTCTTTAAAGTAGAAAAGCAAAAAAATCTTCCCAAAAGAAAAACATATCCTCGATTAAGTAAGGATTTCAATTGGCTACAATTGAAATCTAATTGCTATTGTTTTTTTTGCCGATGAAGTTGTGGTATTTGTAGTACTTGTGGTACTTGTAGTACTTGTAGTACTTGTAGTACTTGTAGTACATGTAGTACTTGTAGTACTCGTAGTACTTGTAGTACTTGTAGTACTTGTAGTACTTGTAGTACATGTAGTACTTGTAGTACTTGTAGTACTTGTAGTACTTGTAGTACTTGTAGTACTTGTAGTACTTGTAGTACTTGTAGTACTTGTAGTACATGTAGTACTTGTACTTGTAGTACTTGTAGTACTTGTAGTACTTGCAGTACTTGTAGTACATGTAGTACTTGTAGTACTTGTAGTACATGTAGTACTTGTAGTACTTGTAGTACTCGTAGTACTTGTAGTACTTGTAGTACTTGTGGTACTTGTAGCAATTGTAGTACTTGTAGTACTTGTAGTACTTGTAGTACTTGTAGTACTTGTAGTACTTGTAGTACATGTAGTACTTGTAAAGTGAAATGGAGCCTCTCCTGGTCCAGGGCCTTGGAAAATTGTGGAAAAGCTGTTCTTTAATAAGGGTTTAATAAGGGATTGGTTCTTTTGGGAAAGGCTTGGAGTTTGAATTTGGCAATTTTGGAAAAGGCTTGCTTCCCTTCTGGGCTTCCAGGGGCTGCTCTGGCACAGCTTGCTGCAAAGTGAACCCAGCAAACAAACCTACTAAAGTGAAATGGAGCCTCTCCTGGTCCAGGGCCTTGGAAAATTGTGGAAAAGCTGTTCTTTAATAAGGGTTTAATAAGGGATTGGTTCTTTTGGGAAAGGCTTGGGGTTTGAATTTGGCAATTTTGGCAAAGGCTTGCTTCCCTTCTGGGCTTCCAGGAGCTGCTCTGGCACAGCTTGCTGCAATAGTGAACCCAGCAAACAAACCTACCTTGACTGAGCTATAGCGTTTTTGAGAAAAAATGCCTCTCAGCAATTACAGTTTTTTTTGCAAAAAAAAAGGGCTCTCCCAATTTTGTTTTGCCACAAAAGCGAACCCTCCAAACAATACTGAGTTTCAGAATAATTTGGAAAATTTGCCACAATAGCGACCCTAGGTACTAATCAGGACCCAACATTACATTACAATGGCTTAGGATATAATGGGGATATTAATGGAATATTAAGTTAAATATCATGGGATATCACTATTTCTGTGTAAAATGTCTGGCTTAAACAGTTGTTTTTCTCAATGCCTTCGTAATTAGACAGTGAAGAACTACATGATTTGCTTACATTGTCTCCCAGGAATATAGTGAGAAAGCACATAGCTCCTAAACAAATGTATGTTTATACATGTAACTATACCTCGTCTCCCAATACATGGCTCATTTTTTTGGGCTTGTGGGATGGGATCGGTGGATACCTGTTGAAGATATCTAGGATTGGTCATCTTGCGACGGGTGCATCTACTATGAAGAAGTAAAAGAACTGGTTTCAGTAACTATGATGACATACCCTGTTTTTGAAGCACTCGTTTTAAAGAAAACATCACTTTCCACAAGGTGGCGCCCCTAGTTTTGAAGTTGAAGACAAACCCAATTAACAATAGTCTATATAGTTATAATCACCACAAACCCAATTTGCCCTTGTACCACCTCGTAGTACTTTCATTGTCAACCATGAATCACACAAAAATATTCACATGATATTCCCATTGTATAAGTTCATGTTTATATAACTTATATACCCTCAATCTTTACACAGGGTGGGCCCTCCAGTCATAGGTTTGTTTCTAAACCCCAAAGAAAGCACAGCTACATCTCCCCTAAGCCCAACATGTTAGGGGCCCACCACCGTGTTGAGCGAAAAAAATGCCGAGGTACGAAGCAAAGGGCTGCCTTTTACTTGAGGCCAGTGGAGAGAATCACGCTGAGTCTGCCGGTTTCTCTTTGCAAATTTGCAAGGTTGGATTCAGCAAAACCAGTGAGGAAAACCATGACTAAGCAAGAAATTTGCGAGAGGAATTTCAGAAACCAACTTGTTATGTGTGTTTGTTTGTTGCCATGCAAGTGTATTTCCTTAACCGCAATGCGTTCTATATTACAAATATGCACATTTCTGTCCAATCCAAAAATGACCACAACATGAAGTTCCATGCGAGCACCACATGTTTTGTAGAAGTATCAACTTCTGGAATCGATTTCGAAGCAGCGCCGAAGGCGCTCCTAGGTCAGGACCCTCCACCTTCCAGAGCTATCAGTCTGAAGACTTGGTGTTTTTGGTGAATTGCCTCTGTTCTACGAAAGTCCAGTTTTCTTTGGGAAGGACAAGGCATTTGGCTTTCTACACAACTTTGCGAGCTTGAGATCCAAAGAGATTTCTGCAGCAGAACTCTGCGGTTTAACGGCAAGTCACCACACACTGATCAGGATTTTTTGGTAAGGAGCAACCTGCACACTGCAATACAGGAACCCCCTCTCATTTCAAGGTGATACCATCATGAATTCCCCATTTTTCATGCAACATGTTCCTTAAGTCATCAACCCATGAATCTAATGTTTGATTCAGGTTCACCTATTTGTTTTCCTGTCATTCACCTTTTTTTCGTCACACGGTGTCCGCAAGGTCCATGTTGAACTTTGGAGATTGCAACTGGCGGAATCCACAAAAAACTAAAATTACTTTACTTCGTGTGATCCCCACCATGACATTTCTACATTTTCTTACTGGCAAATCTTCTGGCATTCTATCTGACATATCTTCTGACAATCTATTTGGCATTCTATCTGGCATATCTTCTGGCATATGTTCTGGCATATCTTCTGGCAAATCTTCTGGCATATCTTCTGGCATATATTCTGACATATTTTCTGGCATTCTATCTGGCATCCTTTCTGGCATTCTATTTGGCATTCTATCTGGCATATCTATCTGGCATATATTCTGACATATTTTCTGGCATTCTATCTGGCATCCTTTCTGGCATTCTATTTGGCATTCTATCTGGCATATCTATCTGGCATATCTTCTGGCATATTTTCTGGCATTCTATCTGGCAAATCTTCTGGCATTCTATCTGGCATTCTATCTGGCATATCTTCTGGCATATTACCTGGCATTCTATCTGGCATATCTTCTGACATATCTTCTGGCATTCTATCTGGCATTCTATTTGGCATTCTATCTGGCATATCTATCTGGCATATCTTCTGGCATATTTTCTGGCATTCTATCTGGCAAATCTTCCTACATGAGGTCCGGCAGGGAACACTTGGCGTGGATACTCGCGGTTGAGGTCCGGCAGGGAACACTGGGCGTGGATGGTCGTGGTTGAGGTCCGGCAGGGAACACTGGGCGTGGATGGTCGTGGTTGAGGTCCGGCAGGGAACACTGGGCGTGGATGGTCGTGGTTGAGGTCCGGCAGGGAACACTGGGCGTGGATGGTCGTGGTTGAGGTCCGGCAGCGAACACTGTGGATCGCGAGTCGCAGTTGAGCAGGAGGACGAGGAGGACAACGAGACGAGGAGGACAACGAGAGGAGGAGGACAACGAGAGGAGGAGGACGACGAGAGGAGGAGGAGAGGAGGAGGAGAGGAGGAGGAGGAGGAGAAGGCAACTTAGATAAAATCTAACAACCCTCACCTGGCAGGTGGGGAATAAATCCTATGATTTTCCAATGTATTGTTGGTAAGTTCTCATGCATCCAAACGCACCCAACCACTTTTCTTGTAAGACAGTCATATATATATATATACATAGTTTTGTAAATCTATAGTTGTTATTGCTGGTAAACCCCAGCTACTTCTTTAATGGTTGGTTAAATCCCTATATCCATCCACTTTTCTGGACATCAAATACATAAATCACAATATTGTTGTTCGAATGCATATTTATTGTTGGTAAATGCCTTATCAGCAGCATTCAACTTTTGTTTATCCATCAAACATCATTACAATCCATTGAATATCCGCTGTATCTCTTAATATATCACCATCAAATTCAAATCCATGATATGAACCTATGATGTCCCATTCATTATCCATTTGATTTATCTAAATATTTAGCCATTATATGCAATTATATCATATGGAAGTTTCCTGAAATAGGGGTACCCCATTTCATCATCCATTTTCATGGCATTTTCCATTATAAAGCATCCAGCTATGGGGGACCCTTATGGAAACCACCATATACCCTCTGGTAAACTAACATAGCTGTTGAAAATCACCATTTTTAGTGGGTAAATCAACTAAACATGGCAATTTTCAATAGCTATGTTACTTTACCAGAGGGTACCCTCTGGTAATCAACCATGGCTAGCTTTGAAATCCTCTACAGATGGGCATTTAAAATGGGAAAATCACCTATAATCCCCTATGGAAACCATCATATATATATATATTACTAATTAATCTAAATATTTATCCATTATATGCAATTATAATATATATATATATATTTCTATTCCCCTCGTGTTTTCCCTTCATTTTTCGGGTGTTTAAATCCCCATCCTTGGTGTTTGACCGGACACCGCCAGGTGGCTCGGAACTCTGCTGGGCGACCTGCACCAACCGCTCCATTGGCGTCTCGGCCATGGGATGTAGCGTTGTTTTATATTGTGACATTTATTGTATCAAAATGAATGAATATAATTATATTTAATATGTATACAATGTACATATCTAATTATATGTATTATAATATGTATAATATATATATATATATAAGTATGTATAAGTATGTATATATATATACAAAGGATACTAGGGGATGAAATTCGCATATATATATATATATATTTAATTACATATCAATACACTATGTATATTTCTAGGAAGCTTGATTATTGGGAGGGAGAAGGTGGGAAAGACACAGACAGGAGTGAGTTCCTGCAACGAGCCATCCAAGTTGATGAGCTCGGAGACCCCTCGCTCGATCGAAGCCTACCCAGCACATGTTTTTGGTGGACTCTTGACTTCACCTCCATGGACAAGCGGAACCATCAATCCTGACTCTAGGATCCAATCGTGGTCCTTGTTGGTATCCAGAGGCATGGATTCAGCCTACTGCTTGAAGCACGCGGAGCGTGATGTCGCTAGAAGTCTGGGAGCAGCTCTGAGCCATGTTCGGGGATGGATGCGCACACCACTCTCAGTTGGAGGGGCTGGAAGCTTTCCGAGCCTCTTCCATTCGAACAGATCATGGTTCAAGCTGGAAAGGACCTCCAAGTCAGTAGATGTAGTCGAGAAGTTTGACAAGATTTTGGGTACAAAATAACTATAGATGTTTAACCCCGTCCCTCGGTTATTCCCTTGAACACCAGGGATGGGATTGTTGGGGGATGGGATTAATATATGTACAGTATACCCTCCGGTGCCCTCAAACATGGCAATTGGAAATCCCCTGTAAATGGCGGATTTCGTGGGAACATCATGTATGAATGGTGAATGTTCCATTGTCCAATGTCATGACATTTAGCATAGCTATGGAAAATGACCCATTTATAGATAATGTACCTATTAAAAGTGATGATTTTCCATGGCTATGTTAAATAACCAAAGGGTATATTGTATGTATGTATTCAGTATTTTGATATATATATATAATTATATATATGTCACTATATAACAAGTTTAACAACATATGATATTGAAGCTATACATATACATATATCTGGGTAAATTATAACGACCTCACTGCGACCAAACCCTGGAATCATGGTAAATAAGGGGAATCATATCCAAATGGCCGAACTATTCAGGTTAGTGAAATATTGTAATTTACCCATATATATATATCAAACCAAAAAAAATAACAAAGCTTCAGCCCGCACCCCTCCCACGGATCATCCTGCAGGTTGGCTGAAAAGAACTTCGGCGAAGAGGTGCCGTGTGAAGCCACGGCCGGTGGTGTCCCATGTTTGTTGTTTGCTAAGTTGGTGAACATAACTCCAATAAGCAAAGTTTATGGTATATATATATATATAATGGAGGTCTTCAACCAAATTCGGACGTTTTTTCGAATTCCTAGGTTAATTGTTGAGTTCATGGTGATAATTATATTTTGGTTTATTAGGATGACGGTTCCGACCGGAACAGACGACTGGAGTTCCCATCTTGCAGTCATTCTACATCTCCCAGAAATGTGATTTAACATGGTCCAACCAACCAAAAAAATATGATGTGCGTATGATAAACCACTATTAACCACTATTAAATGGGAGAATCCCCTAGAAATGGCCATTTAAATGGGAAAATCCAATGAACATCATTTACTGGTTGGTGGTTTGGAACATCAATTTTATTTTTCCATTTCATATATGGGATACTCATCCCAACTGACTATGTGTTTTTTTTCAGAGGGGTTGAAACCACCAACCAGGATATTATATACAGAAAATATGATCAATTTATCATGGGGATAGGCCGCCAAAGTGTATAGTTGGATTATGACTACTATAACTGGGATTTCATATATTATTGATATAATATAATTTGAGTTGTAACCAATATGATTAACTGGAATGCAATCGTTGATACTTATGTATGTGACATGTACGTGTGTATTTAAAATAGGGATATCAACAATGGTGGAAATAAGTTGGAATATGATGAACCATCTTGGTGAAGAACAATGGCTGATCACGATTATTGATATTTTACCAGCCGAAAATGGGGATAGTTTTATTACGAAGATTTTTGTTGTTGAAAACCGACTGGATGGGTACCTAGCAAAATCAGTTCATCCAGAAAATGGATGGAATACCAAATATGTTGAGCTAAAACTGGCCAACACAGCGATTGTTTTTTTTTTTTAATCTTTAAATGTGCCATGTAATTAGTATCATTTTTGAATATTTATGACAGTTATGATATAAACGAAACACCAAACAATCTGAGGGTCTTGGTCGTTTCAACCTTCAACACCTCTGTGTCCATCATGTCTTGATATTTCCATCATATCCTATGGTGCCGGAATACCTTGGATCATTGACATAGTTTAAGCACACCCACTCCGAAAGATGGTCAGCTATGGGACACACCCAAGTTTTGGTTTATCTTTTCTGATCTGGGATTTGTAATGAATGTCATGGTGTGTTTTGGTCGGGGAAAAAAACTCATGTTTTTTCATGGTGGATTGCAGTTTCTGGATTCTTCCACAATACGACCATCATGACTATTTCATATACAGTAGATGCATGGAATTAATGATGATAACTCCCCAGAAGAGAAAGCATTACCAAGGATCTTATATATATATATACATATGATGTGACGCCTATAGTTTCCAATTGTTTTTCTATTAAAAACTGGGCTTTATCGGTTTATTTTTTCTATAGATTTATTTTCTGGGGATTACATATGATGTTTCCACTATATAGATAAAAACCCCAGAAAAATAGATAAACCAAGGATTCCATGTTTTTCAATTTTTCTATCTGGGTTTATCGGTTTATCCAACACTTTCGTGGCAAGGTGAAGATCAGCTTTCGTGGCGGAGACTATACCTTGCTTCAATTTTGGGAGGACGGCAGGGTGGTCAGCCCCCGTTGGTTGTTGCGTTCAGTTGCCGAACATGGAAGTGGCTGAATTCTATGGTTTATGGTAGATATAACCAACCAGCATTCATGGGGTTATAAACCAACTAACATCGCTTGTGGCTTAATCATGGTTTATGATATATGATATAACCATAGTTAATGTGGTTGATAAACCAACTTATAACTGGGGTGCACCATCCTGCAGCAATTTTCAGGCTTGCTTAAAACTGGTATGGAGTAAATATTGCTGCGGTTGAAATTGGTGGGCTCAGATGGAATCGAACAACACTCATTGTTCTTAAAGGATTTTCAGTTATACGTATCAGCTATCATCCATTATTATATATCCACTATTATCAAAGAACATATAACCACTATCATATTACTACTTTCAGTGATATCAACAACACACAGATGGAAGTTCACAGATTCTGTCAGTGTTGGAATATTGATGTTTTTATGTGGTGGTTAGCCATGATACGTTCACCACCGTGGCCAACAAATGCCCCAGTATCTCTCTCCTACCTGTTATATATTACTCTTTATTTCCAATTGTTTGTCAACTATTAGTACCATTGTGCACCAATTGTTACATAATGTTACATATGATTTTCAGTAGCCGTAGCCCAATAGTTAAGCATAGTATTCCATAGTAATCTAAATATTTCCCACTCAGTACGATTCACTAGTTGTTGGTTTTTGTTCAATCTAGATATTACCTATTAATCATAATATCTAGATATAACCTATTAATCATAATATTTATTCATTAGTTCATATTATTGTCCATGATTACCTTATTAACACTTAACCAATGCCAACCTTAGCCAATTCCTGACGGTTCCCCCGGCCGGTCCTTGCAGGAATACCTTCCCAAACAGCTACCGGAGCTGCCCATGATCTCCATCTTGGACTTGGAATACAAAGCCCAGCAGCTCGGAGCTGAACGGTGAGTGAAGGTTAGTGAAATAACTATGGTTATATCATCTGGGAAAATTTCATCACGACCTCACTGTTCTCCCTCACTGCAAATCATGGTTAATAAGGGAAATCATCCCCATTCATGGCCGAACTATTCAGGTTAGTGAAATATTATAATTTACCCAGATATCATATATCTATCATAACCATAGATTCCATAGATATATGATATAACATACTTAAACCATAGTTATGAGTTAGTGAAGGTGAGTTGAAAGGTGAGTGACGGTTAGCATTATATCTCGTTTGAAAGGTGGGTGGAGGATAAACATTGACATAACCCTGTTGTTCAAAATAGACTAGTATTGTATTGACATAGACCCTATAGACTTAAGTATTAAAATAGGATACACATTGACATAGCAAGGATAGCTCTATTTTGAAAGTTATTTCATAGGGACTTAAGTATCAACAAAAACCGAGGTTTTAGATGGTTTTATGGGTTTCTTGATTAGAAAATCGACTGGGATATAATTGATATATATATATATATATACATATTTATATATATATATTGATATTCGTCGTTTCTACGGTACTTGGGACCGTCCTGGGGACCCCACATCAAGCCACTATGACTAGGGCCCATTGCCAGAGCTCTTCCAGCGACTCAGTGACTTCGATGATTTACCGCACAGCAACTGGTGTAATTACCCGGCCTGGTAAACATAGAAAAAACCATGGAAAGATCCACCATTGTTCATGGGAATATTCACTATAAATTAATGGTGATTTTCCATATTGATGTTAAATTACCAGAGGGTATTGATGATTTACATTTGTTGTAGATCAACAGTGTTTACTGTCCCCTTAAATTTACCATAAATGGATTGCATTTTTCCATCCAAATATGGTTGGTTTATTGTTGCTTCACTCACATGAAAGTAATTGATTTTATACATGCGGCATATTAGATGATTATGGCCCTTCTGGGTGAGTTACCCATGTATTCCATGTATGTCTAGGATTCCTTAGGATATTCTACATGATTTTGCCATGTTTCTGGGTCATGAATTTCTTTGCTTCGTGAATTGGACCGTTGGTTAGGTGAATGTACCACTTTTGTGTGTTCAAACACTCCCAAGACCAGTTTCAGAAGGAAACAAATCATACTGGATTGTGGATGGTTGCAAAATCCTGCACCAGTTGGTAACTATTGGTAGCTATGAAACTCTGTAAATAATGGGATTAGAATGTGATGTAGGGGAGCATCCCGTTCAGCCCAATCTATCTGATCCTGGATGAAACATCAAGTCTTGGGTGGTAAAGATTGGCAAATTGTCCTGAATATCCGTTTTTTTCTGAACACCACATAATTCATCATAATTCGATAATTTGTATATATATATACACCAGACAATTGTTTATTTGTATACACCAGAAAATTGTATATATGTATATATTTGTATACACCAGAAAATTGTATGTATGTATATATTTGTATACACCAGAAAATTGTTACTTGTCCAAGTTTGAAAGCAACCTATCCAAGTTACAAGATGTTACAAGTTAAATTACCGACCACCATTTTCAATCGAGAATCATTATCGAAGCTGCTGGTTGGATCTGGTCCCAAGGTACCACGAGTGGGGTCATCGCTCACCCCCTGAGCTCTTTCGGCAATGGGGTGGCGAAATGTCAGACAAGGCGACCGTTATTGCGGAGTTACCAGAGTTATCTATGCCATAATATTTGGATATTAGAATAGTATAACTATGGTATTAGCATAGTGTAACAACTATAGTATCTGGATATTAGAATAGTATAACTATGGTATTAGCATAGTGTAACAACTATAGTATCTGGATATTAGAATAGTATAACTATGGTATTAGCATAGTGTAACAACTATAGTATCTGGATATTAGAATGGTATAACTATAGAATTGGCATAGTGTAACAACTATAATTTCTGGATATTACAATAGTATAACTATGGTATTAGCATAGTGTAACAACTATAGTATCTGGATATTAGAATAGTATAACTATAGAATTGGCATAGTGTATAACTATAGTATAACTATAATGGCATAGTGTATAACAAATAGTATTTCTGGATATTAGAATAGTATAACTATGGTATTGGCATAGTGTACAACTATAGTATTTGGATATTAGAATAGTATAACTATGGTATTAGCATAGTGTAACAACTATAGTATCTGGATATTAGAATAGTATAGCTATAGTATCGGCATAGTGTAACAACCATAGTTTCTGGATATTAGAATAGTTTAACTATGGTATTAGCATAGTGTAACAACTATAGTATCTGGATACTATAATAGTATAACTATGGTATTAGCATAGTGTAACAACTATAATTTCTGGATATTAGAATAGTATAACTATGGTATTAGAATAGTGTAACAACTATAGTATCTGGACATTAGAATAGTATAACTATGGTATTCGAATAGTGTAACAACTACAGTATCTGGATATTAAAATAGTATAACTATGGTATTAGAATAGTGTAACAACTATAGTATCTGGATATTAGAATAGTATAACACTGGAATAGTGTCACAACTATAGTATCTGGATATTAGAATAACAACTATAGTATCTGGATATATATATATATATATCCGTAATAACAACTATAGTATCTGGATATTAGAATTGTGTAAAAACACTGGATATTGGATTAGTGTGTAGCAACTATATCTAACCTTCATATGGTACTAGTATCATGATTATTTGATTGGTGGTTTCAAACATTTTTTTTTCATAATATACGGGATAATCCTTCCCATTGACTTTCATATGTTTCAAGATGGCTAAAACCACCAACCAGCACAGTTGTAATACACTCTAGTGAACAAACGTAGCAACCACTTTCCAATGAAAACTAGGGACGATTTCCATGTTAGTTTTCGGGATAAAAGTGCCAGTATGCAGCCATTTGGGTTGCCATGTTAGCTATATATCCCCCTCATACTTCCCTATAAAATCTAGGGGTCATCCCCCACTATATAACGAAACCTTTGGATTCGCCGGACATCCCCAAGAGATCCCCCAGATGACGCCAATCCATCCCATCCACAGCCATTGGATCACAAGTGGGACTTGTGGAGCCATGGATACCACAACAATCAACAGTGCTTCCCCCCAATTCCCCCTGCCCCCAGGGACCACAGTGGAGCATTTTACGCAGGAACCTAACCTAGCAATTTTTGGGTGCCTGGTGGCTGCAGGCCGTAATGCCTTCCCCTAGGGTCCACAGTGGAGCATTACCAGGCACCCAAAAAGTGATTTTCATTGCCTTTTTTCCGATCAATTTCAATAGCACAGCTCTATTCAAAAATGCATTTTTGGGGCTCGATCTGGCCGGGAGGCCATTTGGTGGTGATTGTCAGCAACTTTGTCCCTGGAAAATGAAAAAAAGTTAGCCAGTGGCGTATCCACTGGTGGCTGCAGGCCGTAACCCCATGCCCCCAGGAACCACAGTGGAGCATTTTACGCAGGAACCTAACCTAGCAATTTTTGGGTGCCTGGTGGCTGCAAACCGTAATCCCTTCCCCTAGGGACCACATTGGAGCATTGTACCAGGCACCCAAAAATTGATTTTCATTATCTTTTTTTTCCGATCAATTGCAATAGCACAGCTCTATTCAAAAATGCATTGTTGGGGCTCGATCTGGCCGGGAGGCCATTTGGTGGTGATTTTGAGCAACTTAGTCCCTGGAAATGAAAAAAACAAATGTTCCCCATAGCTAGGTTAGCCAGTGGCGTATCCACTGGTGGCTGCAGGCCGTAACCCTCTGCCCCCAGGGACCACAGTGGAGCATTTTACGCAGGAACCTAACCTAGCAATTTTTGGGTGCCTGGTGGCTGCAAGCCGTAATCCCTTCCCCTAGGGACCACAGTGGAGCATTTTACCATGCACCCAAAAATTGAGTTTCATTGCCTTTTTTCCCCGATCAATTTTAAAAGCACAGCTCTATTCAAAAATGCATCGTTGGGGCTTGATTTGGCCGGGAGGCCATTTGGTTGTGATTTTGAGCAACTTGGTCCCTGGAAAATGAAAAAACAAATGTTCCCCATAGCTAGGTTAGCAAGTGGCGTATCCACTGGTGGCTGCAGGCCGTAACCCCTTGCCCCCAAGGACCGCATTGGAGCATTTAACGCAGGAACCTAACCTAGCAATTTTTGGGTGCCTGCATGGTGGCTGCAAGCAGTAATGCCTTCCCCTAGGGACCACAGTGGAGCATTTTACCATGCACCCAAAAATTGATTTTCATTGCCTTTTTTCCCCGATCAATTTCAATAGCACAGCTCTATTCAAAAATGCATCGTTGGGGCTTGATTTGGCCGGGAGGCCATTTGGTTGTGATTTTGAGCAACTTGGTCCCTGGAAAATGAAAAAACAAATGTTCCCCATAGCTAGGTTAGCCAGTGGCGTATCCACTGGTGGCTGCAGGCCGTAACCCCTTGCCCCCAAGGACCGCATTGGAGCATTTAACGCAGGAACCTAACCTAGCAATTTTTGGGTGCCTGGTGGCTGCAGGCCGTAATCTTCCCCTAGGGAAACAGTGAAGCATTTTACGCAGGAACCTAACCTAGCAATTTTTGGGTGCCTGGTGGCTGCAGGCCTTAATCTGTTCCCCTAGAACCACAGGCACCAAAAAAAAATTAAAAAAAAAAATTTTGGGGCTCGATCTGGCCGGGAGGCCATTTGGTGGTGATTTTGAGGAACTTAGTCCGTGGAAAATGAAAAAACAAATGTTTTACGCAGGAACCTAACCTAGCAATTTTTAGGTGCCTGGTGGCTGCACGCCGTAATCCCTTCCCCTAGGGACAACAGTGAAGCATTTTACCATGCACCCAAAAATTGATTCTCATTGCCTTTTTTCTGATCAATTTCAATAGCACAGCTCTATTCAAAAATGCATTTTTGGGACTCGATCTGGCCGGGAGGCCATTTGGTTGTGATTTTGAGCAACTTAGTCCCTGGAAAATGAAAAAAACATGTTCCCCATAGCTAGGTTAGCAAGTGGCGTATCCACTGGTGGCTGCAGGCCGTAACCCTCTGCCCCCAGGGACCACAGTGGAGCATTTTACGCAGGAACCTAACCTAGCAATTTTTGGGTGCCTGGTGGCTGCAGGCCGTAATCCTTTTCCCTAGGGACCACAGTGGAGCATTTTACCAGGCAGCCAAAAATTGCTAGGTTAGGTTCCTGCGTAAAATGCTCCACTGTGGTCCGTGGGGGCGGGGGGTTACGGTCTGCAGCCACCAGTGGATACGCCACTGGCTAACTTTTTTTCATTTTCCAGGGACAAAGTTGCTGACAATCACCACCAAATGGATTCCGGCCAGATCGCGCCCCAAAAATGCATTTTTGAATAGAGCTGTGCTATTGAAATTGATCGGAAAAAAGGCAATGAAAATCAATTTTTGGGTGCCTGGAAATGCTCCACTGTGGCCCCTAGGGGAAGGCATTACGGCCTGCAGCCACCAGGCACCCAAAAATTGCTAGGTTAGGTTCCTGCGTAAAATGCTCCACTGTGGTCCCTGGGGGCAGGGGGAATTGGGGGGAAGCACTGTTGATTGTTGTGGTATCCATGGCTCCACAAGTCCCACTTGTGATCCAATGGCTGTGGATGGGATGGATTGGCGTGATCTGGGGAATCTCTTGTGGATGTCCGGCGAATCCAAAGGTTTCGTTTTATAGTGGGGGATGACCCCCTAGATTTTATAGGGAAGTATGAGGGGGATATATAGCTAACATAGCAACCCAAATGGCTGCATACTGACACTTTTATCCGCAAAATTAACGTAGCAATAGTCCCTAGTTTTCATTGGAAAGTTGTTGCTAACATGGTAATTACGTACCTTTTTTGGCTCCACTAACATGGCAACTGTGGACTGCCCAGGGCCAGAAATCCCAAAAATGCACCAGGCAATAAGAAACCCTTTTGACATCCCGGTTTCCCAGGGAATGACAACCAAATGCAAAGAATGTAAAGTGAAGAACACCCCAAGTAACAGCCTAACATAGCAATTGCCAATGGCCAAATACCAACTGAAAACACCTGAAGGAAGACCCTAACATAGCAAGTGAAACATTTTGTTTCCAAAAAAGGTTACTTAAATTTACTTAAACTTACCCCGCCAAAAACTGAAAACACCCGAATGTATTGCCTAACATGGCAACTGAGTAGCTTTGTTTCCTCAAGAGGTCCTTAAAACATTTTGAGATTAAGACGTAATGTGAAGTCCATACCCTGCTGTACGGTACCTAACCTGGTCGGATTTTTTCACATTACCCTCTGGTAAACTAACATAGCTATGGAAAATCACTATTTTTATCGGGTAAATCCACTATAAATAGCTAACATAGCAACCCACTAGCTTTCAAAACACCATGAACACTAGCTTTCAAAAATTGTTGGGCCGGAGGGGGGCTGGTCCACTCTGCGCGCTAACATGGAGACCGTTTTATGGATACTGTTTTTAGTTGCCATGTTAGGCACTACCATCGGGTGTTTTCAGTTTTTGGCGGGGTAAGTTTAAGTAAATTCATGTAACCTTTTTTGGACTTTACTTGCTGTGTTAGGGTCTTCCTTCAGGTGTTTTCAGTGGGTATTTGGCCATTGGCAATTGCTATGTTAGGCTGTTACTTGGGGTGTTCTTCGATTTACATTCTTTGCATTTGGTTGTCATTCCCTGGGAAGCCGGGATGTCAAAAGGGTTTCTTATTGCCTGGTGCATTTTTGGGATTTCTGGCCCTGGGCAGTCCACAGTTGCCATGTTAGTGGAGCCAAAAAAGGTCCACAGTTTCCATGTTTTTTCACTACAGAGTAACCACTATAGAATCATGTTTGTTAGTAAAACACTGGATATTTAATTGGTTTATGCACCCATCCAACTATAGTTCTGACGATGATCACCCAACAGTTTTCCTACACAAAAAGACCTACTTTTCGAAGATTACCAACTTAGCACACCTTCACCGGGGCCACCAACGTTCACATAAGATGTCGGCGAAGATGAAACCGGTACCATGTGGGCCTTGAAGATATCTGGTGAATAGCGCTGGGTGATCTCCATAGTAAAAATATGTAAAAACATATACAGTAGATACCCTCTGGTGAACGTTTACATAGCAATGGAAAATCACCATTCTTAATGGGAAAATCCACTATAAATAGCCATTTTCCATTGCTATGTTAGTTCACCAGAGGGTACATCAAAAGTTGGGGCGTCCCATAAAACAACAAAGACAAATCGGGGCCCCACTTTGTAGGATTGTGAGGAAATCAATTGAGAGAAGGATGACGACATGCGATGACCAGCAATGAGGAGTCTAACCAACAACAGATGCCGATATTGTAGGGGAATGTTTGGGATATATAATTACTCTAGGTGAGAAAAACTCCATAGAAATCGCGGACTAGCAAGTTTTGGAGTTGTGCAAGACATTGTGTTTCTAATCGAATGATCTATTCTTTTAAGGTTCCAGGTACATGTCATATAGTTCAGGTATCCGACATTCCGGGGGCAAAATCAAAGTGGTTCCTTTGCCAAACTGCAGCTTCAGGCATGCAAATGGAGTTGGGTTGATTTTTCAGTGCCGATTCTACCATATGTTGGAGGGATGACCATGGATTGTCGGTCCATAACTACCAGCTATTTGGCCGTGAATGCTGGGATGGCTGGCTCAAATGCCGATGTCGAGTGGTTTTTCCACCAAGCATGTTGAGTTTCATGTTCATGATGAATATTCCCACTATGATATTGTTTTTTCTTTTACATGTGCATATATGATATGTAATCATGTAATCACATGTATGTACTCTGAGTATACAGAAGGAACAGTGTACTATATGTGACTATATGTGTATATAGTGCGTCTATTTATGACTCACCGCGTGATGATAGATGGTACGGTAACCCCCATGCTTTGCTTGCTCTCAGCGACAATCATGTTCTAAATCATGTTGACTATTGTGATGTTTGCCAAACACTAGAATGAATATCAGGTATTATCATTTGTTCTATTGCTACCAAGTATATCATTTTATATTATTGTTCTTACTGTTACAACATTACAATATATTATAGCTGTTAACATTATAGCATGTTATAACATGTTATAGCTGGTTATCACAAACTATCATCATTGTTTCTATTGCACCGTTATATCATATTATATCATTGTTCTTACTGTTACAACATTACAACATATTATAGCAATTAACATTATAACATGTTATAACATGTTATAGCTGGTTATCACAAAAATATCATCATTGTTTCTATTGCGCAGCTATAGCATAATATATCACTGTTCTTACTGTTACAACATTACAACATATTATAGCATATTATAGCTGGTAGCACTATAACATGTTATAACATGTTATAGCTGGTTATCACAAAAATATCATCAGTGTTTCTATTGCATAGCTATATCATGATATATCACTGTTCTTACTGTTACAACATTACAACATATTATAGCATATTATAGCTGGTAGCAATATAACATGTTATAACATGTTATAGCTGGTTATCACAAACTATCATCATTGTTTCTATTGCACCGTTATATCATATTATATCATTGTTCTTACTGTTACAACATTACAACATATTATAGCAATTAACATTATAACATGTTATAACATGTTATAGCTAGTTATCACAAAAATATCATCATTGTTTCTATTGCGCAGCTATAGCATAATATATCACTGTTCTTACTGTTACAACATTACAACATATTATAGCATATTATAGCTGGTAGCACTATAACATGTTATAACATGTTATAGCTGGTTATCACAAAAATATCATCAGTGTTTCTATTGCATAGCTATATCATGATATATCACTGTTCTTACTGTTACAACATTACAACATATTATAGCATATTACAACATTACAACATATTATAGCATATTATAGCATATTATAGCTGGTAGCACTATAACATGTTATAACATGTTATAGCTGGTTATCACAAAAAATATCATCAGTGTTTCTATTGCATAGCTATATCATGATATATCACTGGTCTTACTGTTACAACATTACAACATATTATAGCATATTATAGCTGGTAGCAATATAACATGTTATAACATGTTATAGCCGGTTATCACAAACATATCATCATTGTTTCTATTGCACAGCTATATCATCATATATCATTGTTCTTACTGTTACAACATTGCAACATATTATAGCATATATATATATAGCTGGTAGCTACATCATATTTGTTTGTTTTTGTTAACGCCAGGTGTGCAACGAGATCTATGGCCCCATGTACGTGAACCACGGCGATGGGAGTCGCAGTATCGATTCGCCTTTTGTGCTCACTGAGGAGACTTTTGAGCTCGTCACATTGCCGTTGCGCTGGGGTTGCCATTGTACTGGATCAGTGTTTGGGAATTTCTTACATTATTGTTTTTTTAAAAAAAGTATGTATATAACATAGTATACAACTATCTTATATTAAAGTTTATTATATGTTTCGTTTGTTTAAAATAAATAGATAATATAATATAATATACTATAACATAATACAATATAACATAATACTATATGATTCGAACTTGTTGTGTATATATATGAAAACTATATTATGTATATAATTATATTATGTTACATTATTTTATATTATGGTATATTATATTATGTTATATTTTATTATCTGTTTTCAGAATAAAACAAATTAATATAATATACTATAATATAATATACTAATGTATATTATATATACATATTTACATTATATATTATATATATATATTTACTGTATTATATATTAGATATATTGTATTTACCTTTGGGATTAGTAATAATAAATAGACTTCAACATAATTATTTAACACAGATGATATAGGTAGGATGTATAAGTTGGTTTGAACATCTTCGGTTTCTATGGATTAACATAAATGAAATGTTAATGGATTTGTCTATAGATGTGGATAAACGCTGACAGATTGGTTATAGAATTTGCCAACCAATTTGCAAACCATAAACGGGATCAGGACGGTATTTTTTGACTGAGGCATACAGCAACAAGAGTGGATACAATTGGGTTGCCACACACAGATTGATTTCTAGGGGAGATAGATGGGGAATAGCCAGGGATATTGGAGGAGATATTGAGAGCAAGAGATTGTTAACATGCCCTGTCATTTGCCTATCATTTGGGGGTTGAAGAGCTCACATACTCTCAGAATCCATGAGTAATTAGCTGGATGCAACCACCATTCAATTCGACGCCTCTCATCGAGGTGTTGATGTTCCTAGTTGCAATTCCGCAAGTTGAACCCATTTGGGGAATTACACATGTTAGGGACATGATCATTGGAAATTTCAATTAGGGACATCATCTACGAATTTCATCGTCATATTGGATTGCCAGAGGCTGTTATGGATTGGGCGCCTCTAAGTCAAATCCAATCATCTCTCGCTTTCCGAGGCTGTGTTTCTATAATCAAACTGGTATATAATAGAAAAACAGTTCCTATTTATAGTATAAAACTCGTATATACTAGTATATAATATACTATATATATATATACTATATACTATAGTATCTATATATATATATAGTTTTCATCTATATATACTATATATACTGTATCTAGATGTGCAATGAATGGGTTTGTTGACCATCAACAGATGGGAATCTGCAAAGAAAGGGTTTTCTACGGTACTGCCAGTTTGAAAAATTGGGGATGATAAGAACAATGGCGCAAGATACCTTGAGATAGCTAAAACGATCAATAAAATCCCACAAATTAATACCCCATGATTATTATTGATATATATATATAAATCATAAATATCCCATTATAGAAAAAATGAACGCAACAGGACCACGGTAGGCTAGTCATAATTGGCTTGGACATATTCCCATAGTACCATAATGGCGACAAGAAAGAGTTCTAATTTGCATAGTACATGGGAGTATCAATACACAGGATGGACCCCATATGCTTCATGATTACGATTAGGAATAATAATATACCATCTAACTGTGAAAAATCCTAGCGTGAAAATTGATGAAAATTGTGTTTTCTGTTGATTTCTTTTGCCAATAATGCCAACACTAATGTGTATATATTATATAGATCTACAGATCTACATTTCAGATTCATATGTGTATATATATATACATACACAGATACAGATACAGATACAGATATACACTGCGTACAACATAAATCGCCTTGGCGCAGATAGGGACAGTCCAATCCATTGCGTTTTTATCGCAGGCGCATTCTGAACAGAATCTTGGACATTCATCCAGAAGCAGTTGTGAGTCTTGCAGGAAAGCCAGTGGGTCGGAAATAATCCAAACAAAGGAGGCAAACATCGACAAGCTCGGAGGGTTCATGATCATCAAGCTGGAAAATTCTGTGCAAATCTACGAGAGCTACGAACCTGGGTGTTTTTTTTTCGCAACATTTGAGAAGAGCGCGTGGAAGGATGATTTCCTGCGATGACTATCGGGGGTCAGCCTGCGAATGCTGCATGATGAAGCTGGCCTGCAGATCATGTAAGTTCCACCGACATGAGTTGATCCTAGGACTTGCAAGTGGCTAAACCACGTAGTTTGATCCGAAGCAACTTGCTAAAATAGCAAGGATGCCTATCCGAAAAACTTGGAAGTCACTAAGTCACTAAGTCCACTTTACACGAAATCGCTACAATGTGGTGCCCCCAAACATTATTTTTATTGGTTTATAAACCCCATGAAAACTATAATTATAAGATATTAATAGATATTATATAAGTACCATAAACCATAGTGACATCGGAGTTATAAACCCACCGTAGCTATCGTCAACAGGACCCCACTTTGACCATGGGATGATCCCCAGTTGAGACCGATCGCCGAAGGCCTTGTCACATGGCCCGATGGCCCCTGCCAGGAGCTGTTCTCAAAGTGGCTGAAATTGGCGGAGCTGGTGATTCAGGAGACACGGCTTTCACAAAATGAACGCAACGGCAAGGGAAATTGGCATGAGATTGCATGAAATATGAACATATGTATATGCTAATTTTTACTATATAGTATTAATGTGATTTTCATATGACTCACAGTTGCTTACTTTCATTTTTTTCAGGGCTCAACATGGCTTAGTCAATTTCTCCCCAGGAAGTCAACAATGGCATGCTAGAAACTGCCACACTTCGATGACTTTCCCATGCCCATTTTGGCATTTCTCAGCAGAGCTGATGGGGGTGAGGAGGGAGGCGAGCGACTAGCGCTAGTCTTCCTGGATATCATCGAGCATCGGCGACATAAGGCATGGTACCGAATGATTCTGGTGTCCATAGTCTAAAAATGTCTAAAATGCAATGCCCCGGTTTCTTATAACTATTTTGTTTCTTAAGGGTTATTTTTTTTCCTTATATAAGTTCTTTATAGTTCTCTTAAAAGGTGTTTATCCACCAGCCCCCCAAAAAAATGAGGGCTTCTTAAGCAGCGGTTATTGGTATGTGATGCTCCTCTCGGGATTTAACACTGACGGGAAGTGGATGGAAGTGGATGGAAATGGACCCCTAGGTATAAATTAGTTTAAAACCTAATCTAAATGTAGTGTTAAGTATCATACACCATTGTTATTATAGTATCTTAGACTTATAAACCGACGTAGCGAACCACGGGGACCCTTCCTGTTGGGACCCTATGCAAGAAAGGGATTCTAGGGAGCAAAATCTGAACACTAGCCACTAGCCACTTGCAGGCCGGGGATTGTGTATTCGGGGATTAGGATTTATGGTAAGATGTTTGTATTTGACACCCCCAAATACGAGCAGAAAACATTGGAATATAACCGCTTATATGCCCCAGTTACGAAGCATTCAGAAATTTACCTCCCAGTATTGTTTGATCATCCTCTGTTTGGTTTTGCTGATGATTTTTGCTTGAGGAACCAATGTGCTGGCTAATTTTCACGAAACATCAATGATGGACTTGCAAAGAATTAATGGGAATACAACGGAATATTTGGCAACCCTTGACAAATGAGGAATTATAATGTAGTGATTTTTTTTCCCCCCAAAAAAAAGGAAGATGATATGGGTGTCTCTAGAAATGCAGTATATCATTTCAAACTATAGATGATTCCATATCCAGTTTAAACCATATACCATATACACTATTCCCTATACATATATATATATATATATAGAATGTCAGTATATACATATTCCCTCAAACTGACATTCTAAACTGGAAATCTGATGATTCACCACTGGATTGATCTTGGTATCTTGGGACAGGTGGATATGATTCAAACCAACATACTGCAGACATGCACAGCAACGTAGATGGGTATAGCAAGCACAACATAGACATAGATCAAAGCATTACGTGATGTGTAACCCTACAATACAAGCCAACAATTCAGGAACGGTCCAGCAACATCGAAAAAAAAACAAGTCCTGTCATGTTGCCCTGAAAGCAGCTAAATTCCATTCGATTTTTGATTTGATAAGTCGATAATTGTACTATGCTCAACAAATCCCAATCACTTACAAGGTGGTGCCCTCAAGCTACAATTTAGAGTATAATCACAATTGACTATACGTAGAATCACACCATAAACCTAGTAATTATATTTACCCTCTGGTAAACTAACATAACTATGGAAGATCACCATTTTTAATGGGTAAATCAACTATAAATGGCCATTTTCACTAGCTATGTTTGTTTACCAGAGGGTACCAATTTAGCTATCGAGGAGGCACCACCTTGTATTTTCTTTTGGCCAGGGACCTGTTGCTGGTTCTATTTCCATTGCCAATGGTTGGTGGACCTTAATGTGACAATTTCTAGTTCCACGTTTCCAGTCTGCGAACAAAACAATCAAACATTAAGGAACTAGAATTGTGGATGGAATTGTGGAACTAGACATTTTCACATTAAGGTACCCAGTGCTCGAAAATCATCCATTCATGGGCGATTTTCCCATCAAAACCTAGCCTGGAAGATTTGAAAAATCGCAATGATTTCCCAGGGGGAAATCGCGGCGGCTTAAACAGTAAGGTTCCATTCTTCGGCTGCGTAGCTATGGATTTTGTTGCTCGCCCTTGGAGATGATCAACACATGGGTAGTTTCTTTTGTTCCATAGTTATGTGTCCTGATAGAACTCCAAAGGGTAAACCCTCAAGGGTTATATTGATTATGCTCAACCAGTTCGCTCCATTAAGCATTGCCATCCATTGGAAGCCCAATTGTATCTCTCTAGTTGTTGTTCTTCTGCTTCCGACTGACAGTGAATTGAAAAGACTCAAGACGCGTTTTATGAAACCCAAAACCCATAGGATCCATGGTGCTGGTATATATGCTAACATTTGGGGTACATTGATGGGATCCATGTTACCATATATAGCAGCACCATGGATCCGTCATGGGAAATGGATCGTTTCACAAAAATGAAAAACTCAAGGTCTGACCAGCTGGCTGGTTACCCAAAATCCAGGGATTCCGATGTCGAAATACCATGCCATAGCATTGCTTGTTCCAATGCAGCGATGCAGGCAGCCAAAGATGAAGGTCGGGGCTTGTCAGGTGCTCAGATTCCCACTGGGAATATCTTCAGATATCTTTAGGGAATAAATCGAATGAATACAGGACTTTGGCCTGAGTTATACCAGTTACAAGTACTAAGAAACCCACATTTATGGATGGTATATTATTGTATAATCCCATTGAAATAACTGTGGGAACTAAAGATCTAGATCCTGGTTGAACATGGGCCAAGAACATGTACCAGAAAATGGAAAAAGATCCTGACACGGCGGCTCTTGTCTTAAGACCATCAATTATGGTAATGCGGGAAACCCAGTGACCAACCCTCTTAGGCTGTTTTTACATAATTTCGAATAGGGCTATGCCCAAGAATAAACCGAATTGGAGATATTTGATCATATCACATAGTAAGTTAATGTTATATCATAGTTTGGTTTGCCACATTAGCTTAAAATATAACGTCCTTTGTTGATGCAAGTCTGAATCTTCAGCCCAGCCGGTGTGTTATCCATTCTACTTCCAGGGTGACTTACTTCAGCGACCAAGCTACAGGATGGGGCCCCCGGGGCCCCCGTTCGAGTTCGCGTTCAGTTGCCGCAGATGGCTGTGGCTGAATTCTACTTGTATGGTAGGTTTAACGAACTAGTCATGGGGATAAATCACGTTCCATCACTGGGGGCACAAAATCCTGTAGATGCATAGCTATTTTGATGCCATGTAGTAGTACGTGCTAAATAACTCCGTTGCAGATTGCTTGTCATCGAGGTCGATATGTTTTGCTATTGTCATTGTGTCATTCCAAGTTCACATGCTGATTTGTTTGTCATAGTCTACCCTCTGGTAAACTAACACAACTATGGAAAATCAGCATTTTTAATGGGTAAATCACATATAAATTGCCATTATCAATAACTATGTTAGTTTACCAGAGGGTAAAGTCTCCCCAACGTTGAGTAATTCTTTTGGCAATGGATCAAAAATCATATCATTCTAGCAAAATCTTACCCATATTCCAAGGCTGTTCATATTCCATGCCCAAATAGCTCCGGAAATTTGGAAAATAATGAACGACCTTTGATGATGAGAATAAGGTTGTGTGACCCTTGTCAGGCGCTCCCTTGTCACGTGCTGTCATGTCCAGTCACACATGTTTAACCCCGCTGAGAACCTTCTCAAGCAATGATTTCTTGAATAAACATAATCATAAAGTCTTGTTTCTCTCATCAATCATCAGCTTCTCTCTAGGATCTTTTAAAACCATTGGATAAGCTGTTCAGCTTATTTTTTGACGCGTTTGGCTGGCGGCTCAGCTTCCGCATCTGTAAACGGGGCCAAGTCTGGATTACGCTGTTCTTCCTCGAGCCCAAATGGTACCATATTTCCACTTAATACAGTTACATTGAGTAGGATGCCACCCCTGGAGTACGATGCCCCCCCGTATGCGTTGCCGTTCCTGCATGTGGGCTTCTCAGGCATATGTTAATATCATTTTTGATCAACTCGAGGCTGCAAATTCCATTCCACATACACACAAGGCATCACACTCTATCGCGCACGACTAAGACAACAATCGAGAATTTCCATAGCCTCCACGGGTCAAACGTATCAAAATTTCATGGAATGCGATTGTATGCGCGACTGTTCAAAACGCTGGAAAAACAACAATTTCTCCCATATTCCATATTATCAGATTCCAGAGCATTTTACCTCCGAAGAGGAAAAAAAAATAAAAAAAGCTCTTCAGGTCAATTTTTCGAAAAAAAATGTTTTTGGCTGTCTGCGCAAGTTTTTCTGGTGTACGATCCCTTTTGTGGAGTACGATGATCTGTGAGTAGGTGTGTGGAGTGCGATGGGGTCCTCTGGGGTGCGATGACACCCCTCGAGTGCGATGCGACATGAGTATGCACGGCCGGAAATCCCCTGAGAGAAGGATTCTGGGCCACAATTCCCTAAATTCAACAGAGTGGGCGGATGCTGGTTGTTGTAATTTAACAGGATTTCAGCCCACTCAACAAACAAGTCAAACAATATGTTGAAACCCTCTCCTTCTTCAGTCTCCAAAATGGGAAACTCACTTATCAGGACACGCTTTAGTTCATCCAGGCTCCATAGCATTTCAGGAACAACACAAGGCATCGACATGGTGCCAAACAATTTCCAAATTGAGCTGAAAGGTCTTCCCATCGCAACCAGTCAATTCACAGGTGTGAAACATGTCACACACAGGGAAACAGGTTGGGAAAACAGTGGGTCCAAAGAGACAGGTCTGGAGTACGATGGATTCATAGTATATGTACATTTTCTGAATTTGGGTAACTTGGAGCTAGAATCATTGTGAGAAGAAAGACGCATATATCATGTCCATAATATGTGTACAAATAACCCGAAACAGATGCCAAACAACGTTTCCAGGATGTTAGTTCCAAGATATTTCCTATTTCTTCCACAAATTTCCAGGTTTTGAGTCCGTTTCTGCATCTTTTCGGGGGTTGCTGTACTAGAAAAAAGTACATCTGCTGGTGTTGTTCCCCATCTTTGGGGACAAGCATCAGACCTGAATGCCCAGACTTTCCATCCTCAGGCTGCCACCCCTGTTGGATAAAATTCCCGCAGCGTTGCTGGGCAAAGTCGTTTGGGGGATGGTTTTCTCGCAGATGACGTTTTGAGATGTTTTGGGAACGAAGAAATAAGTTGCCTTCGCCCTGGTTGGTGGTTGATATCCCCCTATAAAGATAATGGTTTGGTTTTGGATCCATTCATTTTGGGATTTGGTGTCTCTTGTTGGGGGTATTCGTTTTTTTGGGATGGATTTCATCATCTTCATCGCGATTTCACGGAGACTTGGGTTTTACTCGTGGCCAACAACACATGAGGACATACCGATTCCCCCGCTACCATTTTCCCTTGGAATTCTTATGTGTATATATACTTGTATATATATATATATCATGTATATATATATATATATTTACACATACAAATGCTAATCAACACTTTTGGAAACCAATGATGATTTGGCAAGGGCTGTTAGGCACGTGGGGACAGAGAAAGAGCTTGGCTGGTCATGTTTTGCAGTTAGAGTTTGGAGCTTGGTTGGAGAATGGGCAGTGATTATGTTATCACTTCTCAGCGGCAATCAGTGCTCTATTAAAGTTCAGAGATACATTTCCTGTCATTCATGGAGTGCTTCCATGTTGATGGCTTCGGCATATGCTATTCCAGGTCCCTGCAAAAATGAAGCTAACTCTGTGATTATTTGCTCATATTGCGCATATTGCATCGGTATGACATGATCGAAGGAAGTTTAAAAGTCAAACTTCCGACAATATGGACAGATGAAAAGCAGAGCAGGGCAGAGGCAGAGAGAAGAGAAAGATCAGAAGAGAGAAGAGTAGAAGAGAAAGAGTAAGAAGAAAGAAGATGGAGATGCGCGAAAAGGTAGGAAAGTCGCGATTCACTGTGTTTTTCCAATGATTTGTGGCTCCGGAGGGTCGAAAAGTAGGCTCGCTAAAGCGGCGGGTGCGGAGCCAGCTGGGCCAGAGGAGAGATGAAAAATTGCACGCTGTTGTGGCGCGAAGCACATTTCCAAGTCAAAATGTACAAAACACACCATTCTCGGACCACTTTTGGAAGTTGAGATGTCGAAAAAGTGCACGCCGTTGTGGCCTGAAGCACATTTCGAAGTCAAAATGTACAAAACACACCAGCTCCCCGGACCACTTTTGGAAGTTGAGATGTCGAAAAAGTGCACGCTGTTGTGGCGCGAAGCACATTTCGAAGTCAAAATGTACAAAACACACCATGTACGGACCACTTTTGGAGGTTCAGATGTCGAAAAAGTGCACGCCGTGGTGGCGCGAAGCACATTTCGAAGTCAAAATGTTAAAAACACCAGGGGTTCGGACCACTTTTGGAGGTTCAGATGTCGCAAAAGTGCACGCCGTTGTGGCGCGAAGCACATTTCGAAGTCAACATGTTAAAAACACCAGGGGTTCGGACCACTTTTGGAGGTTCAGATGTCGCTTCGCTTCGCTTCACTACACTACACTACATTACACTACACTACATTCCACTACACTCCACTACATTACATTACACTACACCACCTTCCACTACACTCCGCCACACTAAATTACACTACATTCCACTACACTCCACTACACTACACTACATTACACTACACTACATTACACTGAATGACACTGCACCACAGATAGACAGGTAGATAGATAGATAGATAGACAGATAGACAGGTTGACAGCTAGACAGATAGACAGATGAAAGCGAGAGAGAGAGAGAGAGAGAGAGATAGATAGATAGATAGATAGGCAGACAGATAGATAGACAGATAGACAGGTAGACAGGTAGACAGCTGAAAGAGAGAGAGAGAGAGAGATCGATAGATAGATAGGTACATAGAAGATAGATAGGTAGGTAGGTAGGTAGATAGTCAGAGAAAGAGGGCGAAAGAGAGGAGACCTCAAGCACCTTTCGGTCCATCAGTGGATTCGCTCTGCCATCCCTGATTCACAACAACCAGCCTCTCCTATAGGTTTCCTATTTTTGAAACTTCCGCCACCGCCTTGTGCGGTACTACTGGTATGGCTCATATGTTTTACTAATATACACCCCAACAAAGGGACAAGCAATGTGGTAAATAAAGCGGAAACCTGAGCTACTCAATGATAAATTGTAGAGCTAGGAGCTAGGTCAGCTAGGTGTGATTTGTGATTTGGGATTTCCATAGTAGTAAAACTAGTAAAATGCTTTTGTCTCAAAAAGCGAAATCCATAAATCACAAGGTCTAAACTAAGTGTGATTAAACATGATTAAACCATCATTTTCTCATTTAAATTGCTATTTTGGGTCATCCCCTCTTTACAGACACAGATGAAGAGTGCTTGTGGGTCCATCGGGCCCCCCATAAAATTTTGATCCACACCAAAATCAGGAATTTTGGCAGTTTGCTATGAACAATGGCCCATGCACAGTGGATTTAACTATGAAAGTGGTGATTTTTCCGGTTCGCAAACTATCTACCAGAGGGTAGGGCCCTAAGCACCTGCGAACACTTGCGGGTTGCCACCAAGGAGCGTCGCTGCAACAGTAGGAGGTGGGAAGGGTGATGGGGACAAGGCCCTCAGGCAAAGCCCATAACTTTGCAGTTTCAAAGACCCTTGGTATGTCAATGATGAGGATATAGGTTTGTCTGAACATTTGGTTTATTAATGGTCTTGAGCTGGCAAACTCTTATCAGCATCAACAGCTAAGGATATTAACCATATTAACCACCAATGATCCTCATTGACTTAGCTGATGCGAAACTGAGGGGGCGAAGCCCACTTGAAGGTTACTTGGTGAACCTACTTATGCTGTTTTCACTTTTAAAGATATGTTCTTTATCCTCCCGAAAGCTAACCTGGCAAGGCAGTAGAGTTTCTCTTTGTCTATCCATGTCTGATTGTTATTTTTTCGGGTGTGAACTACTGACGTGACAAGCACACCTTTATGCTGTATACGGCGAATACAGAGCTTGCATTGCAAAGACAACCTTCTTTCCGAAATAGTCACATTTAATTCTGAATAGATAATATGTGAAGTCTAGTTTGATACGTGATGATACGTGGGTGTGGGTCAAAACCTGTAAAGCTACATTTTTGGGGATGAACATCCATTTACCACGGGATGAATGGATGGGGTTGGATCCATCACCTTATTTCACGGTAATCCTAGAGAAATTTCCCAGTTGTAGCTGCTTCCACCCTGCTTAATAGGTAACCCATGGAAATAGAATTGGTATTTTGTCTTGATTACCATAATATCATCCTAAATTCTTATAAACCACATTTACCCCATTTATATGTTGGCACTAAAAGATAATCATTATTTAATAAATTCCTAAGAATGTCATGGCATGTTGGCTCAATCCCTATTCATCACAAAAAAAATAGACCACCATATTCCCATTAAACCCCATCAAACCACATTAAACCACATTAAACCACAGTAAACCACCATTCATCCTTGTATCCATATAAGATATTATAAAATCACAATTTTATTCCTGGAACTCTCTCTAAAATCACCATTTTCCTATTTTTGTTCGGGGGATTTAATGCCAAGCCAACATCCCCAAATGGCAGGCGCCGGAACGCCCTACACGGTGCCCGCGCCAGCGGCAGAGGCGAAGAAGGACTTGTGTTTTTTCTGACGACTCTGTTGGTTGAAAGCTTCATTATAATATTTATGAGTCTTTTCGGCAGTTTTTTTTTGAACCATAATTTTGAACAACTTCTCCATGTATATATATTATATATATACATATATATCTACATACGTATATATATTTATATAATATATACTTCTAGGGGGTTCCCTAAAATGGGGGGTGCCCTTAAATCATAAATCATCCCTTTAGGATTTCATCATTTTGCGTGTTGTCAACCATCCATTTCGGGGTAGCCGCATTTATGGAAGCCCTCCCCCAACCTTGAAGTTTGGTACTTGAACCAGGTGGACTACCAAAGATTGGCCATGTTTTTTTTTTAAAGGCATTTTTGAAAAAGAATGAAGTGGAATAACTAAACAAGTAACTGGGAATGTATATATTTATATATGGGGATATATACAGTATATATATAACATTATAGTGCGATATAGAATTTAGTATTACTTAATTCATAGGGATACTATGCTAGTATTTTGGAATTGTAATATATCCAATTGGGAAATTACCATTATTCTTATTATAAGTATTCCCGGTATTTCCGAGTACTTGTTGCTTATACCATGGTATAACCTCTGTTTCGAAGGTTCTACCGTTTATACCCCTGCTTCGAAGTGCAGTTCCAGTTTTAAGTGATTAAGTAGAAATCACCATAGTCAAAGGGTCTATATCCCAACTTATGGGGGTTTATACCTATGGCCTATGGTTTTACCCATTTGCACCCCCAAGTGGGGATACCACATGGGGATATAGTTTATGATATAACCATTAGCTTTAATGGTGGTCGAAGAAAGTTTAGAAGTCACACTTCCGACAATATGGACAGATGAAAAACAGAGATGGGAAGATTCAGAAGAAAGAAGTTCAAAAAGATAAAGTCTCAGAAGAAAGAAGATCCAGGTGCGCAAAAAGGTAGTAAAGTCGCGAAACACTGTGTTTTTCCAATGATTTGTGGCTCCGGAGGGTCGAAAAGTAGGCTCGCTAAAGCGGCGGGTGCGGAGCCAGCTGGCCAGATGAGAGATCAAAAATTGCACGCCGTTGTAGCGCGAAGCACATTTGCAAGTAAAGAAACTAAGAACACCTCAGGTTCGGAGCACTGTTGGAAGTTGCGATGTCGAAAAAGTGCATGCCGTTGTGGCCTGAAGCACATTTCGAAGTCAAAATGTACAAAACACACCAGCTCCCCGGACCACTTTTGGAAGTTGAGATGTCGAAAAAGTGCACGCCGTTGTGGCGCGAAGCACATTTCGAAGTCAATATGTTAAAAGCACCAGGGGTTCGGACCACTCTTGGAGGTTCAGATGTCGAAAAAGTGCACGCCGTTGTGGCGCGAAGCACATTTCGAAGTCAACATGTTAAAAACACCAGGGGTTCGGACCACTTTGTCGTTTCGCGTAGCAGGCGCAAGGGATTGTGCACCTTGTCAGAAGTGAGCAAAACGTGAGGGTTTTGTAGCATTTGCAATTACAACCACCACTACACCACACTACACTCCAATACACTACACTACAACTACAACTACACCTTCACCACCTTCCACTACACTACACTACACTCCACTACACTCCACTACACTACACTACACGCAATTACACGCAATCACACGCAATTACACTCAATTACACTCAATTACACTCAATTACACTCAATTACACTCAATTACACCCAATTACACTCAATTACACAATTACACTCAATTACACTCAATTACACCACACTACACTACACTACCCTACCCTACACTACACTACACTACACACTACACTACACTACACTCTACACTACACTACACAACACACTACACTACACTACACTACACACTACACTACATCACACTAACTACAACAAGTACATAAGACTACACTACACTAATTACATTACACTACGCTACGCTACACTACACTACACTACACACTACACTACACAACACTACACTACACAAATTACATTACACTACGCTACGCTACACTACACTACACTACACACACACACTACACTACACAACACACTACACTACACAACACACTACACTACACTACACACTACACACTACACACTACACACTACACACTACACACTACACACTACACACTACACACTACACACTACACACTACACACTCCACACTACACACTACACACTACACACTACACACTACACACTACACACTACACACTACACACTACACACTACACACTACACACTACACACTACACTACACTACACACTACACTGCACTACACTACACTACACTACACTACATTACACTACACTACACTACACACTACACTACACACTGCACTACACTACACTACGCTACGCTACACTACACTACACTACGCTACGCTACACTACACTACACTACACTACACACTACACATTACACACTACACACGACACACGACACACGACACACTATTACGCACTATTACGCACTATTACGCACTATTACACACTATTACACACTATTACATACTATTACACACTATTACACACTATTACACATTATTACACACTATTACACCCTACACGCTACACACTACACACTACACACTACACTCTACACTCTACACACTACACTCTACACTCTACACTCTACACAATACACACTACACACTACACTGCGCTACACTGCACTACACACTAAACACTACACACTACACTACACTGCACTACACACTAAACACTAAACACTACACAGTACACACTACACTACACTAATTGCATTACACTACACTACAGCACACTACACCACACCACACCACGCTACATTCAATTTCACTACGCTACACTATCTATCCCACATTGCATTACATTACATTACACTACTCTCATTACACCACCACAAATGCAACTGCAACTACACTACTTGAATTACACTACACCACAAATACAACCCACTACACTACAGCTACAACTACAGCTGCACTACACCACACTACATCCAGCAGTTGTGGGTGAGGTGACCGACCAGGTAACCACTGCAACCATTGCAGCCAGTCCAAAAAACACAGCTCCAACTACCTTTCGGTCCATCAGTGGATTCGTTCTGCCATCCGTGATTCACAACACACAATCTCTCCTATAGGTTTCCTATTTTTGAAACTTCCGACACCGCCTTGTGCGGTACTACTGCTAACCTGTGTTGGAGATGTATTGAACAAACAGGTTTGACTGAACATGGGGTATACTTGGAGGAGCATCCCACTTACTAACTGCGTTAGTGTTTGTGGGGTTATAACCCAATGATAAATGGCATATACTTAGTCAGGGGACGTACTCACCAGAAAATGGAAAGAACACGATTAATGAGGATGGTGATATATATATATAATGAAATAACCTAGGGGTTTGTCAGTCTGGGGTCGACAATGTTTGTTTTATATTGGGGTGTTGGATATTTTAGCAGTGTCAAAAAACCATCTATGGTTTATGGTCAATATTGGGGTTCTACTAGCCTATTGAGAAGGGATCGTTGCAATCCATCGGTAGCTTGATTTTTGAATAGGCTAATTAACTCTGATTTGTGGTGGCTATAGTTATAGTTCGATGGGATCCGGGCCTCTTTCTGTATTTGGTTGCAGGATATATTTGAACCATTGAACAGGACATAATAAGCCTTTTGATCTTTTGATATCATCTTCGCCAGCATCCTTAGAACATGCGGACTGGTTGATTTTGGCACCAGCAGCAGAGTGACCATTGGTGTCGCGGACTAGCTACAAACAAGCACGGATCAGGACATTTTGACCTCGACCGGAAGTCACTGTATGCACAATGGATTTCTAGGAAACTTGCAGACTCCCGCCGGGGCCGAGTGTTTTGCATGCTGTTCCTCGACGGCAATTGATATTGTGTCAACATTTTGCGACACATTGCAGCGAGGGGCGGCATCCGTGAGGGGGCGGATGCTCTTGCATCTCAAGATCATTGCTTCCCCTGATACTGCCGACATGTTGGATGATAACTTCTGGATCTGTATTTTTGAGAAGCCACAAATTACATCCCCATTCATTGTTGATACAAAGTGCATTCCCTTTTTTTGGTTGCTACATTAATTATACACCATCTATCTATTGATATCTATTGCAGATTTCCATGTTATTGATTTCTATTGTAATCTATTGTATACATCTCTATTGATATCGCTTGTAGGACGCTGCTTGTGTTCACCACAGCTGCAGGGTGGATCCTCCAAGAGCGCGTCTAGCGCGTGCGGATTCCGACGGGTTTTGCAAGGCTGTCAGCAAATCAATATATATATATATATATTATGCGGAAATCGATCAATATTGCAGCAGCTCCAAAAAAACAATGTTTTTTCTTAATATACTCATTATATTTAATTATATATACATACATAAAGAGATATATATATATATATAATTAGATATACATACATCACTATATATATATATATATATGTAATTATATATATATCTGATTAGAACAGGTTTCTAAAGCCATGGAACTAAATGGGTGATTTTCCAGCAAGCCATATTTGATTACCAGAGGGTACATATCTATGGACATACCTAAAAATATTGGCCATTTGTTTTTGAATCAAAGTCACAAATAGTAAATAGATATTATGTATGCATATATATATATGGTATGTATGTATATACATTTTATGTGTGTGTGTACATATGTATACATATATATATATATATAGTACATGTATGGTTCATGCTCACTCCCCCAAGTTGAGGGCAAGGGCAACCCTTCAAGCCTTGTCTAAGGGCGGCGCAGATCAGGATGCTTCACGGTCTCCACAGGCGTGTTCTTTGATGCTTGGGGATTGCATTTTTACGAGGTGTAATAGTGATGACTAAGGATTGATAGTGATTCATGGCGATCTTCATGGTAGTGTGGTAAACCCAATATAAAAAAAAGGTTGGACAACATGTACCCAATATGCTGAGAAACAATACGATAGTAAAAACAATCCAATGGTAATGTGGTACACCCAAGGGGATTCATAGTCATTAATAGTGATTAATAGCTGATTGGTGGTTTGGAACATCAATTTTATTTTTCCATTCAGTTGGGAATTTCATCATCCCAAGTGACTTTCACTCCATGATTTTTCAGAGGGGTAGGTTGAAACCACCAACCAGATTATTATTAACAGTATATTAACCATATAATAACCATTAATAGTAACAATTATTTACATCATATTAACAGTATTTGAACAACTAGATATATTAACCATCATTAACCATTAACAATATTGACCCAATCGATTCGGTGGAAGTCACCAACCAGTGATTAATAGCGATGAATCGTGATTAGGGATTTGCTGAGTTGATGAAGTGTCGTATTTTCCCAATGGGAAAACGAATGAAATTTGGAATCGATGCAGGGAATGTGATTTACCCGGCCTGGTAAACATCCCTTTTTTTAATGGGAAAATTCACTATAAATGGTGGTTTTCCATAGTTATGTTAAATTACCAAAGGGTATTTTGTGTGGGTTCCTTAAGCAAATCCAAGGTACAATGATGACCCATCCCCAATATTATGATAAATGAATGGTATTAAAAACCATCGCACATGGTAGGTTCGTGGTTGAGTTCACCACAATAGATTTCCAAACCTGAAATGTCTCAGACTGCACGTGTAGTACAAGACTCCCATTCCATGTGCAGATTACATCTTCTCGCCTAAAAGTCCCTTTGATATTCTGGTGAAATCCATTTTGTATGTGACGACACTACCAATTTCGGCCCGCTGAAAATCCATGAACGCTGATGACGGAAAGTATAATTTTGGCCGTGGCAGGGCGCGGAGGAAAAGAGCTTGGAGGAATCTGATGACAAACTTTTTTATTGCAGCCGCTTGGCTGGCGATTGTTTGCCAACATATGGTCAACATAGCTGACGATGCCATAGAAAAGAGATTAATATAATTAACATCCCAAAATATCTAAATTGGCACCATCAGCGAAGTCCATAGTTATCCCGTTTGTCTAAGGACCATTAGCTCCAAATTGGGATGTTAGTCCTCCCTTGATGCACCGTGATCCAACGCCCCTTCTGCATCATATGGACATATGTGGATTGTATGTGTATATATATATATGATTATATATGTGTTTCAATATATATATATTCATATATTTTTTGTGTATATATATATATACATACCTAGTTTTATATTGTGTATATACATATATTACTATATATATATATGAATATATATATATATCAATGTATTCATATATGTATGTATGTATGTATGTATGTTTGTATGTATGCATGTATGTAATGTAATGTAATGTGATGTGATGTAATGTAATGTAATGTAATGTAATGTAATGTATGTATGTATTAATTATATATATGTATGTAATGTAATGTAATGTAATGTAATGTAATGTAATGTAATGTAATGTAATGTAATGTATGTATTAATTTTAAATTATATATATATATGTATGTAATATAATGTAATGTAATGTAATGTAATGTAATGTATGTTTGTATGTATGTATGTACGTACGTATGTATGTATGTATGTATATATGTATGTATGTATGTATGTATGTATGTATGTATGTATATGTCAATACTATATATATATATATAAATCTATCAGGAATACTGTATTTGGGACGTCCCATATATGGGATTTGGGATGTCATAGGAATATAGGGGATTTAATGGAAATATATGGGATTTCAAAGGATTATAATCCAAATCTGGTGGTTCTGTATGTATGTGTATGTGTATGTATGTGTATGTATGTGTATGTATGTGTATGTATGTGTATGTATGTGTATGTGTATGTATATGTAAATGTATACATATACAGTATGTGTATGTGTATGCGTATGTGTATATGTATGTATGTAATGTATGTATGGATGTATGCATGTATGCATGTATGCATGTATGCATGTATGCATGCATGCATGCATGCATGCATGCATGGATGTATGTATGTATGTATGTATGTATGTATGTATTACTGTATACATATATAAAACTATAGATATATATATTTATAACTATATATATATGTATATGTGAGTGTATACTATATGCATCTTTAATTTGAGTTGAAGCTCGGTTTTGCATTTTTTTTTATTGGTTTATTTTTTCCAGTGGTGATGGAGTGATGGACCATCAGACATGGGATTCGCTGAACCCTGGGCATTGCTCAAGTCTCTATTTACCAGATGATACTCCACCGCTTCTTAAACAAAAGAACACTACTGACAAATAGTATGATGACCATTGAATTGTAAAATAAGAACTTATTGGAACATAACATTAAAATAACATGATGTCATAGGCATAGGTGTTAGTTTTTCATATTCTTTAATAAACGTATTGTTGTGTTCGATAGGTAAACCAAAAGCTATGACCTATGACAAATTGTTGATCATCCTCGAGCGTTTGTTGGATCCGCTGGATCATTGAAAACACGTCCCAAGGTTTTCAACGACTCTCCCCGGATATTAGTTAAATTCCTCAATAAAATAAACCATAATATTCACATAGGGTTTGGAACCATAATAAATCAGAAGATAAGGTTTGGAACTGGTGAATGAAAAAGTCTTTTTATATCCATCATTCAAGTAAGTTCCAGCCAGCCTATCTGGATTGATGGCTCAAACCACAAGGGCTGGAAAATTGTCACATGGCATTGTCTGGCTATTTCTTCGATGGTTAGATACCCTCTGGTTATTTAACATAGCCATGGTATAGATGGCCCATAGAAATAGATGGTTTACCTACTAAAAGTGGTGATTTTCCATGGCTATGTTCAATAACCAGATGGGAATAGTTCAATCCATTCAGTTCTGGTTCTGGATATCATACTGTCGGTGACAAAAATCGCCTTTGTATCCCCATCCTTGTTGGTAAAATCCCCAAGTATGAGCCAGTGTTGAATCATTACCTATCACTATGACTATTACCCTTTGGTAATCAAACGTGGCAATAGAACATCCTCTAAACATTATTTTTAATGGGAACAAATAAAAATGGAGGACTTCCAAATGCTATGTTGGCTATGGATTACCAGAGGGTACGATCTGTTACAGTAATCTATTACAATCTATAGGTCCCAATAGTATACAATCAAGAACTATAAGTTGTAATACTTCCCAGTAATCTATAGGTCCAACTACTATAGATTACAGAACTATAGATTGTCCCCAATAGTAATCTACTTGGAAGTTCTCCCATGAAGGATCCATGGTGCTGCTATATATGGTAACATGGATCCCATCAATATACCCCAGTCATGTTAGCATATATACCAGCACCATGGATCCCATGGGTATGGAATCAATGGGAATTCCAGGATCCTAAAATGGAGGTACTGTACCATATTTTTGGCCATATTTTGGGGAGATATTCCCTTACATAGGCCTGAAAAATAGGCCTTATATATATGGTAGGTACCTCCAATTTAGGATCCTGGAATTGCCATTGATGGAAGTTCTATAAAGTGATGGACTTCCCAAGTTGTGGTCGGGCTGATCCTCCCACGCTCCGCTTGGGAGAAAAACATCAGGTATTCGTGTCGTCGATGACTCGGGGTGATTTCGTGGATCGTCCACGAATCGTAAGTGGTGAAGAACACAACCACAGCCCCCCCTGTTTATGAGAGATGTATCTTAGTTATGAGAGATGTATCTTAGTTATAAATCGACTTATCGAACTTATCCTTAACTTAAGTTAAGGAACTTACTAAGTTCGTTAACTTCATTTTTGCCATTTTTTCTTATTTTTTTGCTTTTTTTTAGAAAAACACAAAAAGTAAAAAACACTGTGGACGCACCTTTTTTCCTTCCATTTGGTACTTTTTCCGGCAGTTCGTCACTGGACACAGAGGATCGTGTCGCTTTCACGACACCACCACAGCGGCGAAGAAATAGTGATATTGCCGTGTAGTTTCACAGCCAAGCGTTTATTCGACAATTTCCATTTTGAGCGGAGAAACTTGGAGCAGAAGAGAAAGGTTCTGGACTACAAGCGTTTATATACTCAACGGCGAAGGGCAGACCAGAAAAAGTAGGGCATGCAGGAGCTGGAAGCAGGAGAGAAGCTGAAGGGAAGCGGCTGGAAGCGGGATGGAAGCGGGACGGAAGCGGAGCAGTCCCGACGGAAGCGGAACGGAAGCGGAACGGAAGCGGAACGGAAGCGGAACGGAAGCGGACGGAAGCGGCACGGAAACGGGACGGAAGCGGAACGGAAGCGGAACGGAAGCGGAACGGAAGCGGCACGGAAGCGGAACGGAAGCGGGACGGATGGAAATGGGGATTGTTATGGATTGATCCCGGGCCGGTTGTTTATTTCTTGGTGTTACGAAAAAGAAACATGCAAGGTTGATCGTTGACATTGGGCCTTCGTGCTGGCCCAAAAAAAACGGATATTACACTACTGCGCGGACAACCGCGTCACATGCAAAATCGACACCAAGAAAACTTGAAGAAAAAAGATCCAAATAATATCTAAAAAGTATCTTAACTCAAGAAATCTCCGAAAAAACAAGAACCAAACAAAAAACAATGAAAAAACAAACAATGCAAAAAAAAACCTTTAAAAAACATGTTTTTCGGATAACTTCGGTAACTTCGGAAAGGCGAAGTTACATCGAACTTAACAAGTGCGAAATCTAAGTTGCTATGTCCTGCAACTCCTTTAACTAGGGTCTCCGAAGTTACCAAAGTTAGCCCTAGATAAATCACTTATAACTTGAGTTAACCCATGTTATAAGTTAAGTTATGCTACATATAACTCCCATAAGTAGAGGGGCCGGTGGTTGCACTGGTTAGTATTTAACATAGCGAACTGGACGATTTGAAATCTAACTATAGAAAATTATAGTTCAATAGTTAAAATCCCTTATAAATGGAGGGTTTAATGGGAAAATCATCTATTTCTATGGAGGTTTATAGCTGGGAAAATCATCTATTTCTATGGGCCATTTTCCCAGAGGCTAAGTCCCCGTTTTGTGGATGATCTCATTTATGAATAGCCTTCACTAACCCCAGTTACGAACCTATGAAAAACGGGGTGATGGATGTGTTATGATCCGTAGCCTGGTGCCAATCTCCACATCACCTGCCGCATCTTTCTAAGGCTATAGTTGTGCCTCTCTTGTTATTTGGCTTACACGCTCACAGCAGGCGCCGAGAAGTCTGATAAGTGATGATACGCACGGTGGATGGGATGTTTGGGATGCTGATTTGGGTTTGTCCAAAAGGGTTGGACAAAAAGTCAACTGTTCATGGTTTAGAACATCATGTTTCCTATCAGGGTTCATTGTAAATTGGCGAAGTTATTCCACATCGGCCTTGCCGGTGGTTGCACAATTATGTTCCGTACAAATAATATATATTCCTAGATATTATGTCTGTGAGTATAAATCAGATTATATAGATTATATTGGTTTAAACAAATAGACAGATGATAGCCCAGTTCCTATAACCATTCAGCAAACTTATATATGGATCATTCAAGTGACTGACAGTCGTGCCTGCCATGCAGGTCGCCTGGAAATATTCTGAGTTTCATGCAGAAGAACCATTTGAGACTGAACTGAAGCTCCCAGAATTGGTTGTTTCAGATACCATGACATTGGTCTGAACAGTTTCAGTAAAATCATCAATTGTTTGATTAGTTCAACATATTCGAGTTAGTAAGTTAGGTAATCAAGATGAGATTGTGACATCTTGAACAATAGACGTATTTAACCCTCATTGTTTCAAAAGTAAATTTGATTGAACAAAACACCATGTCTTGTACAGGAAAAGTAAAGAAGAGCCTTGAGGCTGACTTGTTCAGCGGAATCCCACTCAACTGACCTTTTTTTGTGGTGCAACAAGAGGGCAGTTCCCGGAAAAACACTCTCAGAATGAAGAATTAAAAGGCGGCAACCTATGGGTTTCCTCGATATTTTGGATACAAATCATCGCAAAAAAACTTCAAATTCCTGGTGTTTTCGCACGACGACCAGTAGCGCCGCAAGAAAAAGCACGCCCAGTGGATGGTGTAACTGAGATGCTACGGAGACAGGTAAGCTGGTTTTAAATGGTTTTAGAGCAAGCACAATTAAGCTTGATGGTACACTATATTGCATATGTGTATATTATATCTATGTAATTTTATATACTGTATATATTGCCTCATTTTGTAGGAACACATTCTAATTATTTAATACGCACTTACAACGGCAATCATAGCATTTTTATCACAGTATGGTCGTCAAGTTGAAAGAAGGACCCAGTGCCTCAGACACGAATACCACGAGATTCCAGTTTGCAAAAGATGATGTACCAAGATGTCCAGAGAAAATCATGTTCTTTTTTGTTGAATACCATTTGGTAGACTTACACAGGTACGGGCAATAACTTGTTTTTTTTTACAGAGGTAAATCAATGTAAATCAACTATAAATTCCCATTTTCCATCATTTACCATAGCAAACTGTCAGTTTACCGACGCTTCGATCTCCTTGATCTCCTGCGAGTCAGCTCGCCATGATTGGTTGCCAAGGTTGGCCATTCTACCGAAGTGGGCCCCAATTAAAAGTTGGTTGATACAGTTATGGCCATGGCTATCATAATTTATAGCTGGTTATTTCTATGGGATTATAGATTCCATAGATAAATGGGGTGACTTGTTGTACTTAAAACTGGTAAAATGATCCCATTGAAATAACCAGTTATAACTAATAACTAATAAATGACCATAACAGTTTGAATTTATAATCTGGCTTGTGGTTTGGATCCATGATGAATCCCAGCACTGCTGGGAGTGATTTATTCCATGAGAAACAACCACAGTTTTCTTAAGTGAGCCCCACATATGATCAAAGATATCCTCCAGTAAATTAACATAGACCCTGGCAGTCATCAGGGTTGGAAGATTAGTTTGGTCTAACAATTGGTGATTTTCAGGGTCAACATGTTAATTTACCAGGCCGGGTAGCCTTTAAAGATATTCCAGAAAACTCCTTTTTATGACATACGTACTCCAGCGGTTTTATCTTTTCAGGATGGGTTGAACCATCTAACCAACTTGGAGCAACTAACATACGCCAATGCCATGAAAAAAATCTGATGGGCCATTCACATGCTGTTTTCCACAAGCGGTTGTTGATTCCATATATTTCCATTTAAGTGGGTTTGTCTGAGAATGGGTACCCCATTCCATCCAATCTGGTTGGTGTTTTGGAACATGTTTTATTTTCCCAATAGTTGGGATGATGATCCAATCTGACTTTCATATTTTTCAGGGGGGTAGGTATACCACCAGTTAGCAATGGTTAATCACTATTATCCCTATTAAAATCAACATGTTTGGGGTACCATTTCCAGACACACCCAACACACCTATAGGTTTCCAAAGTCATGGGGGTTCCCCCTGGTTTTGCCGCATGTTGTGTAGCTTACCCTGGGGTAAACATACGCAAACATGTGGAAAACACATGGGGAAACCCTGGAAAAATGATCAACGGTGGATTTTTCACATCGAACTGTGAGTTTACTGTTAGTTTTCACGAGGTTACAGGAGGGTACAAAGTGGGGCCCCCAAGATAGCTAAGTTGGTTTATAAGTGGCTTAACAATGGTTTATGGTAGATATAACTATAGTTAATGGGGATTATAATTGTTTATAAACCAACTTATAACTGGGGGGGCCCCTCCTGTAACCCATCGTACATAACTACCAAGATTCCAAAAACTGCCAGAATTCCTTGAAGGGGAATTGACATCAAATCCTGTTTTTAGACCCTATTGTTTTCAGTCAACCAATCCAATAAACCCCAGTCTTGTTGGTTCATATCCTACAAGCTGGGGGCCCTCCAGTGATGTTTGCTGCTTTATCAACCTCATGAACACTAAGGTACATCTCCCTCAACCCAACAGTTACCCTCAGGTAAATTAACTTGTTGACCCTGAAAACACCCCCATTTTTAGTGGTTTCACTAGTCTTTCAACCCTGATAAATGCCAGGATCAACAAGTTAATTTACTGGAGGGTAATCAAGTTACCCTCTGGTAAACAAACAGTTTGCTATTGAACATGGCCATTTATAGTTGATTTACAGTACCCATTAAAAATGGTGATTTTCAATAGTTATGTTAGTTTACCAGAGGGTATGTTCACCAACTTTGCTATCTCCGGGTTGCTCCAGCCCTTGATTGGCTCAACGGCCGGCCCGGGCAAAGCCCTGCCCGTGAAACTGCCGCCGTGGGTGTTGGCCCATCTGGGGGCTAGCCACAGATTGCAAAATATAAGAGATACATCTATCATGAATATTCTATATATCTATTTATAAATATAAATATATATATATATATATCTATTTATATATATATAATATCATCATATATCATGATACTATATCATTTAAATAACCATATTATATCATATTTCTATACATTTCAACCCAACAAATCAACCAACAGTCGAGTTGTGCCCCGATCTGGTGGCGAAACTCCCCGTGAAAACCGCAGCGTCGGTCCCTATGTCGCTGTTCAGCGAGGATGACGAGGATGAAACTACTGCCGCAGGATCCCCGGTCAATGAAGGCCTATGGAATGCCTGGCCACTATGACATGCGTATTTTGGTACCTTTTAAAGGTCATTCAATAGAGGGCTAAATGTTGGAAGATGTGTGTATCCATGTTTGGGGCAGATGCTTGGTGAGTCTAATGCCTAGGTTCTCATTTCATAGAGGATTCAAATATTGATGAGGAATGGTTAGGAAATAAGGGTTCGATTCGACATACATTATATAGTGAAATAAGAGGTCATTTCATAGACAGAGAGGGGCTCATTTCATAGAGGGGTACAATCGGACAAGGCTTTCGCAAGGAGCGAGAAGTTATGGTTGGCATCGCATTAAAAAATCTCATCGCAAAAAAGTACGCCAAATCCAGGGACAACATTATAAAAACAACATCATCATAATGTACTTCGACCTTTTTTTCCTGTTATTATGCGTATGTTTTTTTATGGTTCCAAAAATGTTCCTTCAACACATAAAACGTTAACGTTTGGCACAAAGCATTTTTTATGGGAGACGGTGAGATTTTGTGAGATGTTTTTGGTTTTGTAGAGAAATTGGCTGCACTATGGATTTATTTGATTTCACGCAGTTTCAATTGGTTTCATAAATAAGGAGATATTTATGTTCATACATTGTCTATCATTTTCTGTGATTTTGAAATTTTGGACTTGAATGGTGTTGATGATATACCGCTGGGCCAGATATCTAAAATCCCCGGGCTGGTGCCCACTGGCTATAGCCAGCTAAGAATTTAAGCCAGGCAAATCTTGAAGCCCCTGGGGGTAAGGACAAAGAAAATTAGCAGGGTTACATGGGAAGACAACCAGTTTGAAATCATTTGCCAGCATGATGCATATGAGGAGCTAGTGCCCCTGAACTTTAGCTAAAATTTCATGGCAACACCTTGAAAATGAACCAGTGAGTGTTTTAAAACCGACTGTGGACATGATTTGTGGATAGAAATCTCATTTTTCAACATATTGTGGCAAAATCTTTTGAACAAAAATCCTTCAATTGTTCATTGCAATACCTTGAAAATGAACCAGTGAGCGTTTTAAAACCGACTGTGGACATAATTTGTGGATAGAAATCTCATTTTTCAACATATTTTGGCAAAATCTTTTGAACAAAAATCCTGTAACATTTCATTGCAATATGAAAATGAACCAGTGAGTGTTTTAAAACCGACTGTGGACATAATTTGTGGATAGAAATCTCATTGTTCAACATATTTTGGCAAAATCTTTTGAACAAAAATCCTTCAATTGTTCATTGCAATACCTTGAAAATGAACCAGTGCGTGTTTTAAAACCGACTGTGGACATAATTTGTGGATAGAAATCTCATTTTTCAACATATTTTGGTATAATCTTTTGAAAAACATCTTTTAAAATTTCATTGCCATACCTTGAAAATGAACCAGTGAGCGTTTTAAAACCGATTGTGGACATAATTTGTGGATAGAAATCTTTGTTTCAACATATTTTGGCATATTTTTTGAACAAAAATCCTTCAAAATTTCATTGCAATGCCTTGAAAGTGAGCCAGTGAGCGTTTTAAAACCGATTGTCAACGCTATCGAACACAATCAGGTTTTTAAATATACCCTCTATAAATGAGACATTTTTCATTTTCTCGTTGTTTCCCGCCCGTCGTAGGGTTCCTCGTTAACTCCGTTGAGTTGCCCCGGTTGCGTCTAACTTTCATGCCTGGATCACCTTCGCCCGTTGCCGGGTCGAAGTCCTCGAGGCGGGACTGTGGACCCGTCACCACCGTTGTGCCTCCTGGCACCCCCTCCTCGAATAAGAAATGTAGTGGGCTAATTCTGAAAACGAAGACGTAGCTTAAATTGGTTAGATATAATAGAAACATGTGTAATCTATAATATAAACGGGATGGATCCGGTTGCCTGCAAAGCGACCCGGGGTGTCTCTATGAAATGGGTTTCCAAGCGTTTGCAGCTTGTATCACAGGTTCACCGGGGTCATTTGGGTGGCGCGTGTCATTTCATGGTGACCCAGATTTCCTATCCCGAAACATCTCGAAACATCTTGAAACTTCCTGAAACCAAACCACTTTCACCCTCTGGTTCTCAATGACATGGGTTTCCAAACATTTGTAGCTCGTATCACAGGTTTACCGGGGTCATTTTGGTGGCGTGTATCATTTCATAGTGGCCCAGATTCCTATCCCAAAACATCTCGAAACATCCTGAAACATCCTGAAACCACTTAGACCACTTTCAGCCTCTGGTTCTCCATGAAAGGGATTTCTAAACATTTGTAGCTCGTATGACAGGCTCACCGGGATCATTTTGGTGGCGCTTGGCATTTCATAGTGACCCAGATCTCCCATCCCGAAACATTCTATCTAGATAATGAATGAAATTAGGCAACGGTGGTATGATTTTATAGTGTAATGGCAGGCAAGATGTGCATGTTAGGTGTTTATCTTTACCCTTTGGCTTTCATTTCGCTTATGAACACCTGTCCATTTCGTGGTGAGAAGGTTTAAAGATATGTCTCAGCATTAGGAAACAGTATCCATTTCATACAGAACAGTGATTATTTCATAGAGCCAATATATATTTATATGTTTATTTCATAGACGCTGCTCACTGTCACTGTACATAATCAAAGCGATTGGATGACAAGGAAGTTTGGGATCCCATTGTATAGTCCACCTTTTTTGGTGAGCCAGTATAAGCCATTTTTTGGTCCTTAATGTAAAGCAGGGTCATTTCATATAAAATCTTGGTTTTACATTTTTTAGAGAAAATACCATTGGATATGCATTCTATAGCACCTATGTTCTCTATAAAATGCTTTGCAAATGCTGCAGGGTATCAAGCACAGGGGATGCCGCAGGTGACGGTGACACCGTAAAGACGGAGGCGGGGAAATTGGGGATCGAGACTGGGGCCAAGACCAGGATTTGCCAAAATGGATCCACATGTTATCCACCAACAAGATCCAGAAATAGTTTATCAACAGAAGCTTGGAAGCTCTGGTTTTTAGATGTTTTTTTTGTAATTACCATGAAGAATTTTCAGCCGCCAGCATGACCATGTTAGTACCATGTTGGGATTCGACGTATATGATTGATGCAGTATTTCAATGTATTTCAACCAAGGGAAAAAGTGGTATATAAAGTGTGAAATGCCACGTGGATGCAGGTGCAATGACACGGAAGTTCTCCCGGAACAAGTTGCAGGACTTGTTCAACCTAAGTGATTTCATGGGGATTTATGATTTACTTTGGGGTTGGACCATCAAACATATGGGATATGGCTGATTTATGTTGATTTATCATATGCTACATCCATATGGGATTTCTTCATAAATCCATAAATTGTCCAACAGCTTTTCACAGCACTCACACTACGTTCGGATGGCGTAGCTTTGGGCCTCCAAGAGATTCAGAAGCCTTGAGATGAGTCCCATATACAATTATATATATATTTAATTATCATTATATATATATAGTTATTAGTTATAGATGATTATAGATGTATATATATATATATATATTGTAATTTGTCTGTTTAGTGCTGATGAGTTGTTACTCGTTACAGGCGGCTGTATATTTACTATGGTAATTGTGCTGAACTATGGTTAGTTATTACTAGATACTGTGGTAGTTGGGCTGAACTATGGTGAGTTGTTACTAGTTGCTAGCGTAATTTGTCTATAGGAGGCCCCCCAAAAAATATCATAATTGTCCCGTAAACATAAGCACGAATTGGGAATCACATATTTTGCGCAAAACCATATCCATGTGTACTTAAACATTATAGTTGATATGAGGTATAATCATGTATAATCCCCTTTTGACTTTGTTTGTTTCTAAATTATAATCCATTTTTTGTGTTTTTTCCCCATGTCTATGGATTGTTTTTTACAAGGTGGGCCGCCTGGATGGGTCGTCTTATAACTCCAAAAAAACTGGTTGATTATTAGGGGAATATCTCATTATAACTATAGTATTCAATGGATTTACAGACCAACTTGGAACTGGGGAGGCCCCACCTTGTAGTCAAAGCCCAATGGTTGTTTCTCAAGGCCGCACGAACATGGAAAAATCGGCCATATCGCCGTGGAATAAAAATGCCAGGGGGCTGTACGGGCTGTGCCCACAGAAGTGAAGAAGAAGCCACTTGTCATGGCTTGGGACGTATAATGAGAACTTAGTGGGATTTTATGGAAACATAATGAAAATATCATGGAATTCAAATGGAGCAATGACACTGAATGGGATTTAGACAGCCTAAATAGGTATTAAACCACACATCATGGGAATATCATGAGAATATTATTCGCACTATAGTGGTCATATTTTTAATAATGGTAATTAATGAGAATCTGCACAAGGAAGTGCTCCCAACTTAGCTAAGTTGGTTTATGACTCCAATAACTTGGGTTTGTACATCGAACTAGTTAGGGAAGGTTAGAAACCACGCTATAAGGGGGGCAGGACCACCTTAGGCCTTGTATACTTTTGGATATAATCGGAACATGGTGGTTCAATGTGGTTTAATGTGGTTTAATGTGGTTCAATGGGATATACTTAGTTGGATCTTCTGTAAGTTCTGTAAGTAGGTTGGTGGAAACATCCTAATAATGGCTAATAGATGCCAATAGTGGGCTAAACACTAGGAATTCAACCATCAGCAATGAATATAAGGGGATATTATGTAACTAGATGGCAATCTAATGGGAAATTTCAACATCCAAAAATTGGTGTTTGTCAGGATGAGATTTACCGTCATGTCTAGAGGTTTCAACCATCAATAATGGTCATATAAAGTTGATAAGTTTACAAAACATGATCAATGATAGTTGGTTGATGATCAACAGGTTGTGCCCCAGTTTCTTAGCGAAGTTGGTTTAGGACGGGTCCCAATGGATATATATTTATATATATATATATATATTGGACATAATGTTTAGTTCACATATCAGTAATGTATAGACGTTCATGGACATGTAATGGCTTATCTTTTACCAACAGGGTATGTTAATACTAACATGTTCGTTTATAGTGTTTGTATGTATTTGTGTTGTTCCAGATCTAAAATTTATCCACTTGTTACTTGTAGTTGATGGTGAATCGTGCGTCTAGCAAAAAAATCGATCAGTTTCGTCACTCGCCCCCCAGACTTTCACTAGTTTAATTCCAACTAGGTAACTAGGTGGGTTTACAACTTACCTATTTAGATGGAACCAGTGAATAATGGAACCTGTGAACCTACCAAAGTTGGTAAACATCATTCCATATTCCAATGACTATGGTTTATGATAATTGTACCGACATAGTATTTATGGGGTTTATATATGCACGAACCTATAACTGGGGGCCCCACTTTGCAGTTTCACTGGGGTTTACAATGGATCTAACCCTGAGGTGCTGGGAGCAACCCTGTGCTGGTTGTGATGTAACAAAGTCAGAGTAAAATCATGGGAACACAATGACTGGTCAATCTTAGATGGGTAATGTCAACCCTGGATTAATAAACCCCTAGGTTGTTTAATTGGGGGATACCATTTAAGTATCAGATTATGACTATTTGGGGAGTACCCCCCTAATTAATAAACCATAGTTTATGAATCCGGGGTTGACATTACAAACTAATCCTAACTAGTCGTTTGGTAGGAATATCTACGTGAAACCCCAGCAAAGAATTTAAGTCATTGTTTGCAGGGTATCTGGCTGATTGACAATGCAATGAGGATAGGAGAGCAACAAAACATACTGGTAACGAACATGTGAGATGTGATGTACCAGTATCGCAAGCGTGTACCAGATAGGAAAGAACTCGATAGTTTCGAATTTGGTTTGTAAGCAGGTTCACTTTAGTATATGGATGTATATGGCATAAATACCTATGATTAGATGGGTTTGTAAACTGTAATCCAACTTGTAACTGGGGACCACATTGCGGGTACAGCTTGGATGCATGGGAGAATATGTTCATGTTTTAATGTGGGTGCATGTTTGGCCTTAATTACATGGGCAACGGGGAAGCATTATACTCAGCTACAAATCAACATTAACCAGGGTATCTAAGGTTAACCATGTTCCTTGCGCACATGCTTTTTCCCCGAATAAGCGACGCCATACCGAACCAGTCTTGTTCGATTGGGAATGTCCCCGTCGGTCCCCGTTACCAGCCAGCATTGCTCTCGAAGCCAGACGGCCCCATCCAATGGGTTTGGAAGTTTCGAAGATCATGTCCCCTTTTGAAATGGCCATGTAAACATGATTTTATGATAGTCTTTGGGGTCTGATTAAATATCAAACCAAATGGGGGACCAGGTACAGAGATCCAAGCAAGTCTCCTCGCACGTATCGTTCAGACTCAAAGATGCAGCAATGCGTCTAGAGGTGGCAATGTTATCCCATCGTATACACAAAGTTGCCTTTGAACAAGCTTATTTGGAGGTTTCCTAAAATATCCTAAAATGAGGGTACCCCCAAATCATCCAAAATAGATCAAAATAGACCATTTTAGTATGGAAACCCATGGAAACCCATTGTTTTGGGGATCACCCATTTTAAGAAACCGCCTTTATTAGTGGAACAACAAGTGTTGGCAAATTGTTGGCAAAATTGCTCAGGCATCACTTCGTTGTGGCTACTAAGCGTAGGAAATACCTCAGTTTCTGAATGGGTTCTATGTGATTTCATGTATTTAAATTCTGTATACAGTATGGATTGTATAAGTTATACAGTAGTTATACAGTAGTTATACAGTAGTTATACAGTAGCTATACAGTATATAGTTATACAGTAACCCATGACATATGATTTTATATATATATATCAATTTTGACATATACAAGTTATGTATCGGTTATAACTCATCCACTCGCCCTGGGACGTCCAGTCCAGTTTTGCCGCTGGAGACCAGGAAGAAGAAAGCCACCAAGCGAAAGGAGGCCTGGAACCATGGAACTGATGATTGTCCTTGGGGAAGACTTAGAATGAATAAGGTGGGATTCACCCAATGCTATAGGCCATCCCCAAGTCATCACCATTTTTATGGGTATGATAAACCAAATGGTAGGTTTATGGCGTTGGGGTTCCCACATTTGAAATTAAAGATTAAAATTCTTAGCTTTAGTATTTCACATCGACCAAGAAATCGTTGGGAACTGAACATTCAACCCACCAAAAAATAGTAAGTATTGAGCCACAGTAGCCAAAGCGCCATGTATTGCTTCGTTAGGGGATTCCGGATTCTGAGACTTGCACCAATGGTTTCCCAACATGATGGACGCATGTTCAACCAATACGCATTGGAAAATGGATGAAAATGGTAGATTTCGCCCTCCAAACGTGGCTTTTAGACGTAGCCCGTGGTATACATACACAAGACATCAACAAACCAACGAAATCTATGGGTTTCCCTTCGGGTTTATGGTCTCGAAGATGGTGGATTTTCCGCTATGTTCGCCTAATGGAGAGGAGCACTGGGGGCAAATGCAGCCAGTGACCATTGATTACCTCAAGTCCCAGAAAGAGGGGCCTGAACCACAGGTATAAGTTGGAACTGCATTTAGCACTTTTTGGATAAAAAACAACGGAAACCTGTTGACCATCGGCACCAAAGTCCCATTCCTGTTGGTCAAATTGCCATGATATTTCCACTAGGCTTGGTAAAGTCCTGAGTATGGCCATAGACGATCCTCCATGGCCATAGATTGTTTTCCGATTTAAGTGCCCGATTTTGGAACATCAGCATTTCAATACGCAATTCACCTAAACATGGGTCATTTGCATACCCTCAAGTTGGAAGGTTCTATGTTCCCCCCCCCTGGGGATAAACACGGAGGGTTCTAGAATGAAAAAAATCATTGTAGAACCTCCGGTCCCGTAAGCATTGTAGAACCTTGGAAGCTTGTATAATACAGTATAATATATTTTATAATTTATTATAACACCATATGATGATGTATCTGTACGATTTAATTCGACGTCACAACGTCACTCCGGATTAACGAGGCAGAATTTTGAAATTAAGGGGATGTGTACATAAAGTGCAGAAGGTCAAATAAGATCAAATAGGGCCTTAACAACGTTGCAGAGAAATACAGCTATTTAATGCTATTTCATGATATTTCAGCATTGGGCTACAATACCAACAGTTGATTTGGAAACACATTGATCTGGAATGTCCCAATTTTTCTTGTGGAGAGGAGGGAAGGTTTCTAGAATGGTTTCCTGCATGTACCAAAGTGTGATTCAACATCTGTGGCCCATGGATTCCATTTCAGAACACATAGATGTAGCCCTATACACAGAAGGTCAAATGAGACCAAATAAGGCCTTAACAACGTTGCAGAGAAATACAGCTATTTAATGCTATTTCATGATATTTCAGCATTGGTCTACAATACCAACAGTTGATTTGGAAACACACTGGTCTGGAATGTCCCAATTTTTCTTGTGGAGAGGAGGGAAGGGTTCTAGAATGGTTTCCTTCATGTACCAAGGTGTGATTCAACATCTGTGGCTCATGGATTCCATTTCAGAACACATAGATGTAGCTCTATACACAGAAGGTTAAATAAGATCAAATAAGGCCTTAACAACGTTGCAGAGAAATACAGCTGCTTAATTATTTTTTCATGGTATTTCAGCATTGTTCTATAATACCAACAGTTGATTTGGAAACACATTGATCTGGAATGTCCCCATTTTTCTTGTGGAGAGGAGGGAAGGGTTCTAGAATGGTTTCCTGCATGTACCAAAGTGTGACTCAACATCTGTGGCCCATGGATTCCATTTCAGAACACATAGATGTAGCCCTATACACAGAAAGTCAAAGAAGACCAAATAAGGCCTTAACAACGTTGCAGAGAAATACAGCTATTTAATGCTATTTCATGATATTTCAGCATTGGTCCAAAATACCAACAGTTGATTTGGAAACACACTGGTCTGGAATGTCCCAATTTTTCTTGTGGAGAGGAGGGAAGGGTTCTAGAATGGTTTCCTGCATGTACCAAGGTGTGATTCAACATCTGTGGCCCATGGATTCCATTTCAGAACACATAGATGTGGCTCTATACACAGAAGGTCAAATAAGACCAAATAAGGCCTTAACAACGTTGCAGAGAAATACAGCTATTTAATGCTACTTCATGATATTTCAGCATTGGTCTAAAATACCAACAGTTGATTTGGAAACACGCTGGTCTGGAATGTCCCAATTTTTCTTGTGGAGAGGAGGGAAGGGTTCTAGAATGGTTTCCTTCATGTACCAAGGTGTGATTCAACATCTGTGGCCCATGGATTCCATTTCAGAACACATAGATGTAGCCCTATACACAGAAGGTCAAATAAGACCAAATAAGGCCTTAACAGCGTTGCAGAGAAATACAGCTATTTAATGCTATTTCATGATATTTCAGCATTGGTCTACAATACCAACAGTTGATTTGGAAACACACTGGTCTGGAATGTCCCAATTTTTCTTGTGGAGAGGAGGGAAGGGTTCTAGAATGGTTTCCTGCATGTACCAAAGTGTGATTCAACATCTGTGGCCCATGGATTCCATTTCAGAACACATAGATGTGGCTCTATACACAGAAGGTCAAATAAGACCAAATAAGGCCTTAACAACGTTGCAGAGAAATACAGCTATTTAATGCTACTTCATGATATTTCAGCATTGGTCTAAAATACCAACAGTTGATTTGGAAACACACTGGTCTGGAATGTCCCATTTTTTCTTGGAGAGGAGGGAAGGGTTCTAGAATGGTTTCCTTCATGTACCAAGGTGTGATTCAACATCTGTGGCTCATGGATTCCATTTCAGAACACATAGATGTAGCTCTATACACAGAATGTCAAATAAGATCAAATAAGGCCTTAACAGCGTTGCAGAGAAATACAGCTACTTAATGCTATTTCATGATATTTCAGCATTGGTCTACAATACCAACAGTTGATTTGGAAACACTGGTCCATTACAAGAAGTGAAGATGTTGAAGAGTTTGACGCATGAGTGCATCATCGAGTATATCAAGTTTTGGATGTTTTCATGATTTTTTAAGGGTGGAAGATACCATTTTAGAACCCATTTTAGAACCCAAAAACGGAATAGCTGCCAAAAAAAATGGGTTCTAAGACCCCCCTTGTAGATTCCGTTTTAGAACCCTTTTTTTGGGTTCTAAAATGGTACCCAAGGGGGTTCGAAGCAACTTGAGAGGATTCATTTGCCATAGCAATGTTGGAGTACCAGATGTCAGCCATCATGCATCACAAATCAACCGTTATTCACCATGATATTAGCCGCTACCAACATCCCATAAACATATTAATCGCAAGATGCTAACATCTATAAATGAGTGATTAGTGACACTGTTAACATCTTGACAAGCCACTGTTAACAGATATTAACCATGATAATCACTACTTAACAATGGGGGTCAGTAAAATCACTAGTTTAATGAACATATGAATCACAAATTCACCTAAATGAACCTACAGGATGGTGCCCCCCCCAATTAAAAGTTGATTTATAAACCCCATGAATACTAGTTCGTTATATCTACCATAAACCATAGTTAAATCACTTTTATCTCAACTGAACGCTATCGAACGGGGGCCTCATCCTGTAGTTATATGGCTGTGGATCAATACCTATAGATACAATTTGTTCGGGATTTGTTAGGGGATGAACATCCATTTAGCATTGAACTAACAATAGGCATACCACCCTGGTAATATTTTAATGGAGGTACCATATTTTTGGCCATATGTTGTGGAGATATTCCCTTAGTTTTTGGCCATACTAACATAATACTTACATATATGGAATTACTAACATAATACTAACACAATACTAACATAATACCAACATAATACTTACATAGGCCAAAAATATCTGGAATCGGTACTTCCAATATTCATCGGTTCCTGGCCAGCATGGCCATTGATCATATGAATCACCACAGTTAAGCGGAGCCAGGATGCCCAGGATGCCCTCCCGACGCTTGGAGAAAATGTAGAACAATGGAGACGACCGTGGGACAACAGATAGGGATTCAAAGATAGGGATTATGGGGACATTGATGGTTTAATGGTGATTTATGGTATTCCTATAGTTGAATAGTGGTTTAATGGTCATGCAAGGTGATACTTAATGAAGTGTTGTTGCTAGATCACCACAGTTAAGGCCCGAAATACCAGTTATAATAGTCAGTGAAACAACCCCATGTATGGAATGCATAACCACATTCAGAACCATTTATAACTGGGTAAAAGGCTTTAACTCTGGGGGACATTGGTGGTTTAATGGTGATTTATGGTAGTTGAATAGTGGTTCAATGGTCATGCAAGGTGATAATTGGGGACAATCATTATCTGATTTGGAGATGTTGCTATCTATAAAATTCAATATCATCAATGTGGTGATAGAACTCACAAATTGATGAACATTGGATGATTACCAGGTGCTGCCCCCCCGCCCCCAGTGAAATGTTTGTTGTTTATAAACGAAACCTAACTAGTTCGACATATCTACCATAAACCCAACCGCTATTGGACTTATGTCTACCAACTTAGCTAACGAACTGGGGTACCACCTTGTATTAAACCTGCAAAATTTACCAAAATTCATTCAGGTCTTATCATTAAAAACCATGAAGATTTAACCAACACAAAATGAGATTGAACCATCATAATATAGTAGGGCTTCATGACCATGCAATATAAACGGATTTGATTCACAACCCAGCTATTTCCAGTTTTTCGGAAAGGTAAGACCAACAAGACCAATCTTGAGATTCATGAGATGTGCATTCAGTTCTCATCATCTTTTTGGGGGATGCTCATTAGGGTATCATTGGTATCATGGTGAAACCGCCCATGCCTCGAAATTTTGTCGGCGCCAGGTGTGCCTTGTTTTCTATAGCTCCAACGTGGCGACTTCATGAAAACAAAGTGGATAAAAATCACAAGATTTGACCAGCAAAATTCACCATGAATAATCATTCAGCTGTTTTTTGCAAACTGTGTCATCTTTCCAAAGCTTGGCTTAGCTAACCATGGACAGTCCGACATATTTGGTGAAAGCGAACATCTGGACAGTTGTCATCTGATATGGATCTCTATGACGAATATTTATGAATTATAATCACCGTGTTTGTTAAATTCCAATTTCTAATGGTTCAATCACTGAAGTCAAGATTTTCCCCTTGTTTGATGAATGATTCCTTGGCTTTTTCTACATTCTTGATGGCAAAATCCAAATTGTCCTGTCACACTTGAGCAGTGTTCACACCCCGGTTTTTTGATGATGAGTTCGGGGATCATACTATCCGCATCTGTAATTAAGATCAATTAAGAAGGTACGGTATAACCATAAACTATAGGCATACCATAAATCACCGTTAAACCATTGAAAATTATAGTGGTATAATTATAGTTTATGAATGTCCCACTCCCCCTTCATGGGGGAGTCGAGAACCTCTCAGCGAAACCTGGATCAAAAGGGACTGGGTTTACTAGCGGGGGAGAAGGTGATTTCTTACTATACTTTAGGGGGCTTATAAACAGTATAAAACATTAAAAACAAACAAACATCACTGGGGGGAAAACCACTGCTTCTTTAATTTCCCCTTTATATCCCATTGTTGATGGTTAAATCACTTTATTTGATGTTAAACCCCAACTATTGACCAATATTATCCCTTATTAACCCAGTAAAATAGAGTACGGTATATATAATAGCCGCAGCCAATAGTTAGCAGAGATTATAACCATATAACCAATATTATCCTTTCCCAGTCCATTCTAAACCATCATTAATCTCATTGTACCGCACTGTTCATGATTAAATCCCATTGTTGATGATAAACTCAACTATTCACCAACATTATCCAGTATCAACCCATTACTGGGTCAACCTTGGTTAGATGCGAACTAGTACAACTCAATCTTTTGCTATGGTAAATGTTGTACATTTACCAGCCGAAAAGAATATTTTTTGACAGGTATCTAAGAATCACCATGATTACAACCAAATAGTACAGTATATAATATAGTACAGTATATAATATAGTACAGTATAAAAACCAATATAAACCAATAATTAGCGGAAGTTATAACCAATATTATCCATTCCTCATCCATCAAAAACCATCATTAATACGACTCATCCCAAAAATAGATTCCATAAACCATTCCCAAATACGTGGTTTATTATTGTTTTAGCCACGTTATGAACCCACATTATTCCCACATGGTCTATAAACCAGGTTATTAACCGATTATTTGTTATGAGAACTAGTATACTATTATAACTATTACCATTAAACTCCAACTATTCACCAATATTATCCATCATTAGCCCATTACAACCCACCCCATTGGTGAGACACCAGGCCTTCCGGCGAGCGCGACAGTGGTCCGTCCGAGCTCACTGACGCAGTGGAGGATGAGTTCGTGCAACCGCGGGACAGACCGCGGCCTGGGGACGGTTGTAGGAACTGAGCCCCCCCCAAAAAAGATAGGACATGTAAGGTGGTTGCCTTATAAGTGACGTAACCATGGTTTATGGTAGATATATTAAATAGCTAAGTGGGATAATAACATGGGAAATGATACAGTTAAATAATAACATGGGAAATTATACAGTTAAATGGCCATGGCTATTAGTTATAACTGGTCATAAGCGGGATTATACATGCAGTTTAAAAATGGGGCTATAAGTCTTTATAACTGGTAGAGAGCCACAACTGCAGTTATGTTTGCTGGTTTATAAACCATAGAAAGTAGTTCGATATATCTACCAAAAACCCAAACGCTATTGGAGTTGTGTAGACCCCAACTTAGCTATTCCGAACTGGGGCACCACCTTGTACCACATGTGGTATTTAACCATAAAAATGATGGAACATTGGTATTTCGCCAGTAAACATGATGGAAACGTGGAATTTGAGAAGGAAACAGTGAGCATATAAACCAAGGAAACATGGATTTATGTGATGGTATTTATTTGGTACATGTATTAGCTAAGTTGGTATTTTTTACGAGATTTACTATGTGGTAGATATGGCTGCTGGGTGAACATAAACAAACAGAACTGTTGGACCCTCTGTGGGATAGCTAGTTTCAAATCAGCAACTTAGGACGCTTGTGAATTAATACATACAATGTGGTGCCCCCAGTTATAAATTAGTTTATAAACCCCATTAACTATAGTTATAAATACCATAAACCATAGTTATTGGAGTTATAAACCAACTTAGCTATCTAGGGGGCTCCACTTTGTATGGTTTAACTATGGTTTAACTCTGGTTTATAATGGTATAATAATGGTAAAATAATGGGATAATATTGGGATAACAAAAATGTAATAATGGATAAATATTAGTGGTTTAACTATGGTTTATGTTGGTTTATAATTGTCTAATAATGGGATAATATTGGGGTAAACATGGGATAATGGGATACATATAAATATCAGTGGTTGACTGTTTATTACTGATTATTACTGGCTATTAGTTATAACTGGTTATTAACCTATGGGATTACACATGAACCTTCAATGGGGTGACTTGTTAGTACTTATAACTGGTATAACTCGGGCCACAGCTGTGATATGGGTTTCCTGAAATGTGGGTACCCACATGTATCATCAATTTTAGATTGGGATTTTTGGGATTTTCCATGACATAAACCATCCAGCGATAAAGGGGCACCCCCATCTATGGAAACCTCTATATAGACTCATTCAGGGCTTATGAACCACCAATAATCACCTAAGGGCGAACAATAAAATCATCCATTGTTGTGGGGGTCACCAACCTTGGTAACAACAATTATTATTTCATTTTTTCCACATACCCAATATTTCGAGTATGATTGATTAACATCCTGGACACCGTTTCCGAATGATGCCATCGATGCCATTGCCGTCATTTTCTTCGCGCTAGGACCTCGAACAGGGGCTCCTTGGCATGGTGGCAGATGGGCTGTATGATTCCCCACCTGCCAGGCGAGGGTTGTTAGATTTTATTCTTCTCCTCCTCCTCCTTCTCCTCCACCACCTCTGCCTCCACTTCCATGTTCACTTCCGCCTTGCCAACTCTTCGCCAAGCTCTTCGCCAACTCCCGCACGCAGTGGGCACTGCTCGACCTCAACTGCAAGGGTCTGAGCGCACTGGGCACCGCTGGACCTCAACCTGGGACCTTTCGAGCTCAGTGAGCACCGCTGGACCTCAACCTGGGACCGTCCGAGCTCAGTGACCACCGCTGGACCTCAACCTGGGGCCCTCCGAGCTCAGTGAGCACCGCTGGACCTCAACCTGGGACCCTCCGAGCTCAGTGAGCACCGCTGGACCTCAACCTGGGACCGTCCGAGCTCAGTGACCACCGCTGGACCTCAACCTGGGGCCCTCCGAGCTCAGTGAGCACCGCTGGCTCTCAACGGCCAGATAGAATGCCAGAAGATTTGCCAGATAGAATGCCAGATAGAATGTCAGAAGATATGCCAGAAGATATGCCAGATAGAGTGCCAGAAGATATGCCAGAACATATTGCAGAAGATATGCCAGGTAGAATGCCAGAAGATATGCCAGATAGAATGCCAGAATATATGCCACAAGATATGTCAGATAGAATGCCAGAAGGTATGCCAGATAGAATGTCAGATAGAATGCCAGAAGGTATGCCAGATAAAGTGCCAGAATGTTTGCCAGATAGAATGCCAGAAGATTTGCCAGATAGAATACCAGATAGAATGTCAGAAGATATGCCAGAAGATATGCCAGATAGAGTGCCAGAAGATATGCCAGAACATATTGCAGAAGACATGCCAGGTAGAATGCCAGAAGATATGCCAGATAGAATGCCAGAAGATATGCCAGATAAAATGCCAGAAGATATGTCAGATAGAATTCCAGAAGATTTGCCAGTAACAAAACGTATAGATGTCATGGTGGGGATAACTCGAAGTAAAGTACTGTTTTGAACGGATGCAGAGGCTGCAGAGGGGCGTCCTAGATAGCCAAGTTGGTTTTTAATTTCAACAAATCCCCCTGGCAAAAATGACCGAACACTTGATTTGTGGTTACAAAGTGCGAGCCCCCAGGCCCATGGAATTCACAGGGGGATCTTGTAAATAATATAGTATAATATAGCTCATATATACTTTCTGGAATGGGATTTATAAGCCAACATGTTTACTGGGGGGGTCCACAAGTGTATGACATGGGAATTGTAGCTGGGTAGTTTCGTGGTTTAGTTACCAAAATACGGGTTTCAAGCAGCGATTATGGGGTCTCACCAAGAACATATATGGGAATGATACATATTAACAATATAGTATTACATGTGACAATCCCATCCCCCTGATATTTAAAAAATCTGACTTCAAGGCAAAATGACCCAATACCAAACGTTTGTTTCTAAGATTAGGGGTAAGGGAATGATGTCAATTATAAGTTGATAAGAATTGAGAAATCCAGAATGTGGTGACAATTTGACAAGTTTACACGCAACAAACTCAAACAAAACTATAATTTGATGAGGAACACACGTACTGGAACTAGGTTCAATTGGAATTGGTGCAACCAGACTGGCAAATCGAAAATCATCCTTTGATGTAATTATTGAGGATGCTAGTGACTTTGTGTAGGTTATAAAGTCATCAGCAGTAGGGCTTGGACATCACTTGGGACATGCCTTGAACACCAAAACAAGCAGAACTATACAACTTCAATAACTATCAGGACTTGGTTGTTTTCTAAACAAACATCAAAAGTCCAAGTATCCGTGTGTTGGTTTCTAAAGGAACAATTCCTGATACAATCAGGGAATTTTCACCAACACAATGAGGCACCAGAACGCTTTATAGATTTTAGTTGCCAAGTAGGATGCTCATCGATACGATCATCTGGCTAGATTACGTGTCGATCTCCATGTAGCCTGCGTCACAATATATGATGAGTCGGTATGAGGAGAAATGTTGATGCCACCCGATTTTACTCGGTATTCCTTGGGTGAGTACGTCAATACTTCAATATTTTGCTACAAATGGGAATGTCCGCTTACCCAAAACGATGAAAGATCCCCTCCACAAAACTCACAGCTATGAAAGCCATGGCCCATTTCGTTCATGGTGTGTTTCTAAAGCTTATATTTTTCATAGTCTGTAGCTCTGTAACAAACTACCAGACGGTATCTAAATTAACCAATCAACAATAACGTTTGTCTGAGATTGGAATAGTTACTCTCTGGTAATTTTACATAGCTCTATGCTATTGAACATCACTAGTTTCTAAAAGTAAATCATCAAACTAAATTGGGCCATGGCTTCCATAGCTACGTCAAATTATCAGAGGGTACACTCCAATTGTCATTTTTTTTATCATTACATATATATATATATACATTTATGTTTCTTTGTTATATGTTTCCATGAGTATTCTTTTTGTTCATCAGAGTTAACTTTTCTCAACTATCGTAAGTCGTCGTCAAGCATAGAGAAACCATAGCCACGGCGCTTCCCCCGAGGCCCCCGGCTGGCGGGACGGCTGGCGGGACGGTTCAGGCGGGACAGTGTCAAGGGCCCCTGCTTTCGGACCCTGCAAAATGGATGGTTCGAAAAGTTGGTAATTTATATATAGCTTTTTCTTAATGGTATATGTGTATATATATATAGTGAGTTTGTTCATGGGATACTCAGTTTAGTTTGATATATTCTGTAACCATAGGGACATCATAGGGATTTAAGATTTAAGCATCAAATAAGGGTTTTAGTGAGGATCTAACCGTAACTTTTGGAGGTTTTAATATTCTTTTGCCATCAAACATTTTGCCATAATTTATAAATTACGGTTGGTTGATGATCAGAAGGTGCTGTCCCAGTTTGTTAGCTGAGTCGGTTCAAAACTCCAGCAACTAGAGTTAATGGTCCGGATATGCGGTGATTTTCAATTCAGTGACCAAAATTCAGCTCTCGCTACAGTCTCGTGGGTACCAGCATACCTGCATTCAAAAGAGAGCAATGGGGGAGTGTAAGTTTCCCTTTGCTACGCATTTGAATTTTCTGTAACTAGTTATTTGCAATGAGTGTCATAGACTTATGTCTAAATGTATAGATATTTACATACATCCAGGCATGCATTTACATAGATATACAGATCCTTTTTTAAAAAGAAGAACGCATACATATGTATGTCATAGATGTGGTAAATGTTGGGGCAAATCCCATTATTTATCAGCAGTTTTCCCATCAAACCTTTTGTAACCCCCCTCATGTTTGGGCAATAAGTATGATATATTTATGATGATGTTCCGATTATGTTCCCATTTGTTGCTTGGCACTGTCCAATACTTGTATGATCAGGAAACTATCTTTACAGCCGGCATCGCTACAATTTTGTTGCTGGTATGTTGATTCAATGTGTTCACCCTCAACAAAAAGGATGATCCTTGTGTTTTGTTTACAACACGATGTGGGATGTTAATCATAGATGCCCCTTTCCTACTGATTGGTTGATTGATGGTAGAGGGGTTAAACCCTCCACAACCAATAATTAAATGAGAATACATGGTATAGCAATCACCGACCTCTCTACTTTTCCCAGAAAGACATCATTGTTGTATAGGAGTCCACAAAAAGGAAAGTGTTTTCCCTCCTATTCTGATGATGATGTCCTTATATATTTTCCTTGTTTTTTGTGCGGATCGCTGTAGCATCCCACACAAAGTTCGAGCCGTATGTTACTTCTTTTTGTTCGGGGATTGCTAAAAAAACTATACCATGCTATACCAGTATTGGTTGAAGGTAAATCTACAAGAAAGCCTTCGGGATGTGGAGGTAAACATCATCTTTTCTGTATTTTTTTCCGTTGAACCAATCGGAGGTTCATTGCTCCATTCCCAACTGGTGTTGCTGAGAGCCACATTGTCCTTGGTGCGATTCAGATGATATTAGCATTGTCGCTGGATATTGCTGGTAAAACGTCATTCTCAACATTCTCCACCAGTACTATAAAACGTCATTATCAACATTCTCAACCAGTACTATAAAACGTCATTATCAACATTCTCAACCAGTATATACTATTATCCCATTATATTCCCCATATTCCTGGTTTTGTTGCTTAGATTTCTTTGCTTCTGACTAGTTCAAACCTATATGTTTCCCTATGTTTCCACATTTTTCCAATTTTTTGGCATGGGGACCCCCCCCCCGGTTCTGTCGCTTTAACGAACGAGTTCTCACCAAACACCCACCGTTTTTGGCGACCGTTCGCAGAACGTGGTGACGTACATCGCGGATACCGTGGCCGAGACGGTGGCCACAGTAGCATCTGTCATACCGAGTGCCCAGGCAGCCGGGGAGGGATTACGCATGTGACATATGTGTGTATACGTATTTGTGTGTGTGTACATAGATATGTTTGTATTATGTATATATATATATAATGATTTTATTATAAATGTATGTGTATGCATATTTGTGTATATATATATATTTATTTATTTATTGCATGTCATTTGTATATATAAATGTATAGATACAATATATATATATATATATATATGTATCTAAGTGCGTGCATGCATGCATGCATGCATACATACATACATACATCAATACATACATACATACATATATATATATATATAATGTGAAGTTCCTGCCTGTTGGCTGTGCTTGTGCCAACGTTTGACCCTTCGACAGACAATGTGGAGATCTGGCCGAGCAAGGTTGAACTACTCCTACACGCATGGCCTCATGGAAAGATTCTGTAATTGGCGACACGTTTAATTCTGGGATGCAAAGGTACGGCTTACCAGAAGTTGCAGCTTCACCAGAAGGAGCTGTTGGTGAACGATGTGTCTTCCATCAAGAGGTTGGTGGAACTGGTAGGTGGTACATGGGGAGCAATTCCTTTGGAAAAAAAGTTTGAACTTGTAGAAAAAGCGCTGTTCAGAGGCAGCCAGAAGGTGGATGAATCTAGCGATTCCTATCTGTCTCGAACCGATGTGATCTGGACTGAGCTTTTGACCAAGGGAGCGGACCTCAAGGAGATTCAGTCATACACATCCTCAGGGGTAGCCGTCTCAATGCTGATGATAAAAAGAGAGTGATTGTGGAGTCAGGGGCAGAAAAGGGTGGTGTCCTTGAGCTGTCCAAAGTTCAAGCAGCAATTCGAATGGTGGGTTCTGGATTCTTTCAGGAGATGACTGGAGCCAAACGTGACAAAAGCCTGAAAACATATGATCACACAGCTTTCACAGTTGATGAGATGGGTGAAGATGATACTCAGGAAACGTTCTGGGTACAGGATGAACTAGATGACCAGGTCCTTGAGACCCTTGCCACCGAAGATGATGAAGATGCAGCTCTCATCCTTCAGTTCGAGGATGCCATCAGTGAAACCATTCAGAACGACAGCGAGATGTGTGCCTTTTACTCGTCCTATCAAGAGGCGCGCAAGCGCTTGTCAGAAAAGGTGCGATTCCGTGGATTCTGGGCGGTGAAACGTGGAGACAAAGGCTTTGGAAAGAAAGGTAAATCCAAAGGCAAAGGGAAAGGTAGTCTGGCCAGCCGAATTGCAAACTCATACTGCAGAATTTGCATGAGAAAGGGGCATTGGAAAAATGAATGCCCGAGCCGCAAAATGTCCGGCAATGCATCATCAGCGGCATCCTCTCACATCAAAGCAGGCCAAACCCAGGCCAAGCACGTACCCAAGGCACGACTGGTTGTCTTAGGCTATGAAGATCCACTTGTACATGAGATCCCGAGAGACAGTCCAACGATGTCCAAACTGAGTCGTATGTTGATCCTTCAAACTGCTGCATCCCAACAATGGGAAATTGAATCTTTTGATATCCGCACTGCCTTTTTGAGAGGAACTGAAACCACCAGTAGAACTCTGGGACGTGAACCACCAAATGAAATGAGGGAGAAAATGAAGTTGAAATTGAAGAAGTGCTCAAGCTCATGAAGGGTGCCTATGGAAGAGTGGACGCCCCATACTTGTGGTTCTTGGAGTTCAAGACCGGCTTAGTGAACAGGCAGGTTTCGTTCACCCTGAGACAAAGAGAACTGAAGGTATCCTGAGAATTCATGTGGACGATGGTCTAGGATGTGGGTCGAAATATTTCTCACAAAAGCTCAGCGAGATATAACGAAAATTTCCCTTCGGAAGCCACAAGAAACGCAATTTTACTTTCACAGGACTCCGAATTGAACAACAAGCTGATTTTTCCATCAACATCAATCAAACTCAATACATCAAAGACATTCACTCAATCATCATTTCACGTGAACGTCGAAGTCAACCAGATGCCGTAGTCACAAGAGAGACAAGCTCTCAGGGCAGTGATTGGATCACTTCAGTATGCTGCAGTGAATTCCCGGCCGGATATCTGCTCTAGACTCAGTTGGTTGCAGAGTGAGATTAACCGAGCCAAAGTCAGCACGCTGATTGATGCCAATCGAATCCTGCATGAAGCACGTTTGCATGCCGGGGTACAGATCACAGTCAAGGCCATTCCAATCCAAGATGTTCGGTTTGTAGCTTTCTCTGATGCCTCCTTTGCATCCAACAAAACCACCAGCTCCCATCAAGGTATGATGATCATGGCATGCCATCAAAATATAGGTCCCAACCACCGCAGTGATATAAGTCCTGTTATATGGCACCCTCGAAAGATTCAGAAGGTAGCAGTCAGCACGTTGTCAGCCGAAGCCATGTCATTAGCAGGTGCTGTTGATGTCCTATCATGGATCAGGTTGTACTGGGGCTGGATGCGTGATGTGACGCTTCCCTGGAAGGAAGCAGACCAAACTCTGCTGAAACTGCCTCCAGCGTTTGCCGCTCTGGTGCCTGAAGAAGCTGATGATGCATTTACACCATCTGGAAAGGCTCAAGGTTTGTTGAAAACATCGCCCAAGTCGACAGAAGCCATTATTACCACTGATTGCAAATCCTTTTTGATTTAATCAGTAGAACAGCTCCTCCTACATGCAGTGAGTTCAGAGCGCACTTGCAGGCAAAGCTCATCAAAGAGCATCTCCAGAACGGAATCCAGATCTGTTGGGTGCCATCAGGTGCTCAGGTAGCTGATTCATTAACCAAGATCATGCACAACACGATGCTCCGTGAATGCCTGCGCATTGGCCGGTATAGCCTCCATGATGAGTCAGAGATCCTCAAAGCACGAACTGATTCAAGAGCCCGGCTGCAATGGATTAGGAATAGTTCCGAGAATATGCAGGGTTAGATGTTTTTCTTGGTCTGGAAGCTACTTGAAGAGCAATTTTATTTGGTAAGCTGGTAGTGTCGTTGTGGAGGCAACAACTTCAAAGTGCAATTTGTGAAGAACACGAGGAACACTGGAAGATCGGCCACCGTTTCGTGTATTATTTTTTTGCAACTGGACCAGAGAGATCAACATCTGGGGAAGCATATAGATCCTCAGCCGGGACATGAGCGAACATTTTTACAATATTGGGAGTGTGAAATTCCTGCCTGTTGCTCATGTCCAACACTCTTGTATCCACATCATGTCCCAGAAGGTTCCTTCACCATTTTCATCCCGACAGCCGGGGAAGGCTCAGGGAGCAGTGGAGGGTGCGGATAGGCTTGCGCCATTGGAAGGCGTTGCCGTGCCGACGCTTGGTGAAACCTTGGAGGAAAACAGGATTCTGCCACGGTGTGGCTGTGCGCCTGCAGGGCAGGCTTGGTGGATCAGGTTTGGCCCGTTACCAGTTTGATAATATAAACATAAATGTATACATATATATATATAAACATAAATGTGTACATATATATATATATATACCTGTATCATGTATAGTATGTTTCTAAGTGTGCAATATGTTCAAAACATGTTTGACACATTGATTGTTTGACACCACCAGTGGAGAAAAACGCATGCAATATAAATATGTGTTGATTAAACCCTCAGATGGAAGGTGGATCTTGGCTTAGCCATGTCCACGTTTTGTACTTGAGATCCCCATGTTGGTTGGATTGATGGCTGGTTAACGAGATAGAACCTCCAAACATCACCAGTGCAGAGCTAAAGCCATGGCAGCTGATATCTCTACCGAAAGAGCCAACCCCGAGTAGACTCGATCTCTCCTTCAGAGTTCGGGGAGCAACTTGCAAGTGTTGCTGGTTTCCCAGATGGGGGTTTCCATACATATCATAAATAGGGTATTCCAATAGCTGGATGGTTTATGATGAAAAAACCCATTGAAATGGATTATTTGAGGGTCATGTTTTTTTCATCATAAACCATCCATAAAACCATCATAAACCATCCATAAAACCATCATGGGTCATGGTTCCCATTGATGGTTTTACCGTGTTTTACACATTGCAGGTTTCGCCCATCGCGGGGTGGAATCATGGGAAAATGTCACCTGAGCAAGATATGTTCGCAGATCCTGCAGTGGTTTGAGCTGTTTTTGTTTGATCCAAAAAAGGGGTCATGACGTATGTCATTATCATATACCCTCTGGTTACTTAACATAGCTATGGAAAATCTATTATACATGGAGGTTTTAATGGGAAAATCATCTATAAATGGGCCATTTTCCATGGCTATGTTAAATAACCAGAGGGTAATTGGGGAGGATTGCCATGAATTACATATTAAATTATGTGATTAAATTAGGATGCAATTTACTATCATTAATTGTTATATACTATGTGATTACGATCAGTTATTATATATTATAACTAAAAAGTATTGTTAAAATATCATGACATATTTTATATTAAAAATCTTAACTATATTTTAAGATATTGCCATATCAATCAATATAACACACATATTAGTTATTAATTATAACTAAAACTATTATTAAACCATAGAAGCGTTGCTATCGTGCCATATCTTCACCTGCTGATTCTGCGCCCCCACATCGCGCGTAGGTGGAAGAGTCTTCTGGCGGAAATCGGTCGACCTTGAAATCGAGAAGTGTCGATGGGGATTTAGCGAACTAACATGACACATCTAGATAATAGGAATTAATGGGTAAGATATAGGAATTTCATAGGATACCCACATGGGATTTAATTAATCGGGATTGAATGGGAACAAATATGGGGATTTAATATGGATTTAGCCAATTAATACGGGAATATGATGAGGATAGGATTGCTAAATGGATAGTAAATGGTGCCAATAAAGGGAAAACTACAGGAATTTGACCAATGAGGATTGTGATGAGGATATGGCTAGCATTCCTCAAGCTCCATGGATTTAAGAATTAAATGGTGACTTTAGCCATCAAAATTGTTTACTATTTCCATTTGGGTATGGGTCAAGATTGGGTTCTCCAATAAACCCTGCTAAATAGGGGAATGGAAGGCTACTTTCCTAAAGAACTGTTCGATTCTAAGGGTCAGCGTAACGAGGGGGAATGAGACCTAGAAATGGGAAT